AGGAATGGCATTGTTGGGGATACGAAACCTTTTAGCAAAACTTTGGCGTTCTGTGTCAAAAATCAGGCAATTTAAATTTTCATTTTTGTAACTTTGGGTAATATTTACTTTAGCTGTACTTTAGTCTTATACTAGACTTAATCTCGTCTGTAAGATCAAGTTTGTATTACATTTTTAGCAAGTCAAATCTTTCGTTGCGAGACATAAGCTGCGCCTTAAGGGTTTTGGTTTAGATTCCGGCCATCAGGGGTATATATGTCGGTTTAGCTGTTTTTTAAATTTTCTGTGGCTTAGATTGGGCCCCCGTTGACCTAGTGGGTCTTTTTTTTTTTCTCCAGCCTTGTCTTCAGACTATTATAGCTTTATTTTACTTTAGTTCTATTGTACTCTACCACTACAGTTTTTCATAGTGAATTTCAAAGTTTAGTCGACCAGAAGCTCTTTAAAAGTACCTCCAACTTAAAAATTTTAAATAGTGTCGCTTAGATAATATAGCTACTGCTTGTCTATGTACTTGTCTATAAGTGGTCTGAGGGCTGTCAGCGACGGTTCTCTGAATATTTAAATTTCACAAGATATTACCTTTTTTGCACATTTTATAACTTTACATGCATTTTTTTTGAATCTTATCATATACATGTTCTAGAACATATCATTTTCTGACATTAGCTCCAGCTCCGGAACCAGGAATGTCTTTGGAGCAGACTCTGGAGCCTCTGGGAGCTTTTCTTCTAAACTTATATGACTAAAGAGTGAACTCTTACAATATGTGCCATGTTTCTTTGTTACACTCGTGTTAGACACAGCTGATATATATTAACATTAAGACAAAGAAGCACAACCAAATGTTTTTGATTAGGTATGACAACATTTGTTTCAAAATTCAAATTTTAAGTGAAAGTGCCTTAAGGTTTAGTCATTTTTTAAAAATTTTAAAAGGTTTCCAAAATTTTTGAAAATTCCGAAAATAAGGGTTTTTAAATACTTATGTTATTCATTGTATGATTTTTTACTAGCTCGACATACCATCGTACGCCACGATATAACTTCTGTAGTTCAAGATACCACTGTATACTGTGGTATGCTCTTTGTACTAGTTCGACATACCATGCTATAGAAAAATCATACCCAAAAACAATATTAGTAGCTTTTACCGTATACCCAAGATACGACGTCGGTTTTACGCATTATTTTCGTACATTGCTAATTGGGCTTATGTCACTAGTACATACCATTGTGTCGTAGTATGTTGTCATTACTTTTCGGTAATTTTAGATCGTGTACAATTTTACAATACTTTGGTCTGTTACGTTTTTGTTTTTTCATGTAAGTATTAGGACTTTTGACAGCCGGCTGTCTATTAGAGGTTTCAGTCAATATTAAGATATTTTAGTGATTGGTTTTGGAATGTTCAAATCTATATAAATCTTTATGTATACATTAAGATGGTGAACGAGTCTGAACAACATACTTTTAGATTTTTTGAGTGATTTTTTAAAGAAAAGCAATTTTTGGGTTCGCAGGCTGCAGCTACATAGGGCGCAGCTTGCGTAAGGTGAAAGTTTGGCCTATTTGTTATATGGTCAATTTGAAACTTTGGGACTCATTTTTAAAACTTAAAATGTTTATAAAGTTTCAAAATTTGCATACAAACGTTTATGTGGCATATTATCATAGGTATAGACTGTTTGTTAATATTGCCATAGTCATAGTACGTTACGTATACCTTGTCTATAAATATTTGTCAGCAAAATTCGAACAAAAACCTTGATGTCTAGATTAAGGCCACTTTTATTTAAATACTTATTAATATTCAATTCGGCCGAAATGCGTGGTCGAAAAGTATTGTGAAGGCATTGAAAAGGTTTGTCATAAACTACTTTTGCATTTATTTGTGGGATTGGGGCAGGGCAAATAGTCTGGGTCTTATTTTGCTACAAAGATTACTCTGTAGCTTGACCTGTTGCAATTAGAAGAGATTTTACTGTAGTATATTGCGTCCTTAAATTTGTGTAGGTTATTGTAAGTTTTATGGTTAAAGTTAAGACTAAGGCTCGGCTTGGGCTGTGGGCTAGGGCTAAAGCTAGGATTAGCGCTAGGGTAAGACTAAGGAAAAAACCTATTGATGTCTTGCAGTAGACTTATTTCAAGTATTACTACTGTTACAGTACAACAACCTACAAAAAATTTAAAAAAAATACCGTGCAATAAAAGTTTACGTACTGTTGATAGTAAACTTGGTCGATTACTGTTGTTCTTCGAATGGTTTGAAGGTAGAATGTCGTTTATACCGAATATTAAATTATTGTGACATGGTGTGACAATACTTCGTGAAGCCATTTTTCGTTTTTCTTTATTACACTCTTACTCTGCCATTTTATTTTAGTCGGTCTTGATATGTTATTTTGACAAGGCATTGGTGCTTTGATATTTTACTTTAACATAGAATTGGTATATTGATATTTTCCTTTGGTAGGTGTTGGTATCTTGAGCAGGGAATTTGTAACTAAATTTGAAGCTGGGGGGGGGGAGAGGAGGGGAGCCAGTGGTTAAAAAACTGCGGTTATGAGATACTGTAATTAGTTCTACTGCAAATTTTTTATATTATATGACATTTTGAATATCATATCTTACAGAACAACACTTTGTCACCATAGGCACCTACCGTAACATACATGTATACAACTCCATCTTATAATATGAACCCTTCTCTAAGTGCTTTTAACACCTCTTTCTCTTCTCAGAACCCTCACTTATTACTATTTTACAACACTTTCCAACAGTAATGTAACTAGAAATGACAGTTTTAATGTAAGATATGACAATTTTAAGGCCGCCAATCCGCTTTCACAGTGATTAATTCGAATATTTGGGTATGAATAATATAATTATTTGTGTAGATTTCATGAATTGCCATTCTAATTCGATTACCAGCTTTCTTGCGGCGAACGGGAAGTATAACTCTATATTGTGCTACATGAGACAGTTTGGGAACAAAAAAAATGAAATTATGGGTTTTCGAAATTTTGGCTGGGTTTCAAAATTTTTTTTAAATTTAAGCATTTTTTTGAAATTAAAAAAAAGTATTTTTTTTTGTATTTTACAGCCAAAATTTCTGTGAAAAAGGTTTTGAAAAGGTATAAAATGAGATATTTTAGAAGCAGCAGCCTGCGAAACTTAGGGCGCAGCGCGTAAAAACAACTTTTTTTGATTAAAAGCGTTTCTTTTGTATTTTTTAGCCTTTTGTGAGTATTTTAAGAATATAAAATACGATTTTGTATTTTTTACAATTTCAAAAAAAAACTTTTTTAAAACCAAAAACTTTTTGCACTTTTGACGTCGACCAAACTCTGCATATATTATCATAGAGCAAACAACTGTTACATCGTTGTGTTTTGATGTCTGTCGCCGACGATTAAAACCGCGGTAATCATTAATATTAATGAACTTTTTTGCTTTGAAATTATTTTTTAATTTCCATGAACTTCGATAATCTTTTTCGACTTCCGTGCTCCAGAAGCACGTGCTTCACGTTACGTTGTTTGTTTTGTGTAATGTGGTAGTAATTAATCCAGCAATACACATTGGTTTTGATGGTGTGAGAGTTTAGGGTTTGGTTACTAATAGCGAAAGTTTTGGAGATTTTGATAATAGGGTCAAGAAGTTATGGCAGTTTATTCATGGTCATGTCTGAGATTTGGCTTTTAGGTTTTAAAAGGTTTGTTGTGCCATTTCTATGTAGAGCTGTATAGTCTAACGTTATTTATATAGTTTTAAGCTTTCAAAAAGTATGTTTCAGTTTTTAAAAATTAAAAAAAAATTTTTGTTACGCTTAAAAATAAGTTTTGTTGACTTTATTACCTAAAATTTCATTTTGTCATTTTTTTTTATTTTTTTTTACATTTTGCGCCTCGTTTTTATCTCAAAGTAGACTCATAAGTAACCGTGCTGTAGTACAGTCTACGGTAGCTTAATATCTCAAAAAATTGAATATATCATTTGCTAAATGCCCTAGCACATATATGCTACAATTAAAATGACAAAGTTGCAAGAATGTGGCGTGATTAAATCTCTATTGACACTCTTTATTGGTTCTATTGAGTACCTGTCGTTCCAGCGTCAGACTTTATTTTTGTTTACTGTGGGTCCATTTTTACAGCCGTTTTTATTTTACTTGCTTTTGGGATAACACTGTCATTTAACATTGAAGTTGCATAAAGCCAGGCTAGCCAAGGGCTCTCAGCAAAGAAATAGTATCTTTGCCATAACTTTTTACGCTATTTCGTACTAGATAAGTATCGTTCTTAAATCATAGTACCATTGTGTGCAATCTTCTTCTAAAAAAGAGAATAGAGGGTGGGCAAGAGACTTTTTTAAATTTTTTTGATATATTTTAACTTGGATGGGGCTAGCTTTTTATTAATTTTGGCTTGGAATAGCTAATTTTTTAATTTTTTTTTATGAAGGGGTGGCTTTGTAACAGTTTTTGTATTATCTACTGCATTATATCGTATATTTCGTTACTTTTTGTAGCTTAAGATACTAAATTAGTTTTTAATTATTATACTTTCAATTGCTTTTTGATTAAATGAAGCCGTTTAAATAACTAAAAGTGCACTTTTCAAATTTGTACTTTACGGGTAATGACATGACTAATTTTACTTTTTTTACTTTTATCTAACTAGTAAGGTAGGGTATGTTTAGGGTCAAGTAAAGACAAGACCAGTGCAGTGGCCACTACATGGCATGGGGAGTGCAAAGGTAGAGCTAAGCTAGGGCTATGTCTAGGGCTAGGGTTATATGGGCCAGGGCTAATTCACAAGGCTCAAAATTTAAAATTTTTTATCGCACCGTGCTGTTTGATTTCAAGTCCGAAGTTCCGGAGTCGCGACCATACCGATTTATAAAAACGCAGATTCCCACGTCAGATTTCGGAATAAATTATCCTTTTTTTTCAGCGACAACCAACTCTCATGTGAACAAAACAAGGAAATTGTGGCATGGAGGACGATAATCTACAACAATATCTGGCGTCGGCGACGCTGATGATTGTTGTCATCGGGTGTTTGGGAAACTTTCTGTCGCTTATTCTGTTTTTGAGACATTCGAGTTCAGTCAATACGTTGTTGGCAGCGCTGTCACTGGTCGATTTGTGTCTGCTGTTGCTGGCGGTGCCGGTTTTTGTTATGCCCAGCTTGGATATATGGTAAGGAGGTTGTTTATAGTATTGACTATGCTATGGTTACGTTACCTTTGATAGAAAATATTATTTGTAACAGGAATTTATTTTTTAGGTAACAGTTTTGACTAATTGTTACCTAAAACAATATCGCAGTAAATTTTCTCAAGTCAAGACAATGCCATTTTTAGTTCTAAAATAAACATTTGGTAGCTTATTATATGTACATGTTGATAGGATTATCGGTTAAGAAAGTTCAAGTCTTAGATTGTCTTGAGATTAGTCTAGTGTAATATACCTAAGTAAGACGCAATGTAAAAGTAAGCGTTTTGCATCATAAAAATAAATTTTGATCTTTAAAAATGATACTGGAGAAAAAATTATGTACTTTAGACAATAAATTTAAATCCAATAAAGTAGTGACATTCCGTCAAATTTCCTAATAATTTTTATGGCATTTCATCAAAATCTATAAAGTGTCTTTAATGGCTTAAAAACATAAAAAAATAAGTTTATATGTTAAAAACTAAAAAAATGATAAAATTGTAACCAACGTATCATAACATATTGTTTTAGGCCAGACCGGACATCCCTCTTCAATTTTTTATCATGTGTCCTCAAGTTTGTATATCCAGTGAACTTGATGTTCCAAACCTGTTCTATCTATATTATGGTGCTAATTACAATTGAACGATGGACAGCCGTATGTAAACCGTTACAAGTACGAATATGGTGCACGGCGAGGACGTCAAGATGGGCACTTTTATGTATTTTAATCTTTGCCATATCATACAACTTGATTCGGTTCTGGGAGTACACAATAATGTAAGTTTTTTTGTTCTTAAGTTTTGTAATTTGTTTGAAATTGTCAAATTTTGGCATATTGGTTGTTTTAGTTTTTTCCAATAATTTTTGTGGCATTTTGTTAAAATCTATATTATGTGCCATTCTGTCAATTTTTTTTTATTTTTTGTACTAGACGGAACTACACTCTATTTTAAAAGCAATTTAAGCGTGTCTCAATGTTCAAGTATGACAATTCTAAGTGCATATTGAAGTAAACCTTCAAGTACATTCACCTTACAATGTCTTACTAATTGCTATCTATTTCAGCGAAACTCCCGAGGGCCTAGACTACCAACGCAATTTGCGCGACATTCACGAACACCCCTACTACGTCATCTTCTACTACACCGGCCTCTACCTCCTCACCCACTTTCTGATCCCCTTCTCAGTCATTATCATCATGAATGGGCACGTTTGCAAGCAAATTATTCAACTCCGCCGTGCTCGCCTGATGCTCACCCGTCAACAACAACGTGAACAGAGCACCACCTTGATGTTGTTGGTGGTCACGTTGGTGTTCGCGGTGTGTAACACCTTACCATTCCTTCTGAATCTGGCCGAATGCATGAAAAGGGACTTGTTTGAAGCCGAGTCCACGGCTTGGATTGCATATCAACTGAATGACCTCTCGAACCTGCTGGTCGTACTGAATAGTTCGACCACCTGGATTGTGTACATTATATTTAGTGCCAAATACCGTGAGACGGCGATGAGGATTCTTTGGAGATGCAACACGGTGTATGAAAAGGATGTTAAGTACAATAGTTTGAGTAGAACCCACTCAATGAGGGCTAGTTCGGCCATGAGGAAGGGTGGACCAGTTACGAGTTGTACTACCGAGAGCATACGGTAAGTATTACTGTAATTCAATGAAAAAACATATAGCGATTCAAAAATTTAAATTTTAAGCCGGTTCTGGTTTTTATTTTCAATGAGCTGTCATTTTCTTATAAAGACAAAAATTCAATATTTTTGTGACACTTCGTCAACATTTTTGATAGTTCTATAATAATCAACCAAAAACACAAAAAATACATTATATGTTGTCAGAATGAGCAAAAAACTACCTTAAAGTGAAAATAGAAACCAATATTTTTGTGACACTTCGTCAAAATTTCCAATAAATTTTGTGGCATTTCGTCAAATTTATTAAATTAGTATATATGTGTCTTTTAAATAAGATTTTGATGTAAAAATAGGATTTTCATTTTCATATTGAAAAAAAAGTTTGTTACCTAAACTGATCGTTTACAGGACCCTGCAAAGCCGCTCGAACCGTTCAAATTCAGAATGCGACGATCGCATCAGAAAGCACGTCAGCTCCATCATTTCCGACAAAATAAAACGTGATTCCAAGAACAACAAGTCAAATGGCTATCGGGTGTCGTCGCATTCGAAGAAGGAGAAGACGTCATCGAGGTTGTCACTGGAGGTTCAGCCATCAACAGAGCTGCTGAGTCCTCCACCGATGACATTCCGGGCGCCCGTGCCAAAATGGACGGAACAGACGGATCGACCGGAAGTGTGACAGTACTTATTGGACATATTGTGACATTTTGGCGACAGTTTGAAAAATTTTGGACTACTAATGAAGATGGTATTGGCTATAACATACGATGAAGGCTAAAACATACGACGAGTCATATACAACTGAAAGACAAGTTACAGTACCACCTTTAGCCTACCTTTTAAACTACGGTACAACTATAACTACAGTAATACCATAAGCTAAAGATGTCAAAATTACTAAGATCTACCCACAGAAGTACATAAAATATGGTCAAACGAATGTCCGACCCTATCAATCCTATTAAGATGTGCCTATGTCACCTATAACATGTAAAACAACTCTATGTGCTAAACGAAGCAACTAAAATGCCAAAAAAAAATAATTTATTATTGTAGACTGTAAACCTAATACTTAGGAACATCATATTACAACACGGGTGTTTTAATAAATCATTATTTATTATTTGGAAGATATTGTTATCAGTACTGTAATAAGAAGCAAAAAAAAAGAAAATTCGAAAAAGTTAACGAATAAAAAAAAAGGTCTCTACTCTTGTTCTGGCCTAGAATAGTCCTGTTCAGCCTTTTCTACATTTTCTCTCTATTTACACTCATTCTTGTCACACTAGAATATAATAACAACTACTGCGTTCTTATCACAACGGGTTCTAACAATTTTTTTTTTAAATTAACTTACGTGTAACTTTCAAAAACCGTAAAAACCAAAAATTTTGTAATAATATATGTAAAGAATAATAATATAATTATATAAAATTTTGACAAAATGACGTCTACAAGCTGAGTCACTTGAAAATTGACCAAAAAACGAAATGAGTCGACAATTATGATAATTACCCAAACGGGTTAAGTAAGTCAACTTTGGCGAACTTTTTGCTTATCGAACGTTCCCTTTCTAACCCAGTTTGACGTGCGCAGTGTAAGAAACGCCTATGACAAGGTATTTAAAACGACGCCAGAAGGTAGGCAGTTGAATAAGAATGATCAAACTGCTCGCTTTCGTCGTTCTCACCGTTTTGGTGATTGAAATCGAAGCCCAATGGGGCTGGGGATCGCCGTGGGGCGGACCGTGGGGAGGACCCGGCATGGGTAAGTTTTTTTAGAGGTGGTTTTTCTTTTTTTGTTTAAAAAACTTTTTTTATTTTTTTTGAATCTAAATATAATAGATCAAATCAACTGAGATTTTTAAAATTTATTTTATCACCAATTCCAGGACGTCATCGTCATCGTTGGGGTAACGAATTCGGCGGCCGAGGAGGAGGCTGGGACGGTCCACGTGGAGGCTGGGAAGGCCAACGTGGCGAAGGCTTCGAAAGTCAAGGCGGTCAATTTGGAGGTCAAGGCGGCCAAGGAGGTCAATGGGGAGGTCAAGAAGGTGGACAAGGCCAATGGGGTGGACAAGGTCAACCGGGCGGCCAACAAGGCGGTCAATGGGGCGGTCAAAGCCAACAAGGAGGTCAAGATGGTCAATGGGGTGGTCAAAGTCAGCAAGGTGGCCAAGGCCAATGGGGCGGACAACAAGGCCAACAACAATCTGGAGGTCAACAACAGTCCGGAGGCCAACAACAAGGTCCACGAAAGATCAGTCGAGAGGAAGACCTGAATGTACCTACTCAGAACTTCAAAAGCGGACCACCAGGAACAAGATAGAAGCCTCGTCATCTCAAAACATTATGATCTCTGACCAGTTTTTTAATCGATGGTAATTATAATCTAATAAACATCAGGAACATTATTGTTGTAAAACGGCGGAAACTTTACTGTAATGGCTGATATCTTTCCCATAAATCTAAATTTAGGTATGAAAAATAGAAGTTTATATTAAAAATACATTAAAACAGTCTATTTGTGTCTAGCATAATTAGTTTTCGTAAGAAAAACAAGGTAATAAAGTAAAGGAAGACAAAATCAAAGTAAATATCGATATCAAGGTCGTCGTTCGAATGTTTTCAACTTTACAACGGTAATATATTTGTTGAAAGTTCAAGAAAAGATTGAAACAAACATACTTTTCTTTAATGTTTTTATTACCTATCCTTCGTTGAAACTTCAACGTTTATTTAATTTCATCGTATAAAGTTGTGCAGCAGCTTGCGCTCCTGCTTTTTTGCTTCGATATTTCATTTTCGCGCCCTATATGAATAAAATAAAATTTCTTTTTTGTGAAATGAATATTTATGGAGTTGCATCGTAAGTTTACGTTTGATGATCCAGAAGACAGTTATTGGAACGACAATGATAGTCAAAACTCTTTCTTTGAAGATCATCGAAATGCCGTAAGTTAACATTGGTGTATCACCCATCAATTCACTATTTACTCTATACTTTTTTAATTTAGAGCGTAGCAAGGCAAGTCTTGGATGATTTGTATGAAGCCGACTTTGACATACCAGAAGAAGAAGCGCCTGATGTTGAAGACAATGCTTCTAATGGGATAACGATCAAACAAAATGAAGAAGTTTTTGACGATATACCTAAAATAAACTTTAATGAAAGGCTACAAAAACCTCAATTAGCTGGAAAACCTGTAGTGAGTCAAGATTCCTTATAGTTTTATGTGTTTAGAACGAAAGTCCGCGACCAAGAAGAGCTCTGGGAAGCTCGTCTATGATATCTGATTGTAGTTTCACTTCTTTTTCAAGTGATGCTACTGTTCATTTGGACTATTCTCGTCTCAAAAGTGAACACCATAAGCTGCAAAAGTACTTGGATGTAGGTTATACTTTAAACTAATTTTTAAATACAAAATATATTTAAAAACTGGGTTTTTGTAGGATAATATTGATATTGTTTTAGAAAGTCAGAGCAGAAAGATTCGAACCTCCATCGGTGGAAACAACAATAAAACGATTGAAACGCTGTGATCCTGTTGCATTAGATTTTTATAAGAGTAAACAGGATAAAGTAGAATTGTTAGACGAAGCAATAAACTCCAGGGATAATGATGTTATACTAACGGTAAGGTTTTATCATATTTGGTGGATCACAGTTAGGATATAGTGGGACTATTTTTGAAAATATTTCGATAAAGCTTTAGACAAATGCAGATATTTATGAAGCTTTGAACTGTAGTTAATTTACGTGTTATAAAATGCCAAAACTATATTAGTGTTGTTGTTTTAGGTGGTGTTGTTCTTGAAGAAGACTTTAATTGTTTCGATATTTCGGGAAATCTTGATTTTTAAACCAGAGGCAGCCGAAGTTTATATTACTTATCTACGGGAGTCTAATGACACAAATGAGTTGATTGACACGTTATTGTAAGCTTATGTTTTAATCTTTTACTTTTTTTTGGTAATATTATATAATGCTTAGTAAAGGTCATTGTACGTTAGTCCGTATTTTACAAAACAGTATATTCTTTAAAACTTTTTCAAGGTAAAAGTTATTATTTGGTTGAATATTGTCATTTCAGCTCATTAGGACGAAGTGATGAAGCAGCAATGGTCGAGTTTTCGTGTGCGATTAAGAAATGTCACACGACGTCGAAGATAAACAGTTTGAAGAAGTGTTTAATCAGTGGCTTTAGTGATCCAACCTTGAATTCGGAAGCCAAATTCGTCGATGAATATATTCGTTTGATCGAACGACAAGTTCCTATTGATGTAAGGCACTGAATGTAGTTTGCTTAATTTCAAAAAACGTATTTTTAATTACTTTTCGTCATCTATGATTTGCTTTCATGGTTGGCATCTAAGCTTTAATGTTATTGTAGGCAGCTGATGAAGAAGAGTCAAAGTCAGGAAGCAACGAGATATTCAAACAATACCCAAAGAAAGCAACGCTTATTGGACAGCCATTACTTACTACTTTGTATTACTGCTGTTTGTATCATTACAATTTGCCCATCGTATGTTAACTTTTTATTCATTGTCATTATAATTTAGCTGTCTTATGTTATATGACTGTCAAAATGTTTTTTCTATTCAAAATGACCTTCGAATGTGTCGTTTATACCTGAAAACATGACTTTCAGAACGTGTACGCATCTCCACTGTCATTTAAAGCCACTTTTAACATAAACGAGAAGGCCTACTTCTGGATGGCGGCTTCAGCATTGTCACGGAAGAAACAGTTCACAGAATTAGAGAAGCTGTTAATATGTAAGAAGATGATTGTAGCGCAAAAGCTGGTCTGTCCATTCCCTTGGACGGTATTCTTTCAATTGGTCGTCAAATATGGTCCACCTAGCAAGGAGATTCTATCAAAATGGCTGAATGCTGTAGGGGATGTCGATGAACGACTAAACATTTCTGAACAATTTGGTGACTTAACGGCTGCAGTACAGATCGATGCCATAATATCTTTGAAGGACAAACAGAAACTGGTCAATTTGATGAACAAACTAAACCCAAAGTCAGTAGAATACAACAAAGCTCAGTTAATATTGGCTAACACAGTGAGTTTTCTTGTTATCAGCTTTAGGGATTATATTGTATTAGGTGTTCCGAGTTTTACCAAGTAGGTACTTTATAAGATCAGAATGAAGTATTAGGTTGTTCACATAATTGTGTGCTCCCTATCAAAGCAATTTGTTGGTTTAGGGGGCACAGAATTATTTGACTATCCTAATACTTTCGATTGTCGAAAAGACTAAACTAGATCATGATGAACAGATCAGACAAGCTACATGTTTTGAACTTTTTAGGCGAACAAATGGAAAACTTAACAGATATAATATAAATAATACAATCGACAGACAACTTTTGCACTATATAACCTCAACCTACACTACGAACTATTCACTTATACAGCTGTGATGTTATTGTTTCTTTTTCACTTTCTTTTATTTTTTTAGGGATTTTTGTTATTTTTTAACAGTTTTTAGATATTTTTGAGAGATATTTGAGCATAATTTATTGGCATAATAAAGAACCAGACCAACGCGGGCCCTACGGGCCCGCTATGGTCTGTGCATTTTTGTTGTATTTCATTTTTATACAATATTTATGAATTTTTATAAAGTAAATTATGTTATAATAACATAAAACGTTAGAATTTGTTGAAAAAGGCGCTGGCCTGCGGCCGTCGGAGCTTTAAATTCCAACTTTAAAATCGACTTTATTTTGAATCAATCTAATATTTTGCTATTTCAATGCAGTATGAATCTGAAACTATTTTGAGTATGATACATTATGATTCATTTTGTTTTTTAAATTGTTACGCTTAACACCCGTTTGTAAAAAATATTTTAAAAACCCGGTACTTTTTTGAATTGACCTTACCCTTATCAATATCTGTATTCATACCCGTACCCATATTTATACCCATATTCACACCCCTACCGACATTTATACCCACACCCATGCCCATATTTATACCCATACTCACACCCCTCCCGACATTTATACCCACACCCATGCCCATATTTATACCCATACCCACACCCCTGTCCACATTTGTACCCACACCTCTGCTACATTTATACCCACACCTCTGCCCATATTCATACCCACACCCGTACCCATATTTACACCCCTACCCACGCCCATATTTATACCCATACCCACACCCCTGCCCATATTTACACCCCTACCCACGCCCATATTTATACCCATACCCACACCCCTGCCCATATTTATACCCGCACCCATACCCATATTTACACCTCTACCCATGCCCATATTTGTAGCCATACCCTCACCCGTACCCATATTTACACCCCTACCCATGCCCATATTTGTAGCCATACCCTCACCCGTACCCATATTTACACCCCTACCCATGCCCATATTTGTAGCCATACCCTCACCCGTACCCATGCCCATATTTGTAGCCATACCCGCACCCATACGCATATTTACACCCCTACCCGCGCCCATATTTATACCCACACCCTGCCCATATTTATACCCGCACCCATACCCATATTTACACCTCTACCCATGCCCATATTTGTAGCCATACCCTCACCCGTACCCATATTTACACCCCTACCCATGCCCATATTTGTAGCCATACCCTCACCCGTACCCATGCCCATATTTGTAGCCATACCCGCACCCATACGCATATTTACACCCCTACCCGCGCCCATATTTATACCCACACCCTGCCCATATTTATACCCACACCCATACCCATATTTATACCCATGCCCATACCTTTTACCACAAAATCAACAATTTTAAAATAAATTTCAAATCTAACATAATATTTAGTATCATACTCAAAATAGTATCAGAAAACATACTTACATTACCATCGTATCTTCCTCAAAAATCCATTTCCAACCCGACCGCTCTCCACCAAAAATTTTCATGCGACTGACCGGTTTCTTTTTTTTAATTTCATAAAATTTTCATTTTGAAAATGATTTATTTTGAAAATTTGCATGGCTCTCTCACTTAGTACAGATGCACTCTTACAGCGGCTTCGGACAGCCACCCGCTCTCCGTTTAGTAAGGGGAACCAGATCAACGGACGCCCTCCGGGCGTCCCTTCGGGCCCTCTACTTTTACTTTTGCTTTTACTTTACTTTATTAATCTAAAATTATTGGCTCGGGCCTGCGGCCCTCGCACGTCAATAATTTTCATTCAAATATTGTAAATACCGAAACACACATTTGACTCGGGCCTCCGGCCCTCGCACATCTTTCATTTCAAAAAACAAAACTTAAAAATTTCGAAAATTGTACACTACGTATCAAAACATTTGAAACCACGACCGCTCTCAGCCAAAAAATCCATAAAACTGACCGATTTCTTTTTTCAAAATTTTTTCAAAAATTTTATTTTTTACTGAATTTCACAAAAATTTGCATGACTCTCTCACTAAGTTCGGATGTACTCTTATTTTGGCTTCACGAACATACGGCTCTACATTTAGAGCCGGGGATCGACTTTTTGAGATGATACAAGTGGCATTTTATGACTGAAGAAGCTCATTTTACAAGGTTTTAGACAACAAACCATTAGGTTGTTCAATTAATTCTGTGCTTTCTTTAAAGGAAAGTTTTTGGGGCTAGGGGGCACAGAATTATTTAGAAAATCTAATATAAGAAAAATCTTGTTTTATTGAATGTATTAAACAATCTTGTTGAATAAATTAAAAACTATTTTAGAAAATCAATTTGCAATGAGAATTGTCGTCATTACCCAAAAATGATTTATGCAAATGTATACGAAAGGCCTCGATCAAAACAGATCCGTTGTCGTAAAACAGACGTTCATAACATAATGCCATCTTATTATCCACATGTTTTTGTACCAGCCACACGTGGCCTAATGAGAGGCGGAAGAAGCCGATCATTCCGGAACGATCCCCTTTCACATATCGATCGTATCTTACTGTTCTGATATCCATCTGTTTAAGTAGCGTCTTTTTATGTTTCAAAGGAGCTTTTTATGTTGTTTATTGGATGAGCAGTTTATATTAGGACAAATGGAGGTGCGAGGGGTAAAAGGCGAGGCAGAGAAGACAAAATAAATTTATTTGAGCAGGGCGTGGTAAATGCCTTGGCAGAGCATGTCTTATTGTAAATAGTGAAGTTTGCGTTGTATTAGGATGTTCAAATAATTCTGTGCTCTTTAACTTTAAAAATTAGCTTTGAGAGGAGCACATAACTATTTGAAAAATCTTATAATTGTAAAATTTTAATAAAATTGGTTATGATTTGCCTTATGGGCAAGTATAATTTAATATTTATGTTTATAGAGGCTTTTTTGTGTTTTTTGGTGCTTATATGCCCTTTACATACCTATTCATTAAGTGTGGTAATTGGAGATTACCGACTTAATTTTTAATAGTATTCTAGTACTATATTTATAATTGTACTAATATTACTTTTATCTATTTACTGTTTACAGAAAAAAGCTGTAACGCTAGAAAAACCTTTTGTAACAGAGGTTCCTGATCCCCCCCCCCCCTTTTTTTCAAAATTTTTAGGATTGTCCCCCACTACCCTAATTTTCAATTGCCTGTCCTACCTGTCCCCAACTACAAATACCAACTGTAAAACATGATGAAATGTACAAGGCTAGTTACACAGCCTAACAATAAAGACATATTTGGTGTCAAATGATTATTTTTTATCACGGTTTTGCAATTAATCATACGCTTGGCAGTATACAACATGTCTTTAATAAGGCTTTTTTGTAGCGACAAAAATATTTTTCACGCCTTTACACTTTTTTTTTATAAAGAACAGTGTTTTCTAGCTGTGTTTGTAAATAATTTTGTTAGAGATTTAAATTTTAAAAAACGAAATTATTATTTAAAATTTAAAAAAACGAAATTAAAATGGATTGCCATTTTCAGGCTTACTAGTTAATATCATTTTTATAGTGTCGTTTTTTGAACGGTAATAATATTTAAATTGTGGAAAGACATTATTTGCCTTTTGTAATATTTTATTTTATAATTGCACTTTGGTTGCAACACTATGCCAAAACCCCGCCAAATTCAAACCGACTTTATTCAAATCGTAATTTTTGGTAAAATATTTAAAAATTGTGAGATTTTACTTTTTAAAACAGTTCAATTCACTTGTTACTTCATTTATAATGTATTATTTTTCCAGGTTTTATCTTCAAAGTTATTTACACTTTTACATTATCTTGCCTTCCATTACCTACTTCTCAGTATCCCGCCACGAAAACTTTGTTTCTTCAAAATATTAATTTTGAACAAAATATTTCGAAAATTTTTACGAAAAGAACAAATTCCAGAATTTTATACAGATTTCGGCCAACCACAACCGCGAAGGACGCTCCAAATATTTAAATTAAAATTTGAAGATTTTTTGAGAAAAAGCGATTTCACTCGGTTCGAACGAGCCCATCATTCGACGTGTTTGATTCCATCCTCTTCTAATGGTTAAGAAGACTAAGAACATAAGACAACGTTTGAGCACAAGCGACGATGTTAAACTAGACGAGGTGCCCATATCTGGGCAACAGGCGGGCACCTGTCCTGTTCCTATGATAACTTGTTGTAAAAAAGGTAAGGTTTTGCTTGTTGTGTTCTCTGTTTTAGGTTGATGATTGACTGGGAAGTTTTGATGTAAAAAGCTTCTCTAGGCTTTGAGCTATGTTACTTTTTATCAAAATTTTACATTCTTTGTTAAAAGAAGTTATTTTTCTACAGAAAAGAGCATAGTTAAGATCAGATTGTTTACGAATATATAAAATAGCTAAAACAATATTTTAGTCTATCGTTTTTACTTGGTTTTTTTAATAAAAAAGACGGAAATTTTGTCGTGTATCTTAATTTTTTATTAGCAACACGTCAGCTTAAAAACGAAAATTAAGAAGACATTTGATCAGTTTTCTCATGGGTAGGATAATGTAATTTATTGTTTTAAAAATAATTAAACGTATTGTTTTTCGTAGAGTTTGATTTTCTTTAATTTTTTCGAAAGGTATTTTATAGATTTAAGATTTTATTATTTATCATTTTATAGTTTTAGTTTTATAAATTGAGGTTTTGAGTGAAAACTGTCTGTTAGGAAGTATATCAATATATTATACTGTGATGTTTAAAAGGTAGTTGCTGTTTTTTTTGCAAAAAATTTATTGTTTTTACTTTTTTTAATAAAAATGGGTGTTTAAAATAATAATTGAACAGTTATATTATTTATTTGGTCAAATATATCAATCTTTTCATCTTGGTTCTTTTAGGTACACCGATAACAGAAGAAAATGGCGTTAAAATGTTTTGCTCGAGCAAAGACTGTACGATATTAAATATTTTACATAAAGAATGCTTTGAAGAGTTAGAATGTGGCCTTATAAAGATGTTGCAAAATAAAGGTTCGTCGGTTTCGATAATAATATTGTTCGTGTTTAGGTTCGGCAAGGAGGTGGACGGAAGACCAACGAATGAGTAACTTATGGACTAAAAAGGGCATGAATATACTGGCCAGGTTTCTTAGGTGTAAATGCTCGAAAGGTATATTAGATAAACGAGAGGATTTTAGAATGGTGAGTTATATTGTTTTAGGTTTGATGGGCTTGTTTATTTTATTGTAAATGGTTTAAATGTTCAAGGCGAGGGCTTTTGCTTGTGGTAGGTATGATAGCTTTAACTTTATGTGTTTTTTAATTTATTTTACGTTGATTTTCATGATTTCAGCCCGACAAACCTATAATTGTTGACGTATTTCCTAAAACAGAGCATAATCATACGATAAAGAAGAAACGAGAACTACCTACACTAAATACGAGTACGAAACCGCCTGGATTACTGAAAAGTGGACTACTGTAAGTTTTTTTTTCAGCATTTTTACTATGTTTTTGGTTTTTGTGTTTTGGCTGTTTCATGGTGCAATAAAATATTCAAGAATTTGCACCGTGCAAACCGTTTTCTGTAACTTTTTATTGATCTTTATTTCTGATATTGTTTTAGAGCTAAAAAGTTGGGTAAATTTAATCCACACTTTATGGAAACGCATAGTGACGATGAGGAAGATAGCATACCTAAAGTAAGTAGGCTTGTCTACGTTCGAAGAGGTATTATGTCTGTTTTTTAAACCGAAAACCAAACGATGTTTAACGTTTTTTTGCGTATTTGTCAGTAAATTATTTTTTTTTATAAATTTAAGTATAGAATCAGCTGTAACGCCTTGAGTTGGCATTCATGATGTATATAAAGGTCCCTCTTTATTATTTTACATTTCAGTTCCACACATCTGATAACATGTCTCCAAGAGCCAAACTAAAGTCATCACCAGCCAAAGAAGATACGAAACTGAATTACGCGACAAAAGTAAAACCTGAACCGACAAAACCCGTACCTCCGTCGACTGAATGGCCCGCACTGGATGGCACGTCTGACAAAACAGCCTCACTGAATGTTATACTACCCAAACCCAAAAAGACCTTCTCAGAAGTCACTCAGCAGTTCAAGCCTAAGGTCGTGAAGAAGCCGGTCGAAGTGAATGTGTACAAGGTCTTAAGCAGAAAAGACATTGAAGTTCGAAGGCTTCCAGGCTTCAGGAAGCCGGCTGAGCCAAGCGAAAGTGAACACAGTGTGTCGAGCAGGGCAGAGAACAAGGAGAACATGACCACCACTTATGCTGAGAGTGAATGTAGTGCCTTTGATAAGATGTCAGTGGTTAGTGATCAGGATACTAAGGTTGGTTTAAGCTTTATTGTAGGTTTTGATGGGGATTTTTATATTATTTTGGGATGTGTTCGGTTTTTTGCTTCTAAATTGATTATCTTTGCTTTCTAAATCTTTTAAAATTGTATTAGATACTACAATCTTTAAAATCTTTTATAAGAATTTGATTCAGGGTAAATCACAATCAGAATTCTACCAAACCGGGCCAATACCAGGCCTAGCACGCGATTTAATATCAGCATCGCCCGATCCATCTCGCTTCACACCCTCGGTCTTGTCTCAATCATCTCGACTGCCAGCTTCTCCATCCTACTCTGATGTGTCATACACAACATTTGAAAGCGACGAGAACAAAGCACCGGCCGATTCGATCTCAGACGCACTCAAATCTATCAGCATTCGATCCGTACTGACACAAGGGTTCCTCGACATGAATAAGATCAACTTTGGGCCCATCTACAGGAGCAACGAGACCTTTATCCAGTCACTGCTTGAGGACACGGACGAGTTCTTTCATCCACAGACCTTTGTCGACGATAAGAAAGTCAAGTCGAGTATATGGCCGGCTCACCTACGGTCCATGTAGTATTTAAGATAAACCGGTTTTACGAAATGTAAATTTTTACTGATTAAGAGCGGTTTTGGAGTTTGTTTGAGATGTTTTTGGATGTGTAAATTTATATTTTTGGCTATGTTAAGAAAGTATGAAATATAGTTCTTCTAATTTGAAAGACTTTGATTTTAAGGTAGGGCACGTTAAACTGAGCGGTGAAGTCGATTTTCATTGAAAAACACTGAAATTGACTTCTGTATTATCTCAGTTTGACGTACATAGTGTTTTTCAGGCTTCTACAAGCACGTAAAACCGTATTTTAGGTCCATATCGCAAATGCAAATGCTTAGAAAATGTAAATTTTATGTATTTTCCTTGATATTTCTTCTATTTTTGTTTGTTTGTACGGTTCTTTTTTATCATTTCGTAGCCTTTGGACTTCTATATTTTCTCCAGATCTCTTATATTTATTTTCGGCCCAAGAAGGTGTTTATAATATATTTAGCTCAAATGTTACACACGTGTCATTGTTCTGAAATAAAAATACTTGTTTATGGTAAGGTGGTTTTCGAAGGTTAATTACTAACAAACTACAGTAAATTGAAGGTTAAAGTACTTTAGAAAGGGTTTTATGAATGAAAATGGTACAGTAATATATGTTTTTAAGATGTAGCTTGGTCAAAAAGTACATAGAAGTTTAAAAATATCAGGATTTCTGAGAAAAAATTGAAAGCACAGCTTGACAGACGGTTTACCGGTGATTCAAACCAGTTTTCACCTTATTAATCAACAGTTTATAAACAATAATCTTTTGTTTTCATTGAAATATTTCCAAAAGTTTGACTTTCATTATTTCAAAATAAAAAATTTGTCAAAAAAGCATACGGTAAGCGCAAACATATCGTCGTATACGACAGGTTTAGCTATGACACGATAAGAGTTAATGACAATTTGAAAATCATGGAACCTTGACTTTTAAAAGTCATCGCTTATCAAACTCTTCTCATCGGGAATGTCGAAACTGGGTGGTTATCTCACAAACTTTCTCCGTACACGATCTTTAAAGAGCATTCTCCGACTTTAAACAACGTTGCAATGTGAGGGGAGACATTCTTTGATTATAGATTATAGTTTTACCTACTAAAATCTAAAATGATTAAAAAAAAAGACGGTACCTTGTAGTTACTGTAGTTTTACCGTAACCCATATTTTAAGCTTTGATTTCACTTTTTTGCACGAACTTTAAGCATATCGAGCTTGTAAAAAGTGAAAACGTTTTCATCTTGTATAGATAAACAGTGCTTATCGTTTAGCATCAAAAAATCGACCGGTCGAAAAAAATGTTGGCTTGATTTTTAAAAAAACCTGTACAAACCTAACTTAACATTGCGTGTTCTAACTTTAACTTTACTCGTTTATTACTCGCGTTTTACCCTTCCCATTACTCGTTTATTACCACCACTACTAAATTAATCACTTTGCATTTGCACTTTTGATTGTCTGAACCCGTAATCAGTGTGTGTGTTTTTGCGATCTTTGCAGCAGACGGAGATCCGTGGTGGTCTCTGCGAACCTTCCCGTCTTTCATAGTCTCTCCACTTAAATATAAGAAGGACGCCACTTTCTTGTTATCACTACCAAGGGAAGACATTGCGCCGCCGAAGAAGGATCGGTCGACTCGACTCGACGTAAAACATTATTATTGATCTCAGAGTGGTGCAAATTGCCTGAATTTGGGGTGGAAGAGGCTGTAATTGATAGAATATCTAGTTAAATTAGGGCTGGATGCCAAGTGAGACTTGTGTTTGGTCAATTGAAGTGCGATTCGACGGTGAGCTGTGATTTCAAGTGAAAATATTCGGATTTGGAAGGGTTTCGAGGTATTTTTCTACTGTTTTGTTACCTAAAATTGAGGAAAAAGGTTGATTTTAACACCTTGATGGAAAGCTGATTCTACTGATTGTAATTTTACCATTGCACCACCATCAAAAAGTAAGTTTTTTTAGCTATAAGACCATCCATTTATCCTAAAAATCTTTTTTTCATCTAACGACCTTTCCAGATCTACTACAATATAACTAAAGCTTGCTTCAAAAGCTAAATTCATTGCTACTGTAACAAAACCTACTTCACCATGCCTTTAATAAACATATCGTGCCATTTGACTGATCCATCTGGCGCTACACGTCGATACACGGTGAAGATTGAGGAAAGCTCGACGGTTCAACAACTTGTAGATCGGATTCAGAGCCGTTTCCAGCAGCCTTTAACCCGTATTCAAAGAAACGACAGAGTTAATAATGAACCTGCTCACATTCTGTTCTTCGACGAACCTGTGGAGGCTGTAGATGAATTCTTCTTTGGATTTGAACAGGTTGAGGTAAGAGTTTTTATTTTTTTTTCTTTTTTAGAAGCTTAGAAGATGGTATTGTAGTGTACGGTTGAAAAGAAGGGTTAGGTTTGTAGGTTTGAGAATATAAGTCTGCAGGCTTTATTTGGAGGCTTATAAGCTCTGGTTTATAGGCTTAAATTATGTTGTAGTAGACGATTTTTTGATTTTAGCCTTAAACATGTCTTAAATTTTTACTTATTGACTCTAAAGTAATTATGAGGCTTTTTTAAACAACAACATCATATCATCTTATAAATCTTCAACTTCCAACCACCATTTCAGGCCAGGCTATTCAACCGCCCCAGTCCAACCACCTCCACCCCTCCGCAGCAATGTCAACCAGTCGAGAGCACCTATTGTGAGAAGAAGTCTCCAATAATGCCAGTTTTACTCGAAGAACCTCAATCAAACTACAGTAACCCATACTCAGAATCATCCTCTACAACTCCACAACACACTACTCCAGCCCACTCGACTCCATCACATTCTACACCACAGTACACGGCTCCTAATGTCATATCGTCATCAGATTGTTATGTAGAGACCTCCAATCATATGACGAATGCTTTGGCTTCTATGACGGTGGAGAAGGTTCTTGAAGGCTGTAAGAAGGCAGAAGTTGTGTTTGAGAAGTTGAAACGAGCAGAAACAATACTGCCAGCGGAGAGACAGTTGTTGGTCAGAACTGCTGGAAGGTGGCTCATGGATTGTTGTGCTATGTAAGTTGGGTTAGTAGGAACTATCATTAATATGAGGCTTCTAAAGACTAAATTTTTTATTGGTTATAATATTTTTTTCTTTTTTTAATGAGGTGGAAACTTTAGGCATGTAAAGGGGTCGGACCTTGATTTGGGCCCCTGTTTTTGTGCCACCTTTCAGGGCTAGGGTGGGAAAAAGGTACGGAAGAAAATTTTCGGTTTTTTTTAAATTTACAAGGGGAGCACGGTAAAAGTTTTTCATTTTTTTGGGTAGAGAAAGGATTTTCGAACGGACCGTCAGGCCCTGCCTAACAAAATGCAAATTTAAAAAAATCTGAATTTTTGAAAAAAAACGGACAGTTTTAAATTTTTAGTAGAATGAAGCCAACCTCAGCTGAACGAGCCTACTTTGCCAAACATTTTTTTGGTAAATTACCAAATTTTCAATACGAAGTAGTAAGTTTTTTTCAAATTTAAATTTTAAATTTTAAAAATTTTACTGTTATTTACAGAGCCAAAATTTAAGCTGTAACATTATTTTACTAAATTCCAGAAAGACTTCCATAACAGTCAAAGTCGTGGTTTTTTGGACGTTTTCATTTACAATGAGAGGGATCGAAAGAGTCGAGCTGGTGAACTAAATCGACCATTTATTCCGACCGACGCTTTGGTCAAAACGCTAAAGAGAAAGTTCAGTAAAGTCAGCGATGGAAGTGGCAACAGATTTGATGAACTCAATGTGTAAGTTGATGTTATTAAATTATATTATTTCATTTGGTAAGTTAGGCTCTAGTAGGATCAGATTTATAGTATCGTACGGTAGAGTAGGGTAGGATAAGTTAGGGTAAAATAGGATAAGTTAGGGTAGGACGAACGTCAGTAGGACATTTTTATGGTAAGGATAGGATAGGGTGAGAGGAATACGGTTGAATAAGGAAAGTCAGGATTATAGCAGAGCTCAAGTAGATGGTATAGTACAGTAGGGTTGGGTATACCGAAAAAAAACTTTAAAAAATGTAAAATTTGCACGAGCATGGTAACGTACGTGTTGCAAAAACAATTTTTTTTACTACAAAAGGTTTTAGCCGTCGTTTTGATTGACCATGTTGTGATTATTTATATAATGATTCCTTACATTTTCCATAATTTTGAGTAATTAATCACTTTTACTGACAAGAGGGTTAGTTTTTTGTATGTAAAGGTATTTTGAAACAAACAAAAAAACTTGTGAAAGTAAAAGAATAAAGTACAAAGTAAAACGTATAGTAAAGAAGAAAAGATTAATTACTGATAACGTTTGTCACATCAAACTCTTATCAATTTTAGTGACTGTTGGTCTCTTCTCTATAATAAAATCAAAAAAAAAGTTTTTTTGTACTATAGTGTATCAGTCTATTTTTTATATTACAGTACGAGACGAGAGGGGTGATATTGGGAAGAAAGGAGGGGGAAGGCCAAAAAAATATTTTATAAAAGTTCTTTCCTTTACTTTATTTATTTTTCTATTTAACTATACAGCACAATACTATTAGAGCACGTCTTCTTATAATATGATATCACTTTGATCCTTTAATAAGATTATGATGACAAAACATCTTTGACCTTTTAATGTTATGATAACAGTACATCAGTTCATAAAAAACTTGTTTTTCATCACTATTTCATGTGAACAATTACTGTTTACAAAGTTTATGCACTTTGATTGAGCTGATCTTTTAATTTGATTTTAATAGTCGATCATCCATTACTGTAACATTTTATAAAGAGGTTATTAATCAAGATGAGTATGAGTCAAGAGGTCTATACGGAACAGTACATGCAATGTAATAACTGATAATACGATACTTTAAAGAATATTATGTTAACATAAACTTTTCAGAGGTCCATTTCCCAACGAGTTATCAGTACCGCCAGAAGAGGTCAACCAGCTGACATACCTTGAAGAAGATCTCGTTGCAGTATGTTTTTTGCTTATAAATCTTAATATAGTAATAATGCCACCCTTATGCCAAATAATCTGGTGACAACATCTTTACAAAGTATTAAGTTATTCAAATAATTCAGTGTCCCCTAGCCCTAAAAATTTGCTTTAAGATGAGGCGCAGGATTATGTGAACAACCTAATGTCAGGTTGTCCGAATATGGATGAGCCATTGAACGCGCCAAACTTTGAACATTTTGGCTCATCCATAATCGGACAACCTGATAGGAAGCCATAAAATCCAAAAAAACGGAAAAATTTTGAATAGAAACTTGAGTATTTCAGTTTGAAAACCGCTTTGTTGAAGTCATAATTAGAGACTATCCTAACTTCTCATTGACCGAACGTTTGGCAGACCGATGGCAATATGACATAGCACCAAAGATTGTGAAGTACGTCAAGAAAATCAACTTTGAATTCTACAACAAGGCATCAGAAGGCATTGCGGTCAAAGAAGAACAACATGGACTAATAGCTTTGAAGTTGGTACCTTTTTTGGTTAGAAGAGTTTACAAGGACCATAGTAAATTGAGCTATGTCATTTTTAATGTCAAGGTAAGTTTTGGGATTTAAAAATTTTGAGTTGATCTTGTCTTTCCCTACCATACTCTATTTTACCTTATCCTAATCTACCTTACCATACCGTCCCTTCGTCCTACCCTATTTAATTCCGTAGACCTACTCTAACTTATGCCTTGGATTGCCATTACATATACTAAAAATGTCATTTAGGAGCTCGACGTTACGGTAATGCTTCGCTCAATGAGAGAAAGGCAAGATGCAGGACCAGTCATCTTTACCGACAATATCGAGTATCGTATCGTGGTGATGGACAAGATGATACGATGTGAACAATCAGCCGCATTAGCGTTGGAAAAACTACTCAAATCATACTACGTCTACTCATTGCCATTGAATTCGATGAGAAAAACATTATTTTTGTTTATCTTGACATTCTTCAACATCTCCCCCAAGGCTACAAGTGCATTTAAAGAGACAGTCAAGTGTATCATGACTACTACATGAACAATACGCCTACTACATAAGGAGTTCTATCAGATTTATGATTATTTATCGTGCCTTGTTGAAAACGGCTACTATATCTAGAGATTTCAGTCGATAGCGATATTATAGTAGGTAGATTTGTAGGAAAACATCACTTTTACAATTCAAAAATTCATGTTAATCTTTTGAAATATATTCTTATGACATACGACTTTACACTTTCATGGCAAGAACATACCACAGTACAATTGCTACAATCCTCACAAATTCTAAACGGGTCTTCTTGACCAAACAATGGTTACATTGGTTAACATAACATATGTTTGACATTCAAATCCTTATTGTTTTTTTTTTCTTGTTGAGTTGTTCTAAATAAAGTTTATAAAAATTTAAAACCTACAAAAATTTATTGTGCAATTTGATACCTAAAACAATATTCAAATTTAAAAAATGATAAAATTGTTATTTTTGATGAGTATATTTTTAATGATAATAGAGGTAAAGGATTTGATAATTTTGCAAGCTTTTTTATATACCACGCTTATTTTAATACCATAAATTTGTTTTTTAATTTTCATTTTGTAACATTTAATAATTATGTAAATTTCTCACAGAAACGAAATATAAAAAATGTGGTTACTCTTACTTTCATTCTTGGTCACAACAGGTGGTTCGCCAAAACTGCGCTTGAATTACAAGGGAAATGGCTGAAGAACTGAACGATAAACTGCCCCAGGCAGGCGAAGTCCTGCGTACTCGTCGGAATGAGTACGAGGTGGGTTTTTCAGTACTGTTTTTGAGCTTCTTAGTTTTTAGTACTAATTTGGTTCCTCTAGTGCTACTTTCAAAACGACAGTGCCATTCCAGCTTTTATGGTTCTATTTTAGTTTTAAATTAAAGTACTAATATTCATTTTACAGTACTAATTCATCCATGCCACCGTTTCTTTTGTCCAAACACTACCACTTTTCAGATAATTAAGCTCCTGGGCAAAGGCGGATTCGGCGCAGTTTACGAAGTTAAGAACAAGGCTGATACTGAACTGTACGCCGTCAAATGCGAAACAGCAGATGTTAAGAAACAAGTTTTGTCGATGGATTGCCGCGTGCTGAGAGGAGCTTTCATGATCAAATCACCCCACTTTTGTACGATTATCGACCGTGGTAAAGTCGATAATCGATTTCGGTATTTGGTCATGAAATTGGTAGGTTTTTAATAATTTTTGACAAGGGGGAGACAATACAAAAAAATTCTAAAGCTTGAACTTTTGAAAAAAATTTTTATTTACTCACATCAGTCCAAAACGCCAAATTGGCCACACTCACTAGCATACTATAATATCAACCTTCTAGGTCGGTCGAAACCTATGGGAGCTGAGAATCGAGCGAGATAGAGCACGTTTCACCCTAAACACAGCCTTGAAGTCGGCGGAACAATGTCTGATGTCGATCGAAGATCTTCATCGTATTGGGTATCTTCACCGTGACATCAAGCCCGGTAACTTTGCCATCGGGCGGCCGGAAAGCAATGAGCAGCAGATCGTGTTCATGCTTGACTTTGGACTGTGCCGCAAGTTTATTGGGTAAGTTTTAGCGAGTTTAGACATGAAATTTGATGTGTTTGTTGTAAATATTGGTTTTTTACCCAACTGTTTTACACAAATTAACATTTTAAAAACAGTTTAATGTTACTTAACCACCCCTTATCAAACCCCCACTGTTTATTGCCAAACGTTCAGTGATGCCGACTCGAAAGACCTCCGAATGCCAAGAGCATCAGCTCCTTTCCGTGGTACCACTCGTTATGCTCCAATGGCTGCCCTCAAACAAATGGAACAGTCTCGAAAAGATGACATTGAAGCCTGGCTATACATGGTTGTGGAATGGACGGCAGGGCAATTACCGTGGAGAAAGCTAAAAGGACCAGAAAAGGAAGAAGTTCTCCGCTGGAAAGAAGCTGTTCGCGCCGGCGATGCCTTAGAAGACTTTCTCACCGACTGTCCCAAGAGACAGTTTTTGGCCATCATGCAGTATCTGGATTCATTGGTCTATCAAAGTATTCCTGACTATAGTTACGTCTATTACTGTCTCCAACATGCGGCCAAGGTAAGCTGACTTCATTATTTGATCCCGCATCCTTCGTATTTTTGTTTTAAAAAATAAAACAAAAAAAAACGCAAGAATTGACAGATTTAACGTAAAAGTGCATTAAAAACACAAAAATTCCTTGTTTTAACCACAAAAAGTTCCATTCTTCAGCTTAAAATCATGGATGATATAAATTTGGTCAAAGAAAAGCATTTTCAGGCTAACAACATCAAACCCAACGAACCTCTGGACTGGGACCCGGAACACAAGTACCATGGCCCCTCAGTGCAAGACCGCGACAAGAGAATCGACCTCAAGGTTGGGAAAGAGAATGAGCACGAGGAAGAGGAAGGTGGCCACATGTCCAAAAGATAACCTACTAAAGGGGGTTGATCTTTTTGATCAAATAAAGGTTCCAAGCGCTTGATACCGATTTTATATTTGTCAGGTACCTAAAATCAAAAATACAAAAGACTTACTAAAATATTCGACTTGTCTATTTTAATCTGGAAATCACTTTGTCGTTGAATAGTGAACGATTTTCCACTCCAGTTCTAAATAGTATTGTATCTTTATAACATTTAAACTATTGCTAAAAATGGCGCTAGGACAAATGCGGTTTTTGGACAATTGCGGATCTTCGGTTTTTGGACACTTGCGGATTTTTTTAAGGGTTTTTTAAATTTTTTAGTTTATTTGTAGTATGGTACTAAATAGTACTAAAGTTTAAATTGGTGCTGTTTTAACATAACAATACCATTTTTGACTTTTAGTACCATTTAGTACCAAAAATATAAAAACCGTAACAATTTAAAATTTAGTGCTATTTAGCACCAAAAATGCGCCCTAAAAATAGTAAGAAAACGTAAAAAACAATGGATAAATATCCAAATTTCATATGAAACATAAAACGGCAAAGATAAACCAAAAACTTACGAGTAAAATACCGAATTCGTGGCTGAATCAGCTGTTCCCGTTCTTCAACTTGTCCTGGTCAATTAATTGGCCTTGTTTGTCCACAAAAACATTGAAAAGGTAAGAATATAACACATAATGTTGATCACCTCCAATTTAAAGTACACTGATAACATACTTGAATATTTATTAAAAAAAACAAAAATTTGTCGGAAACTTGGCCGATGACGACTTTTCTGGACAGTTTCTAAACGTAATGACGGATTTTTTCGAAAAATTGTTGCGGATTTTCGTAAGATGTTTTCTGAATTTTTAAATATCTGTAGCTGCCAGTTGTAAGTTGTTCAAGTTCTGTATTATCATAGACTTTGTGGGAGGGTTATTTTTGTAAAAAATTTTGCTAAAATTAATTGACCTTGCTTTTAAAAAACGCTGATCTTTAACATTACCGGAATTCTAGGTCAGAAAGTTAAAAATAAAAAGTGCATTTGCATTATTTTTTGTAAAATTTTTAAGTTTTGTAGTTACGATGACTGTCATAGTATCTTACATTATTGTAACTTTAAGTTTAAGTCGTTGCTTTTTTGAACTTTTGACTTCAAGTATCATAAACAATAAGCTTTTTAAAGGTTAAAATAAACCTTGTTGACAAGGTTTTGTTGACATGTAACTATTATAAAATCATATGTTTAACCCTTTGATACCTAAAGTAAGCATTAATGATTACTGTGTGGTCTTGAGTATTGGTGATTACTGTGCAATAGTAATACACTACTTTTTAGAAGTTTACATGTTATGAAATCAAAGATCCACGATATTTTCATTTGATAACATTCGTCTTGTCGCCGATCAACGACCAACTTTTTACATGGCGGGTCTGGGCTCGGTTTACTTTCGGTTTATCGAGGACGAAAAGTTGTTTTTGTCGAAAACAGAATGTTCACACTCAAAGAACGGGGTATCGCATACACAATGACTTATTAGCCAGTCAACGTTAAGGTATAGTAAATACAACGGTCAAAGTTTAGGTGTGGTATGGTAAAACATAAAGACAAACATAGGCGTGTTAAAAAGACAGAGTTGAACACAGGGCATTGACAACATTTTGTGCCTTGCTATGCCCTGCCAGAATACCCTGCCTTGAATTATTATATAACCGACCAAAAATGCTCAATGCCCTGCCCTGTTATATGTCGAACTTTGTAAAAAAAAGGTACAGTAAAAGTAAAATTGTGTTTCTTATAACACAAAAAGTAAATCATCAAAAACACAATTATAGTAGACCTGTAAAGCGGCTGGGCCGGGCTTTTTCATGTATATATTATAGTGAAATCGCCAGCCTCGAGTACCGTATTGTGATGCATTCTTTGATCTAAAAACCGAGAAAAGTCCTGCTTATCATGCTGAATACCAGCAAGTTTTAAAAGTAGTGGACTTTACTGTATATGATACAAAATAGTACTGAATGTCATTTTTAAGGTTTACTTTAATTTTTTATTTTTTGTTTTATCAACAAGCATTGAGGGTATAGGTAGTTATAGTATGTAGACTTTGTATTAAAAAACTTATTTTTCAAAAAATTACTTTTGAAATTTGCACTTGATTTACACGCCATCAAAGAACATTTTAAGTTTAGACGAATACACTTGTTACTTGAAAACAACTTTAACTGCTTCGTATCTATTTAAAAACAATGGTTGAACTAGAAACCAAAAATTGTTTTTTCATTATTTTACTCTTAACAATGATGTTATCATTGACACCTTTCTCATATTATCATTGACACCAAAGTATAGCGCCGGAAACGAGTTCTGCTATTTTTAGCCAGTTCAGTCGAGAATTGCGGTCGGTTTAAAAATAGAACCCCCGCGAAATCTAATTTGTCATACGGCTACAAGGCATACCTAACATAGTAGTTGGAATACTATGAGTGGGTTACAGAGTAGTAGGAATTTCATGTGTTAGATGATGATAGTCATAACATTAGAGGTTACAGAGTGATAGTAATATTATCAGAGCATGACTTAATAGTCGGAGTATCACGTAAAGTCAATTATAGTTGTAGTTAAATGGTAGTTGTTGTAATAGTATTTTGCGTAAAATTTTTGTTTGAATTGAAAATGTACTTTGGTGTTAATGAAAGGCATTTTTATCGTGAATAAGTTGCTACAGAACATACTGTAGAATCATAGCACTACAGGTAGTACCCTACCCATCTCGATTCTACTCTATCCTACCTTAACATACCGTACCATACCTTACCATACTTTGCCATACTTTAACATACCGTACCATACCTTACCATACCTTACCATACCGTACCATACTTTACCATACCTTACTATACCTTACCATACCTTACCATACCTTTACCTTACCATAAATTACTATGCTTTAACATATCTTACCATATTTTACATTCCTACTGTATTTTCCCAAACTCATAAATTTTTCTCAAAGTTTCTCGAAGTTACCGTAACCGTTTTTTGTAAATATTTTCTAAAAAGCTATCGTTTAAGAGGACGGTGATCTTTAGCGTTGAGATTTGTTTGTTTTACGACATTTGGAGATAAAGCCCCCTTTGATTGAAGAGGAGTGTACTTTGGACTGGACCGTGAAAGTCATGTGATCCTTTTATATGTACGCGCTTACTTATGCGCCAATTAAGGTTTATCGCGTAAAAGACAAGATCTTTTGGGTATAAGACAATATGGTTTGAGTTATTATGTTTGGGTATGAGAAGACAAGGCTTTGGTATAAGATGACATAGGTCAAGTCTTTTAAATATAAGATATTGAGAAGCGAAGGTAAATGGGTTTGAATGTAAAATACGTTACAAAGATGCATCAACCAATTAAAAAATATTATTATAGAAGGTTCAAGAAACTTTACATTACTGTAACATAGAGCGTGGTAAACTTTTAAGAAATGCAGTTACTACTCTTAAAATGGTACGACGTATACATGAAATACAGAACATAACCAGTGTTTTCTGTAACGGACTTTACTGTAATTTAAAATTGTGTAATTTTCTTAATTTTTGAAAAAATTAATTTTCAAAATTTAATATAAGTCTGTCTTCATGTTTACTCTCTGAATGTTCATCTTTTCGATGTTCGAATCATTTCTCTCACTTATCACTTATCAAACGTTCGGAATCTTGTTATTATAAGCATTTTGTTACAATAACAGCTTTCAAGTCTTGACTGTCCAAACGGTTCTTTAAAATTGGTCTTCAGAACATTCGTAAACAAGATGTTTGTTTATGTCTCTGTTTAACGAGTTTAAAGTTGATGTACTTGGAAACAAAACAACAATATTATAGGGGAAAGGTTCTCGAAGGTATAGTAATGAATATATTTAGATAGGGGAGGGTCTACTTTGGCCGTCTAAGAAAGGAGAAAAGTACGGTAATTATGATGCAAAATACCTTACACTAATTTGCTTTTCTCTATCTTATTCTATCCTACGATACTCCTACCTTACCCTACCGTACCCCCAACGTTACTCTACTTTACCTTATCTTACGATACCTATGGTGAATCCTTGTCATTAAACCCCTCTCTCTCTTACTGCCCGACTCTGCTAATACAGTCTGAATCAAAAGCTGTAATACAAAATTACAGTAATCCACATTAAATTTTACTTCTCAAGCTACAAACTTTTAAAATATTTTCTAAAAATTGAATTGATAAACTACAGTAGTGTCGAAACAAAGCGCAAGTTAATCACCCGAGCACAGAACAATCGGAAGTTGGCTTCTGGAGCAGAATCTTCAGCTGAAAACCACAGGCGTTTCATTTCAATGATTTTTAAAAAATTCCTCGGTTTTTTTATTGTATTAGTCTGCCACTTTTCACTTTTTTGGCAAGCTGTTTGTACTTTAGATTTTAAAAAAGAACACACAAGTGAACTTTAAAGGTTTTCGGAGACATTCTAATCGGGTTGACGTAGGAAGTTTTGATAGTTTTTTTTTGAAGATTTTGGATTTTTTTTTGTAAATATTGAGTTTGAGTACTGTAGTTGTAGTTTAACAGAGTGAAGCCGCTTTTTAAAATTTAAAAAATTTTGTTATAGTTTTCGCTATGTTATAGTAGGCTTGAATAAAACTTTATTTACTTCAACAATCATATTTTTCTAAAAATTTTTAAAATTTTATGATGTCAAAGTCCAAGAACCCATTTGCCTCTAAATTCAAATCAAATTCATTTTTTATTCACGTGAAATGAAACTTTTAAAAAACCAGGCCGTATCAGACGAATTTATGGCCAAAACACTGTGCTGATCACTGATCACGGCCATTTGTCGCTTTGTGAACAAACAATACGTTATTATACTTTAGCTGTTCACAGAGGACAAAGTATAACATCCGGTGACGTTCCTCGACTAAAAAAAGTTGTTCTACTCTTTGTCATTGATGATACGTGATATTGAAGACATATGGATAACTATGATCACATAACTTTGCTATACTGTCATTTGTATAACTTTGTTATTATCACTTGACTGTACCCTTTGAATGATATATTTTCGTTTGTATGTGATTAAAGTTAAAAAGAAGTCTTGTCGTCAATTTTCACTGATTTCTAGAGATCACAGCGACAAGTCTTTTTTGATGCACTGATATTTAAATTTTTAATGAGTTTTTTATAAAATTAAATTTATTTAATTTACTAGTTACAGTAAAACATGTAGAGAAAACCATAATTTTAAAACAATTTTCAAGAATTTCAAAGAAAAGTATCAACCTTGCAACGTTGCCTTTTACCTTGTGTTTTGCTTTGTGCCATTCGAATTAGGTGGCTTTTGCAAAAAAAAACTATTAAAAGGTAAAACTAAAACTATTTGGCGGTAAAAATAATATCTTTCGTAAGATTACAGTGTTATCAACTTGTCTGGAACTTTGACTGTAAAGCTGTTCAAGTAAATGGAATACGCGTGGTAGCTGTACAAAGGTTACTTGTTGTTTAGAAAGATTACTTTTTTTGTTTAGAAATACTTTTTTTTAAATTACTTTGCAAAAAATACCGTAGAAAATTAACATTTTGTAAAATACGCGCATTGCAATAAAGCATATTAATCTTGTTTACTGTAACAAGAGTTTTCTTTATTGAGCATTTTTAGTTGCAACTGAAGTTTTAATTTTTAAAACAATACTTATTATTACATTACTTTCTTGTACTATATACAGTAGGATGAAACATAATAATCATCACCGTATATCAGTACAGAACCCTTATTGTCAACAAAGCCTTCCTATCAATAAACCTTCCTCTGGTTTCAATGATAACACCAATCCACCTATCCTACTGTACGATTTGTTTCCCTTACCTATCAGATCATTTCCCTCTTATCTCTAGTGTACTTTGATTCGCCTTCCCTCGTGACTCCTCAGAACATAATTAATCTCAAATATAAATGGCAATAAAAGTCTCTCAAACCTAAGAGGCCTTTTCATAAGAATATCATGCTCTCTTCGTAACTGGCATAGGCGAATGATGGCACGTATTAATGATATGACTATGGTTTATGCATCTGTGATTTTGGATTAAAAGGCTTTATGAAGGCTTCAAGATACTTTTAGGCATAATAAGCAAAAAGTCGTGCCTTGGAAAAGCCGGTAAAGATAAAATAAGTTGCTGAAAAAAGACACAAAAAGCATGTTGTAGTACATAGCGGAAAACAAATTTTAAAAGATTTTGTTGAATAAAACGAGAGTATTCTCTATAGGCCGTTTTCTTAAATGAAAACAGTATCAGACCCAGTGAGCATATTGATTATAACAATGTACTATAATATAGAATTGTTTCCTATAACGAGAGTCTACTGTATGTACTTTTTTGTAAACATCATTCTATTATTATTTACCAGATGCTCTTATTAACTATCATCGTTTACATCTTCCTCTCACTCCTTATCACCATTCCCAAACCTTCTCATTACCCACTTTATCCTTTCAAACAGACCCCTTCCCATGCCGCCTTCACGTGAAACCCCTCCTGTTGCTAAATAAAAGTTTGTGCTCTTTAAAGACGATCGGAAAGCCTTTAAAAACGACCGAATTCTCTTTTAAAAAGCGGTTTTCAATAAAACCGTGATAAAAATACTTTTCGTCGTTTTTGAGAGGTTATCAATGATTGCACTTCTTTTAGTCTAATCTAAAAATGGGAGACGGTTTAATGCGAGAGAGTGTAATGTAAGAGAGAGAGTAATATATCAGATGAAGACGATGAATCAAGATAGGGAATAGACATAATGATATTGTGATAGAATATAGTCTTCTGATAGTAAAGAGTAAACTTTTAAAAGTCAATAAAAAAGTAAGATCAGAGTATAATAGCCATCTTGTGACCATAGTATACCGCTCTCATCATATGTAGTAATAGTTACTGTCAATGAAATGAAACATTACCGGAATCAGACTGGAACTGGATTTGTAGTAACCAAGGCTACTTTTGGCTATTCTGATTCATAGAGGAATAAACGGTGATAAAGGGTAAAGTATACTATGATAAAGAAGCTCTTTACTATGATAAAGCAAATCATAGTATACTACAGTAAAATTATTATGTTCAAAAACTAATGAGCTACTGAACAAGATACCACTGTATGGCCAGAACATTATTACAAAGTTAAGGCCCTCTAAATTTTCAACAACACACAATAACCCTCAAAAGACATAAAAACACTATACTGTGCCTCAGACAACACTAAAGAACAAACAAACTGATGACGTCGTTCACGTGAACGCCATTGTTTCAATGCTTACTTATCAAGAAAGACTTTTTAGTCACAACTTTGTCTATGAAAAACCAAAAGTTTACCGTAAAGTGCGTAGAATAAACGTCGTACCGTCTCAAAATAAACCACAATATATCTTCGTCGTTAAACCAAAGTTAAAGTGATATGTAGACGACGCTAAATATAGTAGCCATTGTGGTATAATTTATTACTGTGCCGTTTGATGGAATGATAGCTCGTTATAGGAATGGTGTGGGTGTTGTAATATAATAGTATATTGATAATGTATTAGAGAGTGATTTTAGGTAATAGTTTTGACTAAAAAAGCCTTATTTTAACCTAAAAAAATTATTTTTAAAAGAAACATCCTTTGAAACCCTTTAACAGTGACAAAACTAATAAGACCCAATCTTCGCAAAAATTCATTTTGAAACATGAAATGTATTTTCATGCAAAGAATAACAACTTGTACCTTAACCTCTCTGACTACACGCTCCGTGACCTTACATCCTTCTTATCAATAACTTTTAAAAGTTATTTTTCGCCGCTTTTAAAAATCGCCCAGTGACAGTTCATGACACTGAAAATCAATCAACTGATAACGAACGGATGTTCTACTTTTCGTGATTTTCACAAACTAGACATGCTAGCAAAAGGATAGACATCAGAATCTCTTTTTTTTTGGCTTCTGAAAAATGGAAAGTTGGGTTCTATGGATAATGTGGGAGATATTACAGTACGTGGAAAGGATCGAAGATACTACTGTAAAGATCAAAAAAACTACTTTTAGAAAAAACTAGTTGACAGTAATAAAATTTGATTATATGTTAAACAAGACCAAGATTAAGATAGAGAATGGTTATTTTAACCAAAATATCTTTGTCATATCAACATTCCATACAAAGCTTGATAAAGGTATACCTATAAACCTAAAATCTCAGCAACCTTAAACAACACCATCATTGCCTCTTCAGTACCACTTCAATCTAACTCCAAACGTCAATTCAGTACTACTTCATTCCAACTTCACGTACCAAAAACAAATTTATTACCTAAAGTACGTAGAGTTCGATTCCAAGATCATTAGTTATGGTATTTACGTGTTTGGGTGTCTGTTACCGTCATCTTTGAGATGTTTACATAGAAAGTTGTCTTGTATGTTTATCTTTTAATTATCAAACCCAAAATTTGTTCAAAAACGAGAGTGTTTAAGATCATTAACTATCTGATAATAAAAGGAAAAATAATACTGTGAAGGGAGGGACGACAGAGAAATATCACAAAAACACTAATGATCAAAATGATAACAAATGTAACAGTGAGAAAGTTGAAACCCTTAAAATACGTTCGAGTAAGAAAAATTAGTATTATACAACACTTATGACCATAGTAACTTTTAAGATACTACAAAAGCCAAAAAAGTTGAGGATACGTTAATATTATAATTGAACAGACAACATGTTTTTCGATGTTTTCTTCTAAATTTTATAGTGTCAGCTGTTTTTTATAGTAACCTTTAACATCTCAAAAATATAAACTTGTATGTTTTAGCACAAAAATCATTAAACCTGTAACATAAAATGTCATTTTGCCCAAAATTGATCAAAACTGAACAAAACTGGGCAAACATAACAAAAAAGACAATTCCACGTACTTTTTGACTAAATTTATTTTTTTATAAAGTACAATACCGTTACTAAAAGTTACTAGAACTCCAAGCCCGACTTGCACCAGTTACAGTAAAAACAATCAAAGATGTAACAGTTACTACTATAAAAAGTTGTTGTTGTAACAAAAAATTCCGTACCTTAGTTATTTTCATTGAAACTCAGACACTACAGCGTACGATGATAGTCCACAAACATACGCCCCACTTACGACCAATGATCCACCCGGCTAGAAAACGGCGAAAGAGCACGCGAAACAGAGAGACGGCGGAGCGAGCGGGGCGGGGAACGGGGCGAGCTGGGCGCGAGCCCCGAACCGAAAGGCGGGGAAGAGGAAAAATCTCATCAAATTGCTGGTGGCCCTCCCACTTGTCGCCACGAGTATAAATACGATTCGATTTCGGCATTCAACTCATCAACTCCAACCATTCACACTTTTATCAGTTTCGAAGAGTAAAGCGGATATTCACCATGCCTCCAATCGGATTGTCTATTGCCCAATGCGAACAGATGAAGGCTCGTGTCATCGACGAGTTCGAAACCGAGATCGTCAAGAAGCCGCTGAGCAGATTCGTCGATTCCAATGCTTTCAAGAATATCGTTAAGGACATCGACACATTCATCTTCGATGCTGATGGTAAGTTATCCTTGTTTTTGTTGGTTTTGTTTAGGTTTTTGGGAAGAATTCTTTTGAATTTGAGAGAATAGGTATTAATCTATCTTTTCTTGTAGCCGCTAGAATCTAGATTGTCTTTTAGAATCAGAAATTCTATAAAATTCACTGGTTTTCGATATTATCCACGGTGTTTTTAAAATTTAGCTCAAATCTTTTTGAATATAAGAAAATATTACCTAAATTAGTTTTATATTAAAGAGGAAAAAATGCCCTAACTTTTAACGTAAAATTCAAAGGTTTATCTTTAGTTATAATCTATTTTTTTGACGTTTAGGCCTAACTTTAGGTACCAAATTTTGAAATTTCGAAGATTTCGCAAAAATTTCGAAATTTTGTTTTGTTTTTTGGGCCAAAGTCTAATTCCCCGTAAATATAAAAGGAAATTGTTTATGAAAAGAAGTAAACAAGCCCGTCTGGGAACATAAAAAGATAGCGGGTTCAGAGAACATAACTTGTTTACATTGTAACACTAACTTTAACGATAGACTGATAAGATTAATAGGTTTTTCGGACTGTAACAAAAAAGGTCTGATAACAATATAGCTATAACAACATGATAGTTAGGGGTTCAGCGACCAAAAGATCAGTTTCTGGATAATTATTTTATAGTAGGCATTATTTTAGTATTTAACAATAATTTACTTACTTTTTCAATTTACAGGTGTTCTATGGCTTGGAGAAGAAGCTATTCCTGGTTCCCCATCATTCATCGAATACTTGATCAGACTCAACAAGAGAATCATCATCCTCACCAACAATGCCACCAAGTCCAGAGCCGTCTACGCTAAGAAGTTGGCCAAGCTCGGCTACAACGATGCTGTCAGCAACAAGCACTCCATTGTGAACCCAGCTGCCGTCGTTGCCGACACCCTCCACCGCTCCGGCATCAAAGACAACAACAAGAAGGTCTACCTGATCGGCGGCCAAGGAGTCAAGGATGAACTCACTGAGCTGGACATTGAATACTTTGGTGATGGCCCAGACCCAGTTGAGAACCAGGAATCTGCCCAAGGAGCCGCCTTCTTGTACGACATTGAACTCGAAGAAGACCTGAACCAAGTCGGAGCTGTTGTTGTTGGATACGAAAAGCACTTCAACTATTTGAAGCTCATGAAGGCCGCCAACTACTTGCAAGAGGAGGAATGTCTCTTTGTGGCCACAAACGAGGACGAGACCTGTCCCGGACCAAACCCCAACACAATCATCCCAGACGCCGGACCATTGGTGGCAGCCGTCAAGACAGCCGCTGGTCGCGAGCCACTTGTTGTTGGCAAACCAAACACTCCAGCCTTCGAGTACATCCAACGCCGCTGGAACGTGGACCCCACCCGCACCATGATGATTGGTGACCGCACCAACACCGACGTCAAGTTTGGTCGCGACCACGGTCTTCGCACGATGTTGGTCCTCTCCGGATGCCATCAAGTTGAAGATATCCGTGATAACTTCGACAACGAGCGCATGGACATGGTGCCCGATTTCTACGCCAAGAACCTCGGCTCTCTGGTGCCAAAGAAGCCGGCACAGGCCTACTACTAAACCACAGAACATAATCGTTGGTCTTTCATCATTCCGAAATCTCTAAATATTATCGTACACTACATTTTGGACTAGCTAATGTGTTGTTAGCTTCATTACTCTCGAATATTCATTAACATTTTGTATCTTTGTAATTCATTGTCAGACCCAGTCTGAATTCACGTTGTTATGGTCAAATTATTATTGTTTTCTTTTATAACTTCTTTTTCAAGTAGTTTGACTATTGTATAGTCTTAATTTTGTACTTAAACCTTGCAATACGTGTATATTTTGAACTATTTTGCATTTTTGGCCCAGCCAACTAGTCTAATTTTGTTTATTACTTTAACAATTTAATGAAGGGATCAAATAAATCTCATTACAATATAATTTATCGGACTTTTTTTAGTTTGGAAACTAAAAATTTTAAGTTTTTTATTAAAGTAGCTGTAGTATTACTAAAACATGATTGATATAAAAAGAAAACTAGTTTTAATGATAAATTACTATTGAATAAACTCATGGAAAAAAGTAACTTAACTTACAAGAACATCAAACCATTCGACTTTCGCGCTTATCAAAACGAAATTTTGTCAAACAGATAATTGAGCTGCGCTCGAACTTCGGCGACATTTTATACGAAAAATTAAAACAGAAAATATTTTTACAATTTTTTGTCAGAATTTAAAGACTTTTTGACTTGAATGAAGCTATAAGATGCCATTGTCAACTGGAGATGTGCCCTATCAGAAGAAAGCTGGATTCGGGAGACTTATCAACTCTCTTGGAGGTAGAGCACGCGAAAATAGTATTCCAAAGAGCGCTGGGTACAGTAAGTTGGTTAATATTATGTTGTTTCGCCTTTTTAGATTTAACTTTAACTTTAGAAAAGTTTTTGGGTCGCTTTGACTATTTTACATGTGGTTTTACATTGATTAAAGCCAATTTTTAACTATTTTGTTACCTAATTTTAATAAATCTGCTTGAAACCTCAAAATGTTGTAACACAAAGTAATTTTAAATAATAATGTTACTCTATTGAAGTGTAATATTTTTAGCTCGAAATAGAAACTTTTTCGACACATCTGACAAAGTTGCCAAAGGAACAACCGATCCAACGGATGTGATTCGTCGTGGAGAACAATTCAACCTCCAGAAGAAGATAGATGAACTCAGTGTTATGGTTATTGGAGCTAAGAATGAGAAGAAACCTATGGTGTATGTTTTCGAAGTATTATTTTTTCGAAAAAAATGTGGTTGAGAGTAGAAAGTTCAGTTTTTTGTGGGTAATGCCAATAAATTACGAGAAAAGACAATATAAATCATGTAATTTTTTGTTTTTCAATGAGTTTTAGGTAACTTTTGTTCGTTTTCGACAAATTATAATATTTTTTGATTTTAAATTTTGTTTTCAGAGCCTTTAGAGACATTGTAACAAACGAAAACTTCCTCAAAAACCTCGAGAACACTTACCGTGACGGTCCTACTGTTATTCAAAGTTATGCCATTCCATATATAATTGATGACGATTCCGGAGACATTTTGCTACGTTCTCATACTGGATCAGGGAAGACTGCGGCCTATCTGGTTCCAATCATCATGAACATCATGAAGTTGAAGAAGGAGAAGTCAGAAACTGGTGTCAGGTTTAGTCCATATGCGGTAATTTTAGTTCCGACGAAAGAACTGGCTATTCAGGTGGCTAAAGAAGGTGCTAGGATTGCTAAGGGGACTTCAGTGAAGATATCCTTCTTGATTGGATCGATTTGCTTGTCGGATTGTAGGATTAACATGGAAAAGAACGGGTGTGATATTGTAGTAGGTACTATTGGAAAAGTTCATCAATTTTTTGTTGGGAATGAGAGCTCGTTTGATCAAAAAGAGGTAAGTGAATGTTTATTGAAATGTTGAGAAGAGGTAGGGACATAGTTTTTGTTGGCTAGTAAAATAATTTTAAATTTAATTTTAGCCGTTTCTAAGGCCGGACAACATGAAATATATGGTTTTGGATGAATCTGATCGTTTGTTGGATAATGACGAAGCAGCAAAATTGATTGAAGGTATTAGGAATGTTCTTGTAAGCTTATTTTACATAAGAAATCTTTTAAGAATTTAAAAACTATTATTAAGCTTACATTTGTAATTTTATTAAGTAATTGATAACTGTATGTCTGGCATGTTATTTTTTTTTTGTTTTAGAGCCTAAATTCAACTTATCAAGTGATTATGAACAGTGCTACCTTAAATCTTAACGTGTACGACGAAAGGTTTCTCTTTTTGCCTATGGCTATTACTGTTGGTTCGAATATGCCAGTGGATACTGTAGTTCAACGGTTTGTTAACGTGGTAAGTTTATTATTAATACAAACTGTTTTATGTTATTAGTTAAGTTCTATGTTATATATTATACTTCATATTGAGATTGTTTTAATTTGCGTAATTAACATTTTTCAGTGCGGCCACGTCCCAGCCAACGTTCCTAATGAGCATCGTTTAGTGCAGCCAGGAATGACCTGGAAGTCTCACAAGATTGACTTTTTAATAAAACTGTTCAAAGACTACCGTACACGCTACACTCAATTCCCCAAATGCATTGTTTTTGTGAATACGAAACGGAAATCAGAAGTTGTGGCAGCTCGACTGATCAAAGAAGGCTTCAAAGCTTTGTCCATGAATGGCAATAACTCGTTGATCCAACGCCAGAGTACTGTGAATGCGCTGAAAATGGACAAAGTGGATATTATAGTAGGCACGGACGTAATATCGAGAGGGTTGAACGTCCCTAACGTGGATGTGGTTGTAAATTACGACTTGCCTGTAATGAGAATGGAAGAATATGTTCATAGGATTGGGCGTACTGGACGTATGGGTAACATTGGAAGAGCTATTTCGTTTTACGATCCAATGACGGATTTTATGATGGCTACTATGGTGGAGAAGGTAATTTTCATATCCTCTTGCAGACTGCTGGTTTAAATACCTTACATTGAATTGATGCCTTTCAGATTATGATGAGTACAGATCAACAAGTACCAGAATTTTTGGAACAAACTATTGCTGCTGATTGTGACACGTTCCTAAACCAAGCCATGTACACGGGATTTGAGGGTTATACTGGGTTCTACGTCAAGGAAGACATTCCAGCTTGGGTTCCGATTGCTGACGACGCGGTAGTCGAATTTATTTGATATATATTGTTCAAATAGCGTCATTAAGGTAAAAGGTTGTTAGAAGTTTAAATTATAAAATTATCTAACGTGCTGTACCTGCTGGCAATTTACTTTGAGTAGGACACTTTAAAGATCGAGTTTGTTCCAAGAGGTATTTCCAGCAGTATATTTTGGCTTTGTAAGTTTGTCTAACTTTTAATTTGTAAAACATATTGTTTTAGGTATAGGTTTATACATTTTGTATTGTTCTACGGGTTTTTAATGCTAATGTTGTCTGTGAAAGTTGTATTTTTTAAATTTTATTATTTTATAGTTTACTTTTAAATAAATTCAAATATCGTGCTGAAATTTTATTGAATTTTATGCAATTATGAGTATCAGGTATGGACCAAGCTGGTAAGCTTTACCTTTAGTTAATATTTTTAAAAAACTAAATTTTAAATTTGAAAAAATAAGCTTATAAGCGGGAATACGTTTTTTTTAATATTGTTATTCGATCTTTTTTTTGTTTTTGTACAGTAAGTCTTCCTTCATTGATGCCATGATTAATTTATTACGGAAAACATTATTATAGTACAGTGTACTTTTCTTATTATTATTACTTCATTAAGTTGTCGCTAGTAGTCTGTGTTCTTCTCGTAATTTAGCTAACAATGATGGTGGAAGCCTCAACCGAAGAACCACCGCTGGAGTATTCAGAAGTGGAGACATCGATTCCGGCTATGGTGGTTGGGGCGGTGAAGTCAACGCATCCGCAGTCGCTGGACTGAAACAAGGAGTTTTTATGGTCAGTACAATATTTCGTTTTATTGTTGTGTTCTTTTATTTTTTGATTTTTTTGGGTTAAAGAGAATGGATATTTGGCTCAAATATCTGGCTATGGTAATGGTAAAATAAAAAAGTAAACTCACGAAAGCGTAAGAGACGATGAGTTCGTAGATGGTGCCATAGCTTTGGATCTCCAAACTGAAGATGATTTCTACCGACCATTCTTGGATGATCAGCCATTCGTAGAATTGGGCTACAAAGTATTCTACACGAACTTCCACTCCGGTGTTGGATTCGTAGTAAGTGGTTAGCTTCTCCACGAGTTCCTTGATCTGGGCACGTTCAGAAGTGGATCCGGAAGAGACGTTCTCGTAGCAGGTGGTGAGGGTTTGGATCAGAGCACAGTCAGAAGCGGATCCTCCGACGGCAATGTCAAAGTTGTAGATTTGCCAGTACTAAAAAGAATATAACGGCTATTTATACAAAACAAGCCTAATACAATATAGTACAAAAACTAGAAATCCGATAAGGCTTAAAATAGCAATCATGTCACAAATGCCATATTCATCAACTTACGGTAACAGAGACTTTGTAGAACGAAGCGAACGATCCATATCCTTCGATTTCAATCTGCAAGACCGTCGATTCGTATTGAGAGTATTCAGCGAAGAAGGCTTCGAACTTTTGGTAGACCAACACCAATTGGTAGCTGTAAGAGTAGCTGGTGGATTCCAAAATGACGGTAATTTCTTGAATCAATACTTCGATTCTGGCGCTGAATTCTGCATCAACGGCAGTGCAGTTGCGGAGAGCATCGAACAAAGCACAGTCTTCAGAAGCATCCAATTCAATGATGGTGGAAGTGTATTGGTACTGGATGAAGACAACAACCGTCTGGATGTCGAAAACGTATCCACTCCATTCTTCGATGTAGGTATAGAGAACGAGTTCGCTGATTTCGGAGTAGGTGGTCAAGAAGATTTCCAATTTGGACCAAACAGCCACCAACTTCTCGTCATAAGTCAAGGATTGATCGTAGATGACGGTTACTTGGAGCTCTTCAATGAATTCAATCCAAGCTTCGCGCACGGTGACGTCGGTGATCTCGATGCTGATGTTGTAGAAGTATTGGAAGAGCAAGCAGTAGTCGTCGTAGCCGAAACCTGATCCCGAGCCGGATTCTTGAGATGAGGAGTGATCTTCAATGCCGGAGCTCAAGTCCTCGTCGCTGCCGGAACTCTCACAACTGCAAGTGCATTGACCGTAGGTGGAGCTGGTTACACTGATTTCTGTCGTCGTGGTGAATTCACCAGAGGTGTCGCCTCCAGCCAACAAACATCCACGGTTTTTCTGGCGGTCTTCACAATCTTTGGGGAAAGAACTGCCAGAGTTGCAGTAGTTGCTGGTAGCAGCACCAACCAAGGCTACAAGAAGAACAAAAGACAATTGCATTTTTAGTTACTTCAACTTCGAGGTCGAAGCACTGATCTGGTACTAAACTCTAGTTCGACAATGATTTTATACCCAAAACAAGTGGGTTTAGCTGGACAGATTAGCTGATCGTTTATTTTTTATTGAAACTTTATCAGATTTGCATATATTAACTTCACAAGTCAATCAGAACACGTACGATACTACTGCTAACGTCAGTTTTTAATCCACGGAAAGACTAAACTCTACGTTAGACAGGGTTCATGTGTTCATGTTAATATCAACTCCGCTTTGAAACAAAAAACATTATGTAACTTAATGTGAATATTCATAAAGTCTGGACCACAATATGTCAGATTCTAGTGATGTGTTTGTGCAATCGAGAGATTAAACTTGTTTTTACAGAAGAGTAAAGCTTATAATCAGTTTTTTACAGAATACATTACCTTCTCCGGACAGAGTATATAAGCACGGTATGCTCACCGTTCTACATCCAAGTCTTCGACCGCGAAGCCGAAGACAATCATGCAAAAGTTCACTTTGCTTCTCTTGGCCGCCATTGTCGGAGCTGCTGCTGGCAACTACTGTACTTCTGGCAGCGACTTCAGCGACGACTGCGACAACCGTCAGAACAACCGAGGATGTCTGACTTCTGGAGGTCGTACTCACCCACGATCTTCTGAATCCTCATCTTCATCCTCTTCATCATCTTCTTCTGAATCCGCTGAAGGTACTACTGAAGCTGTCCCTACCACAACTGACTTTATCTTGTCCACTTCTACGCACGGTCAATGCTACTGCAGCTGTGAAGCTTCTGGATCTGACGAGTCTTCTGGCTCCGGATCTTTCGAATCTTCTGGCTCTTCTGAAGCTTCTGGATCATCAGAATCTTCTGGTTCTTCTGAATCCTCCGGCTCTGATGAATCTTCTGGATCTTCTGAAGGCTCAGGCTTCGACTACGATGACTACTGCCTCTTGTTGCAATACTTCTACAACATCAGCATCGAGATCACCGACGTCACGATCCGTGAAGCCTGGATTGAATTCATCGAAGAGATCCAGACCACCATCATCTACGATCAGTCTCTGACCTCTGACGAGAAGTTGGTAGCCATCTGGGCCAAGTTGGAGATCTTCCTCAGCTCCTACTCCGAGATCACCGAGCTCGTTCTCTATACCTACATCGAGGAATGGGACGGCTACATCTTTGACATCCAGACCGTGGTACTGTACATCCAATGGAGCTACACTTCTACCGTCGTCGAGATTGATGCTTCTGGAGACTGCATCTTGTTCGAAGCCCTCCGCAACTGCACCGCCGTCGATGCTGAATTCAGCGCCAGAATCGAGATTCTGATTGAAGAGCTGACCGTCATCTTGGAATCTACCACCTACAGCTACAGCTACCAGATGGTACTTGTCTACGAGAAATTCGTCGCCTTCTTCGCTGAATACAGCCAATACACTACAGTAATCCTGGAGGTCGAGATCGAGGGATACGGTTCCTTCTCTTCCTTCTACGAAGTCGTCTACAACGTGAGTTTATATAATCACAGTAACCATACAATAATCAACACTGTTTTGACCTATATCTGATATTGTTTTAGTACTGGCTCGTCTTCAACTTCGAAGTTGCTGTTGGAGGATCGGCTTCCGAATGTGAACTCATCCAAACCCTCACCACCTGCTACGAGAACGCCTCTTCCGGATCCACTTCTGAACGTGCCCAGATCAAGGAACTCGTGGAGAAGCTGACCACTTACTACGAATCCAACACCGAAGTAGAAGTCCGTGTAGAATACTTTGTAGCCCAATTCTACGAATGGCTGATCATCCAGGAATGGTCGGTTGAAATCATCTTCAGCTTGGAGATCCAAGGCTACGGCACCGTCTACGACCTGATCATCGCTTATGTTTGGGTAGGTTAATATCATAATTTATATTGTTATAGGAATCAGATATACTTTTACTATAATACTGATTTCAGGAACACCACTGTGGATGTATTGACTTTGGAGAATCGACCACCACTGAAGCCCTTGAATCTACCACTGTCGAAGTCGAAACCTCAACTGTCCCAGTAGAAACCACCACCCACGCCACCGGAGACTGCTCAACCGTCCTCGACCTGGTCATCTTCCAGAACAACATCACCGACTTGTCCTGGTCTATCGACCAAGCCCAAGAGAGCTGGAACTCGACCGAGATCCAGAGATTCGCCGCCTACGAGAAGAGAATCTTCGTCGTCGAAAGCAACACCACAGCCACTCGTGAACAAGTCTTCACCAACGTAGCCAACGTTTTCAACGTGTGGACCACCAACGAGTTCTACTTGGACTTGGTCTACTCCATCAACGTCTACATCTACCACGAGACTGCCACCCAATACCTCTGGGGTACTGTCAAGCAGTTCTGCGCGTGTGCCTAAACTCTTGCATCGAATGACTATTTAGTCGACTGAAATCGTTTATTCAAATAAACTTACTGGCATTAATATTGGACTTCTGAACAACCTTTTTTGTTTTCATCATCTATCAAATGGTAGTTTAAAAAAATATTTTTAAGGTTTTTCAAAATTGACTAGCCAGATATAAACAAGGCGTAGGCCTTAACTCGCTTCAAACTTTACTTCAAAATATAAAACAAAAGCAAAATTTTTTAAATTTTATGATTTATCATTTTAATTGTCGTTCCAACTTTTAAAGTTATAAAAATTTTAAATTTAAAAATGTGTTCTACGACATCTAAATTATAAGTAAGCTTTATTAAGTTACATATAATAAACAAACTTCAACATTATCACCATGATTAGCCCGACAAATGCGCAGCCGGGAAACGAAACAATCCATAGCTCTATCAATCATAGATTGAAGGAATAATAGATGCCATCGCGATCCTAATTCGTTGTTCTAACTCTGCCAGAGTAACTGAAAACGACGGTTTTTAGGTACACCCACATAACATAGTACATCGGAGTTAGGTCCGAACTATACGGAGGTTATACAACAGGTGGACCATTTGTTGCAGATTTGCTATTTCGTTTAGTCTATCCAACGGCCGCGGAATTTCTCGTTGAGATACTCTCGCCCCGGTGTATAAAAATGGGGCGGAGCACTACCTTGGTGCAAAATTGTCTATCCTACAATTTTACGTTTAAGATAAAGTATTCAAAGCCGGACTAGGCCGAACAAAAGAAAAATTTAGTTTAATAATAACCAACTTCTACCAAGAATTTGCTTCGCAAATCACCAAAAAAACATTTTTTACTGAAAATCTGTGTAATTCCGGAGAGAAAGATCAAAGTTAAAAAATCAAAACCCCCTCAAAAGGAGTGACTGAACATTGGGGGAGCTCATTTTGGGGAAGAACTTACGGGGAGCTCACTTTGCGGGAGAACCTATTCGGGGGTGCTCACTTTGCGGGAGAACCTATTCGTTACATTGAGATGACAACATTATGATCTGGCTAGTCAATTTTGAAAAACCTTAAAAATATTTTTTTAAACTACCATTTGATAGATGATGAAAACAAAAAAGGTTGTTCAGAAGTCCAATATTAATGCCAGTAAGTTTATTTGAATAAACGATTTCAGTCGACTAAATAGTCATTCGATGCAAGAGTTTAGGCACACGCGCAGAACTGCTTGACAGTACCCCAGAGGTATTGGGTGGCAGTCTCGTGGTAGATGTAGACGTTGATGGAGTAGACCAAGTCCAAGTAGAACTCGTTGGTGGTCCACACGTTGAAAACGTTGGCTACGTTGGTGAAGACTTGTTCACGAGTGGCTGTGGTGTTGCTTTCGACGACGAAGATTCTCTTCTCGTAGGCGGCGAATCTCTGGATCTCGGTCGAGTTCCAGCTCTCTTGGGCTTGGTCGATAGACCAGGACAAGTCGGTGATGTTGTTCTGGAAGATGACCAGGTCGAGGACGGTTGAGCAGTCTCCGGTGGCGTGGGTGGTGGTTTCTACTGGGACAGTTGAGGTTTCGACTTCGACAGTGGTAGATTCAAGGGCTTCAGTGGTGGTCGATTCTCCAAAGTCAATACATCCACAGTGGTGTTCCTGAAATCAGTATTATAGTAAAAGTATATCTGATTCCTATAACAATATAAATTATGATATTAACCTACCCAAACATAAGCGATGATCAGGTCGTAGACGGTGCCGTAGCCTTGGATCTCCAAGCTGAAGATGATTTCAACCGACCATTCCTGGATGATCAGCCATTCGTAGAATTGGGCTACAAAGTATTCTACACGGACTTCTACTTCGGTGTTGGATTCGTAGTAAGTGGTCAGCTTCTCCACGAGTTCCTTGATCTGGGCACGTTCAGAAGTGGATCCGGAAGAGGCGTTCTCGTAGCAGGTGGTGAGGGTTTGGATGAGTTCACATTCGGAAGCCGATCCTCCAACAGCAACTTCGAAGTTGAAGACGAGCCAGTACTAAAACAATATCAGATATAGGTCAAAACAGTGTTGATTATTGTATGGTTACTGTGATTATATAAACTCACGTTGTAGACGACTTCGTAGAAGGAAGAGAAGGAACCGTATCCCTCGATCTCGACCTCCAGGATTACTGTAGTGTATTGGCTGTATTCAGCGAAGAAGGCGACGAATTTCTCGTAGACAAGTACCATCTGGTAGCTGTAGCTGTAGGTGGTAGATTCCAAGATGACGGTCAGCTCTTCAATCAGAATCTCGATTCTGGCGCTGAATTCAGCATCGACGGCGGTGCAGTTGCGGAGGGCTTCGAACAAGATGCAGTCTCCAGAAGCATCAATCTCGACGACGGTAGAAGTGTAGCTCCATTGGATGTACAGTACCACGGTCTGGATGTCAAAGATGTAGCCGTCCCATTCCTCGATGTAGGTATAGAGAACGAGCTCGGTGATCTCGGAGTAGGAGCTGAGGAAGATCTCCAACTTGGCCCAGATGGCTACCAACTTCTCGTCAGAGGTCAGAGACTGATCGTAGATGATGGTGGTCTGGATCTCTTCGATGAATTCAATCCAGGCTTCACGGATCGTGACGTCGGTGATCTCGATGCTGATGTTGTAGAATTATTGCAACAAGAGGCAGTAGTCATCGTAGTCGAAGCCTGAGCCTTCAGAAGATCCAGAAGATTCATCAGAGCCGGAGGATTCAGAAGAACCAGAAGATTCTGATGATCCAGAAGCTTCAGAAGAGCCAGAAGATTCGAAAGATCCGGAGCCAGAAGACTCGTCAGATCCAGAAGCTTCACAGCTGCAGTAGCATTGACCGTGCGTAGAAGTGGACAAGATAAAGTCAGTTGTGGTAGGGACAGCTTCAGTAGTACCTTCAGCGGATTCAGAAGAAGATGATGAAGAGGATGAAGATGAGGATTCAGAAGATCGTGGGTGAGTACGACCTCCAGAAGTCAGACATCCTCGGTTGTTCTGACGGTTGTCGCAGTCGTCGCTGAAGTCGCTGCCAGAAGTACAGTAGTTGCCAGCAGCAGCTCCGACAATGGCGGCCAAGAGAAGCAAAGTGAACTTTTGCATGATTGTCTTCGGCTTCGCGGTCGAAGACTTGGATGTAGAACGGTGAGCATACCGTGCTTATATACTCTGTCCGGAGAAGGTAATGTATTCTGTAAAAAACTGATTATAAGCTTTACTCTTCTGTAAAAACAAGTTTAATCTCTCGATTGCACAAACACATCACTAGAATCTGACATATTGTGCTGGTCCAGACTTTATGAATATTCACATCAAGTTACATAATGTTTTTTGTTTCAAAGTGGAATAGAAACTGTCCTGGAATAAGCGGATTATTAAATTTACTTCATTATGTGGTCGATGGTCGAAATAAAGGCGGAACGGTATTTTAAAACGTCAGATAACGATCACAAATTCTAATTCATACCTAAAAAACTAAAAAGTATAAGATATACATTTAACAAATAAAATTAAATTCTAAAATTTACATCTTTTGCCCTTATAAGAAGAGTTACATACATTATTTTTCAAGCCACAAAATATTTTCGAACGTAATTCCGTATAAAAAGACGTGCGCAGTTCGCAAAAACCCGGGCGCAAGCCACGAAAAGGGAATTTTGTTTCTCAAAAAATTGTCGGCGTATATACGCGTATTTTTCTAAATTAGACCTTTAGCCTCTTCCTCACTTGGCATTAGTTGTTATTAATCATGAGTAAGTCTATTATCTTCGACGACATGTTTGTTGTGAAGAATATTGATCCAGATGGCAAGAAATTTGATCGTGTGAGCAGAATCTTTGGAGATTCCGAATCTTTCAAAACAGACTTGATTCTTGATGTAAATACACAAATATATCCAATGGCAATGGGCGAGAAGTTCAGAATGGCATTGAGTTTCACACTCAGAGATGATGGATTGGCAGATGAAGGAGAATATGATCAACATGTAAGTTTTTATTTGTTTGTTTATTGTTTTAGGTAATATTGAGATTGATGTTGGAAGGTCGAAATAGGTTTTTCTATAGTCAAACATAGATTTATTTTGTTGGTTTAGCTTTTTAGTAAATATTTGGATTTATTTTACGTTTATTATTGACTAATACGATATTAACTACGAGTTTTTAGTTCCAAAGCGCTTTGATGAAGATATTTCACTATGTAATGTACGGCAAGATATACAGAGTTGAAGGAGACGATACAGGATCAGAAAATGCGAGATTATCAGTTTACGCATCGTTCGGCGGACTTCTGATGAGGCTACAAGGTGATGCCACGAGTTTGAGTGGCTTGGACGTGGACAAGAACTTGTATTTGTTAATCAAGAAAATCTCAGCATGATTTTTATTACATTCTCTCAATTGTTGAATTTACTATTGTTGTTAATGAATAAGTTTTGAACTTTTTTGTTTGCGTTTGATAGTTTAGTGGTTTCGAACCATAATTATTGTTTTTTGAATTTTAACTTTACTGCCTAAGATCTTGTTTTTTGCTAATATTATAAGTTTTTATCAAAATAGATTTTCGTATGTTATGTTCGGTTATTAATGTTAATTTTGTAGCATGGACGAAGAGTATTTCGTAGTTCGTGGGAACCTGGATGACCTACAGTCGCTTGAGGCCAATGTGCCGAATTTCGACGAAGAAGATCCAGAACCAGCGAGAAATGACTTTGATATGCAAATTGATAATCCAGAAGAAGTTCATGGAAAGGAAGCCCGTAAGTCTTACTTTGTTTTTAATATTTAGGTATAAAATGAGCCTTTGAGTAACAATAATCGTATTGGTTTTTAGCTGAAGTTTTGGTGTATCGTCCACAAGTTGATTTGGACATGATTGTGGCTTCCTTTACATCAGAAGCTTTGATTATTCGGTTAATGTTCATTGCTGATGTTTGTCCTCCACTTAGAGCACAAGCTTTTAAGATTTTGCTCGAACATATTAAGAATGTAAGTGTTTTAAAATAAACTCATTTAAAAGTTTTATTAGTTTTGATCAAAAGAATGACATGAATTTAAAAAATATTGTTTTAGAAAACCCAAAACGTGAATGCCTACACTCACATCTACCACAAGATTGACATATTCAAACGGAAGAACGCGTTGTCTGACAGTGAAATCATACCTCCACCAGATCAACATTGGCTTGATACTACTACAAACAAAGCCCAGGCACGTTTGGATCTTCTTAACACCGAGTTCAGACATCAGAAGGACGACGGAGTGAAAGAATCCATCAGAAGAGCGATGGATGATGTCTTCAAACATCATTTGTCTATGGGTAATGTACAAGACGCCTTAAAGCTATATGCTCGAGGCATCAGGGAGTACTGCACTGCGCCAAACTTTTTGATTCAAATGTTGTTGAACTGGATTGATGCATCGGTTTATGCTGGGCAATGGGCCAAACTCAATGTTCTGATTCCACAAGCCGAAAGGGCTGTCGCTGAGACTGTAGAACGAGAGAATGGACCCACGCATACTCGTACTATTAGATCACGAGAAGCTGAAGGCAACAAGAAGTTGATCCAGGTGTCAAAGACCAAGCTGAATGCCGTTTCTGGACTGACAGCGATGCAAACTGGGAAGTTCAAGGAAGCGGCTAATAAGTTCATGCAGGTAAGAGCATGTTAATGTAGGTTTGGAGACGAAAAATTATTTTTTTAGGTTAAAAAAAACACTTTTATAGAGCTTTATAACATGAAAAATTGTTTTTGAAGTTAAAAATTTTTGTAAAAAAAATACTGTCACTTTGAGTGTGCAATCTAATATACTTACATTTCATAATGTTTTAGGTCGACCTTGACTCCCTAGAATACCCCGAACTTCTCTCGAATCACGATATTGCTGCCTACGGCACAGTAACATCCTTAGCAACATACGAACGTTCAGAACTAAAAGAGAAAGTTTTGGGCTCAGCATCGTTCCGAAAGTTCTTAGAATCCGAACCCAAGTTTGTGAATCTGCTTCAGAAGTTCACGTCGAATCAATTCGGTGTAGCATTGGATATTCTGAACGATATTAAGGATGGGTTGCTGCTGAATGTGTATCTTGCTCCAATGTTGGACGAACTGTATGCATTGATCAGGAAGAGGGCGATCATACAGTACTTTGAGCCATATTACAGTGCCGATTTGAAAGGAATGGCAGTCGAGTTCAGGACTTCGGTGGAAGAGGTAGGGCTTCTTGTTTTCGGTCGGTATTTGTTTTTTTTTGAGAGGAAGGAATGGGTTAACTAGCTTTGGTTTTGCGCCATTATTTTTGCATCAGAAAGGTTTTTAAAAATTTTTTACAAAAATAATAAGCTTTTTTCAGTTGGAGATGGAACTTGTTTATCTCATCAAATCGAAGGAGTTAAGCGGCCGTATTGATAACTACAACAAGATCTTGCATCTCAAGATTGGTAACAAGCAAAACGAGATTTTTGATAAGTAAGTTTGTCTTGAAATTGTATTCTATTTTCAAAAAAACTAAAATATAAATACTTCAATATAATTTGTGATGTATCACAAAGTTTTTTTTGCTTTTTTTTATTGTGATTGCTACAAGAAACGCTTTATGGCAATATATTCTAAATCTTTCATTTTTAGAATTCTAAAAACTAACGCAGATCTGGAAGAGACCGTCCACGCCATCATTCTCCGATCCGCCCTTCAGCAACAAGGGGTTTTCATTGGAAACGAAGGTAACAGAGGCGGCTACCGCCGACAACAGGGCTTTGAAGACTTTGATGGACATCAAAACCCGTCAGCTTCTACTGGCCATCGAGTCTTGGCTTCAGTTCAGCGATTCTTCAACGCTGCTTCGAATCGTATTCATCCACAAGCTCCGGAGAACGCAATGGATGAAGAACATGATGATGATGTGGATGAGAACATGGAAAACTAAACTGTCAACATAATTTTGTAAATTCTATTTATATGGTCGATAATACAGGTGTAATATGAAGGTAATGTTGGCTGTTAAGATTATGAGGAAGGAAAGAAATGGTTGTAGGACCCAGGGGCGTCGCTAGGGGGGGGTGGATTAACCCCCCCCTCAGAAAAAATCTGTAGCGACGCCCCTGGTAGGACCCTTAATCTCTGAATTTTGTAATTTTTAAGTGTTTTATGGTGTTCATATAATTCTGCGCTCTTTCTCAAAGCAACTTTTCAGGGTTAGGGGCACATAATTATTTGAACAACACAATAGTTTTTGACTTTGAGTTAAAATTTCAGGGTTCTTAGGTGTTAGAGATGATTGGAATTTAGGGTTGTTGAAGTAATAACTATTTTTTGTATTTTAATTGCCTCAAACTTTTCAAAATTTTACTTTCTACAAACTTTTTGACCGACCTATTCAGTACGAAGACATTTTCGAAATCAAAACTCTTCCAGCATGTTGATTACACTTTACACTGCATAGCAAAGAAACATAATAACAAGCGACTATTAGGTATAAATTGGCCAAAAAGCGACCAATGGTGTAATGGCATTGGCCAACAATTCATTACTAGGTATGAAATGGCATTAGAAACTTAATCAAATTTTAATGAGATCAAACGAGAAAGTTTTGTGTTTTTTGTTTTTTTTTGTTCGGAGAGGCGCGAGTAATTCAGTGTCTGTGGTCTCCATCGTTCGCGTTCTCATTTCACTTGTCCTGCGCCAGCCGCCGAGGCCGGAACGGCGTACGCTGCGCCGGACACAGTTCGGCGCATTCCTCAATCATACAGGCGCGGATCAGTTTTAGCGTGGCCAAGGCCTCGTTCTCGCCCGCCTGGCCGGGCACGTGGCCTAGTTCGTGTGTGGCGGTCTGAAAATGGCAAAATTGTTTAGTTTAGGTAACAGTTTTGCGAATATGATTTTAGGTAAAATTTTTAAAATTATGTTATGTTCAAATAATTCCGTGCTGTCTAACTGCGAAACTTTGTTTTTTAGGGCGGGGCACAGAATTATTTGAACAACATAATAAATATTTTTTGATTATTATTGAATTAGACTTCCTTAGCATATTTTTTTTGAGAGGGGAGGGGAGGGGGGAGATTCTCAAAAAAATTTTTTTCAATTTTTTTGTGGGTATCAATGATCATTATGATGACTTATACCAATTTTCCTAAAAATCTAAGCCAATTTGTTACCGAAACTTGTTTTAAATCTAGTAACGTTTTACGTCTTATTAAGTTTGGCACAATACGGTAATTCAATTTTGTCTATTTTTAAATTTCAACAAGGTGTAGGCGGAAGATCTTTAAAGCGAGGAGCGGTAAGACGTCAATATTGCACTTGAATCTTCCTGGATTGCAATTACGTGAGCATAGGAAAAGGATGGTAGTAATCAAAAACAGTATTATAGGGGTTATGGTATGAATTGGTTCTTTGAAAAATGGCCAAACATTCAAACTTTTAAACATAACGACTTGCAGTACTATACAGTACCACCTTAAACCCAAGTTGATTGTATACGTTACTGAAACAATGGTGACAATGTTTTAGTAACATATACATGACAATTTAACATAAATTACCTTTGATATCGCGTACCAACAATCCATTTTACAACAACGGCACGGTGAGGTTAGAATCTGTTGCGATGAGCAGGCGTCTGGTCTTTCTTCTTGGGCGTTTGTTTCTGAAAAGGTAAAATACGTGGAAACGAACGTTACCTTAAATTGATAAACCTATTCAACTCTCTATTTAGCCTTAATAGTATAGTACGACAAGTCTTGCTTTTTTTGGAGAAACTTTTATACCCTAGCTTACCCTACTTTATCCTACCCTACTCTCCCCTACCCTACGCTCTCCTACTCTACTCTACCTTACCTTAAACAACATACTATAGGAAAACCTTTCATTATATGTTTATAAGTTTTCAACCCACCTGCAATTAGTAATAGTCCCAGCAGTCCTAACACGACGAGCGGCCTTAGGTCCCAGTCTCCGAACTGCATTTTGGTCCCAAAATTCCTGAAACAAAAGCCTATATTTGCATTTTTCGAAATGACACGTGCCGCCCGCAGGGAATGCCAATGAAAACATTAAGAAAAGATGGTTTTTGAAACTGAAAATGAAATTTTGGGGGTTACATTTAAAATAGACATTAAAGCGACAACATTTTTCAGAGTCAGGTTGGCGGAACGCATTATAAATAACAGTTTTTTGGCCAAAAACATTGTTTTAGGGTCGAAAAAAGAGACTTTGGGGGTATTTCTAAGTTTTACATTGATTTTTTCAAATTTAAATTGAGTTTGGTACCTAAATTTTTTAATTTTAAATTTTTGGGTCAAAAATGACTAGAAAAGTGTCAAAAACGGCCTTAAATTTGTTATTTTAGGCAAGAATTTAAGCAACATGACTTATAGTACAACAATCCAGAATATCAACAACAAGATAAATGTTAATAAAATAAAGGTAAAGTAAGATTGTAAATCATAAGCTATAGTGAAGGTTACAAAACATAAGCCATAACAAATATTATAAAGTATAAGTCATATCTTAGTGTAAGTACTATAACATAGTACGAGATTTGTAAGTAGTAAACAGTAAGTTAATGAAATAAATGTGTGTTTTAAACCCAATAAAAGTGTAAAGTGTAAATGTTATGATTTGGAGGAAATGCACCTGTCTAACCAATGTGAATATGTAAATTGAAAGTAAATGTAAGCAAACTATGTAAACAATTCTGTTTAGTACTACAGTCAAACCCCTTTAGTGTGGCAGTCAAGGAACTGGTCCAAATCTGTCCTTACAAACAGGACGTCAAAATACCTAGGTACTTTTTAATAACGGCTCTTCAAGGTTCTACTACAAAAGGCACTTAAGAATATGTCATTATAAAGAGGGTTTCACACTATCGAGGGCCATACTAAAACGGTTTTACTGTGTTACTGAGATCAAAAATTTTTTTTTGTTGTAAACATAAATAATGGCAAACAAGGTTAGGTTTAAAATTGGATAAAAAATGTAATTTAAAAACTTTTTATCAGTTATGTGATCTGAATAAACATGAAAGTTAAAATCGGCATCAAGGTGCCAAAAACTTTGAATTGTAAAATACGTGATTTAAATTCGGTCCGAAGGATAGTGTTATGAAGAAAAACATAAGAAATACGTCAAACGTTTTGTCATTTTCTAGTTTAAAGATATGTTGGGGTAGATAAAGTAGGTAACTTTATGATATGTAGAATAGTTAACTACATAATATCCACACATAAAACTAGGATATACCCACTACATATTATGATGCATGAATAAGATAAAAAACGTCTGCAAAATATAAAAGAATTTTTAATTTTGAATTTACAGCGTGGTCAGTTTTATAACATAACTAATGTAAATTTCAAGTTTTAATGATTTGTAAACAGTTCGTCCTTTTTTGAGTATGATCTTCAAATGTCATATAAATTATTGGGTTGAAACAAAAGTAGCGGGACACTTTTTAGTTGACAAATATATGAAAAGTGTCCCGCTACTTTTAGTTCAACCTAATATAATAGGTTTGCAAGACAAAATTTTATTGTAAAATACGTCGGCAGCATTCCCTTTTCTAAAATTGCAAAAGAATTACAAAAATACTCACAAAAGTGTACAAAATATTACAAAATATGAACAGAAAAGTTTAAAAATGTCGTTCATCTGAATATTGATGTACGTCCGCCTCAAAAAAAAAGCAGCGTTCATAGTATGAATTTGCATAAAGTTGGTCGAATTTTTAATAAACTTTATGTCGACGGAAATTTATCAATTATGTATGGGGCGAAATTGCGTATTTTAGGAATGGGGAAAGTTTGAGAAATTTAAATTTTTGAAATTTAGCCCGAGAGCGAGAACTTTAATATCGTTTTTTAGGGGGGAGGGGTAATAACCAGAATTTTTTTTTGGTTTTTTAGTGATCCTACCCTACCCTACCCTACCCTACCTTACCTTACCCTACCCTACCCTACCATACCATACCCTACCCTACCCTACCCTACCCTACCCTACCCTACCCTACCCTACCCTACCCTGCCCTATTTTACCCTACCCTACCCTACCTTACCCTACCCTACCCTACCCTACCCTACCCTACCCTACCCTACCCTACCCTACCCTACCCTACCCTACCCTACCCTACCCTACCCTACCCTACCCTACCCTACCCTACCCTACCCTACCCTACCCTACCCTACCCTACCCTACCCTACCCTACCCTACCCTACCCTACCCTACCCTACCCTCCCTACCCTACCCTACCCTAACCTACCCTACCCTAACCTACCCTACCCTACCCTACCCTACCTTACTCTACCCTACCCTACTCTACCCTACCCTACCCTACCCTACCCTACCCTACCCTACCCTACCCTACCCTACCCTACCCTACCCTACCCTACCCTACCCTACCCTATCCTACCTTTATGTGCTTTACTTTCTCTTACTTATTACTATAGTACGATACCAAAAAGTAAATTTACCTTAATATACAAAACGTTTAACCATATAAAAATACAATACCTATCTCGACGTATCAAAACGTATAAAAACGACTAAAAAGATGACAACGTGAACAAAAGCGGTTTGTAGCTAATTAAGTATGGTCTTACACGTAATCCTAGACGATGCGAAAGTAATAAACATGTTCAGAAAGATACAATTCTACTATCAAATTTAAACAACGTACATTTTTCTCAAAATATTGGTATTTTCTAAGTTCTTTGAGCTCATAATACAATATTACTATGAAGATTTTACTTAATATTATACTATAGTGTAGTCATTAGGACAATATGAAGTGCCAATGACCGTGAATAATGAAAAAATTGTAGTTATGACATTGAAAGAAGTGTATGTACTACAACAATATTGAGAACTATCTTGTACGATAATTAAGACACAAATCGAAGATCTCAAAGGCTTGTGACATACTAGAAGACAAAACTCTTGTTCAAATAATTCTGAGCCACCACTCAAAGCAAATTATTGGATTTCAGGGGCTCAGAATTATTTGAACAACTTAATATAACTTTTACATAAAGTGTACGATAAAAGATCATACCAGGCAAAGTACAGAGTGCTACAACGCTATCTGAAATACTATTTTGATAGCACTGTAGCAAAAAATAAATCTACTGAAACTGGACTACATATTGACGTAAAAAGTTGTTTTTAGATTAAAAATTCGGAAATGAGGTAGTTAAAGGTGGCGAACGGTTTCTTATTACCCATGAATACATTAATTATAATAAAATACGGTATTTATGAGTACATCAAGTGCAATGGCAAAACAAAACGTCAGATTCCAAAATAGTCTTTGATGTAACCTCTTCCGAAAACGATAACACCTGACTAAATCGCCAACATAAAAATTTTAAAGAAAGTGAAAAAATTGGGCGCTTATGCAAAATCGTTCCTCCAAAGCCAAATAATCGTTCTCCACTCGTAAAGGCATTGTCACTTTTTAAAAATTTTTTGAGTTTTTCAAAGCCAGGCTAGCAAGTTGAGCACAACTCTTAAGCCTAGTTCGTTTCAACTTTACCTCAATGCCAAGTTGATCCAATTGCAAGGTCAGACCGTGCCGCGCCTACAGGGCCCTTTTCTCATCTTTAGCAAAACCTAGATGACTAATAAAAATTATCCGCCTCTCAAAAAAACTACTTTTAAAATTAATTTTGGACCTCACAACGACCAAAACTTCTAAAATCCTCCTTTTTTACAAAAAACTTCAAAAAACAGTCGATTATCATACCTACAGCAAGATATACACATAAATATTTGTTACCCACTTGAATGCCCCCACCTACATTAGTCTAATCCGAATGTCGTCATCAAATACTAAAAACCTTTGCACGATGCTGAAGAATTCCCAGACGCGGATTTATCTCCAGAATCTCGGCGACATCACTTTGCGTGGTCGAAGTGCGATAAAGTGAAGCAGCAAAAGGTAATCAGACCCTGAGGAAATGCAAATCAAATTTTGAAGCGGGAGTAATCAGAGAATGGAAAAACAATAGAGCTTGTTGACAACGTGAACGCTCACGATGTTAACATGAAGTTTGAGATTGAGAAGGGTAAATTGAGTTTTAGACGCACTTTTAAGGTTGAGATCGTCATGTTATTGTAAGTAGTGAAAGTGAACTAAAATTTAGTTAAGAAAGATTGTCGGGGGGGGGGAGAGTGCAATTTGACTCTGAGAAGTAAGGAAGAACGTTTTGCCAGTTACACTCAAGATATTGAATTTTTTAGGCTTTTTTTTCTTTCTACCCCCTACAACCACCCCTCTCTAGATCTGAACGAAAGACCACCAGGCCAGATCCGGCTCTTTAACAGGTTAACCTCCTTATTTTAGAGCTCACCCTGGCTAATAGTCCGTTAGTCTTCAAAAACCAAGTTCGGCTTTAGCACGTATTTTTAAAACGCAAAGTTAACGTTTCAGAATTTAAAATTGAGTGTCTTGTACTGAGTTGAAACTGAACTCAAAAAGCACCTAAAACTTAACTGAAAAAAATATTTTGAATCTTTTTTTTTCCATTGTAAAAAGGCCGGCCTATCTGAGTTAGTTACCACTTCCAAATCGGATGAGTAAGGCAGCAAGTGTAAAGTATGACGATAAAACAAGACAAGACAGTGTTTTATAGCAATGTTTTGACGGAAGCAAACAATTATAATACAAATCTGTATGACTAATTTCTTTTACGACCATGAAGTACTTGTAAAATGTCATAAATTTGTACAACAAGTGTTATGACAAATGTAAATCAACCGCCATATATTGTAGTCAAACATTAGTCACAAATCGAGTGTAATAGTACAAAAAATGGCACAATAATTCTAAAATTTACAGTATTACAAAAAAAAACAATATAATAAGTATTACAGCAGTATTAAAGTTATAATACCATGTAATATTAACACATATTTAATAAAATGTATAAATTAACAAGAAAAAGTAAAAAATGACATAGAAAAAGCAAAGGAAATTGATATTTATGTGGAGAAAAAATAAAGAATATAAAGCCAGATATGTCAATGTCACTTGGGTTGTAAAACACTTTATTTAAGTATTTTACATCTTGTTATTTCCTGTGTTCATAAATCTTTTACACCTCTTCACTAGATTCCTTATACATCTATTAAAATTTTAAGTGCAACATGCTAGTATATAGGAGATATATTAGTACAACATAATATTAAAAATATACAGTAGTATGACATGAAAGACAAAGACAACATAGTATTGAGCCATAAGGTCAATATTAAAATAATTTTAGTAGTAAATCATAACATTACGATAACCATAAATACGTGTGTGTACAGTAAAACGTTTTTTTAAAGTTTCATTGTTAAGAGTTTCAAAAAGACTTGTCGCTTATCACAAAAAGTGTGTTAAAAAACAACATGACTTTTAGTTACACTGGTATAAAGTGTGTTAACTTTTACCACACAAGTAATCATAACCGAAAAAAAAGTCAAAAAGTTGACGGTGATGTAATTTACCGGAAATCGAGAATCATCAAAAACAACGAAAACGACTGCTTTTTATTCTGGAGATAATCACATTTGTTATGGCTGGGATAACGTAAAAGTAAAACCGTTTGCGTAATAGTGGTAACCGACCATGTTTGGGTGTAAACTTGTCTATTAGTCGGTGTGGGGGAGTTATGATGTGCAAAGATAGTAAGAGAGGGAAGAGGGAGATGTAAGGTAAGACAAGGATGAGAGACAAGACAAAAGGAAGAGATAGAAAAGAAAACGATAAAGAAGGATAGGATAGATAGAGTACAGTAGCATAGGATAAAGTAAAGCAGAATGCAATAGGATAAGGGTATAAGAGAGTAAAGCATGATAAGGTAGGCTAAAGTGGACTGGGGTAGGGTAGGGCAAGGAAGGGTAGAGTAGGGTAGTAAAAAATAGGCAGAAAGAAAGGCAGGGCTATGAGCCGTTAAAAAGTAAAGAGTCCAAAAGGCAACATAACCATAGCCCAATGTTAACAATGTTAGTAGCGACTTACACAAGGCTAAAGACAAAATATAATGTACGTGTAAAATGAGTTACAGAGGATGTACGTGTCGATGAACAGTGGTTACTCAACAAAATAAATGCGAAAAGAGAAGACCATGTTATGATAATTTAATAAAAACTGGTCGTTACAGTGAAAAAAAAGCATACGTAAACTTGGTCAATAAAATTTGTGTTCTACTACGTTTTTAGCTATTTTTAGCATACGTGTTACTACTTTTCCAGGCTCTTTTTAGTACGTACTACCTAATCACTAAAACCTAAAAAAGAAGTTGTTATAGACTTTATCAGTATTATTTATAAAAGTACCAATACCGTTCTTTAGTACGTTTAATTACCTTTAATCTAGCTTTTAAAAAACCCCGTTGACTTTATAAAAATGCGTTAACACAAAGACAAGGTAGCTTGAAATAAGTTTTGCCGATACCTAGAAATAAGCCAAGGATATTACGGTAAACATAACATAGAATACTACTTGAAAGCGATTATACGGAAGTTGTTATCAGCCTACTTATCGTAAGGTTTGACTCAAAAATAGCTTCAAGAAGATTTGCCAACTTATGAAAAACAAGTAAAGTACTTGAAGATGGACCAAACAAACAATAGTAATACTTAAACAGGCTGTATGGTTCAGTTGTATTTAACTTAAAAAGTAAAAGTATATGCAGTACTTTAACATATTATGAATGTAAAAGCAAAAATTGTAAAAAAACTAATTTTTGACTTTAATTATTAGTATATTACCTAAAATATTCAGCTCTTCAATATGTTAACGACAAATAACTATACTTCCTCAAAACCCACGCCCAACCCTACTGTAAGCAACCCACACCGCTTATCATAATCCTCGTCAAAATACGACGCGTATTGAAAGCACTTTTAAGCGAGTATTTACCCATCCGAAGAGATTCTTAGTACGCAAATCCTCGAAAAGAACGCCGTTGGCGAAGAAGACGTCAAGTTATTGCCTCAATTTGGGCCGAGAGAAAGTCAACACAAGCTGCAACTCTCAGTGTTTGCTTTAATCTTACAATTTCATTATAGTGGCATGCAAAAACAGCTGAATGCGTTTAGCGGGATAATATCAAAAAACACATCAAAATATTATATTATGACAACAAGTTTTGTCAAAAGTCAGGGGCTAGCTAGGAAATGGGAGAGTAGGAAAGGGTGAATAAGAGTGGATTCAACACTCTATCAGTGCAAACCCGAAAAAAATTTTACAAGTGATACCTGTACGTGAAAAAACTGAAAAAAATTCAAAAAATATAAATGCACAAAAGCAACCTAAAATCTCAATTTTTTTTGCTTTACCCTCTTCTTTCTATTCCTCCCCTCCCCCTTCCTAGAAAAAAACTAAAAAAGACAAAAGTTGTTACCAATGATTTTAAAAGTGTATTAACCACCTAGCAAGCTTAAACACAAGGCAACACATTAACAATTTTTCTTGTTTTGCCTTGTTTCCTCATATGCCTTTCCCGGTAAATAGAATATCAGTTTTGTACCATGCTTTGCCCGGTAAAGAAAATTTCAGTTTTCAGCTTTGCTTTGACGTAGGGCAAGATCTTGGCACGGTATTGGGCACGAATTTGAGTAGAGTGCTGAGAAGAGATGGACAAAACACAAATCTTTTTTTTTAATTGACAATCGCTAAGTTCCTAATGTAGAAAAAAATAAACATTTCCCCTCCCATAACAAAACTACTCGCCGAGTACTAATAAAAAAGCTTTTTAAAACTAAAAAAAACTAAAAAATCAGAAATTTCAAAGTTAAAACGGAACGAAAACATTACATTATGAAAGTATTTTCTGTTATTTACAAGTCTGTAAAATTTAGAATTACAAAGTAACTTTATGTTGATTACAACTATTGTAATCTCTATATAACTGTGACGTACCTTTTTGTTTTTGCTGCAAAATTTTACTTTTTTATGCTTTTATGCATCTAGTACAGCATTTTTAAGTAAAAGAACCCCACACCCTACCCCTTCTTGCCTTAAAATATTTTTACACTTCGCCCTGCCTCAAAAAATAAAAAACTGAATTTACCTCTATTTTGAAAAATTCAAGTTTTTTCTCTGTTTCCTCACCTAGAGTAAATGGGGCGCTAGGACAAATGCGGTTTTTGGACACTTGCAGATTTTGGACATTTGCGGATTTTTTAAAAGTTTTTTTTATTTTTTATTTAATTTAGTTGTAGTATGGTACTAAATGGTACTAAAGTTTAAATTGGTACTGTTTTAATATGTTTTAGTGCTAAATAGTACTAAATTTTAAATTGGTACTGTTTTATATTTTTTGGTACTGAATAGTACTAAAAGCCCAAAAAGGTACTGTTATGTTAAAACCGCACCAATTTAAACTTTAGTACAATTTAGTACCATAATACAACTAAATTAACTAAAAAATAAAAAAAAAAACCTTTAAAAAATCTGCAAATGTCCAAAATCCGCATTTGTCCTAGCGCCGTAAATGGCACTCTAACTACAACCAAATTTTTTTTTTTAATTTTGAAATAAAACATTTTCTTTTTATAAACCAATATGCGAAACCCTCAAAACCTTAAGGTATATAGCAGTTCATTTACAAAAGCAGAGTAATATGATAAACAAACAAATAATTAGTTATGAGGAGTTAGCGCCGACCAGAACGCCCTTGAGTTGTTGAATCTCCTTCTTCATGGCTTCGATCTCGGAGCGGAGGCTGGAGTTGCGGGACTCGAGATGCTGGATCTCGACCCGACCCTCCTCCAGGGTGTGGGTCTTTCGGGAGCGGTAACGTTGAGCAGCGATGCGATTCTGCTCTTTTTTGCGTTCCGCGATTTGTTCGTGCGACAACGAGGCTAGCGAGTACTTTTTGGCACGTTTGGTTAGGGGTGGAGGGGTGGCGGAGCCGGTGGAGGCGGCTGAGCCGATTCCCGAGTCTGAGCACGGTGAGTCGGAGGAAGGATGCTAGAAAATCATTGAGCTTAGTTAGGTTATACAATAAAGTTAAAAACTTTTTTGTTAGGTAGTTCAAATAATTCTGTGCTCCTTACAAAGCAAACTTACGAATTTAAGGGGCACATAATTATTTGAACAAATTAGTAAAAACCACAATTTCAAAAAGTTCTTTAAAGTATTTTAGGGCCAAACTCACCTTTCGCTTCCTACTCGACGACGACGTGGTGGATCCAGATGGAGATGAAGCATTGTTAAAGATCTAAAACAACAAAAATTAATAAATTTGTTCGACCTTTTTATAAACACTATTACAGTACCCCTGTACTAATCAAGCCCCCCCCCCTCTACTTCAATCAGCTTCAAGCTTAAATAAAGCTCTCCCCCCCCACCCCCCCTTCTCCCCGCTCAAATCACCCCAACCTTACAGTTTCGTTGTGAATTTCGCTTCGGACTTCATCGATAAGTTGGTCGATCCACTCGCGCCAATCGACGGTTTCGGCGGGGCATAGGACGTGGAGGAAGGGCGGGCTGGGGATACTGGTCGATGCTGAACATGGAACTGCCTGAGGGGATGTGGGGTTAGAGCTGGTGGAGTATGTGGATGAGGATGGTGACACGGAACAGGAGTCAATGTTGTAAAAGACGCTGCTGAATGGACTGTGGGCACTGAAATGGCATTTTTTAGATTTTTTGATAAAAAATAAAATTTAAAAGTAAAAAATTATATTATAGTAGGTATCTTAAGGTAAAAAATCATATTGCAGTAGATATTTTAAAGTAAAACTCAAAGTAAAGTCACAATAAACCATAGAATACACGGTAAACACCTAAATATCAAAGCAAAGTAACTTACATTAATTGCTCGTCTAATAAATCTCGGCTTTCTGCCGGAGGTAACAAAGCAGCACGGTGAGTGTTGTGCGACGCTTGAAGTACACTGAAATGGCAAAATATTAATATATGGCAAGTATAACACGCGGAAAAGAAAATATAGTCTTAAAAGGTTTACTTGACAACTTGTACACAAAACATTGATTTGATTCAAAAATTTTAAAAAGTTAAATTGACTTTGCTGTTATTTGGAAATGGCATTGAAAAATGAATTTAAATTTACTTTTTACGTTTTTAAAAATGGAAAAATTGTTAAATTTTGTAAAAAATTTATCATTCATTTTATAAAATATTAAAATTTTTAAAAGATGCCCCAGGCATTTTAATTATTTTACTTAAATTAAGCTTCCAAAACTTTTTTTTCGTTTTTTTGTTAGTAAAATCAAATTTAAATTTTTTTGAATTTTTTTTGAAATTTGAAACTTCAAGTTTTCAAAATTTACCATTTTTCTAAATTTTACATTCAATGAACTGCAAGGTCATCCTAACCCTCACCTTCCGCATAAACGATGACTTTGGTTTAAAGGAGCGTCGCTTAAAGCAGCACTTGCTCGTGTAGGCCTCGGTGGTACAGCACTGAGTTGGCAAAACGCTGCAAGCGGAGCGTGGAGCGCGCTGAAATTTTCAAACCTAATTTAAAATGACATTGAGTTTTGACTTCTTACTCTAACTTGGTACCTTGCTTATGGCATATTCTACGCCTTTTATAGGCTTAAAATACACGTTTAAGGGCTTAGTAAAGCTCTTTTCTTTTAGCTAATGAACTGATAGAAAGATATCTTGTCTATTCTAAGGGGTTTTCTTAACTTTTTGTTATCTAAAAGTCTTGCAGAAGCTTTAGAATACTATAAATATTATTGTGCTTTCACTCTTGATATGATTTTAGTACTACATCGTTTAAAAAGCCTACCAAAACAATTAAAACTACCTAAAATAACTATAATAATTAAAAAAACTCAATTTCTTTTATGTTCTAACTTTATCTAACCTAAAGCCCTAATCTCAACCCTAACACAACAAATCAAAGAAAAACTGACGAGGCGCAAAGCGGCGGAGGCGTTAGCCGCCAGACGAGCGGACGGGCGCCAAACGGAAGACTTGCCAGCTACAGGCTTGGCCTGACAATCCGGCTGCCCACAACAACACTCTCTCACTATCGGCAGCGCCAATATCCGACCGTTCTCGGCGTCGAAGCCGTAGTAGAAGCAGAGGGTTTCGGACAATTGACGATCGGACAACATGTTGAAGATAAGACGAAGAAGCTGGTCAAAGATAAAGTAACTGGGCCGTTCGTTAATACGACGGTAGGACTGTTTACTGAGTAATCAGGAAACAGTAAAAGTTAGAGTGGCAGTTGATGAACAAGTAGTGGTACTTGTTGTTGAAGGTAGTGGTATGTAGTAACAAGAAACAGTAAGTTGCTTGTATCAGTAAATTTGTAGAACGTTGAACGTTTTACAGTAAGTAGCAGTAGTGTAGTTAATTGACGATGAATCAGTAGCTGTTTGTAGCGTTGAAGTAGCAGAAGAGCGGTTGATAGCAAAAAGAGCAAGGTAAGTTCGAGATTCTAAACATGAAATTGAAGCACATTGATGATATAAAAAAGACAGTATAACACGTTTTAAGTAACTATCTTACTTGGTACAGTATAATATGATTCAAAATGTAAAAACGTATAACAATTTAAAAAAAGAGTACTAAAGGCCGTACGTCTGAATTAAAGAGAACTATGATCATTGTAACGTTACAGTGTCATACCACAAAATTAAAAGATTGAAAAAACAATTTTTAAGACTATGTTGACATAGACAAGAGTACTAATACAACATTTATTTTAAAGACTGCTATTAAGATTGATATAAGACTATGAACAAGAAGACCCTAACTGTACAATGCCTAGTGAAAGACAAAACTGAGTATGCCAAGTAATGTGTATGTCTAGCAAGCTAACTAGTACTAAAAGCACTATTAAGAGTAAAGATACTGTACTTTTCTAACCTAATATTTAGTTTACAGTGACCTGAAGGTATCTACAATTATTGTGTAGCTAGCTTAAAGTTTATAGTGATGTTTTGCCTAGAAGTCTTCTGCCTAACGTGTACTTTACTATATTAGTTCAAATAAGCCGCCTGCCGCACTTTGACCTTGCAATTCATTCAACTTTCAACTTTATCTTTAATTTTTTAAAATTTTGAACTTAAAATCGTAAATTTTAAAAAAATTCAAAAAAATTTTTTATATTAATTTTTTTCTAACAAAATAAAAATTTTTTAAACAAGTTTTAAAAATTTCAGTTTTGCCAAAAAAATTAAATTGTTCTGTGTACAAGTTTGCCAAGTTTAATTTTCGAAATTTGTGCGTAAAAGCGAATTTAAAGTGATTTTTTTTTGAAAGTTCGCAAAGAGAGAATTCCACGATCTACTCACCAGGTCATGGTCTTCCCAAAAAGCCTTACGGCTGAAGAGCAGGCGTCGTGCGGCCGGCTTTTTATATGGCGATGGCAGGGGGCGGGTTGAAAGAGTGGGCACCGCCTTCAGAATCAGAGAAGACAAAGGGTCGGGTGAGTGATAGCTGGCTGGTTTTGGAAGGATAGTGGGTTACAGATAGAGATTGAGGATAGAAGAAAGTAGAGATAGTGTTTGAGCATAGAGAAGAGTCAGTGATAGGCTATCGGTTTAGTTATAGCGAGAAAAAGAGATAGTGATGTAACTGTAAGAAAATGATATACCAAAAAGAGACAGAAGTTTATTAGCAGGTATCCTAAAGACTATTATTATCATAGAGACTAGTCAAAGTACTGAGAAAAGTCATAGAAACCAGAAGACGAAAACGGAGAGGATTAAAGACATAACTGCATCTACGTATACAGTTTAGACAGCTAAACATACAAACAAGAAAAACATATTTTGATAAATATGTCTTTAGAAAACATTGTCAAAGAGATACGTATCTTTAAAAACGTTAGACAGGCCTTTAAAATGGCAAAGAAGCTAGACAGTCTTCAACGTACCAAGAATAGGTCTTGATACAAACTAGAAGACTAAAATATCATCAAAGATATAAAGATTATGAACAATAAGGAACAGGAAAGAAACATGAAACCAAATATAAATTATTGACAAGCCAAATAAAGACTATCAAAAGAAAATAGAGATAATCAAGAAGCCAAAGACGATAAAGAAGCAAAGGACATCATTTGATATCTAAAACACATAGCCAACAGCTGCAGCCTTCAGCAGACTGTTGTAGCAATTAAAACACATTTTTAAAGATAAGGATGCGTGAATGCGGAAGACAGATGCTAAACTTTTTAATTAATCAAAAAGCCAAATTAATTTAACTTTAAAATGATTAATAACTACCAAGAAACCATGATCAAAACGGAGAAATAATGATAAGTATTTCATTCAGCACGTATTATACTGCCCAATACTCAAAAGTGAAGTTTTTGTTCTTAGAGAATTTTTCTGTACGCTCAAAGTTGACACTATTATGCAAATTTTGCAAAAATGAACCTTTTATCTTACATTTTATAAGCTACAGAAATTATTCAAATTTTTATAGAAAAAAGCGAAAATGCAGTAAAAGTGATAGTAAATAAAAAACAATTTCAGTATGAAAAGAATAGTAAAAAGATATTGTAACTCGCTTTCGTAGAGAAAAAATTATAAAAATCATAAAGAATAAACTATAAAGTATACATATACACTTTTATTATTATAGACAAAAGACTTTGCGATTCATGTAGTAGTCGTTTTTTTATTTTTCAGATAAGACATAACATAGGAAGTGTATACTAGAAACCGCTATTCAAACAGACAATGATTATACTTTAAATTATGTAGGCAGTTAAAAATATAATCATCAAGACATGTGATTGTACTATAATAGTAAACATAGTTTAATGTAATGTTTTATCAAAACTTTGGGACTTTACTATTCTAATAGACTGTATTTTACTGTTATATTATACTATTGCATACTACATATAATTTGGCATTTTGACGCACTCAGAAAATGTTTTATTAAGTTGTACTTAATCTGATATTTGAATGTTCTTTGAACTGTTATTGCTTTTTTATGGTTTTTGAGCCTGATCTTCTTTTAAAATCTTAGTTTCGGCCTTAAAATTCCACTGTAGTTATGTCCATTTTTACCCCACAAATAGTAAATATAATGAACCTTTACCTTCCAAACGATTTTTGTGCTTTTCCTCTTTTAAAACGCTACAGTTTGAAACATAAGCATTAAAACCGCATTGAATGCAACCCGAACAAACACTCTATGTACTTTAATCACAAAAAGTTTTGCAAATGAATTGAGTGTCCAGATTGTTGTCTCTTTCTTCGACTTGCACTATAAACAGTTGACTTCAAGGCAGTACCCGGACATTCTTTTCTTTTGATTGAATTCGAAAAAAGGTCCTTTGGATCATTAAAAAACTTTGTTAGAACTTTAAATCCAAATTTTAATGTAGATTTTAAAACAATAACCCCAGATTTTGTTAAAATTTTAAAAGATTTTTATATTTTTCAACCTTTGATCTACTACAATATAACTTTTTAAACGCACAGTACTAACAGTACCAAGCTATATACCAAAAATCATTTTTTATCAACATCTTCAAGCTACGCAGAGTCAATAAAAGCCTAAAAACGTTTGATTAAACATTTGAAAACTAGCGGTCGACCATGACAAACATTGCCAATGTGCTTGTGTTAAGGTCATCTTATCAAAACGTATCATTTGATGACTTCCACATAGAAAGCCATCATGTTTTTGTTTACATTATCAAAGTACAAATGCATATCAATCTTGAAATAGTGTTTTTGGCTTTAAAAGTTAATACAAAAACCATTGAAAATTTTAAAGATAAAATTTATACTTTAGTGTTAGCCTTAACTTTATCCTAAACCTTAGCTTTAATCATACAGTTGTAGTCGCAGCATTAGTTTGAACCTAAACCTGAGCTTGAGATTTCTCCTTAGTCTTTAGAAGTCTGAGCCTGAACCTGAATTTGAGCTTAGTCCTGCATCGGAGCCTGTGTTTTAACCTTGCTCTTAGTAGTCTAAGCCTAAACCTGAGCTTGACACTGTGCCTAAACCTTAAGCTTACTTTTAATAGCCTGAGCCTGACCTTGAACCTGAGCCGGAGCTTGAAACAAAGCTCAAGCCAAAGACTGAGCCTTTGCCTTAGCACTAGCCTTAGCCTTAACAATGCAAAACTTAAGTTCTTTCAACGTTCTTTGCTTTGGTAGCCTTTATTTTGAAGTTCTTTTGTCGGCTTTAAAGTTATCTTAATTCAAACACACGCCAATAAAGTAAAATCTCATGTGACGGTGATAAGATCAGCACTTTACGGCAAATGTCATGAACAGTTGTTCGTGGCACGTGAAGCGATCACGTGCACAGAACGTTATCGAAAGTACAAAGAATTTCCAATTTCGAATGTTTGTGTAGCTGGCACGGTGTTTGGACTGAGCGTTCTTTGTTTGAAAAGAGCCGGGCTTTGCATAAATTCTGGACTCAAAATTAAAGTTTTTATGCACTGTAAGGCTTTTTATACAGTGGCGGCAAGAAAAAATGGGACAGTCGGTTTTTCGTCAATTTTAATTTTTTTCGGACGTTTATAAATTTGTATCTAGCTATTATGAAAATGTAGGGTAAGTTTAACATATTCAACCAAAAAAAATTTTTAAATTTGAGTTTTAAACATTTTTAAAAAATTTTAGAAAAATTTTGCTTGGCAAAAAAAGTGGGACACTTCAATATCAAAGACATTTTTATTAAACAACCTAACTAAAACAACTAAAAATACGTTTAACTAACAAACAATAACTACTGCTTTGTCGGACCATTTTTTCTTGCCGCCACTGTAAGTAAAGATTGAAGTAAACTACCCTCGTGATTTTTTTAGCTTTAAACTTAGCCTTGTCCAGTTCAAGCACTACTCATTACACTTCTTATAATCCTAATTTTACTGTAGCCTTAACTTTCAAAAGTGCCTGTACTGTTTCGTATTTTACAAAAATATATCTTCTAGCTTTTTATTGCTCTTTTTAGTTTGATAACAAGAATTCAATGAAACAATAGTAGTACAAGTCCAATCTGAACTTGTAAATGATTGAAAGGTCACTTTCCAAGAAACAGTAAAGATTACAACAAATTTGATAGAAAAAAGACCTTCAGCAAGAAACATTAGCTTAATATACAACATTTAAAGTGTCATATTCAATCCTCACCACTCACAAAAAAAATTTTAATGTGCCCTATCGTATCCTCAAACTACAGTAAAACCCAAAAAACCTTAAAAAACAGGACAGAACGCGCCCTTTCAAAACAAGATATTCAGTTTTCACAAAACAATGACTTTGTTTTAAAAAGTGTTTTTAAAATGTTTTAAAAATGGACTGATCGAATATTACACTAAAGGGATCAATTAAAACTTGCAAAAGGACTTATCTCAATTAACTGTCTCTTCACGTGGACATTACATGCACTTTAATCATATGTATACAAATACCATAAACATATTATTAAAAACAAAAGATATATAAATAGTATAATAAGTTTGACTAGATCAATATGTACCTGAAAAATTTAAAGACTGTAACTATTGCAAAAAGAAATGGCCGAAAAATATAAAATAACAGAGCACGTTTACCTTCTATAAGTAAAAAGATAAAACAACATTTTTTTCATAATCAAAATTGTAAATATATAAATTAAGGCACCTGTAAGAGGGCCAAGCCAAGTCTAATTTGTCAGCGCGGTTCCTTTCAAATTTGCTTCGGCCTGACCAGCCCAGCATGAAAACGCTGGTCCCCTTTCAGGTTTAGGTATTATACAAAACGGCCTTTAATATAAAACACTACATCTAGATTCACAAATTAAAACTTAAAATAGAAAACGCCACCACAAAGTCTACTGTTGCTCAGGAAACCCTTACTACTAACGACAAAACTTTCTAACATCATTCTATTGTCAATCTGATACTGTTGACACCCAAAAACTGTCAATCCAATCTTGTCAAAACTAAGTTTTACTACAACTTCCGCAATTAGTTTTTTGAAAACAACCTTGATATACTATTGACAATTAAAAGTACTTTTCAGGCATTTTTAAACTTTTTAAACTACCCTACCCTGCCCTACCCTACCCTACCCTACCCTACCCTACCCTACCCTACCATACCCTACCCTCTTCACTAGAAAAATGTTTGTAAGAGACCATCCCCTAGCTTTATAACTCCTATCTCCACACCTTTCTCAGAGCCTAATAACCCGCCTATTCCTGACTGTAACCAAATCACCCGCCTATCCCTGACCGTAATCGAATAATCCGCCTAGCCCTAACTGTGATCAAAAGACCTCAATACCTACTGTAACCACCATTCGCTCTACAATTTCAGAAACGTATAGTATAAAAACGTATAATAATCGAATTGTAAACTTTGTAATCGCAGTTATCACTGCCATGTTTCTAAATTTACATTGACAAAAACTACCCTTATCGCTTTTATGATACCCTAATGGTGCAAAAAGTGGCGGTGGCGCCGTTCGGCCGCAAGGTAATTAAAAGGAAGTGGTTATTAAAAAGGCAACATTTTGCCTGAGGCTATCATAAGGTGGTTGTTGGACTTTACACTAATCTTATAGTACTTAACCGTCATTTATTGGAAAATACAGTCCATAAATTATAATTTATATTACTGTAAACTCGTTATTTCCTTACTGTAACGCTGTTAATTCACATTATTTAACGATGACAACAACCTACACCTACTACAATGAAAATGCCTTACTGAACTACTGGGAACCTCACACCAGTACCTACAACTACGCTGATGTTAACCTCAATGCATTTTACTATCAATCTCAACAAAAAGATAAGAAAGCTACTGAAGACAAAATGGCCAGCAAAGTGTTAAAGACTGTAGAAGATATTCAAATGGCACAAATTCAGAGGAATGAAGAGTTAGTACAGATGTTGTCGCCTATTAGGAAGTGTCAGGTAAGAGAGAAATTTAGCGAACGTATGAGTAGTAGTGAAAAAAATTTTTTTAATGGCCAATTCAAAAAAAATTATTTTTTACCTAGCCGAAAGGTGACCTACAAGACACACCTTTGGGGCAGGCTGGGCCAGACAAACCAAAATTTGAAACGGTCCAGAGCAAGCCGAAAATTTGAACTCATTCTCATGTGTATAAGCCTAGCCTCCCCCCCGAAAAATATTTTTTCATTACACCACCCACCTGAAAAGAGACCCACTAGGCCCAGCAACAACCCCAGTTCTGGGTCAGGCCGAAGAAAACATTAAAAGTTGCTGACCAACCCAAGAACTTACAATTAGGGTGAGCACCTCTACAGGCCTGGCTCATTCCAAAAAAAATTTAAAAAATGTTGAACATGGACGTTCCTTTCGCCTTTTCAAACAAAAAAAAAATTGAAAAATCCCCTCTCTCTTTCAATGTTTTATCAGTTTATCCCCCAAAATTAAAAAAAACTTCAAAGGTATTATATAAAACAAAACAAATGTTTACGACATAAATAAGCCGTCAACTTTTAGGAACGAATTCAAGCTGGTCAGACGAAGAGAAATGCAGAAAATGCACGTCGCAAGTTCTCGTTGACAAACGGAGTAAAAAAGAATAAAAGTAAGTGACATAAATCACCAAGCGCTTAATTAATGGAGTAATTATCAAATGTTAAGAGATTTGGAATGTTTTATCAATAAAATTCAATTTTGCAAAAATTGGATTACTGTATTTTGAGATACAGTAAGGTTGAAAAGTAGTACTGTAAAATAATAAATTTCAAAAACTAACAATACTCGTCATACAGACGCTCTTATAACCTTACTTTAAAGTAATTACATCTACACCTATACCTACACCTACCCCACCAAACCTCACATATATTGACCTTCAAATCAAAAAATGTCTCTTTATTTACCCAGAAACACAAAAAAAAATAAAAAAAAACAGCTTAATCAGCCCATGATTAAACACAAAAACACCCCCAAACCCTTATTATTTCAGACGCACCCGCCCATGACCCCAAGCGCAGCTCACTGTCGATGCGTCGCTGGAAGACCGAGATCGTGTCGAAGCTCCAAGTCCAGCCCCATTACTATACGTATGATACGAGTAGATGGTCGGCATCGAGATGATGCAATCATCTCATTATCATCAAACCATCTGCCAATCTTAATGTTCTCGTCCTTGCTTTGACTGTCTGGCCGTCTCTTTGAAGCTTATTGTCTTTTCTCCGACTCTCACTTCAAGGTGTACTAGCTATTGTATGAACTCTCTTCAAGTTGTATTGTCCTTTCTCTGGCTTTCACTTTAGCTTATTGTATGGCACTCTATTCAAGCTGTTTTGTATTTTCGAGTTTCTAGTCATATCTTGTTATTTTACTTATCTATATGTTTCTTGTCATTTGCAAACAGTCTTATCAAGTTCTTAACAGTTTTTGATGATTTTTACAATGTATTTTAATCTTTCCAATTTTTTTTAAAATGATGATATTGTACGACATACATCATTAGACTATAAAAAATATATTTAAACTACTTTTTATATATTTTATTATTTGCATCAGTTTCTTTACTCTAAACTCCATTCTATTGGCATTTTTTCTCGTCGCCTCTCTTATTGGCCTTCTCTCTCGCTTTATCTCCCTTTCTCTGCTCGCTCTCCTTCAAAGCTGCACTCTCTCGCTCCTTTCCTCTCCGGAAGGCCTTATTTCTCCAAATTTCTCTAGCCGCTTACACGTGACCGTACTCTCCCCCCCCTTCTTTCCAAAAGGCGCCATTTTCTGCCTTCTCTAAACACCCTCTCTCGTTCCCGCAATCTCTCTTCACCCTTTCCAAAAAACAAAATTTCTCTCGTTTCCCTACACACCCTCCCCGAAAATCCCACTCTCTCACCCCGGAGTTCACGGAATATTGCAATAGATCTTATCATACGAAATAAAAACAAGCAATCGCAGTAAACAAGGCTTAATATAGTTACATGAAAGGTGATAATGTAAACATCGTTGATAAAATCGACAGTAAAATCGAAAAACTGCTCATTTCGTGCGTTTTCGCCAAAAATTGATCTAAAATCATGTCGATTTCGGTGCGATTGGAGAAGAAACGGCCAGCAATGATGCACCAAATGGCCGTGAATTGTTTGCATGGCTTTAAGCAGGTGTTGGTGGACATTTCACCGGTCAATGTCGTCAAGAAAGTAAGGGTTTTAGCTAAAATTTGAGGGAATTTGAAGTATTTTTGCTAGTTTAGGTAATTTAGGTAACAAAGTTTATATTTTTATGGAATTTGACATTTTTATAGTCGAAAATAGATTTTTTATGATGGTAATGTGATGGAGAATGTTGATAAGCGTTTCTGTTGTAATTTAGAGCACAAAACGTGATCTTCTCCTTTATATTAATCATGAACTTATTTCCTTCAAGTTTTTTACAGTTTCTTCGAATTACTTTACAAAACTTGCAAAATAATATCAATTTTGAGTTTTTTCTATATTTTCTGCAAAGCTTGTGACACTTTTTAGGCATTGATATTGAATGGGAATGTTTTACAAGTCAAGAACCAATGTTATCAGTTGGAGAACAATGTAAAGCTGGTCGGGATAGGCAAGGCAGCACATGAAATGATTGTTGGTGCTGAAGAAGTGCTTGGAGGTCATGTTAAGGATGGCGTTGCTGCTGTTCCTGTTGGCACAAGGTTAGTTTTTGAAGATTTATAAAACAAAACTAGTACATGGTTATTGTGTTATTTGCATAATACGAAATGCAAACGTAAAACAATATTTTAGAGTATCAGCTAATCTCAAGACGAAGTTTCTTCAAGGTGCCAAGGACAATTTACCTGATGAAGCTGCAGTTAAAAATACAAAGGAGATCTTACAGTACTTGAAACAAAATAATCGTGGTGAAGATAGCTTAGTTTTGTTCTTGATATCAGGTAAGGATTCAAACTATCAGGTTGTTCAAATAATTCTGTGCCTTCTGTCAATGCTCATTCTCGGGGTCTGGGTCACAGAATTATTTGAACTACCTAGTTATGCCAATATTATATCAAATACTGGCCATAAGACTTTTAGGTACTGAATAAGCTAATAGTTATTGTATAGATCAATAGGTACCGTAAACATAAACTAATAGGTACTGTATAAACTAACAAAAGCAAGATTTACTTTAAGGTGGTGCATCAGCCTTGTTAACAGCACCAGTAAGTGGAGTATTATTGGAAGACAAGTTGGCTACAATCAAGTTGATGGCTTCAAATGGTCTTGACATCAAAGAGATGAACACAGTAAGAATAGCATTGTCTGAAGTCAAAGGAGGCGGACTGGCTAGAAATCTGGGCAAAGCGAAGGTAGGCTAACATCATATTTCACTATGACTTTGAATTCTGTACCCCCTCTCAAAGCGGATTGGTTTTTGAAGTTGGGGCACAGAATTATTTGAACTACTTAATACTTTTTTTAAAGTTAGTGACATCAAGATTCATTTTAAGGTGGTTCTATAGATTTTCTGACCAAATACTCCCTATATTACTCATTAGTACTAAACTTATGACTTACAAGGGAAAGGCAAATAGGGGGTATCGGACCTAGAACTGATACCTATATCATTTGAAAGAGCGTGAAAAGTTATGTAGAAATCAAAATTTTTAGCGGCCCAAAGTCATATACTAAAAAGTTACAGTAATATAAAGTTTTTCCTATGAGATTTCTTATTAGAGAACACTCTGGATGAAAGCGCCGAAAACGAGAGCAAAGCACTGTGTGTTCTGGTGGCCCAGTGGGTCGAAGCCTAGCCTTGCATTCCAAAAGGCTGAGAGTTCGAATCCCACTGCGGTCGCACTTTTGCTATCGTTTTATTTTAATCCCTGCAGGTTTGCAAAAATGTTGTAATTTTTTTATTTTGGCAAAAAAAGACTAATAAGCGTTTTTAAAGATTTTTATTTATTTTTAGTTTATTTGAATGGCAAAATTAGGCAGTCAAATTATATTCGTTTTACTATACAGTGTTAGTTTAAACATTTATTAACGCTTTAATTTTAATAAAGTAACAGTTCTTTTTATCAAAAAGAACATTAACAACCATTAAAAAGATTATTTTAAAGTTTCAGAACAAAGCACAGAAAAAAAAATTTTTTTAATTTTTTCCAAAAAAATCCACAGGGGGGAGACCCTTTGGAATCTTGGAAAGTCGTAAACATTGAATTACTGTAACTTTTTAGTATATGACTTTGGGCCGCTAAAAATTTTGATTTCTACATAACTTTTCATGTTCTTTCACATAATATAGGTCTCAGTTCTAGGTCCGATACCCCCCTATTTGCTAGTTCCCTTGTTACGTTACCTATTTACAGGGAATTTCCCTCATCATGTCGGACATTGTTGGTGGTCAAATGGCCAAAGTTGGAAGCGGCCCCACCGTACTACAACCCCGAAACCTAACCGACGCTGCCAGACTTCTGGAGACGAAAGGCTTATGGGATCAGTTACCATCGAATGTTCGTGAAGCTCTTCAGAAACCAGAAACCATATCTTCGGATAACAATGTTAATGTACAAAATGAACTTATAGCTGACAATCAGCTCCTTCTACAGTCGGTCAAGAACAACCTGGAGCTTGAAGGCATCCCAACAGTCATTGTCAACAACAGCCTCGAGGGAAATGCTCGAGAAATCGGCGAGAAATTCGCGGAATTTGTGGAAAATTGGGACAAAAACTCGGAAATCAGACCTCCATTCGGCCAGTTCAACCTCAAAGTACAACAAGGTGGAGCCTGTTTGGCATTGATATACGGTGGGGAAACTACTGTAGCATTCCCGAAAGTATTGGAAGTCAAGCACCCTAAGGGCGGAAGAAACCAGGAAATGGTGTTGGCCTTCTTCAACTACCTCAAAAGGTCCAAAATCTACAACAACAAACGGTTTGTCTTCATGAGCTTAGGATCAGACGGTCAAGATGGTCCTACTGATGCTACTGGAGCCTTCATCTGTTCAGAAGACTTGGATGTTAATGATGAGAACTCAAATAAGATCGAGTTCTCGTTGGTTAACAAGAATTCTTACGGATTCTGGAGCGATTTTCTGAACGGAGAACGACTAGTTAAAACTGGAAAGACTGGTAATAACCTCATGGATGTACAAATATTGATTCTTGGATAATTTTTGATTTAATAATGTACAAATTAATAACATTCCCTCCGTTTCTAATAAATAATATCATAAGTTTTAAGTACTTTTTGTTTCAAAGTGAAATTCCTAGTAAAAAAAATCATTATCATAGCAAAAATATGTAAAATACAGATTTAAAGTTTACCTTTCAAATGGCAATATGTATTGGAGAGCAAGTAAATGAACAAAAAACTACGCTTTCGCTAAAAGTCAATAGTGACACTTCGCCTTACACAATAACGAAGTGTCTAAAAATATCTCGCGGCTTTTTCTGATATAAACGCCCGCGAATCTTTACTTTGCGAACACTTGTAGACAACCTAACTTCCTCAAATGTCTACTGTGACTCGGTCTTCGTCACTTCGACGTCAACCTCAGCGCACGGCCAAGAATCCTCCGCCACCTCCGCCGAAGAAAGTGTCGTTACCTCAAATAAAGAAACCTGTAGCTCGAGTACAGTCCAAACCTTCCACCAGCAACAAGAATGGAAACTCGAGGAACTTGAGGTCGAACAATGAACGCAGGAGACCGTTGGTTAACGATGGTAAGCATATTATAATTGGTTTTTTAATTTTTAGGTAACAAACGTTGAGTTTGGAGGATGGTGTTTTATATAAGGTTTGCAAAAGTTAATTTTTATTAGATATTATTTTTTGGTAACTTTTACTATATAAAAAGAAGTAAACTACTTCGATTACAACAATTTTGATTTCATACCTAAAAATCAAAAAACGGAAGTAATCTGCCCAAGGTTTTTAACAAACTGATATTGCAGATGCTACAAAGAACAAAGTTACACATAGATTTATTCAACTCGGCGAAAGATGTCAGGTAACGATGCCGAAAGAAGGTCCACATCAAGGACCTTCTCATAGTCCTGAAAGAGAAGTTTGTGTGTGGAAGATGGACGGCAGTGAAATGAAAGCTGAAGAATTAGAAGAGTTTTGTTGTGATACCTACGAGAAATATGGGCTTCCTTGTGAACGAGTAAGTATTTTTAATTTGCTTTAAAGAACGACTGTTTTTACTATAAAGGTGGTATATCAAGCTTAAATTTAGCACGGTCGTTGTTATTCTTTATTTTTTGAGTAATTTTTAAACTTTATAATTGTATATTTTAAAATGTAGTAATAAAGAAGCAGTTCAAGGGCCTAAAGACTAAGATTAATATGTTTAGGCCATGTACGCTTTATATAACAACGATTTTGATAAGAAGAAGGCGATGGTGCAGGCGGAGGAATCAGCGTTGTTACAAGAACAATGGTCAGATAATGATTGTTTTGCTTTTAATGGGCTTTTTGCTACCTACGGCAAAGATTTCAGGAAGATTCATAAAATGGTAAGCTGTATATACACTATTTTACACCTAAAGTTGAAAAAGGGTTATTCAATCAAATGCTTAATATAATTTAATTTTTATTTTTTCAAATAATTATTATTTTGTAAAATACGAATGTATTAACCAATTCATTTCAGATGTCATACAAATCGATGCGAAGTCTGATCGAGCACTACTACAAGGTAAAAATGGTCAGTTACAAGGTTGGAGGTCTGATAGAAGCCACGAAACAGCCGAATGTACCAGCATTGAATGGGTTTGAAGAGGAAGATGATGAATATGATCTAGATAAAACTGAGTCGGTTTGTGACAATTGTGGTGCAACAGCTATTCTGCATCAGATCAACAACGAAATGCAGTGTTTGAGTTGTAAACGGTTTTTTGAGTACGTTTCTAAGCTTATTTTTTGAAAGATTCAGTACTTTTTTAGGTTTTGATTTAAAATTTTGATTTTTAGGTATTAAAATGAAGAAGTGAATTGAAATGACATTTTTATTAGTTTTATCAAATGCACTATCAAAACATGAGCCATCATGGGTTTACGATTGATTTTTTAATTTTACATAGTTTTGGTTTTTCAGAGAATTCAATTACAATCGACCAGTAGACAGAAGTGATAAACGGGCTCTATTAAAGTACGATGAAGAAGCTCAGATTTTAGCTGATAAGTTCACTCAAATCTTCTTCAATGCTCCTGTCGATAAATCGAGGCCTAGTTTTGTGAATATGAGAGGGTAAGGCTACTTTTTTTTGTTTGGGTGGGGTGATTTAAATTTTTTTGTCTAATGGGCTATAAATAACAAAGATCAATTGAATTTACTTCAATAGGCAAGTAGGTAATAATGTTTAATTTTGTTGTTATAGAAAACGCCAAGCCGATGCCCGTGAGATTAAAATGAAATCAGCTCAACAAGAACAAGCCTCGTTGAGAGCTGTGAAACATTTGGCTGTGACATTGGAACTGCAAGCTCAAAAGAAGTACATGAACAAGAAGAAGCATAAGCCAAAGCCAATCGATGCCTGGAACAAAACCGAACAGAAGATTGCGATTGGATGTGAGTTTTACATCTTTATCAACTTTTTGGTTCAATATTCATGTAAATTTTTTGAAAAGTTAGGCTTAAAGTAATCAGCAGCAATAATACTGTTATTAAATTTTGTCGTATTTCACTTTTATTTAAAGTAAATCTATATGTTTACAGTGTTGGTCAGATATTCGGGGAACTGTGAGAAGACGGCGAGGATATTGGGCACAAAAACCGTGGAGAATGTGGAGGCATTGTATAAGAAATACGAGTCTTGTATAAAGGAAGAGGTGGAGAAAATCAAGAAGCAGGTCGATCTCGAGAGTGATGTGAATGCAATGTACAAGACCATTACTCAGAAGACGCCACCGGTCGATGTGGTGGATCTGGACTGAATAGAAGGGCATTCTTATGTTTTGGGGTAGAAGGGCTATTGTCATGGTGGAGTGTATGTTATGATGAGATGAAATTACTATATTACCATAAAGAAGCATGTATTATTAGGTTGTTCAAATAATTCTGCGCCCTTTGTAAAGCAAATTTTCGGGGTTATGGGGTCAGAATTATTTGAACTACCTCATATTCTCATAAGGAATGGTATATTATTGAAGGAATGATCAATATTGTGATGACTATTCGTATAGGATGGTAAATCTCACTTTTTTGAAATTGTATTTTATATTGTTCTTCTTGTGTTATGGTTAAATAAGATTAATTTATGTTGACATAAACGGCTTTTCTTGTCTCTTATTAACCTAACAACCGGTATGTTGTCTTACTGTTACTTTAGCTGTTCAGTTGAGCTTCATAGGTTGTGGACGAGGTTCTTCACCATTTTTTTATTTTTTCGTTTGGTCTTTTAAGCTTAATAGTTTTTGGCTCATTCATATTCGGACAACTTGATACAGTAACATTATAGCTTGTATACTAGCGATGGTGAAGAATATTGTACACAGCTTAATATTTCGTGCATAGATGTTCAGTAAATTTATTTTCTTTGTTCTTGGGACTTACAGTTAACTACTGTATTGATGTTAATGATTTTCAATGATTTTGATTAGATTTACGTTTTGTTTTATTGAGTTTAACTTTACTTTTTTGTAGGTAATGCGCTGTTTTATCTTTATACTCTTATACTTAATAAAGAGTAGAAGTTAAGAAGGACATGTTGTTTTATAAGGGTTATACAAGGGGTACTAGCAGGGGGTAGAATTGATATCGTGAGTTATGTAAAATACGGCTCTGGAACATGTGTTTTCTTAATATAGCATATAAGTTCGATTGAAAAGTCAGAAATATTATTTATTTTATCTTACACTGTTAAAAAGTATATCTTACTTTATGAAGATTAAAGTTAAAATAACTTTTTGGACAAGTAGAAGACGGTAGAGAATACCTACCACAAGTTATGACTAATTGGACCCAAAGCCCATCCTTTTATTTGCTTTAGACTTCAAAAACTCGCTGCCTCAATCTACCACAAGTTATGACATCCCAGACCATGTTAATCAGCCCTCCGGTCATTAATATGTTTGATGAGCGGCCAGACACGGTAAACCGTATCTCCGAGCACATTTCCTCCTTGCTCAGAGTTAATAACTTCCGTTTTTTGTCTTCAAACAATCCGCTTTCTGACCCGTTTATCGGCCACTCGAATTGTGGCCGGCCCTAAGGGCGGTTTCGAGTTGATCAAATAATGGACGTCGCATTAGTAATATAATTATCGTTTTGTTTGAGTTTCGAATTTTTTCATTCAACTGAAACTGTTGGCTTACCGCGTTTTTTCGTTGGGTAAAATTATTTTTTGGGTATTGTACGGTAAATGGGTATTACACAGTAAATGGGAGTGGAAAGTTAGAGTGAATAGGGTAAAGTAAGGTAGGGCAGAATACGGTAAGGCAGTGTTAGGTAAGGTAGAATAGGATAAGATGGTGTAAAGTGTGGTGGGATAAGGTAGGATAAGTGCACTTAACTTGCTGTACAATATAGGCTGGAGGCCAGAAAGAGTAATTCTTTTAAAGAAGAAGGTGCCTGCTAAAGAGAAGTTGATTTATATAACCTTTCAAGTTTTTTAAAATTTTTATTTTTTCCATTTTTGTTTGTATACGATTGATTAACATAAATCGTGGTTGATTTGTGATCAAAAAATCCGCAACTGCTGCCAAGGAGGAATAAAAAGGCTAGGTAATGAATCAAAGTCCAAAAAATATTCTGTAGTTCGCTGTGAATAAAAAAAATTTTTTAAATTTAAAAGCGATAAATTGTTTTGATTTTTTAAGTTTTTGGGGTTTACTTTTTTCCAATTCGCTACCTCTAGTTGTGTTGACTTACTATTATATTTACAATGTGCTGTTTTCTATAAAAAATTTTCTACAGCGCAGAGCTTGTAAGTAGACTTAAAAACGGGCCTACTAGGTCTAGCCCAGGCCGGACCAAAGCAAATTTAAAAGTGAACAGGTTGGCACATGTTGAAAAAAAGGTTTGACGTGTAAAACGAATCTGATTTTAAAGTTGTTTACTTGAGAATAATTTTTGAATTGGCAGAGAAGTAGTACGACGCAAATTACAAATATAATAGTGGTTGCAGTTATTGTTTATTAAATTTATATATATAAAGTTCAGGCCGAGCAGAAAAATTGGCCCGGCTCGGCCCATTTACAGATCTACTTGTAAGACTAAACTACAACTTTACTATCTGGTTGATCAAATAGTTCTGGGTTTTCTCTCAAAGCTAATTTTTGAGGTTTGGAGGTACAGAATTATTTGAACAAATTGGCGTAAAATTATTTTAGAAATTATAAATTACTTTATAATTTGACTAACAATAGGTCTTTCTTGTAAAAATCCCCACCCCATTTAGAGTACCTCACCCTAAACCCTTTGAAAAGACAGCTCGTTGAAGACACTTTTATCGTTTACTCTTGCATTGTCTTCGCTTTATTTTGGAGTTTAAAAAAGAGTGTTTTCTTGACCCAACGTGAAGATCACTGTACGGAAATCGGATCCCCTCGGGCGGCCCGATTCCGCGTCGTTTTGTTCATGATCTCCTCGATTTGTTTAAGCTTACACTTTTGAGGCCCTTATTGTCGCGCGCTCGGCCAATTTTTGAATGACCTCTGGCCACTTTTGCTTCTTCCTCGTTGCGTGCTGACTTGAACCCGCACTTTTGGAATTTTTTGTTAAAATACGGGGGATTTGTGATAAAATACGGGGAATTTTTTTTTAATTTTACCAGTGTGTTTAACTACATATTATAATATTAATAAAGCTATTTTTGTCCAAAATATAAAAAGTTTCAATTTAAAAAATTAAAGGATAAATCAGCTTTTGTATGTTTAGGTTTTTAGGATGATATACCGTGTCAAAACGTGACTTTGCTTGAATTAAAATCATGCTCTGTACGTTGCTTTTTATTTAAGGTGATTCAAGTAATCCTGTGTTCTCTCACAAAACAAATTTTTGAGTTAAGAAGCTCAGAATTATTTGAACAACTCCATACAGTACTTTTTATATATAAGCAACCCGAACGGGACGACATTTTGAGTTTACTATAAGGGGTGTTGTCTTTACAGAGTTATTTTTAGTCTAAATTGACTTGGCGAAGCTAAATGTCTTGTTTACTATAAGGAGTGTTGCATATACAGATTGTTCACTATATAGAGAGACAACTGTCGATGATAAGACATTCTGCTTTGAGACATAGAGTGTAGGGTAGGGCTCTTAAAATCAACTATTGTACAATAATTTCATTTTTCCTCCATTGCCAAGCACTTAATCTTACTGAAATTTACAAGCTTGTATTTTACCTCAAAATTTAGAAACTTTTTGTTTAAAACATGTTACAAACGTAAACTCTACAAAGCACTGGCTAAACGTCCTGCGAGTTTGTTTTTATGATACGCTAGTGTAGGATACTCAAGTTACTTTCTGCAACTATTACTCTACTGTTTAAACAGATACTCCACATGATTGATGGTTAATCAGAGGCAAACAAACCATAGTATTTGGGATACTTAAATAGTATAGTAGTGTGTCTTTATTGCTTTGTCATCTAAAGTTTAGCGGTAAAATTGGTTTTCCTGTATATGGGTTAATAAGTACGTATTTTATCTTGTATATGTTATTGAATGCTTGATGTTTTACTGTGTAATATATACATTTTGATGCTTATAGAAGTTTTTTACATTTATAAGTAGAATACCACAGTAATAAAGGCCTGTTTTCAGCTTTACAGCCATGCTGAGGTTACTATATATGCTGTTATGCACTACATTGCTAGTTTACAGTGCTGATAATGCTACAGAAGTAAGTGTTTAACTATATTATTCTTCTGCTTTCTACCTTCTTTATTTAATAACCTTTGTAATTACCATAAAACCACAAATATTTACCATTCTTTCTTGTAGACAACTCCAGAATCCCGCAATGAAACCTCAGTAGTCGTCCGAGCCAAACGCCAAATGGCTTGCTGCTACCCCACCCCCATGGTGTGTTGCCAAGCTCAACCCATGATCCCAATGCCATTACCTATCATACCCGTAACCGAGAAGCCATCATGTGACTGTATCCGCCTCAGAATCGAGGTACAACAATGTGATTGTGCTGGAATGCAACAATCTCAATGTGGTTGCAGTTCGCAGCAACAAAACTCCTGCAACTGCCAACTAATGCAACAACAAGCTGACCAATGTGGCTGTGGACCTCTGCAGTACCAAGTACAATGTAATTCGTGTCAGCAACAACAGCAACAACCGCAGATGATTGTGTTGCCGCAACAAACGCAACAATGTGCACCAGCTTGTCAACCCAGTTGTGATCAACAATGTATTCAAGCTCAGAAAGCGCAGATTATTGTAGTGCAACAGCCTCAACAACAACAACAGTGTGTACCACAATGTCAGCCATCTTGTGATCCACAGTGTGTCAATATCTACATTCAGCAACAGCCGCAACAACAGGTAAAAACTTTGGGTTTTGGGTTATAAAATACGGTACTCCATTCATTCATTGAAAAATCGTATAATATTGAAATGGCATTTTTAAAGGCCTTGAAACAGAATGCCAAAAAGCGCGAGGAAAAAATAAAATTCAAATTTTTGCAATTTTAAACTTTAATAAAAATGTCATAATCAAAGTAAAAAACAAAATTTAAAACTTTTAGTTTTCCCAATGCATGCCAGCCTGCCAGCCTAGCTGCTCATCCCAATGCCTACAACAACAACAGATGTGTGCCCAAGCTTGTCAGCCATCGTGCCAGAATAACTGCCAGAATGATCAACAATGCGTAGCCATGTGTCAACCAGCATGTGTACAATCTTGTGTACAACAAGCTGTTCAGGTATGTTTTTGAAAAAAACTAGGAAATTTGAATTTCTGTTTTGGCGCCAAAATTGGCATTGCGGTTTTTATGGTTTTTAGGCTTAATTTTCGCAAGATTTAAAAAAGGAAAGGTCTTGATGCGTATTTTACATTTTTTTCAAAATTTATTTTAAAAATTGTGCTAGTTAAAGAGTGGTTTGAAAATGGCACTAACAGTACTAAAAAGCTATAACTTTTAGCGCAACTACATGCCAGCGCAACAGCAATGCCCTCAGATGTGCCAGCCGGCTTGTTCAAGCCAATGTGTTCAACAACAACAAATCTGCCAGGCTGCATGTCAACCATCGTGTCAGAGTACGTGTAGAGACAACAGCAAATGTGTACAACAATGTCAGCCAAGCTGTGAGAATGCTTGTATGGAGCAGGCTAAGGAGCTGAGTATTCAGGTATCAAAATTTTACAATTTTTAAAGGACCATTCAATATAAATTTATGTCCTGACCTTCCGCAACAAATCAGGGGAAAAAAAGAGAGCGCGGGAAAAACGCGGGTAAAGTGGGGGTATGTTAGGGTTATGCAATAGTAATGTAGAGTAGGCAAAGTAGGGTTTTTAAAACGCCACTATAATGTCATTATTCCCTCTTTTTTAGGTAGTAATCATGGCCAATGACAAGAACAAACAACAATACTGCCCACAACAATGCCAACCCTCCTGCCAACCGCAATGTATGCAACTTGTGCAGCAATGTCCGCAACAATGTCAGCCATCTTGCCAACCTCAGTGCATTCAACAACAAGTCCAAGTCCAACAATGTCCTCAGCAATGTCAACCAGCCTGTAACCCTGCTTGTGTCATTCAGATCCAACCCATCATACCAGCCTCGTCGTGTCCTCAACAATGTCAGCCAGCTTGTGCACCATCCTGTACTCAACAGCAGCCACAGTACGTTTGTATGCAGCCATGTCAACAACAATGTCAACAGTCGTGCAACAACAACCAGATGTGCATGCAGTCGTGTAACACGAATTGTATTCAGTTGTGTGCTCCGCCAATGACGACCAGTGAAATGCCTCCGGTGATTCTGCAGCCGGTTGTCACTACCACTCAAGCACCATGTTTGCAAATGTGCGCGGTAAGTATTGATATATATGTGGAGGTTATATAGCTGCTTTATAGTTATTTTAACTACTAGTATTAGTTTTTTAAATAGGCGTGTAAACTGTTACCTAAAATTTAAAAAAAAATTAAAATTCTTAAAATATAGATTTCTTATCAAAATTTTAATTTTATAGAGATATTTTAAAATTTTAAGCAAAGGAAAGCCTTACAATGTCTAAAATAATACAAATCTCTATGGAAAACTACCTTAATATTGCCCTCGCCGCATCGTGTGTCATTAGTATAGTGGGAGATTTCTCGCGCACCGTTCAGAAGGCCTGTGGTTCGGTTGTCGCGCGAGTAGAGTCCATTTCATTTGAGGTTTTACATTTATTTCGAAATGTAACGCCGAAACAGGGTGGGCAAAGAGTTGCTAGAGTTGTGTATGTCGTATCTTATCAATGATTAGTACGGCTTCTGTATTCTAGGACAGTTATTTTGTAAAATACGCTGTATGGTTGCCAAAACGTAAAATTTTAGGAAAAATTTGAAAATTTGGGTTTTATGGCAGGTTTTATATCATGAAAGGAGTTACTATAGTTATGGTAGTGAATGTTACAGTATAAATTGGCAATTTTTTAAAATTTTACTTTAATATTTAACTGTAAGATCACCGATACCATTACCTACACCCTTCTATAACAACATACTTTTAGCCTATGCCAGTAATGCAATGTATGCCTCAATGTCAGCCATCGTGTAGTCCTCAATGTATGCAGCAATTTGATAGTCAGCGTCAACAGGCCCCTACTACAATATGCTTGACCATCAACCCTCCCATGGTATCTTCAAGTCAAGGTTGTTCGTGTGGTCAAGGCTATGTTCAGTGTAACCCTGGCGTCTGCTGTCTCCGCCGACGCGTACGCAAAGCCAAGATGTAAATTCTACAGTAACCTCTGAGGTACTGTAAACTAAACTGGGAATCTCGTCTTGTTACAGTAATTTTTGTTTTTGTAGTAATACCTGCTATGCTACAGTAATTCTGTTTATTTTTAGCAATCTTGTTACAGTAACCTTATAATATTTTTTCCTTAAGTTACTGTACATTTTTTTTCTGTCACAGTACTTTGCGTCCGATTTTTTGTTCGTATCTTACTGTAGCTTAAATTGTTTTACCGTAATATTTCTTTAATACTTACTAACCTTGTTACAGTACTCTCATAATTTCATCTAAAGAGTACTGTAACAGTAGTTTCAAAATGGAGTAGTATTTGTATGTAATGTCATTAGAAGCTTTAGTAGTTATATTGTATGTTTTCCTCAGAACATATCTCTACCTATGTATACGGCGTCGTATATACCATTTAGTAGTCTTTCATAACTAGTATAATATCGAGCTGTTTGTTATTCCGAACTAAATTCCATTTGTCTGTATATTACCGTATTATCACAATAAACTAATATAAGTATATAGGATGTCATTTATAGGTTTATGTACATATGTAGGTCTATACCTATGTATATATGAATAGCAATTCTGCCAAATAAAAATCGAATTATATTATTATTACATTAAAGTAAAAACAGGTAGATTTACAAGAAAAGCACCAATATACAAACAATTTCAGGTCATATACAAGAATATGGCACGGCCAAGTACCATGGTAATAAGTAACAATACTAGATTTAATTTGATTCTACATTAAAAATACTGTAATGCAGAATCAACCAAAGTTCAGAAGGTACAGTAATGGGTTTGATTTTGGCATGATCTTTGTCTGGTCAAAGGCTGAAAAGCAAATGTAAGTTTATGTAAAGATAGGGTAGAGTAGGGTAGAGTAGAGTAAAGTAAGGTAAAGTAAAGAATGATAGGATAGAGTAAGGTAGGGTAGGTAACTTACCAACAACAGTACACTCCGTCCATTCTTGAAATGATATCTTCTTATCATTGTTTGAATCACATATTCGTATAAAAGATCGACCACATCTTTTCACCCCCTCCCAATGTCGTATCACCTTGCGGAAGGGTTGGTACTCATGATGGGTCAGATACTGTAATATAAGAATTCTTTATTTTATTTTTAACCATCCCCTCAAAAATTCATTTCTACCCCGCCCTTTGTTCTAAAACCATATTTTTATTCTCCTCTCCTATACTTACCTATACCTACCCCCTCCCTTTACTATCCTTCCCCGAACCTACATTATCCTTGTTCCCATCCATCTGCCGAAACTTCCATTCAGCACTATGCCTTCGATTGGCACTAAGAGTACCATCCAGTACCACTCCAAATGACTGTAATTCAGCTCGAAACTGAGTAAATAGTAATTGTAAGAAGCGACGTCGCTTCTCACCATGACAGACTTCAGATCGTATCTTGTGAGCTACTTCGTATGTTGAGGTAGAGTTGTGTTTGGACCAAGTGGTACCACTAGTCCAGGGTTTGTTTTCTTGTACTTTTAGGACGGAATTTGGCAAGGGTTCTTTTGGCAGGGTTAAAATACATATATTATAGTTAAGTGTGGAGGGGTAGAGTAATATTATATTGTGCTTTAGAATGTCTATACAGTAAATATTACCTAGTATTTGTGATATTAGGTTTTTCAAAAAATTATGCGCCCCCTAGCCCCAAACACTTGTTTTGAGAAAAGGCACCAAACTATTTGAACAACCTAATATAACAAATTATAGGTACTATCTATTGTCTATCTACTCATTTTGAAATACGAAGCCTGAAGGTTAATATAACTTATGTTAATCTATGATCTATATTGAATTATTCATCAAACTCTGACCTGATATACTGGAGAAGAGTTTACTGTGTTTCAATGGGACCAACGTTGATATCAATGAACTCTTGGGCGTATCTGTAAAGGAAACAACTTTAATATGCTGCATAATCAATTAGATTACATTCTCAGGATTTGGCACAGTAAAATAATGGCGCCAAAGCGTATTACTTGGAAAGTATTACTTGGCACAACACATATAACTTGGGCTTTATATTTTACATGTTATACCTTATATGTTATGTTCAGGGACGTCGTTTGGGGGAGGGGGTAAGGGGGTGCCCCCTCCCCCAGAGCCGATCCGAAAAAAATTCCACAACACCTGTACGCGCAAAAAACGAAAAAAAAATTTTTTTGGAAAATCGGACCACAGGACCTGTGGACGAAAAAATTTTTTTTGAGCTCCCCCCTCCCCCAGAGAAAATCCGTAGCGACGTCCCTGGTTATGTTTTAAGTCTTTATGTTGATGCCAATGCCAAAGTGATACTATATACAATTTCAAATCATAAGCTGAAGCAAAATATAACTGACTTGTACACGTTTGTTCAAAAAGTAATGAGCTACTAAACTTCATATCAGAAAATAATTTTTTGCGCAACAACAACATTCTATTAATACTAACCACAACACGACACTACTACCTATAAACCAATCGTACTTTGATCTTCAGTAACATTTGGCCATTTATGAACGTATATAACCGGAAGTAACCTCTTTCTCTTTGTCACAACAACTGTCAAACAAAATAATCCCACAAAAAGGAGTGTTACTGTGTATATCAAACCCCTTACCATTCCTATAACAATAAAAATTTTGAAGTTTAAAAGCGAGAATTGATACAAGTAACTGCATAAAATAGAATATCATCTTTCATGAACAATTAAGTTGTTCAAATAATGCTGTGTCCCCTTTCAAATCATATTTTGGACGTTTGGGGAGCACAGAATTTTTTGAACAACCCAATATATTAATCTTTCTCAAAAGCAATGAAATGATAATACAAACTCGTAATAAATAGTACTTAACAATGTAAAAACAGCATATTCTGTATGCACGTGTACGTTAAAAAATGAAATTATAGAGTCCAAAGCCTACAAATTATATATAATACCATTACAGCGTAAACGGTGAAAAAATAGACAAATTAAAAACCCTACCCTATCTTGCCCTACTTTACCCCTACCCTTACTCTACCCATATTACCCTGCAAAACCTTACCCGCCCATAGGTAGAATTTTGATGTTAACATCATTTATATGATATTAAAGTTATCTCATTTGAAAGTCCTGCTAATACTAAAAACAATAAAAGTCTAAAGCAAAAGGTTTAGTTCAATGCCACAAAGTAATAGTGCATTCCGATACTGATAATCCCAAAAACAATTAATTTTTTATTGTTTACTACACAAAAACATGTACGTTTCCCGGTAAATCGACATCATATCAACATGTTTCCGTAAACAACATAATTTTACAGTAATTTACTGCCATGGCATTGTGTCCAAAAACCAGATCATTATGTCTTGAAGTAGTTCATCTAAATTTAGGTCTTTCACTCTTTTTTACCCTGTCCATCCTTGAAATTTTGTCGATGCTTTACCCCTCCCCTTCATCTTCACATGTTCTCCCTGCCCCTTCTCCTTTTCAATACTCTTCCTTCACCTTTCCAACACCCGGACCTTTTCACAAAAACTTTTGTGTCTACAAAATAAGTCATCTTTCCATAAAACAAGTCATTCCTACATAGAATAAATCATCCTTCCATAAAATATGTCATCAATTTATGAAAATTTTCTACACAAAATAAGTCATCTCTCTATAAAATAAGTCATCGCTTTATACGATAAGCCATCTCTGTATAAAATAGGTCATTAATTGTCCAAAAAAGTTTAAAAAAAGTTTTGAAAACTTTCGAAATTTGCACTTAAGCCCTTTTTAATTAGCAACCCTCCGGCTACTACTGCGAAGCGAGAAGAGCGTGCTACAGAGTAAAGAATAAACATACGATGCCCATTAAATGTCCTCAGAATAGCTAACGATTACCAAAATAAACCCCTCATTATGTTATGCACGAGCAAAAAGTTTACTGTAAATTGCAAACCAAAACCTCGGAAACAACGTCATGAGCATGCCAATCGCCTGCGTAATGGAGGGTTGGGTCAAAACAAGTTGTGACAAGGAATAATTGATGTGAAAGTGGGGTTTAAATGTTGCTTTTTTAAATTCTTTTACCTCATTTTCCTAGGAATTTTTTTAAAAATTTAGTTGTGACATAAACTACCGTAAAGTGCCTTGCTTTGTGAAAAAAGGTAGCAAAAGCCAAGATTTTCAAGCTAGGTCAGGCGCTGGCGAGAGTTGCAAGAGGTACGCTCAAAAGCCTCCCCTCCTCTATTACTGAATCCCCCAGAGCTCACCTTCAATCCAGCCCTAAATTCAAGGATTTGTTACAAGATAGGCATTACCACATTACAGTAAACCTGTAAATGATGCAGCCTTAATAGCCCAAGCCATCGAGCTCATGAACTTGTATCGTACTGGTTATCGCCTAGTAGACCACTTATAGGTCTATACTACAGTCATCACTGTACTGTCATTTATCGTTAAAACTTTATATTTTATATTATATTATGATTTTATGTTATATTATGAATTTACGAGTGAATATTGAAAAATAAAATAAAATAATCGCCTTAGATTACCCATGTGAGTTTATATGCTAAATTAATAAAATACAGTGCCACAACTGTAAATGACACGTATGATTGTAAAAAAAATAATCGTAAATTTTTACTTGTCTATTACCTAGCAAGCAGACTTAGTTATAAGCTTGTTTACCTACCTTTATATTACTCTATGTCTGTAACGTAATTATCGCGATATAATTTAGTTTTGCTTTTGTAGCATAATAATTTAATATAGTCTACTATAGTTTAGCCACCTAGAGAAGTTTAATTACCAATTACCTCCCATCAAGTTTTATACTACAGAATTGAAGAATTAAAAGGAACTTATAACAACGCGTATTTTACACTTCTTGTTTAAAAAATGTGAAAAAGTCCGCAATTAATTGTAACCAAACTAAAAAAAAATTAATTCCTTCCTCACTCCATCCCCACCCTCTAAAAAAATCACCTGACCATTCCCATTTAAGATGTTGTTAAATTGTCATATAGTTTTGTGCCCCTTTGTCCAAAAAATTATCTTTGAAAAAAGGCACAGAATTATGTGACTACCTAATAATAAATTACCCTAAAGTAAAGTCGTTAAATACAAAGACAAACAAGTGTTAGTACTCTTAATATACGTGCTTATATGTTGTACCAATTCCACATTGTTATTGCCAAAAACAAGCGTTGGTCATTGAGAATTTATCTAGGTATTTTTGAACATGTACTATCAAGATTACCTTACTTTACTTAAACGGTATTTAACAAAAAATGCCACAAAAATCTCAATAAGACTAAGATTCTACAAACTTTTTGACCGTTTAAAAGTAAAAAAAACCGTTTAAAAATATTTAAAAACTAAAAAACTTAAATTTCATTAAATTAAAATTGTCTAAAATTTTGTTTTCTTCCTCGAAATTACAATTAATAATGGCATAATATAGTATATGGAGTGTTTATCCCGCCTGTCTATTATTATTTACTGCTCGAGACATCAAAAACACTTGAATAAAATTCACGAATTTATATGAGGCATATTTTATAAAGATATAGAGTTAAAAGTTACTAGACTTTAGGCATTTTCTGTTACTATAATATCTAAAATAGTCTTGTAGGTATTTTAAATGATATAACATCGCTAAAACTTTACTTAAACTACTTTAACTACTATAATATAAAAGCAAAATAGGTGTTACATTATGACAACGTACTTTACTGCCACTCAACCTTCGTACCTTGACAAATACGTACAAGATACGCAGCTCAAAACCTTTACTTTATAAATAGTTAACTACTTTATAAATATTATATCACTTTCAAATGCTACAACAACATTTGAAATTAAGCTTCCAAAAATGAAAATTTAATTTTAATTTTAAATTAAACTACAGTGTTTGTCTATGCTGCAAAACTCGGCTTTACATAGAGTGTAAACAAAGTTTTTGCAGTTGATTTTTTCAACAATTCTTTAAAAAGCGTATTTTACATTGTACAGAGTTATCTATATCATAAAAAGTCAAAAAATTATTACCCTACCCTAAACTACCCACCCTACCTACTCCCCCCCCTACAAATATAAACCATGTTAACTTACTAATATCCAACTTTTTGAAGCTGTTGATGGTATCTTCAAAGCACTCCAACCACTCTTTCCTCTCAATCGCCCTACTGTAATCAAAGTCACAGTACTTTACGATTCTTTGAATACATTTTGGTTCCAATTTCATTACTTTTACTTGCTTCTCCTCCAAGATACCATGATTCCATTCACTGAACGAGATCCTATTATCTATGTTGAGATCGATCAAAGAAAACATATAGTCCAGGACGTTGGGATAGCCGGAAAAGACTGAAAATGGTTTATTTTTAAAAACTTATAGTTATATAAATTGGCGCTAAAAATATTTTTTAATAAAATTATTGTTTGGCTAGCCAAAACGGTTTTCATAATGATAAAAATGAACTAGGATTTACCCGCCGTGCAAAAAATAGTGCTAAAAAATAAAATATCATAAAAACGTACCTCCAAACTGATTAAAATACTTGACTTTCCAATATTTTAATAAAATTTGCTGTGTAGAATCCATTTTATAGTCGCTACATGTCTGTATTGATGTTGAAGTATGCGAATTAGCCTCTAAAATAATATGGTGTAAAAAAAAATTTACGTACGATACAAAACACCATCAAAGAATGCCACTCTTAGGTCAAAACCATCTGCTTTAAGCAGCCTTTTACGACCTCTTATTCACCCTTAGTTATACAGTGAAACTCCTGAACAACGAATAGCTTTTGAATTCCATAGCCATTGGTTATACAGGAGTTGCACTGTTTCATATTTAGTTACTTAGGCTTTCGATAAATGCCAATCGAACCCATTTTGAGCAGAAAATATCGTGTCGAAATCTTTTTTGAGATTTTTTTGATACGGGACAAAGTTATAAATATATCGATCGAGCATAGAAAATTCACAGTGGCAATATTTTAAAATAAATCAAAAAATTATGTATTGAAAGCCTTGATACTTACCTTTACATTTTCCAGCTTTAACCTCTTCTACAGCCATTCCAAAGCACCTCATTCTATTAAGTTCACATCTGTTTAGATAGTCGTTGCCATCTGATCCACAAACCCAATCCACGCCATATTTTGTACAGTTTATTTTATGGCATACCATAATATTAACAGCCTGAAAAATGTAGTTTAGTTTCAAAAACATATGATTTTTTAAAATTTTTTTCTCCTTTTACTATCTACCCCGTCAGACCCTTTTTACGTCAACATAACAATGTACATCTACCTTGCGTTGTAACATACTTACCTGACATAACCCAACAATAAGTGAAAGTTCAACAATACCATGCCTTAAAATTACCATGATCAAAGTCAATTTAAGATTGGCCTAATGTCAAGTGATAAAAAGACTCCTCATCCCAAAATACGACCAACCTAAAAATAAAACTGGGTCAAGTACCAAAGTAATTAATCAAAAGTCAAAAAGATTCGAACAAAACTTGATAAAACAATTGTCACGCTAAAGGAATAACAAACAAGCAAGATTGTCATTCGAAAACATATGAAGTGGCATTTATAATAACTTATATAATAGTATTGTACAGTAATATTAATATTACTAAGACATTTTTATGTTACAGTATCCTTAAAAACTTTAAAACAGTTTTTGCCATTTTTTTCTTTTCCGCCCCTATCTATTGTCTTAAAACTCGCCCCAAAACTTAAAAAAGTGTTCCACCTTAACCCCCTTCAGCCCTATTTACGGTAATAATTTTTTTGTCATACTGTAAAAAAACTAAAAATCCGCAAAAAGCTGTGACAATATTTTTTCCAAAAAGAAAAATAAAATTTTGAACCGTAAAGTAAGCCGTTATCAGAACGGAATTTAATCAAATACATTCGAAAACAAAACCTATCTGCAGGCTTATCACAAGGTGTACTATTATGGCGGCTACTGTTTTTGAACCTTAAATCGTATTTTAAAAACTAAAACCGTATTTTAGAAATCGAAAACAGTATTTTAAAAATTTCCAAACATAAAAACGTATTTTATAAATTTTTATTTAATAATATTAATTATCATAGTCATAGTATGGCTTTGACAGAGAATATATAAAAAAGAGCTACCCCCAACTGACAACAAACCACCCTACCCACCCTTCCCAAACCAAAAATAACCCGCCCATCAATCAAATCATATTTCCGTGCCATTTAGAATGATATCATGAACCATTCAAACCAAAACTGGAACTTTTGCAGTAAAAACAATAGATGAACACTACCACATTAAAAATAACTTATAGTACACCCTTAGGCAGCTAAATTAGTTATCGGCTTCTTGAATCAAAAACATTTGTTTATCCTCTCAAAAACGACCCAATTTAACGTTTTAACGACCACCTGAACTGATAAAATAGTTCACGACCTAAAGTCATAAATTTAAAACAGCGAGTGATGTCATCCACGTCAGAACGGTGGGACGTGATGAAGTGCTTCGTACATGGTTGGTTTTGGTACGTAAAGTTATAACAGTGTGGCACCTTGGTTATAATGGCACTTTGGCCGAGTTTTTTGTGTACCATACTAAAGAGGTTTAACTGTATCAATTTGAAGGTTTATTATGAACATACTGGTTCGACTTATATAATTTATGTATGAAAAACCAGTAGGAAAGTATACGTTTCATCGTATAAATCCGAAAAGCCATGAAAACTGTTTTCTTTTTCTATGATTTTATTCCACAAACAATATAAAATATATTTTATGTGATTGTGGTTGTTCTTTTTCTATAATAATTACTTGAAATTTAAAGTACAAAAAAATTTTGTTTATTTCAATTGATAATACTATTGAGAATGATTCTCGAACTCTTCAAATTCAAATGTTTCTTACCAAATTAATGACTTTTAAGTCTTTGTTTTTGTTTCTTTTATTTGTGATTATTGTTTATACGTCATCAGTAGATCAAATAGACATCAAGGAAAATTTGAATCAAGATTACGATCAAGAAACTTGTACGAAAGAAGATTGTACGGATAAAGATACCAAACAACACCTAAAATGTAAGAATATGTTTCAAACACCTTCTCTGTTAATAAAAATATTTCAGACCTTAAGGATGACAACGGCAATATAATCGAAAAAACGTCTCCAGAATACGACGCATACTTGTCTTATTCAAGAAGACTTCAAGCTTCAATGAATTTATCTGTAAATCCATGTGATGACTTTTACAGTTTTGTATGTGAAAGTGCCAAATCAAACAAGGATCTCGACATTTTTAGTGTCTTGAGTTCACGAGCATATCAGATTGTCAAGCATGAAATGGAAGAGTTGGTAATACATGTATAATTATTACTGCATATACAACTTTTCCAATCTTTTTTACTTGCAAATAGAGTAGTTTATATTGGATTACCTGTTGTCTAAACTCTAACAAGTAAGGCCATTGTTTGGGAGACGAAGTAGTAATTAAGGATAAGGTGGATCCGCTCCTTCTCCCCCTAAAGCTAAAGATAAAAATCCTTAATTTCTTATTTTAGACACATGAGAAGACTATATGATTTGCACAAGAAATGCTTGACACGACCAAAGGCTAGCCAAAAACATAAATTTGATCAAGTCCTAACACACATATCCCAAGTTTTTGAATCAACCAAACCCTCAGATACCTCTAAACCATCTTCTGCAGAAGAATATAAACCTACTAAACAAGATACAATGGCAGACATGTTAGCTTATGTTGTTAACAAAGGCTGGGGCGACAGATTTGGTATTACGATTGTAAAGTCGCCGTTAAAAGGCTACAAGTATACACATGCATTCACTTTTACTGGGTTTTATGAATGACTGATGTTTAGGGACTTTATTGGAGAAGAAAATATGCAATTCAGTAATAAGAAGGTACAGATGCTTCAACAAGCTTACTATGAACAATATGGCCTCAATGCTCAAAACTTGCCTCATATGAAGTAAGTGTTGCATAGGGTTTCATTAGAAGCAAGTTACTATAAGTTATGAACCACTATTAACAAACTCGTGTGATAAAATTTGACCTTTTAGGAACTTGATACCGTACACATCTGCAGAAGCTACACAAACCTTCAAATTTATGAATTTCACAAGATTTTTTCATAACATAGCTGAAGATAAAAATGCTGATCTACAACAACATTTACTAAGTGATAAGCTCACTTTGTTTGTACACAAATCATTTGGACAGTTTTCGAAAACACTTAATGAGTTAACTAACAGCCAGATTTCTAATGTGTTCTACCATCAAGTTATGTTGACGCTACTGTTAGAATCATCTTCATCAAGCGGAAATTGTCTTTATATTATGTCAAACATAAGGTATTTGGATATGATGCTACGGAAGATGTACATTAATAAAGTAAAGAGTATGAAGAATAATGATAAGACATTTGAAGAAGCCAAAAATATTGTAGAAGTGATTAAAGATGAATTTAAAGTTAGTGTGACCTCTACGCTGCCTTGTTTCTCTACCTTACCCTATCCTACCCTACTCTATCTTACCCTACCCCACGTCATGCCATAGGTATACCCTGCCTGTAAATTTATAGTCTCTATATTAATTTTAGAAAAGAGTATCAATACTACCACTATCAGGAACGTCCAAAAGCCAAATTATGAACAAGATTAGCAATGTCCAGATCAACATTGGTTGGCCAGAAGACTTGACAGACACAATAATCAACCAAAGATACGTTGACTTCATATTAGATGACAACAGACCCTTCGACGAAGAATTAGAAAACATCAAGGCCTTACAATTCAAAGATGGCCTAAAACTATTGCTGAATACAAAAAAGAACCATAAAGAATTCACAGATGTCTTACACTCGCCTACCGCCGATTACAATGTCAATACCAACTCAATAAGTATTTTCGAGACCTTGCTGAACCAACCAATGTATGACAACAACTATCCAAAAGCCGTGAACTATGGAGCATTAGGCTTCATCATTGGACATGAACTTGGCCATGCCTTTGACAGTCTAGGCATTGACTATGATGTTGATGAAGATTATAATCCTTGGGTCAACGAAGAGACAAAAAGTTACTTTAAAAAGCTTTATGATTGTTTGGTGAAGCAGTATGGCGAATATAAGGTTGGAGAAAGGTCTCTGAATTCGAAATCAACATTGAGGGAGAATTTCGCCGATAATTTAGGTAACAACCCTCATATTGTACCTAAAAAAACATAATTTTTAATCTTTATCACATATGAAATATTACCTCAAGTTTCTGCTAAGCTGCAAAATAATTTACAATTAAACTCTCACTAACATTTACCTTTTCAGGCCTACAAATAGCCTTTGAAGCTTTTAAAACCTACTATAACATCAATGCTTTTAAAAAGCTGCCATTAGCACCTTTTTCAAAATTCAATCCACACCAACTATTTTTTATTGCTTTTGGTTAAACGATTTGTGAATACTTACCCTCATCGACCTCTAAATCAACCATGTTCGACCGTTATCCTCCAGGCGAACTTCGGGTCTTGGGAACTTTACAAAATAGTCCAGAGTTCCAAAAAGCATTCAAATGTACTAATACCTTTAACAACACACAAAAATACGAATATTGTAAAGTATTTTAAACTTCATACTTGCGTAAAACTACGTCTTCAAAAAGTTTTTTATTATTTTATCAACTAATGATCTACTTTCATCGTATAACATGTCGCACCTTGAGAAAGCGCCAAAAAATTTTCGAAAAGTGAAAAATTAGAAAAAATGAAACTTCGAAAACAAAAAGTGGTTTCTGACCTTATCAACATCAACAATGAACCGAAACGTTGAGATCAAAGCCAAGGTTGTGGACTTTACCCAATTCTTGGCCCGTGCTGAACAAATCTCTGGCCAAAAACCGATCTTGATCCCACAAAAAGATACATTCTTCCATTCGAAGCAAGGTCGACTGAAGTTGAGAGAGTTTCCAGGCTTTAACGTAAGTTTAATCTTGTTTTTATTAGTTTTTGTTTTTAGAAACCAGCAGAATTGATCCAATATGATCGACCTGATGTTTCTGGTCCTAAAATCTCCGGATTCTACAAGATCAATGTTCAGGACCCGAAAACTTTAGGGGTAAGTGATGATAGAGCTTTGTTTTGTTATTTTGTAGTAAATATAGAAGTGTAAAGATTTAGAAAAGGGGTTACATAATGGACTTAAATACTTATATTCATCTAGCAGTTTGGTGGGTCTTTGTTTTTAGTAAAATTAAAGTAAGTTCTACTGCTAAAACTGATGAAATTGGTCTTAAAAGGCATCTAGAAGTCTCACCTATCTTTAAAATGTTAAGTTTTACGAATACTTGATAGTTAAATTACCATAATATTAATTTCCAGCAAGTTCTATCGCTATCAAACGGAGTTCTCGGCGAAGTTTCGAAGATTCGTTACTTGTTTTTGGTGGGTCAAACCCGAATTCATGCTGACAAAGTAGACAACCTTGGAAACTTTATGGAGCTGGAAGTGTGCTTGAAGCCCGAACAGACTTTGGAACAAGGTCAAGCTATTGCTGAAGAGTTGATGAACAACTTGGGCGTTCGAAAGGAAGATTTGATTGAAGGCGCTTACATGGATGCATTGTTAGCTGACAGTTCTGAAAAGAATATTGTTGTAGCTTGATTTAATGCCGTAATCCGTTACGTGATTTTTGAATTCTTTACGATTGTTATTTATAATTTATTAAATTTGTTAAATTAGACATGACGTTTTCTGTTATTGAAGGCTGTTTTGGTCGATTTCCATTAGTTTTTATACTTTATTATGGTAAACGTACGTTTAAAAGGTGTAAAATGCATTTTTAAGTTATTCGCAATACTAAAAAGACGGCATTTTAGTATATAGTCAAAATGAGAGTAGCAGCAAACATATCCACCATGTTCAAGGACATTCCTTTACTTGAACGCTATTCTAAAGCTGCTCAAATGGGTTTTAAACTAGTTGAACTGCCATTTGGGTTCACGGAGAAGCCAGAAGACTTAAAAGCAGCTGCTGATAAGCATAATTTGAATCATATTTTGATCAATGCCAAGAACGATGACGATAAAGGAAAGCTTGGCTTGGCCGCTGTCAAAGGTGCTGAAGAGTTGTTTAAGGTAAACATGACTGAAACGATACGATATGCTGACATATTGGGGGTTAAAGTGTAAGTTTTTGAAGGCATTAGTTATTTTATCAGCTACAGTTAATGGCAGTACAATTAGTAATGCAATATAAGGAAGAAGTCAAGTTTTACTAAATAGCAAAAAAATGTAAAATATGGCTTAAAATGTAAAATTATATTGTTGTAGAGTACACGTAATGGCCGGAGATGGAGATCCAGTAAAAGACTTGGACACATACAAGAACAACATACAGTATGCTGCACGTGAGCTGGCTAAGAAAGGAATTCTTTGTGTTATTGAGCCTATTAATAAGCACTTTCGATCAACATACTTCTTGAACTCATTTGATCAGGCTAAGAATATTATAGAAGACCTAAAGGAACCTAATTTGAAACTTCTATTTGTAAGTTTTTTAGTTTTAAAACGTTTTTTGAACTATTTTTTTATGAAACATTGAAGATATTTCGTATTTTACGCAATTAAACTGTATTTTAACAGGACGTGTTTCACTGTCAACTCATCTGTGGTCAAATTACATATCAATTAAATCGGCTTCAAGGGATTATAGGTATGAAATTGATGACATTTTTTTTTATATGATGGCTAGGCTTGAAAATTTATTGTTTTTTAAATTTAAAAATTTTTTAATTTAAAAATGCTTACTTTAAGGTCACATTCAAGTAAGTCAACCACCAAACCGAAACGAGCCAGACACAGATGGAGAGCTTGATTATGGGTACATTTTCAATGTGATCAATGGCTTTGAGAGAGATTGGGTGATTGGCGGAGAGTATTTTAACGTCAGAGATAATGCTGATTGGGTTAAGAAATTCGGCCTAGAATTTTAGATATTTTAAGCTGAGAATTACTCAAATAAACTGTAGATATTGTGTAAAATAACTTTTGTAATGGGTATAGTTATTAATGTTGGCTTTACGATATTATAGGCAGATCAAAAAGTAAAAAATGAATTTAAAAAACTATTATAAGTTCTAGAAGACTGTAACTCAGCAATTTTGTTGTTTATTGTCAGTAGAACAGTAAGAAGAGGTAAGGCAGTAACTTTTAATTTGGAGTTCGGAAGTGACAAAATGTTTATTTAAACTTTGTCAATTAACTAGACTTTGTGGTTTGACTTTTGTTATTTTCTGATTTTTTGCTCTTTGGGAGGTTTTTTAATTAAAAGTGCAGTAACGAACATGTAATGGTTATGTTTTATGATTGCTCGGTAATGTTCGTCACCGTTATGGATTTATGACGTCTTTTAGGGTAGTTAGCGTATATTAATTTTTGAGACTTGTATGAAAGTAACGTTATTAGGGTTTACAAACGTTTTATCGTCAATTTGCAATGTTTTTACTGTTAAAAAACGACAAGACTTTTTCTCTTTGCCATTTTTGACAGTATAGCTCTGTTTTAGGTCTAGGTGGGGTAGATTTTTTCAAGAAGAATTTTTTTGAGTTGGTGGGTAGGATATATTGCCTCTCTTTTCCTCACTACTTGGTTCTTGTGGTTGTAGAAATTGTACATTTACCGATTGCTTCTTCGTGTTTTATTACTGTTTTACGAGTTAAGTTGTTAGGAGAAAAAGAGTTTAATTAGTAATTGAACCTTGTCTAGGGTTTTTGCTTTTTAGAGGTATTAAGATTGTAACAAGTTTTGTAATTGTCCTCAGGGCTAAATGGTTTCTAATTGTACGTTTTGCCGAAGCATTTGATTGTAAAATACGATGTCCTCCGGAAGTAGTTTTACTTTTTTCATAAAATTTGATAAAAAACTTTGGTTTTTGGACAACAGTTTTTACTATACTTAAAGATTCCAACTGAAATTACGTTATGTTATGTCTTTCGTATATACAGCATAAGAACAACTTGATCTGAATGTTTTTGTTTGTTTTGTAACAGTTATGGTAATGTTTGCATTACTCGTGTTGAAATGCCATTTTAGCAATGCGTCTTTAATTCAACATTCTTACGAATACAGGTTTCATCATCAACACGTCGTATATTGTTATTAAAGATGATTTAAACACCAAGGGTTTTTAAATGATCTTTCTTAACATTAGGTTTTTCAAATAATTCTGTGCTCGCTAACTACGAAAATTTGCTTTGAGAGGAATACAGAATTAATTAAAGAACCTAATAACCCATTTCGATAATATTTTTAATTTTTTTATTAATTTAGCTCGTTTGTTGTCATTGTTGCTCATATTGCCATTTTAATAAGGTTTGAGTAAAGTAATATAGTAAATATTAATTTTATTTTTAGGCGGCATCTGATACAAAACCTAGAAGGTGTACCTCTTGCTAGAAGACCCGTTTTGGAACTATATTGTCACCTTGATTCACATCAGTTCATAGTGTCATCTTGAACTAACTTATGGAGAATTAAAATTAAATTTTGGTGACAGCTTTTTATTGTTTTGATATGAAGCTTCTGAGATTATCATTACTATTATATGTAAGTCGCTTTAGCTTAAATGTTTGTTTAATTAGGCCTAGAAGGATCTTTGAATGTTTCTCATTAGGCTTAAAAGATATCTGAATGTTCTTAAAAATTAGGCCAAAACGCTTTTTGAAATATACTAAAATTCAAAAAAAATTATTTTAGATACTTGAGAGTACCATAGCCGACTGGAGTCAAGATGACTGTCAAACGAATGAAGTTTTCGTGGAATGTGGGTTCTGTGAAGGCACTTGTAACATGCCTATTGTGGTAAGACAGAAATGTTTTTTAAATTAATAAGACAATCATATTATACCTCATTTCACAGCTATTTTTATCCGTTAATCTTATTTTAGCTTAACTAAAACTCTACTCTTTCAGCTAAACTGCTCCACAGTCTGTCGCCCACCTCGATGTGAATGTCAAGCACAGACCGGCTTCGTGAGAGCTCACGATGGAGCTTGTATCCGACTGACTGATTGTGAAACCTACATTCCACCTTATAAAATGGACGCTCGTCAACTGCTAACTCGACCTCACGTCACTTTGAAAGGCCGGAATGAACAAAACCACAAAATGCCAGACCAAATGCCATACTATATCCATTCTGGTAGTATGCCTAGTCAACGACCCATGAAGCCACAGAGGTTGCCTGATCAGAACGTTACTCTACCTAATGCGCCATCACCTAGTACTAACCAAAATCGAAAACAACCGGTTCTACAAGGACCAACCAGTACCAATTATGGACGTTTTGGAATGGGCAATAAGCGACCGGTCGGATTGGAAAGAAACAGATATCAAGGTTTGCCTCCAGCTAGCCAAATTGACCAGGTTGGTCGCCCTAGTGCTCAGCCAAAAAACGGCCAACCAGCTGGTACTTCTAGTCTCATGGCAGAAGTACCAGCTGGTCAAACCCAACAATATGGTGATGAAGGGCCTCAGAAGTTCAGTGATGAAAAGCAAGGACAATATGGAGAGGCTGAAGGTAATTCTGGAGTTGGAGCATCTAAAGCAACATCTGAGCATAGTAATTCTGAAGACAGTTTTGATTCCGAAACTGACAATAACCATGAACTGTATTCAGCTGATGTTGTTCACATGGAGGGTGACAATCCAGACGTTTCAGAAGACAAAGAATCAGGTTATGATAGTGATCAAGCTTCTCTGAAGCGTTTTCATGATGAAAAGCCTAATGCTAACAGGCAGAACAAGATATTGAGTAAAGCTCATCATAAAGAGCAAATGGGTGTAGATAGAAATAGGAAAGACGTTCATAAAGATGACAATGATGATGGTGACAAGCATGAACATGATAAAAATAACGATGAAGACAAAGAAAACGAAGATGTAGATAATAATGGAGGTGAAAGGCATGAAGATGAAGAGTCGGCTTCAGATGATTCTGTAGAAGTTTCTGAGAAAGAATTGAAGAAGGCTACGGTGGTCAAGGTAAAATATAACAACAAGGAAAGTAAAGGACCTCATCTTCAACAAGATGTTTTATCAAAAGATGAAAAAAACAATGAAGAATTAGTTAACATGAACATTAAAGATGTTAACCAAGAAAAATTAGAAGAAGAGAAGCTAGAAAAGCAGAAGCACAGAGATATGGCTATACCTAATAAGCTGATTCATAATCAAAACCAGAAATCAAAACTTACTGCCAAAAGTGTAATAGTAGATCAAGATACATCAATAGAATCTACGGAACAACTATCATCATTAAACAAAGAAATTGATGGTGATAGTGAGGATCAGGACTTACTGTCTTCTACTTTATTACCAAACAAGGTCAGACAGACGTTATCTAACAGAAGCTTTAGAAATTCTACAAAATATCGAAAGAATATAGCTATCAAACTACCTCAAAATCAAAAGAAAAAACTTAACATTCAGAGATGATACCAATAGTTCAACTAAACGTGGCACTAACTCTGATGTCTCAGCCAAAGACAGTAGTAAAGACAACGAGAAAAACCCTAAAGACAATGATAAGACGGTGAAGCATAGAGATGATGCAACAGAATTGCAGTTCCCATTAGATGAAACAACTGACGACGTCTACGATGAGTTTGAAGACATCTCAAGCAACAAAAACGATGACAAGTCATCTGAAAAAGCGAAAAATCAGAATATGGAGAAGATGAAGATGATGAAAAGCGGACTGTCTAGTCGTAGAACGTCGTTTGGCAGTAATAGTAGTAAGACTGTAAGAGACAGCAATGCAAACCACAAAAATGTAAAAAATAATATCAAAGAAGATGAAATTATTAGGAATGGCACGAAAAGTACACAAGTGAGTACGAAGGACGACAAATTAAAAGAAACAGTACCGAAGAGTAAAAATAGTGTCAGTTTTGTAAACGAAAGATTCGGCCGAAGAAATATGGAAAAAGAAGCCAGAAGGGACATAACCTTGGTCGATAAACAACGTAGAAAAGATACGATAGCTATTTCTGAAGAAGAAAAGTCGACTGAATCTTTAGCTGTCGTATCAGGTGTCAAAAGTATGGTAAAAAAAAATGATGATAATGTTGTTGATGATTCTACTGATAGTGATCATACTAATCAAAGAAAAAATATTGCTACAAGCAGTAGTGATGGTAAGAATAGTACTACAATTACTAAAGCCAGCACCACTAAGAGTGCTGACTCAAAAAGTGAGGATGTAGGTATTGCTGACAGTAAAAACGAGACTGTATTTACTACAAACAAAGGTACTATAGAGAAGAGTAACAACACGTTGGTGGACAATGAAAAGCTAGATGACCCAGAGGATATGTTTGACTTTATATCTGGTTCTAAACAACAAACGAAGCCGGTAGGGGAAATGCCTTTACCACCATCTCCACAATACCATGTGGTAGACAGTAGCTCCATCAGACCGCCGGCAGGTTAGTTAGAATATATTATATATTACTTTATATAACTGTTAGGTTGTTCAAATAGTTATGCGCCCCTTAAGAGCAAAAACTTGCTTTGAGAAGGGGCACAGAATTATTTGAAAAACATAATAGAAGCGGCTGTTGATTCTATCACAAAACAAGTTTTTAAAGTTAAACCTGTAGTGATAAATTTAAAAATTTTTAAAAAGTTATTTTTTATCACCCTCAAGGCAAAATTGCTCGTCTTACGCTACCTTTATAGAAAAACTAACTAAACTTGCTTTTCAGCAGATATTCAACCACCTGCGCCAAGTCCAGAACCTAAACATTATGACAAATTGAAAGAAAAACATGCTCGTTCTTTAGAAGTGGCAGTAGAAAAGGATGATAACATTGATTCATCAGCTCCATACGGCTACAAAATTCACAGAAGTCGACGATTTTTACGATTAAAAGCCCTGCCAAAAATTCAAAATGTTAAAATTTAATCACCTTAATAATTCAAAGCTTTATTTACAATAAATATGTGTGGTAATATGGTACTTCAATATCTCATTTCGGATGGGCCGGGCTGAAGCGCCTTTGAACAGGGCCGGGCTTGGCCTGCACATGTGGGTCCAAACCAAAGCCCAGCTTGTGGGCCAGGACAAAAAATTTGGCCAGGCTTTTTTACGGATTACTTATAAAATGTACCAGCTATACTTATTTAAAATGGGCATTTCTAAAGTTGCACACAAAGTGGTATACTTCATATAGTGTCAATAGTGTCATTAGAGTCACAAAAGATATGACAAAAACAAGAAAAACGTCGATCGAACTTTCAACTACACCTTCGTTGTCTGTCGGTGGATAGAATGGGTTAGTGACCATTAGTGGAGTGAAAAATATTGTTCTTTATAGGATACTTGTAGCAATGAAAATGAACTTCTTTATCGTGTAGTTGTAGCAAACATAAGCAAGATTTTGAAAAATTGGGTCAAATTGTAGGTATTTTAAAATAAGTTAGTAAGGACTAGCGTAATATAAATAAAGGCCTAACTTTTACTGAATGTAAGAAAGAGAAAACGTAACTGAAGCTGTAATTATAAGCTTTGAGAATCAGTATGATATGTAATTACTATTTTACTACTACTTTACAAACTTACTTCGTCTTCAAAGACTTAAAAGCATGATTAAAAATCATAAAAAAGCTATTTTCGACCAAAAATTTGAGATAAAAACCAAATTATTTCAACAGTTAAAACGTTAAAAGTGTCACAATCGGATCTAACGCCCAGTAATAGCCTTACCGACCGTTATTTTCGTGAAAGTAGTCGATGTTCCATTCAACGAATACCTAAAAGCCCACAAACAAAGCTTCAAATCTTTTATTAGAATGGAGCGGAATCGAACCCGTGAGCTCTTGCTTTGGGCAAAACGCAAGGTCATTGGTTTCGCCACTAGACTATTCGATCAGATCGCGCTTGATCGTAACATGATGAAGGCTTTTTATGAAATTCAGACAATAAATAAGTTTAAAAAGATAATCTTGTTTCTTGTTAAAATTTTTTGAAAAAAAGAAAAACAATTTTATTTTAACATTAGCTTTATATTCATAACAATAAAGGTTATCGCTACTCATAAATTTTAACAATAGGTTTGAAAGTGAAGATTTCTATTTGACTACAGTAATCCGCATTCGTTTTGGTAATGGTGAAATCGGCCATATTATACTGACAGTGTTTTTGATATCTGAATCTGAAAAAAAAACTTAAAAATTATTGACTTCTTTTTCTTTCCCTATCTCTTCCTTACGCATATAAATATAAATATGAGCCTTAAAAGAAAGTTGCACCACATATCCTTCAAGCTTTAGAATGAGACTTATATAGGGTGAAAGAGCATAAAAAGTGGTAAATTTTCATGTTCTCTCATTTTGTATAGGTGTCGTTCTAAAACCCGGGTTGCGCTAAAAAAATTTCCATGGTATTTTTCCTTCTTCACTCAAATCACCTCCTCAACCCTAACATAATTTAGTTGTTTTCAACTTTAAACCCACCTGAATTTTCTTTAAACAACTCTTTGATCTCTAACTTGAACAGACTTTTGATCACTTTCCGAAACGGCTCCAGTGTACCAATAACCACCAGATTACAAATGATTGGCGAGTTTATTGACAGTAATATCAACCATTGTATCCATCCATGGAACCTCAATATATTAAAGTGCACAATAGCTACAGCGATAGTAATTGGCAGAGAGTATGTTACTATAGGTAACACTGATCGTTCTATCAACATGTATCTGAGGCGACGTCTAATTGAAGTGAAGGAATGCGAGGAACGACGAGATAACGACCGGTTGATGGTTTGGACAGAGAGAGCTGTCATCGTGATGGAGAGAATGACACATAAACACGAGAGAAAGAGAAAGAAGCCGGAAGAGAAGGAGACGAGAGAGTTCTTCTTTACTCCGATCACTACAGAGTTGTTGGTGATGGTGAGGATGTCATCGTAGTTGTGAGGGTACATTTCTTGTAAGCGGTTCACTATCTCGCTCTGAAAATATATTGTTTTAGTGTCTGGCGAAGTTATTTATTTTGCAGTCAAACTTCTTTAGTATGACACAGGAATGGGAAAACTGACTTAATATCAATTCTTAAAACTCCAAAAAACCTTACCGTATTCAATACCTCCCTATCAGCATACGACAAATAAGCCGATAGCAACATCAGAAACGACACGATACTATGAAACACCACGAATATCGTGATGCCCTTCCTGTATGTCATCATTCGAATGTAAAGTGGAAATGTCAGACTGACATAGTTCGACGCCACACACAAGAACAGTGATATACTCTTGTTGGCTATCAGAAACAAGCCCACCAAGAGCTGACACGACGCGAACGTTCGACCAAAGTACTGTGCCAAGCCGGTTACAGCACAAATGGGCAGAGGTAGGAAAGTGACCGGTCGAAAGAACAAAGTGAGATGTACTATGATTAACAAGGACCATACTGAGGTGTTGAGCATGGTATGTTTATATATCACCATGTCTTTGGGGGTGTGGAAGTAGACCAGCAAAGTGAAGAGAGCTTCTAGTAGGCATCCTGGTATCGAGATTATGTTGTAAATGTAGGCCAGGGATGTGAATTTGGTTAGAAATACATCCATTTATAAATATATTGTAGTAGGTATTGAAAATATATTTTATAAAATACCCAAAAATATTAGATGTTGTAGCAAGTCCAAATAATAATATTGTAATACGTATAGGCTTACATTAAAGATAAGTTCATGTAACAAAAACCAAAAAGTTAGCTTTAAAATGCAAAAATTTGGATATTATAGTAGACAGAAAGGTGTAAAACACTTAAACCAAATAAATTAAACCAATTTTAGGTAGCAAAAATTATAAAAATTAACTTTAGAAGCTATAAAATTCAATATTATAGTAGATTAAAAAATAGAAAACACCTTTCTTTAATAAACGAAAGCTTTTTCAGCCCTTAAACAATAACAATATAACAAGAAAAAAAAGTAAAAGTTGAGATAACTCCGAGAAAGCAAAGTAATCACGTCTACTGTTGCACTAACAACAATTCCCATTCAATGTAAGTGGCAATGTTGGCGGAAAACAAGAAGGAATCAAGTTGAGGGCGGATCAATATCAAAAATAAGAGCCAATTAAACGGAATTCGCCTCGAGACTAAAGTTTGTCCTCGAGGCCACGTTCCCATCCATCACGGCGGAACGGCGGATTAATCGTATCTTGCCAAAACACAAACCCTTCCTTACCTGTTGTTTTGTCTTTCTGAGCTTTGTTCAAAGGAATTTGCTCCAGTTAACTGGCCAGTTCAAAAATTGAAATTTCGAAAATTAGCTATAAAAACTACTGTAACATTGCAATGTTGTGTTGTCTAATCAAAATTATTGTAAATTTACTGCCGTAGGTGTAAAACGAGACCTATATAGAATGAAACAGAAAATTAGCATAAAAGCTGTTTGCAAGACTACTGAATGGCCTTGGCTAGCGAGTTACAGTACGCTAATATTCGTAGCTAACAGACGTTATTGTGTTTATCATCTTATTTTTGTTCAAAAACTGATGTTATAGGAAACCGTCGTCATTGTCTACAATGTTTTGTGAATCTTAGGTTTGCTCATAACCAAATTTACTGGAGTGAAGTTACAGTAGTTTAACTTACAAGACAACTGCACCAAATATCTCTCAGTAAACAAAAAACTATACAAATATCAATAAATTTATGACAAAACTTTATCCAACTCCGTAGCGTACTCAGAATTCCAATCTCTTTCGAATATCTCTCGCAGATCTTTGACCAATGTCGCTTCTTTAGCAGCATCTTCATCTTGAACAACAAATGACACTCCAGCTGAGTTCAAGAAGTAGTCGGCCGACCAGTTGGATGTGCCTGAAAGAATGACATTAGATACGCATTGTAAAAATTTTGAATTTTTTTAAAAACTACAGTAACCAGTGTATCAGTAAGGTTTGTTTAAGTGCCAAATGAAAGTCTTGTCGCCAAAACACATTGTTTAACCAAGTAAAAAACGACAAAACTTTTTCGACCACCTGCTATTAAAGTAAATAACTAAATGTATAACAACAAACTTACACATAGTAGCAGTATAATCACTAACCATGTACTTAGCATGGTTAACTCTACCATATGGTATAGTAACATTATACTTTGGCACTTCGAATATCTTCACTTCAACCGATCCCTTTTCCTGAACACACTTCTTTTGAACACGATCGTATACACATGGCAGAATACTGTTTATATCTTGAAGTGACTTCAAATGAAGTAACACTTCCTTTCTTGTAGATTGCCATTTACTGACCAGTAGACGAACATGAACACGACGACCGTAAGCAGCGCTACGTAGAGCGTCATCAATGTCTGGCCAATAGCTAAAAATTAAAATAGAGTATAACATTAAAATAGAAAACAAAATATAAAATTATAGTAAGGGTAAAGTAAAGCTAAAATAAGAGCAGTTAAAGCCACAGCAAAGTTAAAGTAAGGAAGTGCTAAGACAAGACTTGATAAAAACATACAAGACATGTTTGTATGTAGAGTAAGAATAACACATAATCAAGTTAAGGTAGCTCTAGTGTACGGATATATCAAGACTAAGTAGAGTAAGTTAGAGCTATAGCAAGACGTAGATAAAGCTAGAGTAGATCAAAATAAAGCTGATATTTCGAAAATAACATTTTTCGGCCTTGGCCATAACAAAACTTACACATTTTCGTTGTTTCGGTAGAATGTAGATGGTGAATAGTCCATAACAGAGATGTAAATGTACTTTTTGGCATTATTGATGTTGTTAATTATCGTTAGACCATCGTGTTCTCGACCAGCTGGGGCAAAACTAGGAGGAGAAGTCTGAAAATATTGAGTTTTACAAAATTTTTCTCAGATAATAGCATGATATTGTGATACATAAAATCATAAAATAATTTCATAAACTTGAGCTTACTCTAACTCAAATCCTTAAAGATTAAAAATCGTTCAAAAACAATACTAAAAAGCTACAGTAAGATACCTAGATGAACAAAAACTTACCGTAAGATAAACAAGCGAATTGTCATCAGAAATCTTAGTACTGATAGGATTCTCGCTGTTATATTTTGAAGTGTATTCAGACGACCAAACCTCTGGTACTTTGGCATTTGGAATTCCAACTTTCCAATATGTTTCGAAGATATTACCCAAGTCACTAGCCAAACAAGGGCAGTTTTTGACCAAAACACCCATTTCTTTTACCTAAAAACATGGCTTTACAATATTTTTCAAACACTTCTTCATTTTTTAACATAAAACACCTACCTGAGTCAATGACCTCCAATCATGATTAGCAGATCCAATGTACAAATGTTTTCCATCTACTATCCAAAACTTGCTGTGTAAGATACCATAATTCTCGAGGATAGTAAAGTTTAACGATCGTACTTCCGCCAGCCCTTCCCTAACAAGTTCATCTGATTCTGGATAAGTGTTTCTGGTACCGTCTTGTGCTATACGAATTTTTACGCCAGACTTGGCAACTTCTTTCAACTTGTTATACACGTTTGTGCCCTATAATTTAACATAGACAGTGTAATAAGTTGGAAAGTAGTAAATATGGTTTGAAAATTTAGACTTTAGTAGCTGTAGTTAGACATGAGAAACGGGCCGGGCCGGCCTTGAGCAAAATTTAGATCGGGCCGGGCCTTGGAAAGTCGGGCCGGGCCTGGAAAAAAAAGTTCTAAATTTTTTAAAATTTTTTATTTCAATCCCCGTTTATATTTTTAGATTTTATTGGGTTCTATGATCCATAAATGATCTAAAAAAACAATTTAAAGCCAATTTTCCGTTTAGTTTTTAAGTTTTTAAAATTTTTTAAAACGGGCCGGGCCGGGCTTGAGAATTGGGCCCGGCCCGGCCCGTTTCTCATGTCTAGCTGTAGTACCTTATCTCAACGTCGTATTCACTAACCTACCTCCTGACAACTCGGATCCCACGGAAACTCCTTTCTAGAATCAGTATTCCTGGCCAATAACGACCAATACATGGCCCCGATCTCGATACTTTCTTCGGCCGAATACATCAATTCCATCCATGAATCGTATGTTGACTTTAGCCTCTTAACATCCTTGTCTACGTACAAGCCGATCGGCATTGATTCCACTAATTCGTAAGTGCATTGATCTCCACAAGGTTTATATGGCCATATTGGACTAGCTGGTGTTGTGGGAGACGTTTGATTAGAATCGTCTGGAGGATTTGTCTTGTTAGACTCATGCCCATGATGTATGTTAGGTTCTACTCCAATGTAATAGGCCTAAAATATTTAAAGATACTTTAGGTAACCTTAAACTTCAAAATTAAAAAAAACGAAAGAACTACATTGCTTTTGTGTTTAACTCTCTTTTCAATCTAAAATATTCAAAATCTTACAGCAATCCAAACAGAACTAGTAGCCAAGAAAGTAACTAAAGCACTAACAACTATCAAAACAATATTAGAGACCATTATGAGTAATATAAACTATGTCAACTAGAACCATACGGTCGAAGCAGAACAAACTTATAGCAAATTGCTAATTCTCTTATCAGATTCTTTGTTTAATCATAATTGATAAACAGTGTTATACGCCTATTTTATAGCCTGCAGACAATCACACTACAAACTACAAAATTCGAGGAAAAATTGACAGTTTCAAGGATAAAGTCAGTTTGGGGGTGAATTCAAGGATATTTACAAAAATAAAACAGTTCTGTTTGCATTCCCTTGATTTTTGGATGATAAACGTAAAACTTGTGATATTATCTGCTTCCCAGATCGTTTAAACTTTATTATACAGTGATTTACAATGAAAAAATCACAAATTTGATCAGTTGAATCACAGTTTTCATATTTAAAACTGAAACAACTTGATTAATACATGACATACTTTGATAATGATATCACAATAAGCTCATCTTCCTTCGACTTCGTCATTTACCATTCTTTTACAGCTTCAAACGTTTGCAAACTGATAACAATTTTAGACATGAGAAACGGGCCGGGCCTAACTTTTAGGCCCGGCCGGTTTTTTATTTTGGTCAGGCCCGGCCCGGCCCGATCAGAAAATTTCTAGGCCCGGCCCGGCCCGTTTTAAAAAATTTTAAAAATTTTAAAACTTAAAAACTAAACGGAAAATTGGCTTTAAATTGTTTTTTTAGATCATTTATGGATCATAGAACCCCCCAATAAAATCTAAAAATATAAACGGGGATTGAAATAAAAAATTTTAAAAAATTTAGAAATTTTTTTTCCAGGCCCGGCCCGACTTTCCAAGGCCCGGCCCGTTTCTCATGTCTAAACAATTTCTTGTAAAATGCAAAACATGACCCAATATTGTCTGTGTCAAGTCTCGCTCTCTCGCCTGATCTCGTCAACTTTTTCGGAATAAGTTAGGAATTGTTTATCTCATGTGCTTTTGATAGAATACCAAATTGCAAAACATGGCGGACAAGGACGAACTACTGCCGACGTCTTCCACAGCTCCAAAAAAACAGCCGGAGCAGGGCGGGGAAAAGCCGAAACAAGAGAATCCGGCTGAATTCGAACAAAAGGAAGAAATGCCTGGAAAAATACCCAATCTCTACAATAAATTCGTGCAGAGCTTTGAGAATGCTTTGAATACATTGACCAGTAAGTTGTTATTGTTTGTGTTTGTATTTTAGAAGAAAGATTCTCGTTGTTTGTTTGCGAAAAAGAGGTGTTTGTTGTTTAAAATTGATATCTTAAAGGTTATAGATAGTTCGAAACGTTATGTTTCTTGTTGAAAAATTAGCAGAATTTAACATAGTTTCTTATTAAAAAGTTCGTTTTATGAAATTTTATTTTCGAGTTACAAAAAATGGCACTTTTTCGCAAAAATTTATGGAAAGCGATGTGTGGTGGTCGAAGATTGATTTCTAAACGAATAGAACTTATTCAGAAGGGTATTAAATTTTATATAAATGTTTAAAACATTAAAATACTGCTTCATAAGTCTTAATTTTGATGTCACCTTCTAAAAATGTCACATTTCAGCCGAGCCAGAGCCAAAATGTCCGTTAAAATCGTTCGATTTGGAGGGTGTGGCCCAGTTTATTCAAGCCAGGAAAGCTAGGAATATTGTTTTTATGGTCGGAGCTGGAATATCGACTTCTGCCGGTGTTCCAGACTTTAGATCACCAAAGACTGGTCTATATTCGAATTTAGACAAGTACAAGTTACCTGACCCACAAGCGATTTTCGACTTGGACTTTTTCAAGGATAATCCCGTGCCTTTCTATCAATTGGCCAGGGAATTATTTCCTGAACATCTTAAGGTAATATTTACGGTTTTTTGAAGATTCTGTAAACTGTTTTAGCAGGTTTTTGAGATAAATGGATAACCTTTTCAGCAATTTTTTTCGAATCTTTATTTTTTGATAAATCTTTGTGCTATTAATCTTTGGCGTCTCAAATTTTGTATCTTAAATTGTAGTAAGATTAATTTACAATATTGTTTTTGCTATGATTATGATTTTTTTGAGTTTTGTATTCGTGTTATCTAAAATTTATTTTTTGTAGTTTTATGAATTTGCGATGATGTTATAATTATGATAACAAACTAGGTGTGATTTAGAGGAAATTGTAACCCTTCTAACTTTTTTTTGAATAATACTTAACATCTTGTTACCTATATTTTGTGTTTATATAAAATAGCTATAGTTCCTCATTTTCAGCCAACACCATGCCATTACTTTATGAGATTACTGGACGAAAAAGGTTACCTACGCCGTATCTACACTCAGGTACGATTTTAGTTTATTGTTTTTTTTTGTTTTTAGGATATTAAATTAGCCAAAAAGGAGTTTGAATTGGCAAAAAAGTGTTTAAAAGCTGTCGTTTTCAGAACATTGACAGTCTAGAATGGATAGCAGGCATAAACAAAGATAAGGTTATATATGCACATGGCTCACATCAGACCAGCTCATGTTTAAAATGTAAAAAGAAGTACGATTTGGACTGGATTACTGATTTTCTAAATAAAAAAGAACCGTTAGTTCCATATTGTTCGTGCAAAGGGCTGATAAAGCCTGACATTGTCTTTTTTGGAGAGAACTTGCCTTCTAAGTTCTTTACTTCAGCTGTTAATGTAAGTTTTATAACTATCTATAAGGTTTCATGATTGTCTATGTTACTTCAATTTTTATTTTCTGACACATTAAGGCTTTAAATGGTACTGTCGTATCTAAAACTATGTTTATAATTAGTTGGCAGTATGTATTATAACATTAGGGAGACAATACGATTTAAAACTGTTTTTGAGTTGATTTCAGGACTTCCCCAAGTGTGACTTGTTGATTATAATTGGCACGAGTCTTGTTGTCCAGCCGTTTGCTTCAATGGTTCATGAAGTAGCGGAAGAGACGCCTAGGTTACTGATTAATTTAACGTCAGCGGGTAAAATAAGCAAAAGGGAACGAGCGCAAGGATATCAAGGCCTAACTTATGAGGACAAGGACAATTTTAGGTAAGTTTTAAGTTCTTGGTTTCAATCGATGAGTTTTCTCATTTACTTTGAAAGAGGACTATAACAACATCAACGTCATTCAAATTACCGTTTCTTTGTAAATTAAATTTGTTTTTTGTCTGTATCTCAACTTCCTTAACTCTTTCCGCTTTTTTTGACCGAAGAAGCCTCATGAGGATTAATTTAAATGTTTCAGAGACGTCTTCTGGAAGGGCTGTGCTGATGAGGGAATTTTCGAACTGGCTGAACTGTTGGGCTTAAAAGACGAACTTCACCATCTAATTCAGAAGGAGCATGAAAAGATTGACAGAAAAGCCACGGAGAAGTCAAATCAAGCCCCAAAATCGACTGAGGATGTGGCAAAAGTGGAGATATCGACTGGAAAAGGTGATAAGATTGGGAAATGTGATGGAAAACTTGATAAAACGGGGAAATTAGATGGTAATGACAATGAAAAAGCTGAAAAGTCGGCTGAAAACGTTGAGAAGGCAGGGCAATCGACAGCATTATAATGAAATTTTCATGAAAACTTTATGTTTATAATGGTTAACATGCTGATAGCTACTTGGCTTTGTTGCTTTGTACAGTAGAAAAGCTTTCGAAAAGGCGTGTAACGTATTTTGATACGTATTTGGTCAAAAGTTTGTTGAGAATGTTAAAAGTTGGTTTTAAAGTATGGGTTAATTTTTATGAAATCGAAAATTCTATGAACTTTTTGACCGAGATATAGTGATATTTAGACGTGTATTCATAACGCTTAATGTCTTTTTAGTTACATTGTTTTAAAGACATGTGTGTAATAAATATAATGTATTGTTTTACATTATGTATTAATAATATTTTACATAATTTATGTCCAAATGTAAAATTTGTTTATTTTGTTGAAATTTCGAATAAAATTGTTTGAAATAATTCAATTTGAGATCATGTGGGCAATTTGGCAGTAAACGGATTAAAGAGTTTCGTTTAATACGATTAAGAATACTTTTATAATTTGTTACCGGAAGCACACGGCATAAGCTGAGAAAGCTATTAAAATCTCGGATTATTGGTTTAACAAAGGCATATAATACCTGAAATAAGGCTGCAAAAATGGAATTTATGACGGCTTTTGGTCGAAAAGTTCGTAGAAACCTTTGAAAGTTTAAAATTAACGAAGTATTACCCTTTTTGGCTATAAAATGTTACCTAAAAGCTTAAAATCAACCTTTTTTTAATAATGTTACCTAAAAGATACCGTTTCCCTGCCAAATCCCCCATAAAAATCAAGGCCTAATCGTATACTGTACATTATGTGTATAAATATAATTTATATTGCCTATGTTAACTGATATGTTAACCATGAACCGCGGGACTCTTCAGATACCGAATCAGACGCGCTTCTCGACCCGTGATTCCCGTAAAGCCGACCAGTCGTTTGGGCATGGGCAGGAAGTTGGAGGCGATCGTGCTCATCGGAAGCATCGTCAACTCCAACGCCGTTGAGGTAAGCACCGTCACTTTGGCTTCTATCATGCATCTGAAGGTGGGGAGGTTGTTATTAACACTTTGCATTAGGGTAGGGTAGGTAGAGTAGAATATGGTGAAGTATGATAGATAGGGTAGGGTAAGGTAGGGTAGGGTAAAGTATGGTTGAGTATGGTAAGGTAGGGTAGGTTAAAGTAGTACTATTAGATTGTTCAAATAATTATGGGCCCTTGACCTCAAAAATTTGCTTTGAATAAGGGCACAGAATTGTTTGACCAAACTATTATACTCTGCCGTAGAGGAAAAGGCATGAAATAGTACGTTAAACCAGGGTAGGGTAATAACAACTTACTTGCTGAGTAGTATTGCTGGTGGAATATCCTGCTGATATGGACAGATGGTATTGTTGAGATAACTGTGTTTTACAAAAAGTTTTGCCGCCGCTTTTGACACTACCAGTATTTCGTCTGTATTGGGCTGAAAAGAAGGTTGTCTGTATTACCTTATGTTAGACACACTTTGGTATTTGCCGTCGGCTACTATTTTTGTTAGTTTTAGCTTGGTTTCTAGTGCTACGTATATCGTTTTGGCATAGAAGAACTTATAAACTTTATTTTATGTCATGTTGTACAGTTTTCTAACCTTGAGCACTTGAAAATGCACATTAAACATGCTAAACTGCACTTTGCTCACTTTTACGAAACGCTAATCTCTTAACACGTGCATAATGACAACAGATTAAAGAGAGAAACCTGTGCAATTATGAATTTCAAAAGCATCGGAATTTGGGTTTGTTTACAGTGGTTTATAATGTATACTATGCGGTAACATGGCACAATAAAATTTCTTTGAAATTTTAAAATTTAAGAAAATTTTGAACTTTAGGTAACAAAATTTAGAAATATATAGGGTAAAGTAAGTTAAAGTAAAGTAAGGTAAACTAGTAACTCACATTATTAGAATCGAACCGTATGAAGTAAGGTTTGCGTGAGTCCAACTGTGACAGCACGCCTCGTAACAGTGGCACGCTGATGAACACAGTCGGTTCAGAGATGAGATTCCACTCCACGTTGAGGTCGTTTACCCGCTTCACGACCTGCACGAATCGCCAGAAACCCGGGTTGACGATCCGATCAAAATGATTAAAAATGGTGAGGTAAGGCGCTTCGAACTCCAAAGCTTTGTTCAGGTGCAGTTCGGTACGATCGCACTCGTACAGCCACGTATCGTTGAGCGTTTCGTAGTCGTGCTGAAAGGTTTGGTTCTTAATTTTGGTATGTTGTTTTACAGTTGGGTTAGAGTAGGGTAATGGTACTGTAGAGACAAGCTAGGGAATGGTATGGTAATAAAAATGGTAAGGCGAAGCCAGGCAAGGCCGTGCAGGGCCAAGTAGGACAGTTCAGGGTAGTGTACAGAGTAGCCTTAACTACGCTTCTTTGAATTCATTCAAAGCTGTTTTATGCCATTAGGTACAGCTGAAAAAAAGCCACTTGGCCCGGCGCGCCCCTGGCTGAGCTGATTTGCAGTAAATTTGAAAAGGGCTAGGTCGACAAATCAGGTTCGGTCTTTTATAGGTCTACCATTAGGCCAAAGATCAATTAAAACCCAACGCAATTACAGGGTCATTCATCTTGGAGCCAATTTGGTAATGAATTTACTTACTTTTGAAAATGTTTCGTCTGTATTTACATAACAACCCAAAAACCCTCGGTTGGCCGTGTAGCCAAGCTGTGTTGATTCTATTGGCACTGTCGAAATATAATGTAGAAATCTGAACGTATAATAGGTTAGTTAGAGACACTAAAGAGTTTTTAGGTAACAAAAAGTCTAAAAATTTTTGTTATATGAACAAGACAGGGCTTATCAAAAATCACTTAAAACATCAAAAAAATCATTTAAAATCCAACAACCCACCTCTTAAACTCATCATTACTATGAATTTTAAACTGGCTTTTTGAGTAATGTCGTACGACGAACATGTAGACCAGAGTGATCAGCATGATGAGTACGATCACTCCTTGAACACATGCTTTGAATGGGAAGGTGTAGCGATTGGGGGTGGTGGCTGACTGTGATGAGTGGGGGTTGGACTTGAGTGATAACAAAGGACTCGTATGCACTGTCATTCTGCATTATTTCAACATAACTTTGTGACCAGTCGGTTCAGGGAAAAGATTTTGTTGATGATGGTGTGTATGTGGGTATGGGTGAAGGTACTAAAATTTGGGGTGGATTAGTTAAATGAGGAAAATATATGAGTTTGTTGCAAAATACGACAGGTGCTTGTACTAGATATATAATGAGTTAACACTACAGTAAAGTTACGGTATGGTAGAAAATGATAAGACTAAGACTAGAGCTAAGGCTAGGGCTGAGGCTAGGAGGAGAGCTAGAGCTCAAGTTAAGGCCAGGAAAATAAATAAGATATCCTGATTCGTCTACATACGAAACAAAATAGCAAAGTAAACGCAAATAAAAGGCAAAAAACTTTCAAAAGCTTCAAATTGAAAGAAAAACTGAAATAAGCGAAACTATGATTCTGAACAAGGTACAACACAAAATGATGTTTGGTAACGTCATTTGTCACACGTTGTCATATTATGTTCTAATATACATTGTCATATATTGTTACATACAATTATGTTCTATTTCTTAAAAGCCTGAGAAAATGTAATCATTTTGTGAGTAAATGGCCGTGAATTATGAGGGTGGGATAGTATTATATTTATATTGAGGTAAGGCATGGGTGTAGGTCATATAAAAGGTAAAAAGGAACGTTCTATTGGGTATTAGGGATGTGTGATGAAAATACAAAAATTAAAATTTTAAAGTACTATTCTTGAGCATATAAGGTACAAAATAGTATCTAAGGTACAAAATAGTACTTAAAGTACAAAATAGTATGAAAGGTCTAAAGCACAATGCAGTACAAAATAAAAGCAAGAACACTACCTAAAACAACCTTCTTCACCAAGTCCCAACCTTATATACCAAAAATATTTAAAAAATAAAAAGAAACAAGTGTAACAAATTTAGCATTTGGCCTTGAAATCTAGCCAAAAATAGCCGAAACCTTTGGAATTTCAAAATATTTTCCTGTTAATGGCGAAATTCGATATAGGTTTACATTCGCTACATAAAATATGGCACCCATAAATAACGTCGTTCGTCTGAACTGCTTCCGGGAGTACGAGAAATTTGAATATTTTTCAATTTTAGTTATGAAAACAATACTAAACGCCATATTTATATACAATATAAATTACTGAAGGTCATATTTAAAAATGGTTGTGAGAAAAATTGTAAAAACCGACTGGTAATAAACTACAATAAAAAAACTTACTTAGAGTCTTATTGGCCTTATTGGGTAGTTCAAATTATTCTGTGCTCTCCTCAAAGCAAATTTTCTGGGTTAGGGGGCACATAATCACCTGAACAATCTAATATAAAAATTGCCTTTTCTTCCATTTTACCCCCCCCCTCGCTCAAGACAAAAGATGTCATAGTTAATGGCATGTAAAGAAAAACATTGTCCTAAAGAGTTTAACAACTCATAAACCGCTATTACAGATCATAAACCTGAAAATACCTATAGCAATAAAAGTCCCATGATTTCTTTATAAGCATACCACTTCCACCACGTCATTTCTACTAATAAAACTTTTAACCTGTTCTAAAATAATTATTTTACAACCATAATTACTTTCTATTCAAGTCTAATATCTTGAGTAAACTAAATGAATAATAACACTGTAATCATGCCGACATCTTGTACATCACATTGTACTGATGACGTTTTCATGAGTATTTTAACCCTCTCCTTTTAGAGTACAAGCGTTTCTTCTTTGCGAAACTAGTTAAGAAATGGCAATTAAAATTTGAAAAAGTCTACTATCCAAGTAATAAGGTCTTTAATACATAAAGAGTTAAGGGTTTGTCATGATATTATAGTAGGAATAAAAAAATTTTTGTCTTATAGAACGAAAGCTATATAAGATGAAAGAACATAAAAATTTATCAAAAAACCATTTCCAATAACTGCTCAATGGTCTGGACTAGCGAGATATTGAGCGTAGTGTCACTCGCTAGCCAAGGCCATTTAGCTGTTTTTGAAAATAGTTTTTTGGTAACTTTTTATGCTCTTTCATCATGTAAAGGTCTCGTTCTAAACTTCGAAAGGTATTTTGCTGAATTCCCTAGTTAATACTATGTCAAATTCTTTATTACTACGTTCTACAACTAACATGTCAAGACTTTTCATTAACAATGACATAAGCTTTTCATCACAAACAAATATATGCCACCCTTTCTACATTCAAACCCTAAAGCAATAAACGTTCGCCTACGAACGTAGCAAACCATTTACTGCCAACAAGGTGTTCGTAATACCTCGCAATTATTAAATGTAAAGCGTTTTCCCAAATCCAAAGCGTTTTTCCGGAAAGTTAACCAATGTGAAAGTAAATTAAGGTGGGCTATTAGGAAGCCCGGCAAGAAAGCCGCCATGACAACGTCGGTTTTAGAAGGTAACGACTTCGGACGGGTGTTTGACGAAAAGATCGGTAATGCAATTCAGGGTCTATTGGGTTTTACAGGTGCTTCAAAATTGGGCATAAACTGAGGGTTTAGTTGGAACGGTTTGAGAGGCGGTTGATTTGTGTTTTCCATAGAACAACAGACTTTATTATCAAGTTATATATCTTAAAGTCTACTGTATAAGTTTATTTAATGATGCAGGGAAAGAGCAATGCAGGGTAGAATAAAGAAAGGCAGGGTAAAGTACAGTAGGGTAGAGCAAGCTAGAGTAAGGCAGAATAGAGTGGAATAAAGTAGAGTAGATTAGGGTAAGGTAGGATGAAATGGTGTAAAATAGGGTAGGATAAGGCCCTCTACTAATATTTAAAATTCTTCACCCCTCCCCCACCTTCTTACAGCTAAAAACCCTATGCCCAAACGTATATTCACGCGAAAGGGTCTCCAAATTTAAAAAATTTTAAAAAGTTGTGCCAAACCATAAAATGTGACAATTTGAGAGTCTAGACGGTTAACCTCCAACCTGACTTTGTGTCAATAATTAACCGCATATTGTTATATTTACAAGGTAAAAATGGTTTAGTAAGCATGGTAAACAAGCTCGTTATCAAGAAAGAAAACTTTTACTTAATTGATACAAATAAAAAATGTCCTACAATTCATAAAATGTCATAACATTGTCATGGTTGGTCAAAAACAAAAAAGAAAAAAAAATAGAAGGGAAGAGATAAAAAGCACCCTAGAGAAAAGGTATTATTAAGAAATATATTTTAGATTTTGTACTTGACACGCCATATATCAATCCTTTAAAGAAAAATATATTACAACCTTTGTTATAATAAGTAAGTACCAGTAAGTAAGTACTAACATCTATTGTGTATAAATAACACACAAAAACAAGTAGGTATTGTTAATATAAACATTACTTTTTCCTGTTTTCAACTCTAAAAACAAATGCCCTTTGATAAAAGCCTCGTGTTTTAAATAATACATAACACGCAACAGACATTAGACGTTTAATGAGTGTGAATGTAGACGAAAGTTAAAATTGCCAACATTTAAAAAAAACAATAAATGTACAATACCCATGCACTACTAACCCATATAAAACTATCCTATGATATCTTAACCTACTCTATTTTTACAGTCGTATCAAAGTGAAGTAAGTAATATACTGTTTTGAAGAATTCAAATTTTCGATTAAACCCATTTTCAAAAAAGCCTTATTTTGAAGTAGCCAATCTTTCTACGCCGTTCTCTAGACATCTTGACATTTTACTTTAATCCTCTACATGTCACCGATCATTGACCTTACTATATACAGTTGAATCACATTAGGGCACGTTAGAGCACTCATGTTGAACTAATTATCCGAAATTAGATTTGTGTCATTAATCCTGTCAAAAAGGCGAGGGTTTTGTTTCCAGACAACCGACAATACTAATAACAAACACATACTAACCATTCCGACACTTTTTGTTAAGGATTTTGTCGTCTGTTGCTACGGAGGCTACAGTATTTGGAATGGTTTTTGATTTTTTGTTTGTAGAGGCTAGAATTATAGTAGTAGGCTAGAATATAATGTAAAGTAAAGTAAAAATTTAAAATACTTTACCCATTTATGATCCCTACAAGCCTAGTACCTTCATGGTACAACAATGTGCTCATACCAAAACTAAAAAAAAATAAATTTTAAATTTCAATACGATAATCTCCAAATTCAATGCCTTCTAAAACAATAAAAGCCTCGAAAAGAAAAGGTAATACCAATAACAGTTACTTGATGGATTACTGTCGGCCTAATCTACTCTGCCTCGAGGTCTACGGAGTAAAAACAGGTATGTGGGGAAGCGGTAATTTGGGCACGAGCACTTATTATACCGCCAAATTACATGTTATTCACGACGAAATACCATTGTAGGCTACAACGCACTTTACTTGAGAGAAGAGACTGTCAACAGGATAACAGTCTGTTTCTATGTTATGGTGGTGATGTGTGAGTACATATATTATACATAAGCATTGCCTTAGTAAAAGAGTGTAAACATTAAGTGTTACATATATTGAAAAATATAGTACAGTCAAACGGTACAGTAAGTTTTTATATCAGTAATAACAATATTTTTACCCTTTATATAGTTTAAAATCTTAAAATTCTCAAAAACAACCCGAAATACTGTAACTAAAGCACCAAAACTGTAATTACACAAAAATAATGGTATGCGTAATTACAGCGCAAATGAAGGTAAACACATTTCACATTACATTTTGGGTGTTGTGATAGAACTGAAAGCTTATAGGAAGACATGTAATCTAAAGGTAATACCAAAAATGTCAGAGAACTACATCAATAGTACGTATACGCTAAGTGTTACATATCGTATAACTATATTGGTCATTGTATTACTAGACTTACTAGACTAGACATGTAGCTTTAATTTTAATGGCATTTTGAGCATGTTGAGGCATAACTTTATGTAAAAAAACAATTTAGTAAAATTTTGGAAAGATTTTTACAAACATTTAATATTAAACGTTTCAAAATGAATGTCCGTGCTAAGAAGAAACGAAACATTGAAGGCACAATAAAGTAAGAGGAAGACGCAATACATAATATATCATCGTGAAGAACTCTTAAGTTGGTGTTCTACTCGGAAGAAAAAAAAGTAATCAAATACGACCCAAGGCTTTTAATCAGAAGTTTAGTAAACAATCTACGGCAACACACAGTAACAACAAATTTTACTTCCATAAAAATGACTTTTCACTTTAAGAACTAGTAAAGATAGACCTATCTTACCCTACTCTACATTAGACTACCCTACCCTATCCTACCCTGCCCCAGTTCGTCATGCTCTGCCCTACGCTACTTTATCCTATCTTACTCTGTCCTAAACTTTTTTTTACCATCCCCGAGCTTCACTACACCAGAAACAAATGAAAAGTGACAAGATACGAAGACAAAGAAAGCATGAAAAGTGCGATTAACAAAGAATCAATTTTGACACCGTTCTCTTTCGTATGTTCGGAAATTAGTCTTTAATGCCACGTCGTGATGACGTCCTTATCGTATTAAAAAGTGACGTTACAAGAACGGCGGATTAGACACCAACGTCTACAGTTTTTGGCAGTAGACAATGACAGTTTTTTGAAAAGAAATAAATGTTAAAATTGTAAAGTTGAGATGACAAAGCTCAATTTAAAAAATATAAGCAAAGGGAGAAAGAAACAATTCCCAAACCTTTAAAAATTACCTCTGTTAACACTTAAAAAAACTAATATAAAAGCAAAACACCTACAACGAAACCCCTTTACTATGAAATTCAAAAGACTAGTCCAGACCTGTCTTTTTAAACAGGGTGTCACACTACCTAGGTACTTTTAGATAATAGAATTTAATAACAAAAAGCGGTCAAGAAGCTGTCATTATTAAGAGAGTGTTACACTACCGAGGGTCGTAATAGGCTAGAGGTTTCTCGGTATAAACAGAGAAGCTTTCTCAAAGAAGATTACAACCGATATCACCCGTCACTAAAAATATCAGCTACAAAATTCTAAAAATCTACAAAAACTCATGTCTAAAAGGTCAGAAAGCAGTCATTGATACATAATCTGTTATGACATTTAAACTTATAAATATACTATGAAATTTACAGTTTATTCACTTGTTTCTATGGCATTTTAGGATGTCAAAGAACACACTTTCATGTATTGTCTGTCTTTCTTAATTTCAAGATTTTAAACCAACAAATCTTACATTCTTTATCAATTTCGAAATAAAAATTAAACCTTAAACTCGAATTTCAAAAAAATATATAAAATACGAGTTCAATCAAAATACTTTTAAATTTAAAAAAACTAGGTAACCAACTTCAATATAAAAATCCGAATCCACAAGAATACTTTATTTTCACTTTATTATAGCAAAAGAAGCATCGTACTGTATAAAATCAGAAGATGAAAGAAATGGACCCGTATTAGCAATTACAACATTAAAATTTTCGCAAAAGCCATTCTAGACACAGATAGTAGTTTACAACGTTAAATCCTCAGTAAAGTAAAGCTGACAAAACAAACTTTCAAAATTATGTAACAAAATAGGCTTATCGGTTTATCAAGATTCGGAAGGGGATAAGATAGTTAAGAGAATAGTTAGAGATATAAGTGCAGTGAAGAAATACAGTATTTTACCATAGGAAACAGCCAAATGTATTACTATAGTAATTCAATGTATACGACAGTATTTATAGTACAAAACCTGCAGTACAACTAACACTGTATCAGATTACAGTATCAATACCATAATAAACAACAGCAGGAATTAGCTATATCCGTACTATTAAAAAATACAGTAATCCTACTGAACCTTCTCACTGTACTTATACCGTAAAGAACATAACAACCACAAAGAAAAGTAAAACGAGAATAGCTACAGATCTACTGTCCATTACTCGCGTCTGAGATGGTTGAAGTCTCCATTGATGCCACTTGATAGTTGTTCTTGGTCTGAAATATTCACTTTCATGCTACAAAAGACAGAGTTGATTACGATAACATTGAAATTACTGTTTGATATATCACAAAATAATACCTACATAACCAAAAACAATATTAAAATAGCTCCACAACACGCATTTCAAGCCATACGCACTCACACTTTTATAAGATACTACAGAATATCCTACCAAAATTTACTGTAGCAAAGTTTGATACGATATAAATAAGCAGTATACCTACCACGTATGTACCGTGCTGCAGTCTATGCCATATTGTATATATCACACCAAACTTTTAATATCAAAAAGCAAAAATGCCACATTTACTACGTCTACCTCAGCTTCACTACATATGTAATCAAGTTTACTATTAAGTTATTCAACTAATTCTGTGCCCCCTCTCAAAGCAAATTTTCAGGCTTAAGAAACAAAGAATTATTTGAACAACCTAAAACATCTACCTGCACTTTACCACACCTAAAAACTTTACTACATCTACGTGTACTTTCACTACACTTATGTCTACCTTTATGAGTCATAACTATTCATAATCATATTCTCAATGTCCATCAAACGATTCAAACGTGCTTCCTCGTTCACATTTGATAACTGCAAATCAAATTCAATCACGCAAGTTGAGTCAAATTAACAACTAGAAAAGGACGTTTTGTTTCACACACCAAACTTTTAAAATTGCAATATTTTTCAAAGTAAAATATCACTTTTGCTATAACTATCTCAGCTTTCCCTACATGTAGGTTCAAGTTTTTCTGATAAAAAATCAAAAATCTTTGCTTCAAGGCTTTAAAACTTTTAAAATGTTATCTAAACTTATAACTTAAGTTCCAAAAATTAAAGAGCAAACAATTTGTTACCTAAATATACAATACTTATCTATACATATTTTCAAAACCTTTAATTTAAATTGACTTTACGAGTGAATTTTGAAAAATAAATAAAAAAAATTTAAATTGACGTTTCAAACTTCAATTTCAAAAATACAAATATAAACACTTATATAATTCATGATGACTCTCAAATTACTCATATGACTTTAACGTTATGATTCTGCCTTATTATTAGCCCCCACATCCAATCTCAAAAACCCTTACCTCTTTACTAGCCCTATGTGCCACATCATCTAGTAATGAAGCAGCGTCGAACTTCTTCTCCCTTCTGTAAATACTGGCCATTGCTTTAATAGCCGGTAGTATTCCTGGAGCTTCCTTCACAACTTGTACACATCGTTTCACATGTTCGTCATCAATTGAAGGATCTTTTCGTTTATTCACTTCACGATCTTCAGCTACGTTCAGAATCATTTGCGTTGAAGTCGAAGCGCCGTACTTTCGTTGATGAGCCGTGCTTATCATTTCACGGTACTTGACCTCGGCTTCCTGAAAAAAATAAAAGTAAGACTTAAAAATCAAACTTCGAGTAAAAAATTTCGAAAAAAAACCACTTGTTACCTAAAATTAAAAAAAAAGATTTTTGTTACCTAAAATTCAAAGAAACTATTTCAATACATAAAACTAAAAAAAAGTATTTCTGTTACTTAAAATTCCAAAAAAATTTCTTTTTGTTACCTAAAATCTTTAAAAACTCATTTTTAGTACACACAAATGCAAAAACCAACCTGAACCCTTCCTTGCTTGATCAACGCCTGACAAAGTTGAGTTTTGCTTTTCAACGTCAATGTCTCAATTGGCCCAGTCTTCTTTTCGTAAACGTCAGTCGCTTGTTGAAAACTGGCTTCAGCTTCTTTGTATTTCTTGAGATTCAGCTGTGCCGTTCCCAAAGTCGTCAAGAATTTGGCCACGTCCGTGTGATCTGCTCCTTGGATCTTTTTCCTCAAATCGACTGTCTTCTGAGCGTGCTTTTCACTATCAGCAAATCGATTCATTCGTCCGAATAATACTGCAATGGTGCTGTGAGTACAAGCGACTGCTGCTGATTCTTCTCCATATATCGCTTCGCGGATTGCTAGAGCTTGTTTTAGGAAAATCACAGCTTCTTTGAACTTCTTTTGTTCTCTAAAAATAAAAAAAATAATTTCAATGTCGTAGCACACATCATGCCGAAATAAAAGAAAAATGAAACTAAGGTGGCCGTGGCATTTCGTTAACTCAAAAGTCTCAAATATTGATTCAAAAAATAAAATAAATATTTAAAATGTTGAACGAAACGTGTGAAATTATCAAATAATAGTTAAAATAAATCAAATTTTGAGCTGTAACAAATATTAAAAAAATCGCTATGTTGCGGCGGTTCTTTGAAGGCCAAACTGGTCTTGATCCGTCAAAGAATCGTCCAGATATCACACTACAAGTTTACTACAAACGAATTTCATTTTCAAAATTCCGACCGCTTAATTTCAAACAATTTTTTACAAAAAATAGAATTTCACACTTCGCATCGTTTTTTACACGAAATGTCACTCTGTCTTTATTTCCTCTTTTGGCATGACGTGTAGCACCTGATTACATTTCCAAAACGACATGGAAATACAGTTTTTTAAGTTAAAATTAATATTTGAATCTATAATTGACCAAAAAGTGTTAGCTAAAAATAAAAAAAAAACAAAATCCACAAAAACTTACTTATAAATTGTAGCAAACAGGTTGAGAATAGAAGCGTAATCAGCACTCTTATCTCCTTTGTCCTTCTTTACTCTCTCCATATACTTCTTAGTAGCCAGGGTTGCTGAATCAAAGTTTCCTTGTGCCAATAGTTGATTTACCTAAAAATAATCACTTTTTTTAATTCATAAAAAAAACTAAAATATTAACATTCTTAACAACAAAAACGCTTTAAATGCCATCTACAATAAAATGTAAAACCTACCATAAAGTACAAGTTCTTCAAGTCGGTTGGAGCATCGTCCAAAGCACTAATCGAAGCCGACGTCACTCCGGAATGTAGCATAAGATCGTTTTGTGAGCTTCTTGTAGTCAAAGAATTAGTTGGAGAGTGTACGTTGAGCTGATTCGAATTCTCCTGGCCTTCTTCTTCCTCCGGATCAAAGCCCAGCTCTTGCATTGTCCTTGTGTGACTAAGCGGTCGACTTTCGAAGATATCGGTGCCTCTACCAGAGTCAAAGTCATCTTTAGAATCGTCAAACTTCTCCAGCGAATGAAGATATTTAAAGTTTTCAAGATCTTGCTTTAAGTCTATTATTTCTAGGTCCAACTTCTGGGATTTCTTCTGAGAAGCGGTCAGCTCTTCAAGTAGCCAAGCGTTCTCTTCCCTTAGGCGTTTGTTCAAGGCTGCGCTCTTGTGTTTGTCAGCTTCTAGAGCTTTTATGTAGATAAACAAGTCCATGTTGAACTGAAATAGCATATTTTTAAGTAGTAAAAAACTATCATGTTGTATAGAAAATCAAAAAAAATAGATATAACCTAAAACAACAAAAACCCTAACAATTTTAGGTCCAGAAATACTTTTAAAAAATAAAGATGACCTCCAAAACTAGTTAAGACAACTCAATAAGGCAAAGCTTCGGTTCTTCCATAAGTTTCAACTCTAAAATCATAAAAAATCTAACCAAAACACCTACTTTAGCATCGAATATTCCAGTATCCAGCCTAGCCAGCTCTTCATTGTATTTGTTCAACTTTTCTCGTCTCAATTCGTCGTCGATCGACGAATCTTGAGCCGTTTGATCTTTCGAAAGTTCAATATCCTTCCTCAACGCTTCTAGACCTTGACAACACTGCCGTGTTTGCTCGATGTTCTCATCAAGCATGGTCATTTTATCCTAAAACATACAGAATTTTGTTTTTTTATAATTTTAGGTAACAACACGCTTAGTAATTAAATGGCAATGTAAAACTATAAATAAATAAAGGTATGCAATAGTAAAATAGGGTTCAAAACAGCATAAAAAACTTAAAACTCTGTTCTCTGTAAAAAACTAAAACTTTTTTGCATATTTTATAACAATATTTTAAAATTAAAAAAAAATCAATTTTACACAAATTTTTTAAAAAATTCTCAAAATTTCAATAAAACCGCTTGCGTTAATTCCTCGCCACCAAAAGTAAGCGACCTCACGAGTTGACTCATCCGCCCGCTAACGCTTTAAAGCAAAGTATTCGGAAATGGGTTTACGCGCCTTTAAACAAAAAAAAGAAAAGAACCTTTAATCGAACTCGAGATCGAATGAACGAGTTCGTGCATTCTTCTCTACGAAAGTGCGGGATTCTGAGGTTGAAGATGGTCATGAGAGGTAAAGTTTTAGAAGTTCTATTGCAATCTTGTGCATAACAAAAGCGCATTAAAAAACTAATGTTTGATTCGAAAAAGCTGTGAAAAATATTTTTTAAACTGCAAAAACAAGAGATTAACTTTGTGGAGACCAAGTTAGAAAGAATTCTGTAAAAAACCAGACGTAAATCTATAAAAACAATGTAAAATCAGTTAATATTGTAGAAACGAGTGATAAACGGAAGTTAGATGGGATCTTGATTAGCGGGGAAATATTATGTAAAGAAAGTAAAAGAATGGCATATTGCGTGATTGTATGAATGTTTCAATGTAAAATAGAGCTTTTTTTAAATTATATTAAAATGAATTTAAAAAAAATTTTAAAAATAAGTCTTTTTGTAGAACATTCGATTTAAACGTAAATTTCGAAAACCATTTTTTTGCCTTTTAACTTTATTCAAAATTCAGAAAACCCTAAATTGGTCAGAATATTGAACTGATTCAAAGATCAAAAACAAATAAATCCACCTATTAAAACATAACTCATTGATACTTCATTTAAAAATCTTGTTTTATATAAATTATTCGGAAAGTCAATGTAGATATAGGTATTTGAGCAAGAATAAACCGATTTTTGATCATTGAAGCATAAAGGTGTTCGATTTGCTGACCGAATTAGGGTTTTACAGAATTTTGAGTAAAAACAGAAAGTTGAATTTTGAAATTTAGGTATATATGAACCAAATGTTTTACAATAGAAAAGGCTTTTTTTAAACAGTTTTTTTACTTTATGAATAATCTACTCAGACGCTCAAATGATTCTGTGCCACTAACCATGAAGATTAAGAGAGAGCACAGAATTAGTTGAACAACGTAATACTTTAAAAAAGCTCTATGTCGCAATTTCACAAACCCATCCAATTATCCATTATGCTATTTTTACCTTTCTTTACATATATTCTTCCACGCTAATCAAAATCCCATCAAACTCCCGTTTATCACTCAGAATAAATATATATATTCATATCCGTCTCCATGACAACATTAAAATCGAACAAAACGAACCACCGACCTTGAACTGGCTGTCAGTTTAATTCGGGAAAAACGAACTAACTGCCCTTACAAATTAGTTATCTCCAGCGTCCATCTAACCCCAATTCCCTCACTCAAAACCGTGTCCACAAATAGACGTTACAATAACATGGCGCTTATCAAAAGGCTTGCGAACATTCCTAGTTCGTTCGAATTTGATGCATCTCTTGATGTATATCAAATGGTGTATTCTGATCGGAAGAGATTCACGTGAATTCTCGTTGGTTTTGTGGTTTGTTTGCAAAAAGTGGGGCAAAAAAGTTTAATTAAACTTGGTAATTCGCGTAAAATAAGGCTTAAATATCCAAAGAGATGTTGTTTGAAGGAAGAAGTGAATACAGCCTTCAAAGTCTGTAATTTCCGTCAAAAAAAACTAAACCTACTTCAAATTACCCTTGTTAACATAACAATTTTCTAAATTCCAAAAAAATTCAAGCCCTAACGTTATTCTAATCATTTAGTATTAGATTGTTCAGATAATTCTGTGCCCACTTTCAACGCAAATTTCCAAAAAGGCCCAGAATTATTTGCACAACCTAATATTAGGACCTCCATTGATCTAATAGAATGTTATGGTAATAATAAAACAAATGTAAAGTCTTGTCTTTATTGCTACCATAATATACGTGTTCCACTTTAAAATTAAAAAGGATTCGATTCGTGTCCGGAATAAAACAAAAAGGGATCGTTCCTAAACGCTTCCTTCCTGTAAACGCTCCATAAACACCTCCGTTTATCCCGCAAATCGCTTAGAAATCCCGTACGATGAAGAATAACGTTCTTCGACTTAATACAGAAATCGACTATACACTCAAAAACAGAATTCATAGATCCTCGCAACAACATTCAAAGTTCGAATACCAAAATTACTATACGGTTTCATTTCAAAACAGTCCTTATTATTGTTATTATAATAAGCTAGTGTCAATATTTTGATTGGTGTGATAAGTATGAACATTATACCAATTCCATAGGCACCTATCGATATCATAATCATTCTATAGGCAATAACAGTTAAACCAATTCGGTTTCTACTGAAATAAAGTTGTTTTTAGATACATTAGCTTAAATTTTAAGTCGTAATAATCTTCAAAATAAGCCTATAATATTCTTAAAGCTCTTATAAAAACCCTATATAAACCTATTCAAGAAGTAAAAGCGAGCATTTTCGTTTCTACGTAACCAAAAAAACAAAAAACCCCATTAAAAGGTCATTTAAAACAACGATTTCGACATATAACCGTCGTTATATCCAAATATCCTAATTTCAATTTAAGATATCCGTTTATCATTACTTTTTACACAAATTTTAAACAATTTTACAACCTATTTATCTAATCAAGCTAACAAATTACAGCTGAAAATTGTTCAAATTAACATATCCTATCCTGCCATCCTTTTAAATCCAAAGTTTTTCCCCGATACATTCCTAAATTTCAATACTTTCCCCTAAAATAGCCCTAATTATTTCCATTTTCCCCTAAATTCATCGATTAACCGTGTTTCCACCAGAATCTTATCAAAATCAAATTAAAATCGAAGCCAAAACAGACACAAATCCCTACTGAATTTGCTCCCAAATCAAAATTTCAGATTTTGTCGCCATAAAAAGGCAGAAAAAGCCCCTGAAACTGAAGGAAAAAACGAGACTTGGCCAGAGGAAAAGACCTTTGGCCCAAAAGACACTAAGCAGCGGGATTTGGCCGAGAAATGCCTGAGTAAAAGGGTTAACGTTCGGTCTAAAATTACTTTTCTGGAGTTAAATAGTGGTCAGTATTATACTATTCATTTTTATGTAAAGAAAAATATAGTTTGGTCCTTAAAAACATTGTTTTAATGTCAATTTTAGGCCGAAAACGCCTTATGACAAACTTTTACGCGTCAATAGCTCATATTTGGCCCATTCTTGGCCATTATTCCCTCTTACTTTAACTGTTCGCATCGCTTTGTTTATACCAAACAATCTTCATATTTCATAACATATGAATAAGTAGCTATTCTAAAGTATTTCTTTACATTTATTTTTCAAAACAATTTCGAAAACTACCTAACCTTTCGTACAAAAATACCATTACTATACAGTCCACCAGAATACTCCAAGTTCAATACTCAAGTTACAAACCCACTAACAACCACTACTACTTACGCAGCTTTGACAAAAAAAAGATCTTCCAGACAGCTGATCCGAAAAGCTGGCGGTCACTTCTTATGAATAGCGGTATTATTCGAGGCTCTTCAAGTTACGAAGGTAAAGAGTGTGAGAACATGACAGATCAGAGACTTATGTCAAGTGTCCTCATAACAATAAGACAATAGATAGTTCGTTTGATCAAAAAATTCCAAAATAGCAATCAAAAATGTTATAAAATTAAAATTTTTAAAGACTACTGGTCAAAACATTCAATTCTAAAATCTTTTAGGCCATAAATTTTTCCTATATAACCACTGGTTGACCAACCTTGAAGTCTTAAACATAATTGGACCTTAAGGTCTTAAATATGACTATAAATTTAATCAAAACATCGTAAAGAACACATTAATTATCCCTTCTGTAAGCTATAACCGTCAGCTAAAACAATTAAGGCTCATTTTGCAACGTGTGACCACTAAACATTCCAGAAGCTTCAGTCTACTCATATTAATCATCTCTATTACACTGACCAAACAAAACTTTTCGTAAACGTTCAGAAACAGTTAAAAATTATCTAATCTTCAAGTTGATATCACAAAAAAAAATCCATTTTTTTAAATGTTTTGATCTTCTTGTAGGTATCAAAATTTCTTGGTGATACCTTTTGTTTTCTGCCACTATTTCTTAAGCATTTTATATAAATTTTATTGTAAAACATTTAAATTAGATACAAAATACCCAATACATCATTAAAATCCCAGCAAGATTCAAAATACTACCAAAAACTTTTAAAAACTCGCAAAAAAACGTCATTCATACCTAAAACATCAGAAAGTCATGTTTTCGTCCGAACTAGTACATTCTTAATGAACTCCAACCCTTCATAACTCAAAAATGTAATTACAAATAGCGGAAACCGCAATTACTCCACAGTTAGCGGCTTTAAAACAACGAAAAACCTTTATGGAACTTGAGAGAACAGCAAATTCCAAAATTTTTTCATTTTCCCTGCGGAATCGAGCCGAAAAAGCGGGCGAGAAGGCGGAATTAGTGAGGTCAGAACAAGAATATAATAGCCTTCTGATGTGCGTTGTGTAAACAATAGCTCAAGATAGAACACCAAGCAAAGTGCAAAAAATGAGAATGTTATCCATCTCCTAGGTCATACTTATGAGAACGTCTTACCACAGATCGGTTTTTATAAATTTAAAGTTAATAATATAATTTTAGGTATTAAAAACATAAAGATACACCTTGAGCACCAAATATAATGAAAATGAGTCCAAGGCAGCATAAAGAAAACGACGAAACTTATAATTGATACCTAAATCCCAAAAATCCGTAAAAACAAAAAAAAATCATAAAATAAACAACTACAATACTTTGAGAAATCCCTTCACACCGAAATCAAACCATTTCCGTATCTATTCACCCCAACCCCACACAAAAATCGTCGAAATTCACAGAAAATTATATTATCCACCCCAAAAACGCCTGTTCAAACACAAATATCAGTCAACCAAACTCCATTCAAAGCTCCTAAACACAAAAATAACAAAAAAAGCAAAAATGACTTACATTATTAGGAAAAGAATAAGAAGAATCCTGATCGAAGCATTGGAATCTGTAAACATCTGGCCGTTCTTCAGGTACTTGGTATTCTGGCCTTCTGAACATCGGCATCCGACGATGGATCCGTTGTGGGGTACATAACGCGTCGACAACTGACATCTTCTATAACCTACATGAAAATTCGACAAGAAATCGCAAAAATTCAGAATTCTGCGATTAATCGTTTTCGCGATTTATAAATAAAAAGTTCCACACAGGAGTTTTCGTGGTGGGACCACATTAAGTTAGTTATGAAAACATGGTACTAGAACAATACAACAATATTACAAATTAAATTGTCTATATACGCCTTACATGTCATTTTCGTCTAATAGGGAAAGTTTCTTGCCCTTTCAAACATTCAACTTTGATTAGTTACTTCTTTATGCAATCATTAATTTACAAGCCAGATCGAGTTTTCAAATATTTTATATACTAGAAAATATCGGGATAACTAAATTGAATAACACTTGTTCAAATAGACGATGGATCCTCTTGGGCATCTACGGTTGGCATTGTCATGGTGATATTATGAATGGTATCATCGAGGTCGGTGAATTCACTGAAAAATAATAGTAAGGTTAGAATATATATAATATATTAAAATGATTTTTAAATGTCTATTGTTTTAAACCTAAAAATTATATAACATGAAATTTATACATCTAAAACATAGAGTTGCGCAAATACCACCTTTTTGCCTACACCAACAAAGGTCATTTTACAAAACTTACTTTAACTTATTTTTGTTGATGTTCCCTACACGTCTCTTCTTCACAGGTGGATTCGATTTAGCCGGCGAACTCGTCAAGAAAGGAGTCAACTTCAATTCTTGTTGATGTAGCCTAGTCTCCGATCGGAAGTCAGTTGGTTTTCGGTGGTCATGAGGCAGGTAGACAGAAGAGTAGCCAGAACCATCCTCGGTCTCATCGCCCACACCATCAGTAAAGATCGGCTTTGATTCTTCCAGAAAGAATGGCTTTGCCGATGACACACTTGGCGACATTTGTGCCACCGAACTGTGTTGACATTTCGGCGACTCGACATTGGCTTTTCGCTTTCTGCACGATGGGTATGCTGATGAGGACTCGGACACGAGCGACGACATCGAGGACGATGAATCTGATCGTGATCGGGGGTACTGAAAGTAAGATTATTCCTAAAAACGCTTAAGATCCTAAAATTTCATTTAAATTTAGTTGTAACGTTCAATATTTAGCTAAAAATGGATCTTCCATGCGTAAAACTGTTAAAATTTACTTATAAGGAAGTTTTTATACCTAAATATGTCGAAAAAGCAGCAAAAGGACTTGGAAAACCATTAAAATCAACCTAAAACAATATAATTTTTGGCAAAAAACAGCCAAGGTCTCCAAAAACTAACTTTATTTTTAATTTTAAAAGAAAATGATAAAATAGACCCAGAACTACCCAATAATTTCAAAACGTATCCAATAGTCATGCTAAATTAGGTAACGTGCACAAAAAACTTCAACTTACCCTGGTCCTGTGGATTGATGGATGGAAAAGGTCTCGGTGTCTCAGTGTTGTGAGTTGAGGCGCAGTTTTTGGACTGAAAACATTGAGGAAGGCCTTCTTGGCCCTGACCATGGCCCTCCCAAACCCATTCAGCCGGCTCTTCTTCTTCTGCGTTTCGTTCGGTTTGAAGGCGCTGAACCGAGCCATCGACCGCACAAATGGCAACAATGACTACATTTGAGGTGGAAAAGACACCTTTTTATGTAAAATGGGATGAAACACGATTTTGTTGGGGATTTTGAAAACATTTCAAATTTGAAAAATTTGAATATTCACTTCAAAAAGTGAGACAAAATAGAAGATTTTTGGTTTTTTACTGAAATTTTGATTTTTTTGGAAATTTGATTTGATTTTTTAAAACTTCTTCAAGCTTTAATTTGAATAAAGATCTTGAGAACAAGAGCATTTCGTTTTACTTTCTATGTTTTTCTATCTATTTACTGGTCGAATGGTCTTGACATTATGGGTGAAACAGATTCCAACACTAAAGATCTTATTCTAGAACATTTCACGTAAGATTTGATAAAACTTTCAATTGTAGCCTTATTTTGGTGTTTTAGCTGTAATTTCTTTTTTTAATTTTAAAGTATATTTTTGACCTATATTAATATACCAAGGTTGGGCGTTTAAATATTGGTAAGAAAGGAGGTTTTTTTTCAACTCATAATTTGTATTATTTTAGACTTGTTGGTTTTATAATTGTCGCAACAATAGCCTGTTTAATAGCGATTGGTACTATTATTGCTTGCTGGTTTGATCTTCAAAATCGTCGTCGAACATTGCCTACAGATGGCAAAAAGGTCGTGGTTAAGAAGAAGGGCAGCAAGAAGAAAAGAGGCAGAGGAGTAAGTTGATCTTTCTAATATAACTTGGCTTATACCTTAGCTTTTCTTACTATAATTTGACTTATATCTTAACTAGGCTTACTATGACATAACTTATATCTTTATTTATATACTAATTTGTATAACCGTGTGCCTTTATTTGGCATGTACAACATTCGTATCTATAACTTTTACAGAGTAACCAAGACTCAAGTCAAATGTCGGGTTCGAAGATTATCGACAATTCGAAAACCGATAATATTGCCTCAGGCACTCCTCACATTGGCTCGGTAGTTTGTGGTACAGCCAAAGCCTTGAGTAAGACTCATGCTTCGAAAAGAATGACATTGTCTGAGAAACGACGAGCTATGGAGATTGCAGCCAAGACTTTCAGTACCTCTAGTGGCTACATGGATAATACACAGTCTTCTGGGTCAGATAGTGAACATAGACAGATGCGAACGGCTGAGGAGCTGGAGGAACGTGGAGCAAAGGTAGGTCATAGGTTTTAAAGGCGATTTTTCTAAAATTTTGATAAATATTTTTTGAAAATGCTATTTGACTATTTTTTGATTAATTTTTAAAAATATGATAAAATATTTAAATTATGACAAAATTTGAAAATATATATATTAATATAAATATGCTTTCAGCGCCGTTATAAAGATGTGGACAAGACCCAAGCTTCTTCTCGTCATCGTACCACCAGAAGCTCCAAGAGTAAGCGCAGAAGCCGTATTAGTCGACGAAGCCAAACCAGGACTGGCACATCGTCTTCTAGCTCTTCTTCTTCATGTAGTTCGGCAAGTGGCAGCACAACGAAGACAGAAGATAATCACGACAAAAAGAAATAAACTTGTGGCCTGTGGTCTTGACTTTGATATCTTATAATATCTTACAGAGAGTATTTGACTTGACTTACTTTTTATGATTTACATAGGTTGTTGAGGTGTGTGGTATACTAGTCTTTTTAAAACTGTCTGTATTTAATAAGGCATTTATATTGCTTGAAATGGTAAAAAAAAGGGCGTTTATATGGCTTGACGTGGTCTTCTTAGGCTTATTTCGTACATATATACTATTGACGTTACTTATTATGCCACACCACGACATTGAGGAAGTTACACTTCAATTTAATATACTTTTTTTGTATTTTTTCTTATATATTGTACTCAAACAGTCATTAGATTATGGTATATAGACAGGTTGAACACAAGGTTTGGGCTCAACATCTTTTTGTAATTTTTAATTAGTATTATTCTCACATGTCCTTACTATAACATGGTAGAAAGTAATACGACTCAAACAGAAACTAAAACTTTTAGTTCTTTGGATTTAATTTCACCTGCTGTTTTATTAGTTGAACTTTCCGTAGTATAATGTAATGTAGTAGTACTATAGTATTCTTATACTGTGAGGAGTTACTATTGTATAGCATTGTACCTAACTTTATATGTTTCGCAACTTTATACCTAACTTTATATTTTTAATACATCACATTATATAAACCATCATATAAATTATCCCACACACTACAAAAAAGTATTTAATAAAACTTTGAAAATGTAAAAAAAAAGCTACAACAACTTACACAGGGTAGTAAATGTAAGTTGACTACAATGAGATACATACCATAATACGAGCCTTGGAGAGACTAATTTGAGTAACAATATGCTAGTGGGCTCATTAGAGAATGTAGAGTTACTATACAAAGTAGGAAAGAGTAAGTATAATTATTATAATTTACATCGAGATATAATACGATACGTTGAGAAGGAAAAAGAAAGGTTACTGTAGAGTAAAGTTTAAGTACTAGTATAAGCAAAAAATTACTGCAGAGTCATTTTTATATATAAAAGCTTACTGTAACGATTAGTAAAAGTAGAAAAGTAAAAAAAAGTTACAGTAGTATGTTTATATACTATGAAAAATGAAAAAAGATTACTGTAACGTAATATTAAGAACTTTTACTATGTTTAACTTGGTTTTTAGGTGTGTTGTTCTAAGTATGTTAAATTAGGTATTAAAACAGGTGCATTAGATAAATTATCAAGATTTAAAATTCAAAGAAAACGCCTTTAAAATAGGTATAAAGGTGTATTTTAATCTCCCATAACTTTATGCCTTACTCTACAGTAGACCTAGCTATAAAAACATTTAAACACTGAGTTTATTTAAAGGTAATAAACACTATTTAAGCTTATTTTTTAGACAAATGTATTAAAAATAAACCTAAAGAATGCCCATTACCAAAATCAAAATAAAAGAAAAATTAAAAAATAAAATTTCAAAAAATTTAAATTTAAAAAAAAATTAAAATTTGAGGACAAAAGCCATGAAGAAGCCGAACAAGGTCAAGCCAATGGCATTCAGCGACACTTGAGTACCAGTCGCGGCGTTACATCCATCTCCAGTACAACAACACATCACGCCGGTACTGGTGGGCATGCAAGCAGTGGTGGTGGTGTTGGCGGTGGTGGTCTGCTGATAACCGTTATTTGCATACTGGAACAATTGCTGAACAAAAAGTTGGAATCACAACTAGGCTAGCCATGAGAAAGGAAAGGTTAATTTGAAATTTGGAAGGGTGTTAGTATTGACCCTGTTGGTCATCCCGAGGAGAGGTAGAGGGGTAAGACATTGTTATATCATTTTTTGAAAATTATTTAAAAATTTTAAAAAAATTTTTTTAAAATTTAAAAAATTCAAATTTTTTCTGAAAAATAAAAGAAAAAAAGATCTTTTATGACAACATAACAATGCTTTACCAATAAAAGATAGTCATTTCCCAAAAGAATCCATATTAGTTTATAAAGCCCCTAAATATCGTAGTAATGCATTATGTGACATATCATATGATATAGTACACAATGCAGTCAGACTGTCGAAAAACAATACCAAATTTGATTCAATTTGAAACCTTATTAGTGTGTGTCTAACACTCATATACTATATAATTGAAAAAAAGCATTAGATTGTTCAAATAATTCTGAGCCCCCTAATCCCAAACATTTGCCATGAGATAAGCTCAAAATTATATGAACAACGTATAATTTTTAAAATTGTAAGCAAAAATCTGTTTGTATTAACTCTAGTTATATTACCCTAACTACCACATAATCACATCACTCTCCCCGAACGTTAGCCAAACTTACAGCGCAAGTAGTCTGTTGGCAAGCTCTGGTGGCAATCCCAGTGGCATTGTCCACACTCTTGATACAACTCATCGCATTCTGGGGACAAGTCATTGCCGAACCCACCACAGCCACCGAGTTGTTCTGTTGGCCTTGGTAGCACTCCAACGCTAGTGTGGCACCAATTTGGACCAGAACAATAACCAACAACTTGCTCATCTTGGACAGATCAAGCGTTCTGCAATGAACAATGAATAATATGATACTTGAACACTGCAAACAAACACTATTTAAGCATTTAAAAAGGTGAACTCGAGTTGAGGGCCAAGGGGTTAGACGTAGACTTCGGGCCAACGTTTTTCTATCCAAGAGCGCTCCGGTGAACTGTGACAAAATTGAAGGAAAAGACAGTCACAACACTATATAAGAGGCTGGGGATAGTACGTAAGAGAAGTTTTGAGATAGTGTAATAGAAATGTAGTCTATAGTAGACACAACCTATGAATTAGTATATAAAGAGTACGTCCTATAACACTAAATTTTAGACACAGCATGAAGCTCAAAAGCAAAAACATTATTATAAAAAAGAATAAAAAACACACGAAGAAAGTTTCAAAAAACTGTGGAAATATGTCACGTTTATTTAGAAATCAAAAAGAACATATAAGAGTTGCCAAGAACCTTAACATAGACTACGAAAAGCTTAAAAAAAGGTAGCGGCTCAGTGAACTTTAAGCCTTGGCCATGAGAGCAAAAACAAATGATACAGTTAAGTTTGTTTTGGCTTAATGTTTGATTAGAAGCTTTTGTTGTTTTATATACTTTCAATTGTTTAACCTGTATATATTCTATGACGTTACCGGTAAGAATACTGTTTCTTTTATATAAAACCTTATACAAGACAATACTTCTAGACAGGAATGAAATAAATTCAATTAAAAAATGACAAAAATTGTCGACTACTCCTCTCAATTATTATAATATGCTGTTCAAAAAGTTATGAGCCTTGCTTCATATCGAGTTTAATATTATAAGACAAGTTTTTCCGTAACAAGACTGATTTTGAGAAAACTTCATACGCTTTTTATACTGTTGAACTTAAAAAGTGCATATTCAGAGTATTGTACCTTTTAGGGACAAAATGAACTCACTTGAAAACACTATTATAATAGGCATTTTTTAAATAAAATTGCCTGTTATACCTTTACTATCAGTCATTCCACTAAAGAATTTGACAACTGCACTGTGCAGTCCCTGGGAAAATCGCGCCCTTTTTTATACCACTGCACCGTACAGATTCCTCCGCGATCGCTTGCAACCCTAAACGATAAGAGAAAGGATGCACAGTGCAAGCCCCCAATTGTCGCACTGGTCGGTTGTCGCAGGAGTCAGGGGACTTGCGACAATCAAAAAAATCTTGTCGCAAACCTTCCATTGAACACAGTGGTGGCTTGAGCGTTGCGACAATCGCGACACGCTGTCGCATCGCCCTTTAAACCGCGATGCGACAACTTGTCGCAAGGTTTTGCGCCTTGCGACATTGCGATTCCCCTTTCGATGTCGCAGGGTGCAAGCGAATGTCGCACGACTCGCTGAATGCCGCGCGACTTCTCCCGATGATGGGCGCGACAGCGATTCCTCCAAATTGGGGTTTGCGATTTTGTCAAATTCTTTAGTGGAAAGACTGATATCAGTCTTTCCGGAAAAGAATGGGATAAAATCGCAAAACCCAATTTGAAGGAATCGCTGTCGCGCCGAGAATTGGGCGACAAGCGACAAGGCTTGCGACAGTCGCTTGCACCTTGCGACGTTCCAATGGGGATCGCAATGTCGCAGGGTGCAAGCTTTGCGACAAACTGTCGCGTCGCGATTTGAAAGGCGATGCGACAGCGTGTCGCGGTTGTCGCAACGCACAAGCCACCACTGTGTTCAGTAGAAGGCTTGCGACAAATTTCTTTTGACTGTCGCAAGTCCCCTGACTGTCGCGACAACGGACCGGTGCGACAATTGGGGGCCTGCACTGTGCAGTCTTTCCATTATCGTTTGGGGTCGAAAGAGGTCGCGGGGAAGCTGCACGGTGCAATGGGGCTGCGATTTTCTCAGGGATTGCACTGTGCAGACCTCCCATTATTTTCGGGAAAGACTGATATGTATCAGTCGTTCCACTAAAGAATTACACAACTGCACAGTGCAGTCCATGGGAAAATCGCGCCCTTTTTTATCCCACTGCACCGTGCAAATCCCTCCGCGATCGCTTGCAATCCCAAACGATGGGAGAAAGAATGCACAGTGCAAACCCCCAATTGTCGCACTGGTCGGTTGTCGCAGGAGTCAGGGGACTTGCGACAGTCAAAAAAATCTTGTCGCAAGCCTTCTACTGAACACAGTGGTGGCTTGTGCGTTGCGACAACCGCGACACGCTGTCGCATCGCCTTTCAAATCGCGACGCGACAGTTTGTCGCAAAGCTTGCACCCTGCGACATTGCGATCCCCATTGGAACGTCGCAAGGTGCAAGCGACTGTCGCAGAGCGCGCCGCTTGTCGCGCGATTTCTTCCAATTCTCGGCGCGACAGCGATTCTTTCAAATGGGAAATTTCGGAGAGGGACATTCGTTTTGGGAAAGACTGATATTAATTTTTGATAACATAAGACTTTCATTATTGCTCAGTGCAATGACTAATATTTTTAATTACATTTCTTGGCAGAACTACTGTACCAGGTAAAGGGCATGGATAAGAACACAAGAGATCCTTTACTATTAATAGTTAAAACAACTTCTTATAGTAGGTAGACGACAAGACTAATCTTTGAAAATACAGAGTTAAATATAAGAAACTTCTCGCTTTTTTCGGATTAAAAAACCTCTCCTTTTGTAGCCTAAGGTTGCCTAATCATCCCTTAATCAAGTTTATTCTTGTTCTTCTCAAACAATTTTCAAAATCACAATCACTATATATTCTACATCCCTAACTCAATTAATTCCATCAACCTCAGAAAAACAGTGAAACCACAACCGAAGCCACAACGCCGAAAACAAAAATATTATTCGCCATTCACGTTCGGGCGGGGTTACGGTAGGTCGGGCACGGCGAAAAGGAGAACCGGCTGACAGTTGGCGCGGTGAGCCATTTAACTGCATGCATCTGGGAATGTACAGGCGATAGTAACCCGGTTGCCACGACAACTAACAAAAACCTCAAAACTTGCAGCCTTTCATTAACGTGAAGCCGGCTGGCTCTAATTGAGAAACCAAAAGTTATATGAAATGAGTGTGAGAAGGCATGGCAGAAGTAACAGTTTGTTGTTAAACTTGTTGAGCTTGTAATTGTGTTAGAATACGAAGTATGAATGAAGTTATAGTAATGTAAAGTAAAGCATAACATAGTAGTGGGAAAATTAAAGTGAAACAAGACACATATTGTACCATTAATACCATTTTAATAATAAAAAGCACCGCAAACTAAGTTATACCTATAGCATGCTTCACAATGCCCTTTTTCACACAATATAGTAAGTTAAGAATTGTAATGACTACACCTCTCCCTACTACATAATCCAAACCAAATCGTCATTTCTACTGTCTTCCTTATACTAATATAAACTATAACAAACACTTTCCCAATTAAAGCCAAAAATTAAATTTTAAAGAACAGAACGACGTGAGAACGGCGACACAATGTAACCACAGCCGAGTATAACTGATTATAGGCGAAGGATGTCTCCATAGCTACTAACCGTAGGGCTTCACTATAGGCCAGCTGAAAAGCGACGTCTTGAGAAAGAATACTTTCGAAATGGCTGACAAAGTTAACAACAAGTGTAATACAAAACCATGAAATATTATTGTAATTGACGTAGTGCTGTTCGAGTACCGTGTTCTATTACTTTGTACTGTGTAGTAGAAAATGCGTCATGAATTGCTGGAAATACTGAAATACAGCTGTTTTTTCAGTTTATGTCATTTTTGTATTAACAGTTCCTTAGTAAATTACAGTACCTTCATCAAAAGTCTAATTGTTAAAGAAATCAGTATCGGCCAAAATCAATTGTGGCATTTCGTTCACCAATCGTACAAAAGAAATTTTTGCCAAAAAAAATCAAAAATATTATTTTCAATGATATAATTTTATTTTTTTATTTTTGATTTCTGAACTTTAATAATTAAAAATGAATTTTGTATATTCTTCTAGCCTTTTGAGTCAGCTGCTCAATTAAAAATACAAGTTTGAATTGACTATGCCAACTTTTCTCACATGTTTCTTCGCTATTTAAATGTGTTTATACTTTGTAACTCTGTGTTTTTACAATTTACGGCATTTGAGCAAATCACCTGCCTACTTTCATATGGACTTGAAAACAAATTCCATGTTTTAAGACTACTTTTCTTTAGATATATATTTCGAAAACATATCAAATGAAATTATGTTAACATAGGCATAGCAAACAGTACCCTGCCCTACCTTGCCATGCCCTACTTTACTTTATCTTATCCTGTCCGTCCTACCTTACCCTAAGATAACATTTCTCAAGCGTTACATAATTTATAGTTTAATATGGACCTACCATACCTTACCTCCATATCCTAGCTATACTATATTCTTAACTAGGCTTACACCGCAGAGTTAGCCAGCCTTATTCAATCTTATCAATACCCTATCCTAGCCTTACTCTGACAGTTCCCAAATTGTATTTAGGTAATACCCTACCATTTTTGACTAAAGGTTTTGTTAAAATTCATTATTAGTTTGTTCAAAAAGTAATGAGCCATGTTTCATCAATGGCTCATTACTTTTTAAACAACCAATTATAAGAAATATACTATCCAATATAATATCCCAAAATACGTTCAAAATTGTTTATTATGGCAGCGAATCAAAACAACAGGTAAATTTACAACAAGGTAGAGAGAGATACGATCGGAACGATTGAGCACTTATCAATACTCATGTCCGCTGGATTTGTCATACACATTGTCACATGTGGTGGTATGTTTAGAAAGAGAAACTATACGTATAAGTCTAAATATTGCAACTTAGGTAATATTAGATATAGCACCTGACCCGAATAAAGTGTTAGTAGATGGACACCGTAACCATGACCTTCACCAAAGTATTAGTAGTGGTTAATATTACTCAAGAGAACTTAGTTAATATTATCTAGTAGTGGTTAGTACTTCTGAATGTGATATTGAGTTGGTATGGTTAGTATTACTTTCAGTACTAAGTTAGTACTGATAACAATACGGAGTTAGTACTAATTACAGTACGAGTTAGTACTGAGAGCAATACCAAACAGTACCAAGACAATATAAAGCAGAGAGTTATTATCACCCGATGATTAATATTACTTAGTGCTCGAAAGCGAAGCAGGTAATGTCTTGGACCTTGTGTTCGCAGAATAGTCTGGTGTTGGCCAAGTAGGAGAAGTCGCCGATCGAGCAGACGACGTCAAAGTTGCTTCCGAATTCCTTTTTGGCGGCCTTGGCGATGGCGCGCTTGGAGTGGGAGGTGGATTCAGCGATGTTCTAAAGATAAGAAGATTTAGATATTAATTTCAAAGGCATTTTTAGGCTTCTAGGTACCTATTATAAGACATTTGCAGGACTAAAACTTGAACTTTCTTGTTTTTTTCTTTAAAGTAGGTAACATCGTCCTTTGCATATAGATAACGTAGTCAGTAATTTTCATTACAACTAAATAATACCCACCTTTTCCAAGATATCGTGCAACTTCTCGCTGTTACACTTAGGGTTCAGCTTGACTGTGGAGGCGGCGTGGACGCGGGCGCGTCTGCGAGCGACTCTCTTTCTGTAGCCTTGACGTTCTTCTTGTCCTTCGCCTTCTTGGGCTTGGTCATCGGCGTATTCGGCTCCTTCTTCTTCGTATTCTTGGCCTTCTTCGGTGTTTCCGACCTCTTGTTGGTTGTAGCTCTGTTGGGCTGGGGCGGCTGGAGCGGCAGTTTGAGTTTCTTGGTAAGCTGGAGCAGCAGCTGGAGCTGGGGTTTCTGCTTGGTAGGTTTGAGCGACGGCTGGAGCTGGAGCGGCGGTTTGCTGCTCTTGGTAAACTGGAGCTTGGGTTGGAGCAGCGGTTTGTTGCTCTTGGTAGGCTGGAGCGGCAGCGGGAGCGGCGGTCTGTTCTTGGTAAGCAGCTGGGGCTGGGGCAGAAGTTTGGGTTTCTTGGTAGTTGGAGCCTGGAGCGGCAGCTTCCTCTTCGTATCCGTCGCTAGAGTCCTCTTCGTATTGGCCTTGTTGTTGGCCGCTGACTGGAGCTGGTGGTGGTGGAGGTGGGAGTGGGGCTACTGAAGCAGCAGGGGCTGGTTGAGGAGCGGCAACTGGGAGTGGGGCTGGGGCTTGTTGATAAGATCCACCGGCTGGGGCAGCGTTGTAGCCTCCTTGAGCTGGGGCACTGTAACCTCCTTGAGATCCGGCGTAGCCTCCTTGGGCTCCGGCGTATCCTCCAGCAGCTGGTCCAGCGCTGTAGCCTCCTTGAGATCCGGCGTATCCTCCTCCTTGAGCTCCGGCGTATCCTCCGGCAGCTGGTCCGGCGCTGTAGCCTCCGGCTGGAGCGGCATATCCACCTTGAGCTCCTCCGAATCCTCCGACTGGTCCAGTGGCGTATCCTCCGGCACCTCCGTAAGCTGGGGCAACTGGTGGTGAAGCATAAGATCCTCCGGCGGCTATAAAACATATGAATTTAAAAATGATATTTTAATCAAAAAAATTGAAAAAGCTATATAATTCAAGAGCTAAACTAAAGAAAAGTAAACAATTATAATAAAACAAAAAGTTGAAATTTACCTGGGGCAACAGCGTATCCTCCGCTACCTCCTGACACGGCGTATCCGGCACCTCCGCCGATGCCGCCTCCGCATGGAGATGGTGGTGGAGGTGGGGCACAGGCTGGTGGTGGTGGGCATGGTGGGGGTGGTGGTGGTGGAGGTGGGCATGGTGGTGGTGGTGGGGCACAACCGCATGATGGGGCTGGTGGTGGGCAGCAGCCGCCGCCGGTTGGGGCTGGTGGGAACAAGAAGGCGCTAGCCGAGCCCAAAAGGACAGCTGAGAGAATAAAAACCTTGGATTGCATTGTTAAGATGCAATGATCGACTGATGCCTTTGTCACGGATCCATGGCATATTTAAAGCTTAGCGTTTCCACAACGTTGGGGGTACCGCCCTCGAGAGAACGGCGGACTGATGGCTACAGTGTTGAGGGATGTGTCAAACGCTGGCTGAAGGCGCCGCGATCCATGAGGTAGGTGGGTGGACAAAGTCAGCGCAAGAGACGCGTTTCCAAGTGCAAAACGACTCATCGTCGCTGAATTCCAGCGTGAAACAGACGTGAAAAGGAGCGTTGTTCGGCGGAGTGTTGCGGGCGTGGGCAGAAATTCGCATTCCAGCCGTTGCACGAGCCGGATTTTGCCTCAGGCCCCGCGAAAAAAAGTTCATCTTGACATACGCGCCCTCGTCCGCAATGTTTCAAAGTATTTCGCGCTTAAACGCTGCTCATCTCCCCCAGGTTTTTTTATCTTCGAAAAGCTTGTTCTTACGAGATCAGGCGCCGCGATGAGAGCCCGACGTTCAAGTTTAAAAAAATAAAGTTACATAATCGGTTATTGCGCAATCAGATGGTCATTTTAGAAACGCATTGAACTGGAAACCCAAAAGTTCAGCGCCAATTAAAAAACTTTACTCGCTTCAAAATGAAGACCGTTTATGAAGACGACCGTGACCACGTTTGTAACGGGAGCTACGTCACGAAATTAATAGGTTTGCAGTGCACCTAACTCCATAAAAAAGTTTTCAAGTCATGCTTTCTTTAAATTATCAGCTTTTTTAACAAAATAGTCTTTAAACTACCACTTTTGTTAAGAAAATATTCTTTTACAGCCCTAAAACGTACTGTAATTTCAATGCTCAAACAACAAACACAAGATGACAATATTTTTCCACGTTCGCCGCCAATTCTCGAGCTTGACCGGATCTGTTTTATCAAGCTTGACCATAAAAATCTTGACTTAAAACACCCTTGTTCTGCTTCACGAGTTTTCTTTTTCATAACTACTGAAGATAAGAATCACCGCTGAAGGAACGTAAACTAATGGTCATCATCTGCGAAACACTTTGCTCGTCATCCCAAACTTTATTATACGAAACTGCGAACATACAATCAAGTAAGTAGGTAATAAGGGTCTGATAATATATAAAAGATTACTGTTGACAAGCTTATAATATGATTATTTAATAAAAGTAGATAGTTATGGTAATATAAAAAAAAGAACGTTTAGGTCACTAAATTATAATAGTTGGTTAAAATGTTATACTAGGCTTTAGAAAGCGATAAATGACAGATCGTGTCTACGGCGTCTAGAAGAAAGACCGAACAATGATTTACATTGAGTTGTATACTTCTGGGCCTCCTTCTTGTGCTCGTTTTCCTCAACAGCGGCCGCGAACTCGTAAGCCTTGGCCGAAACCTCTTCCAAGGTCTTGCCGCTCTCTCTGTACTTCTTCAACTCGACCATCTTCTCAGCTCCAATAACATGTTGCAAAAGTTCGCGACAACCAGCCTGAAGTTGTGAGGTAGCCTTCTCTTTAGTTTCACCAGTAGCCGCTCCGTAGAACTCCATTACTTTAGCTTGAATCTCGTCTTTTCCTTTGCCATCCTTCTTCAAAGCTCTCAACTCGTCTTTCTGGGCATCAGTCAGCCAGGACAAATGAGTCTTGAAGTAGTCTTCGAGGTTGTGGTTAGCATGGTGATCGTGGCGCCGTCTACGCTTGGCTTGTGTGAATACAAGCTTGCAGTTCTCTTCGGTTTGAGAAAGTTTGCGTGATGATGGATTGGCGTTCAGAAGTTCCTTCACCTTAGCTTCATAGGCTTCTGGCTTGCTACCCATCTCCATGAACTTCTTCAAATCTTCGGCTTTTTGGGGACCCAAAATAGTCAAGATTGGACCACCACAGCTAGACTGAAGACCATCTTCAGCTTCATCTCTTTCTTTGCCGGTCAAAGCTTTGAAGTATTCAAATACCTTGTTCAGAAGAGCATCGTCCTTCTTGCCTTGATTCTTCAACTGTCTGATCTCAGACTTCTGTTCTTCAGTCAGCCAACTCCACACACCCTTCAACTTGGATTCAAGTTCATGATGGTGATGATCATGTCCGGAGTCACCATGACTTCTTCGCTTTCTGTTCAGACCAAACACTTCCTTACAATGAGCTTGATAGTGTTGTGCTTGTTTTGAGATCTCGCTTTCTCCGGCAGATTTGAACAATTCTTCGGCCTTGGAGAGTACGTCGGCTACGGTAGCACCACCTTCCTTCAGCTTCTTCAGTTCTTCGGCCTTCTCCTTACCAATAACGGCAACCAAAAGTTCCCTGCAACCAGCTTGCAGTTGGGCCGTAGCTTTTTCTTTTTGATCACCAGAAGATTCCTTGTAGTACTTCATGACTTCAGTCTGAATCTCATCACGAGACTTGCCTTCGGTCTTCAGCTTTCTAATGTTTTCCTTTTGGTCATCAGTCAACCAGCTTAAGTGGGTCTTCAAGTAGTCTTCCAAACTGTGTTTGCCGTGATGGTCAAGATGTTCATGTCGGCGTCTACGTGTATTAGCTTGTGTGAATACCAATTTACAGTTTTCTTCAGTTTGAGAAAGCTTTCTGGCTGATGGGTTAGCGTTCAACAGTTCCTTGACCTTGGCTTCGTAGGCAGCTGGAGTACTTCCAGTTTCCATAAACTTCTTCAAGTCTTCGGCCTTTTGTGGTCCCAAAATAGCCAAGATTGGTCCTCCACAGCTAGATTGAAGACCGTCTTCAGCTTCAGACTTTTCCTTTCCAGTCAAGGCCTTGAAGTATTCAAATACTTTGTTCAAAAGAGCATCCTCCTTCTTTCCTTGCTTCTGTAGCTCTCTGATTGCGTCCTTTTGTTCGGCCGTCAACCAGCTCCAGACTCCTTTCAATTTGGATTCAAGTTCATGATGATGGTGATCACGTCGTTTACGAGAAGCAATTTCGAAAGCCTTCTTGCATGTTGGGGCATACTTTCGAGCTCTTTCGACCTTGTTCTTGTCCGAGATTTGACCCAACATCTCTTGAATCTTTTCGTAGATTTCAGAGTTTGAGCTTCCTTCCTTCTTCATGTTCTTCAGCAACTCAGCGTTGGTTTCTCCAATAGCTCCTTGAATTAAGGTGCGGCATCCGTCTTGGAGGGCTTCTTGTGCTTCGGCTCTAGTATCTCCAGTTGTGTGATCGTAAAAGTCCAAAACTTGATTTCTGAGGTCTTCTTCAGAGCTGCCGGCAAACTTCATTTCTCTCAAAGTCTCCTTCTGGGCTTCGGTAAGCCAGTTCAAGTAGGTATGAAGGTAGTCGTCCAAACCATGTTCTCCATGATGACCTTTGTGGTTCAACTTGCCTCCGTGACTGTGTCTGACTTTGCGGCTCTTTCCACTGATAAGGTAGACTTGTTCGCACAAAGGCTTAAAGCGTTGAGCCTTGGTCTTCTTGGCCTCATCAGTGACAGAACCGATGAGTTCGTCAACTTTCTTGCTCATATCTTCGTGGTTAGCTCCAGATTCCTTCAACTTCTTCAATTCTTGAGTGGCTTCTTCTCCGACTGTGTTCATGATGAGTTCTTTGCAGGCAGATTGAAGTTGAGCCGTTGCCTTCTCTTTCTTCTCTCCTGTAGCTTCCTTGAAGAGTTCGATGATCTTGGTTCCAGACTTGTGTGGATCATTTCCTTCGTGGAGAGCCTTGACATCAGTTTTCTCGGCATCAGAAAGCCAAGTCAAGTGTTCGGAAGCAAAGTCATCGAAGGAGGTGTGGACGTGTCTGACTGGACGGACGTGGCGGTGCTGAAAAGCGTTTTACTTAATAAATTTGAAATTAATCGAGGGTTTACTATATTATTAAAAATGGCATTATGCAGCCAATTTTACATAATAAACTCGATTTAAATATACAATTGTAAAAAAACTCACCAAGCTTCTTCTGTGATGATGATGAGCGTGATGATCATGATGACCTTCTCCTTCGTGGTTCTCGTGATACCAAGCATGTTCACACAGAGCCCAATAACTGTCAATGTTTTCTTGTTGTTTTGTTGTCAATCCCTTCTTGATTTCCGCGATTCTTGAATGACATCTCTCATGATCTCCAGACTGATGTAAAGCTTCCAATTCTTCCTTCTGAGACTCAGTCAAGAACCATGAGTAACATTCTGGCAACAAGTTGTCGTGCACTTCGTTCTTTGTAGCGGTGTCAAGGTTTTCGTAGACTGACTTTAAGTATTCACCACGTTCAGCGTTTGACTTTTCAGTGAATGTGGTTCTAGCTTGTTCGTTCAGCCATGTTGTAACGAATGGCAGATCGTTCACATCGTCACTGTAATTGAGATCAATTATTACTATTTAAAGGTCTACATCTGTAGCGAGAAGATACTCATATACCTAAAGGTTTAGTGGGCAAAAATATATGAGACTACCCGAAAAATATAAATTATAAACTTAAAATATGCCATTTACAAAGCCTACAACAACATAAGAACTTACTATGCAAACGATGGGCCCGCCGCTAAGGCGAGCAATAAAATTAAGGCCCTTTGGCCGCGATTCATTTCCATCGACCCGACTGAAAACAAAATTAACAACCCCGAGATGGGGCCCGCCGCTTATCAGTCTAATCAGTAACGAGAAGAAAGTACTGGTAAGCATTTGATAAGAGCCAAATCAACATAAAAGTTGTTTGTAATAACTCGAGAACAACACTTACCTTGAGTCACTTTTGACCATGGTTAAAACACACAAAAAACAAGGTAACCAATGATTACAACAACAAAAAAATTTAGACTTCCGGTCGATTCATTCGTCCTGTACTTTTAGTGTTCAAGCTTTAATATTATACTCCCTTAACTATCATTACTCCCACTTAACTTATATTCAGAATATAAACGTTTTTGTTAAAACATATTTGTTTTAAATCATGTATAATATAGACCTCTTTTTTTTCATTTTTTGAGTTTTGTATCCAAAATACCATAAAGTCATAGTCCTGTTTACTTGACTCATGTCACCCTTAAAAAACCTTGTTTGAGCTTTCATAATTACAAATAAACTCAAACTTACTAATCTTATCAGTAGTTCGAGAAAATTCCGCTATTTAAACAAATTTGGTAAATTTAATATTAAAAATAGTCCAAGTTTATGTACAAAGGTCAGTTCATACAATAGGTAACATAATTTACACGTAGCAAAAATAAAACAAGCGTAGTATTAAAAATTAGCACTAGCGGCCACGTAAAACAATCATAAACAATATGGCTAACAATCAATAACTTCGGTAATTAAATTTTTAAGGCTTTCTCACCAAGATCAGAGTTTCATAAACTAATGGTAAAAAGTTGGCAGCAAAATTTGAGATCAAGGCTTCAAAAAATAAACCTTTCTCAGTTTTCATCCCCAGACTACCCCATTTGAAGCTCTAGAACAAGGTAAATATGTGAATTGACAGTAAATATAGCAGTAATAAATGTCACAATAACATAAGGATTACATTACCTCGGCTTTTGTATAAAATTATTTTATTCAACTACTAATCTAATCTAAATCTCCCGAATTGTAATGTAGACGTTTGAAGAATGCAAAATAACAAAACTAAAAATAATAATAAATTAACAACAATATTTTCGATTTTTTTACTTTGGTGTTAAAAAGAAATGAAAGAGCAGTCGAAACAACGATATTCTAATTTGCAACAAAAATCCTTTTTCGCAAATTTTCAAATATTTTTTTTTCGACCGTTCTCAATTAACGAAATGAAACTATTTATTTCTGCACGGTTCAAATGTAGAGTTAGCCATTGCAATCCTAAAAGTTCAAAAAAAGGCCTAGAGCTAAAAGATTATTAAACTTCTGTATAAAGTAAACCCTTGCATAAAGTTCTTTTATTAAATCTATAGCAACAGTAACGCGATAACAAATAACAAGGTTTAAAACTGAACAAATTGATGAACAAACATTTCATTCACAAAATATTGTTTTTAATTTTAATTTAAGCGACAGTATCCTGAGCGCCATTGCTTTTACAATATCCTCCTCAATACCATTAGTGCCAATATTCCTCAGTACCATTAGAGCCACTATTTTTTCCCTCTCCTCCCAGTACCATTACTTCTTAACTCCTAATCCCAAGGCCGCTCCAACAATTTTGGATTGGCTCTACAGCTGATGACAAACTGATTCAAATTCAATAGAAACCTAACATGAGCACGTTTGAACTGTGATTCGAAAAGAGCGGCGTAATCTTCGTAGAATTGATTGGGATGAATAACATGAACATCCGACATGTTTTTAGAAGCAGCTACAGCCAAACGGTTCAATTTGTCCAGGTTTCTGAGATCACCATACACAACGAAGTAGATCTCTGCATGTGCAATTCTTGATTTCACCGCTTGGAATACCTCCTAAAATCATAAATCTGTCATTGAAAATAGAATTTTTGAGACCTTTACTCCGTAAAATCATTTCACTTATCACCTACCTCAAGTTCTTTAACCGGGCTCTTCAACCACTCTTTACTCCCAGTGATGATGATGTTCTCCACGTAGCCAGGGAAGTGCATGTCCAATATTTTTCTTTTGAACACGTAGATTGGTGCTCCAATGATTCGCAACAAATTATGGACTGTTCTTTTGTTAGGACCAGTAACTTTGGTAGTAAATATGATAATATTCTTTTCCACAGCCCTTGTTCTGATGTTTAAAATAGATTTTCTGAAAAATAAGTATATTATAGTAACAAACAATATAAAAAGACTTATAGTACACATTACGTTAAGTGTAAACTTTAAATTTCAATAGAAAGCCTACATTAAATTTAAAAAAATTTAAATTAAAGCAAATTTAAAACTTGCCCATGAAATACTTCGCCAGGCAACTCACAGTCTATAACATGAGCTTCATTGTCATCATTTCGGCTACCAAACGACTGATTAGCAAACTTATTATCCCTGTGGTCAACAGTTTCAGATCCATAAGCTGGCGGAGCAAACTCTGGGATTCTTGATCGAGATCCTTCTCTTCGTCTATCTGCTGATTCTGAATCTCTAGGTCTTTTTTGGTTATTAGTATAGTCGGGAACTCCTGGCCTTCGGTTATTATAGCTAGATTCTCGAGCTTCTGACCTTCCGTTATCAAAACTAGATTCTCTAGCTCCTGACCTTCTGCTATCAAACCCAGATTCTCGACCTTCTGATATCAAAACTAGATTCTCGAGCTCCTGACCTTCTGTTATGACTGTTAGTTGATGAAGTACGATTAGGTCTTGGGTTAAAAAACTGAGGAGTATCATCCAATCTTGAATTAGCAGCCGCTTCTGAAGTCCCAATTAACCCGTAAACTCCATTAACTTCTCCATAAGAATACCTAGTAATGGGTGGTTGTGCAATCGCAGTTGACTTTGCGTTATCAACCAATAGTGAATCGACTGAGGCTACATTCCCACCCGACTGTAAATTTCCATTCACTTCTGAAGTTACCGTAGATTCTACCACCGTTGGCTCAGGTGTTCCAGTAGTTTCCGAAGGCTCAACTTGTTCTCGTTTAACTCGTCTAATATCTGCTACAGTACCTGTTGAATCAGATCTACTATCAGCTGTAGAAGCTACTAAATCGCTTCTTAAAGCAGGTGTAGTAGGCCCTGAATTGCTTCTATTGACAGCTGTGGAATCCACTGAATCTCCAACTTGTTCTGCTTCAGAGACTTGAACTTCAGTCGGAATGCGGGTAACATTAGTATCGTTCTGTTTCATAAAATGCCATACTGCTCCAGCCGTAAAGTCAGCCACGTCTTCCAAAAGCAACGTCAAAGCAGTGGCTTTCTCTTGTTTTCCAGTCGCTTCGTATTTCTCAAGCAAAAAACTCAAGCGATAGCGGATTTCTGGAAAAATTAGCTATATTATGAGTATGAAGTCATAAAATCCGTTAAATTTTTTAAATTTCATCTCTTCTTCGGATTTAATTTTTTTGAATTTCTAGCACTTAATCAAACCCTCATTTAAAAAGAATTGAATTTATGACAAAAAGTAAACAAAACTTACCCTCCAGCATCATGACAAAATTATATACGTCCCAGGATAGTCAAATCAAGTTAAAAAATAAAAATCTGTAAAAGTAAAACCTAAAAACAAACTTAAGATATAAAAAAAATATTGTTATAGTAAAAGAAGTAAAGGGTAGAGTAAAAATACTCCTAAAGGAAAAAAACACCAAAAATATATATACCATATTTATTTTAACGCACAGTAAGGCGTAAAGATAACAAATTAATATAATAAAACAAAAAATACTTCAAAAATGCTATAATCAAAACTGACAGCTCTAAAAATGGACAAAAACAAGAACTTTAAACCCAAATTTGACCGTAAAGCTTATATCAACTAAAAACTCTCATCTCATTTTCAATAAGTCATAAGAAATCAACGATGACTTTCGACAAAACTGTTCAAAGACAAAAATAATCCTCTCACATCTCTTCTTCGGAATGTTTTTTGATTGTATAGTTCAATATAGTTACTGTAAAATTGTTCAAAATGCAGCAAGTGTACATCTTCCATGTTGGCTTTAGCTCTGTGTGCCAGTGAATAAAGCTTGTCCATGTTCTTCATATCTCCAAATACAAAGAAAAAAAATTCGACTATTTGGAATCTTGTTCAACAGGAACCGAAAGAACTTCTGAAATTGTTTTTTAAATAAAAATAACATCATTTGCTACAATAATATTAGCTAAAAACCATAAAACATGACAACCAATATATGATATAAAATATTTAAAAAACAATAATCCTGATAGTCTCAAAACTCATCAAACCATCAATAAAAACAACTCACTTCAAGTTCATAAGCCGGCTCAACCAACCATCGAGGACTGGCAATCAAGACAACATTTCTGATACCTTGAGGAAAGTTGATGAGGTCTATCCTATCTTTGTACAACTTCAATAAGCTCAGATTAATGTGTAAAATATTTTCCGTCGCCTTCTTGTAGTTCCCGTTTGGTTTTCCAGAAAGAATTATCAAGGTCTCAACTGGTGTGTTGCTTAGAACATTCACAACAGATGAACTAAAGTAATTTTATAAGTAAAGCAATTCAATAATTACTATAATAACAAACTTAAAAAATAATGCCTTACAAGATAGCTCTAAAGCCACCCAATAAAACTTAAATTAGAATAACTAAAGTTTAAATGTAGTTATCAAAAGACAGTATTGATATAGGTAATGCCTTCGCTTCGTAAAATCCTAAATCCGAAAACATAAGAAATAACTTACTCAACAGGCACGGAACAAGGCAGAAGGCATTGGTAAAGATCATTCTTAGCCTTTTGCAACACTACTTGAACTAGCAACATTCTCCACTTGATTGCCGGGTAGACTAACGTTGTGCATCTGCTGAGAAGCTTGAGCTCTAGCCAACACAGAAATAGCCCCAACTTCACTTTCGATAACATCGTGCATTACCATAGCTAGTGCTTGCTTTTTGTTGTGTTGACCACTTGTTTCATAATGAGCGGCCAAGGCGTTCAACCTAGTCCGAATTTCTAAAACAATATGAAGTTAGTTTACAAAAAATAGTTTTTACAATTATCAAGCAAATAGTAACATAGAACTATTCCAAATGTTCTATGACATCCATTGAGCACTTTTCAAACCTAAAAATAAAATAAACAAATTCTTACCATCTTTTTCACGAAACGACATGTTTCATCAATCCAAAGGCCAAAACTGAAAGTATGGCCACAAAATCTAATGTTGTTGTGTTCAAAAGCTTACGCCCTTCATTACAATATTTTAATTTGCAATTTCGGCGCTAAAAATTCGTAGAACAATTGCCTAAAAATATTTCGCGCGGTAATTTTTCGGTAAAAAATAAAAACACAGAATAACACTTGACGCAAAACGACAAACTTGACACGTTTTTCGCAGCCATTGATCCTGGACCAGTAGGGCTAGTAACTAGCGTTATAAAATGAGATAAAATGGGCTAAATTGAATGTTTGTTAACTTTTAAATATTTTACTTCATATTAACCAAAATTAAATTAAATTTCGTCAAAATCAGTGTTTATTCAATCAGAAGCAAGATTTGCAAATGCAACAGAGACAGAAGATGATGCCAATGATAAAGATGAACCAAACGGCGAGTGGAGCATTAATGATGAGCCATTGGTCGTACGAGTCGGGTCGATTCAGCCCACCATCCACTGGAGGTTCATTGTCCGGATTATGCTGAAGATCCATCAAAGCCGGATCAATGCTGGCTGTCCGAACGTGAAAGGAATCACGGCCGGTCAACGCGACCAGGGACCAGACCTTGCTTGCGGTGCTTTGCATGAATCCTCCGACATCGTTAACCAAGGTTTTCAAGCTGAAAGTTGTTGTTATTAGGTCGAAAATGGCAAAAAAATTTTTTAAATGATTTTGAAGTTTTTTCAGTTCTTGGACTATCTGTTTTGGCCATTCAAAGATTGTAGAAACCCTGATTTCTCGAAAAAATCAATTTAATGGTACACACAGATCTTAGATAACTTACTCCTCCACAGCGCTCGCATTCCTCTGACCGTCGACTTGTGGCTTCAAAAGATCAGTAGATATGTTGCCGATTGGCTCGCCCGATTCCATGATGGCACGAGCGGCCAAGTACGGCATTCCATAGCTGCAGATAACAAAAAGCCCGAAAATCAGTATTGTCAGTCTCATTGCGACCGAACCAGTCGATACAATCAGAAATCAATGATTTTTCGAAAATTTGTTAGTCCCCTATATAAATGCAGAAGAATTGTGTGACCTTTGTGAAGCCAAAGAAAAGTGCAATTGAGAGAGCCATGCAAATTTTCAATAAAATATCATTTTTAAAAATAAAATTTTGCGAAAATTGGTGAGAAAATTTTATAAATTTTCAAAAAAGAGAGCGGTCATTCGCCCAATTTTTCTGGCAACGAGCGGTCGCATTGCGACTAAAATTTTTTGTGTTGTTACCTGCTAAAACATACCTGCCAAAAACATACCTGCTCAAAAATACCTGCTCAAAAATACCTGCTCAGTGAATACCTGCTCAAAAATACCTGCTCAAACATACCTGCTCAAAAAAAACCTGCTTAGAAAATACCTGCTCAGACCCAAACTCAGAATCTTATTACCTACTCAGAAACAAACCCAGAATCTTACCTGATAACCTATAAATACCTGCTACACTCAAAAATTCCACATAATGAAACGTTCACGCACCCGTAGGACCCCATCAGAAGAAAAAAAATTTATTGAAGAACAGAAAAAGCGTAAAATAGACCAACAGCGAGAAAGACGTAACAGAACTCAAGTAAATCTCAGTGAACAACCATCTTCATCTCACAGTAATCAACGAAACATCGAGGCTTTAAACGAAGCAAAAATCGTTTGAACATGCAATTTCGTCGTATGTCCCGCCAAAACGAAACAGAAGAAGAAAGAGCTTCTAGACTGTTCCAAATACAAGCCAAAAAAGCCGAAAAAATTGAAAAAGATATTAACTATACTACAGATTTAACCAAAGTTAAGTCCCACTATTTAGGTGAAATGAATTTAAAATGTAATTGTTGCCATGCAAAACATTTTATTGAAGAGACCCACGACAAGAACATGAAATTTAGCGGTTGTTGCGAAAAAGGCAGAGTTTATGTCTCACCGGTTAACGATTTTCCAGTTATTTTAGAAAAATTGTTTAAAAATGAACACAAGTTTTCAAAAGAGTTTTTACACAACATTAGAGGATATATGAGAACATTTTCATTTGCTAGCATCATCACAAAAGAAATTAGGTTTAATGGCGGTGGACCCTATACCTATCGACAGCACGGTGATTTTCAAAAAAAATTCAACGTTTCAGCACATCCAGACCCTAATGAACTGCCCAGCTTCGGCCAACTATTCATGATTGAAGCTGACGAAGCATGTGGTATCCGTCACAATATTATGTCCCAGTTAAATAAAGATCTTCTTGCTGAATTAGACGGTATTATACGAAATGTAAATCCCTTTTCAAAAGCCTATACGATGCTAAAAGAAGAAGAAGAAAAATCAAAAAACAACCCATCTGCCCCCGAATTTAAATTATTGTTTTGCCTAAAAGACCACCTTGATAAAAGAAGGTTTAATCCACCTAGAGTAAATGAAGTCGCCGTTCTTTATGAACAAGGAGTTGATGGAGAAGTCCCTCGCTATGAACTGTGTGTCAACGAGCGTGGAAAAAAATTGGTAACGATGAAACCTACTCACCAATCAGCAGACCCTCTTTTATTTACATTGTTTTATCCTACCGGTCAACTTGGATGGCATCCAAATTTTACCTATAATGACGTTAAAATAACAAATGCAGAACATGTTAAATTTAAAATTTTTTACAGAGATGAATCTGACTTTGCATTTTCACCTATTCTTTATGGAGGAAAGGCATATCAAGAATGGTTAACGACCCAATATATCAACATAGACCGCGAAAGACTTGATTATATAAAACATAATGTTAGCGAAAAATTAGCAGAATCTTATGATTATATTGAAGAATATATGGCCCAAAAAGCAGAAGAAACCGGTTTGGAAATAGGAAAAAAATTTGTATTACCCTCAAGCTACATAGGATCGCCTAGGTACATGACCAATGCTTACGATGATGCTATGACATTGACCCGCATTTACGGTAAACCCCATTTATTTATAACGATGACTTGCAACCCTGATTGGCCTGAAATTAAAAATAACTTATTGCCTGGCCAAGTCTCAGCTGACAGACCGGAATTAGTCGCTCGTGTTTTTAAAATAAAATATAAAGAAATGATAAATAACGTAACGAAAAGTAAAGTTTTTCAAAAAGTGATAGCGTATATGGGCTCAATTGAGTTTCAAAAAAGAGGATTACCTCATGTACATATGCTGTTCACACTGGCTCAAAATTCAAAAATAAATGACCCACAAGAGATAGACAAACTAATTTGGGCTGAAATTCCTGATAAAAATATTGAACCCGAGTTGTACAAAATTATTACAAGAAATAACATGCATCAATGCAAAAAAATGATTAAAGCAACAGGTAAAATTTAGAAAAAATTCCCATGTTTAGAAAATTCTGAAAAGTGCTCAAAAAAATTCCCAAAAAACTTGAAGAAACAGAACTCAAAACTGGAGGCTACGCTAACTACAGACGTAGAAATAACGGGGTTACATTTGAAGCTCCCGATGGACAAGTATTAGATAACAGACATGTAGTATCATATTCTCCCCACCTTTCTAAAAAGTTTAATTGCCACATAAATGTTGAACATGTTGCCGATATCGAAGCAGTAAAATACTTACATAAGTATGTTTTCAAAGGTGTAGACCAAGCATTGGTTGAAAGGGTAAGCAACGATGGGCAAAATAGTATAAATTATGATGAAATTAAGCGATATATTGAATGCAGATACTTAAGCGCACCAGAAGCAGCATGGAGAATATTAGGAAATGAGATTATAGTAAAAAGTCATGCTGTAGAACGATTAGAGATACATGACATAGGAAAACAATCAGTTTTTTTCAAAAATACAGACAGTATTGAAAAAATTTCTGAATTAAAACAAAACAAAAAATCAAAAGTAATGGCGTTTTTTGAACTAAACCAAAAAGAGCAGACAAATTTACTATATCATGAAGTGCCTCAAAATTACACTTGGAATCGAAAAAACATGGAATGGACCCCAAGAAAAGCCCATTTTAATACTGTAGGAAGAATCTTCAATATCAGTCCCAGAAATGCCGAAGTATTTCATCTTCGATTACTTCTTTTGAGAGTTCGTGGCCCCAAATCATTCGAAGAGTTAAAAACATTCGATGGCGTTTTGCACACAACATATAAAAAAGCGTGTTTAGCACGAGGTTTTATAAAAGATGATGAGGAATATATCAATGCAATGCAAGAAGCTGCTTTTTACAAAATGCCCCAACAATTACAATTTTTATTTGCCATGCTTTTTATCCATTGCTCGCCAACAAATCCTGCTGAACTATACGAAAAATTCACAAAAGAGCTCTCCGATGATTGCATATTAAAATTTGGTGATGAAGGTTTTAAAATCGCGTACAATTTAATCGAAAAAATATTACAAAGGAACGGTAAAACATTTAGTGATTTCGGTATGGAATCTTCATTTGATTATTCACATGAACAGCTGCAAAACTTCGAAAATTTGTTAGAAATGGAAATCGAAAATGAAAACTTGAAACATTTTGAAAATGAAGGCAAAAATATGCTGGAGACATGTAATTCTGACCAGAAAAACGTAGTTGATAGTATTATGAATATGTTTGAAGACCCCAACCAAAACAAATGCATATTTCTTGATGGCCCCGGAGGTACAGGCAAAACTTTTGTTTATAAAACAATATACAATATAGTAAGAGGCATGGGAAAAAACGTTATTTGTATGGCTTTTACCGGAATAGCGGCTACGTTACTCCCAAATGGTAACACTGTACATAGCACTTTCAAATTTCCTCTAGACATTGACCAAAATACCACATCTAACCTTAGTAAAAACTCGAAACAATGCCTAGAAATACAAAACACAGACGTTTTTATTATTGACGAGGCATCTATGATAAGTGGTCATTTACTGGAAGCTATTGATCGAACATTGAAAGAATTTACCAAATCTAACTCATTATTCGGTGGAAAAATAATGTTATTAGGAGGAGACTTTCGCCAAATCTTGCCTATTAAAGAAAACGCAACGTCGGCACAAACTGTACGACTCAGCATAAAAGGCAGTAGATTGTGGCCAAAATTTGAAATCAAAAAATTAACAAAGAATATGAGAGCTGGAGAAAAAAACATTAAATTTGCGGAAGATATTTTGAACATAGGTAGTGGCAATTCTAATTCACAAGATGACAAAATTATTCTACCTTTAGACTGCATTACTACTCAAAGTTTGGTCTCTGAACTTTTCGGTGAGAAAATAAATACTCAAAACAAAGATATGCTGACCCGAAGATCAATATTAGCCCCTTTGAACATAGAAGTTGATAAGCTGAATGAAGAAGCATTAGATATTGTGGGAGGCGAAGAAAAAACATATTTTGGCATTGATGAGATTAAAGAAGATGGAAATGAAAAATACAAGTATATGATTGAATATTTGAACACGTTAGGTGACTCAAACTTCCCCAAATTTGAACTAAAATTGAAAGTTAACGCTATAGTTATGGTCTTAAGAAATTTGGATATTAAAGAAGGGTTGTGTAACGGTACCAGATTAAGAATCATGGATCTGCAAAGAAATGTACTGAAATGTGAATGCCTAACCGGAGAACAAAAAGGGAAAATAGTATTCTTCCCACGTATAACACTGGAAAACACTAAAAACTTGCCAATACCTTTCTATCGTACACAATTTCCAGTAAGATTAGCATTCGCAATGACTATCAATAAGTCGCAAGGCCAAACTTTTGAAAAGATAGGCTTAAAACTAAACGAAAAGCAAGTCTTTACACATGGGCAATTGTATGTAGCGCTTTCACGAGTGCCAAATTGGTCATGTTTGAAAGTAAGAATAGAAAATGATCAAGTCCCTGAAGTCACCAACATTGTTTTCAAAGATGTTTTAAATTTGTAAATATTTAGTTTTTTATTAATTTTTTAAAAACAATCGTTTTAGTTTTAGTATTTATAACCATTTTTTGTTCATTATTATTTGTCTTTTTTTCAATTTTTATTTCGTGAACTACCGCTTCCGTTTTATTCTTTTTAAAAATGTTTTATTTGAATTGTTTTAGACCTTTTTTTAAAAATATTTATTTTTGTCGCAATTATTTTGGGCGGAAGGTGGGTTTTGCCCTACCTTCTTCGACTCTACGTCAACATCAGCCCCTTTCTCAACGGATTCCCCAAAACCTCAACCTTCTGGATCTTCAACATCAACAATTTCGACCCTGATCCAGCCATTAAGTCACTCTACTCCAAAAAAATGGTAAGTATTTTGTTTAGTATTATTATGTTTTTTTTTTGTTTATGGGTTATAAATATACATTTTTAGTGTTCACGGATACGAAAAAGCTCCAAACACAATCCTAATGCCACTGTCGTTGATGCACAACAACTTATCTCATCGCATACTTTCATATTGACTCAATTTGAAGCCCCAACAAAGTGACTGGAACTGTTTGTTATTGATGAAAACTACAGATGCCAACTGGAACTAGATGTCAATGTTGAACTTGGAGATTGCAGAAATGATTTTCATGGAAATAAAGAATGAATATGAAAATTTGGCCGTGTCCCACTACATCATTCTACCTGATGAAATCCAAACAATCCGTTAAGATCTTACTTTGGCATATAAAGCATTGAATAAAAATGTTTGGCTAATATATCAGACAAAACATTACGTTTTTGTCTGAAATTTCCCGCGAAAAAAATATTTTTAAATTTCATTTTTATTAATTTTTAAAGTCTTGAAAAGAGACAGCAATAGCGACCAGGCCAACAGGGGGCCCTTTGGGCCCCGTTGGTCTGGTTTGATTTTAATTTTAGGAAGAATACACATAGAATCTTCTGTAACTTTTAATACATGTAATATAAGCCTTTGTCCTTTAAAATTTTGAACAAGTTCACTTTCAGCTCTGTTTTTATTACTCAAAGTCAATCAATAAAAAAACAGCAATTAGCAGGAAGAAAATAAGATTATTAATACATGCTTGCATATAACATAAAACAAGTTATTATTCAGAAGAGAGGAAATATTATTAAGGTAGGTTTAAAAAAAGAATATAAGTTAATTTCAGATCATTCGGTATAACACCACAAAATAAACAATCTTTGTACCACATGTTAAGATATACTATATCACAAAGATTGGGGTATGACATATACATTAATAGACACACAAATAACAATTAAGATGAGATTAATACAGTTAATGGACCTTTAAGGTGACTAGAGCAATTGAACCGCCTCCGGATGTTTTCTACATCTGATCACGAAGTCGTTCAAATTTCGGAAAAAGACTTTGACATCTTTACTGTGGTGTTTCGAATGGAACAAAGCCACATAATCTTGGTAAAACTGGTTCGGATGGATAATATTGATGCCTGGCATGGATGATGCTGCATTCTTGGCTAGGTGAATCATCTTGTACAGATTCTGGCCTTCAGCATAAGGAACAAAGAAGATCTTCACGTTCGGAATTCTAGATTTGATGGCTTCGAATAGTCTCTGAAATATAAAAAGTAAGATAATATTGTAGATGACAGATGCAAATAGCTCTCTTTAATTCTCTACAAACCTTTTACCAGTATTAAATTGTTTTATAAGTTAAAAAGAACCATAAACTTTAAAGTTCCAAGAAGACACCAGTTTAAAGGCTTACCGTAAGTTCTTTGGGCGTTTCCTTCAACCATTCGTCATTGGAAGTAATGATAAGATTGGACACATAAGACGGGAAGTTGATATCCAAAATCCTTGTTCTCAGCATTCCAAGTGAAGAACCGTTCATTCGTAACAAGTTCGCAGCAGCTTTTTCATTTTTGCCTTTGACATCAGTAGTAAGCAAGATGACATTATCATTGGGCTGCTTCATAGTCAAGTTCACAACGTCAGTTCTGAAATTATCAAGGTAAAACCATATAAGATTTCTATAAATATATTTTTTGCTAAGATAATATTGTATATTTTATATACTTAGAAGCTAAACATGTGTATTATATATTATAACCTCAAAAGTAAATTTTAAAAGTCAAAAATCCTCTTTCAAATGCAAAATCCTAAACAAACTCACCCTTGTGACACTTTGCAAGGCAATCTGTAGGCTTTCACTCCTTCAGAACCATCGTTAAAGCTTTTAACTGATCCATTTTCGTCAAAATTATCCTTTTTTACTTCATGCTTTGCATCATCTGAAACGTTGTCTATCACCATGACCTCATCTTCATCTTCACCTTTAACAGCATTGTTTTCCTTATCGACGGGCGGATTTCTGATTAGCTCACCTTCAAAAATAATCTCAAAATCATCTGATTCATTTAACATAACTTCAGCTTCTAGACCCACGTTGTGAGTAGACAAATCAGGTAACATATCGACTAGAGAAGTGGACAAGTGAGCATAAGACGAGGCATTACCCACAACAGATGATGAAGTCGATTCAGATAAGTTTGAATTAGGTAGAGCCTCAGCGTAGAAATTCGGCATATTATCAGCAGCTGTAGTAGGTAATGGAATATCACCTACAGCAAGTTCCATATCACATACTGAAACAGATGATAAGGCAGAAGTAGGTAGTGATGCAGTTGATAAATCCGATAAAGAATTAGCAGGTGAAATGGCTACGGGTGCCACACGTGAAGTAACTTCCATACCAGAAAGTGGAGTAGATGCTAAAGCCGTAGCTGAAATAGGTGACAGAATATCTGATAAATTTGAAATTGAGTCAACTGATATTCCAGTACAATTCAGCAATGAAGTAGATGAGTTTAGTGAAGAAACAGATGTGTTGTTTAACTTTTCGGTAGATGACACTTTCTTATCCATATTTTCAGTTGGTAAAGGTACTTTGATCATTTCACCACAATCTTCTTTGGTAGATTGAGACATCTCAGTTGAAGTGTGTAACAAACCATTTGACGAAGACCCATCCGTATTGTCGAGTGAATCGGCCTTTGAGTCTTGTAGCGGCAATACAGATGTATTGGACAAGCTTTGAGTAGATGCATCTCTCAGCAAAACACGTTTATCCGATGGGTTTGGGGGGTCAATCGACTTTTTTACATTTTGTACTTTCTCCATTGTATTCATGAAATGACACACTGCTCCAACCGTGAAGTCCGTCATGTCTTTGAGCACTAGCATCAGTGCAACGGCCTTGTCCTTCTGATTGCGTTCTTCGTATTTTGATATCATCAAGTGCAGACGCTGCTCAATAACTGAAATTTTAGATTTAAACCGTCTTTTTATATAGTTAAGTTTCGTTCTTAACTTTAAAAATTAAAATGCTAAACCATAATATATTATAAAGACAACCTAAAGCCAGATCTACCTTTATATTGCCTACTATAACGTGGAAATTAAAAACACTCATAACAATCTTAAATACTCCTGTTTTATAGATTATATCTATAACTAATCCAAAGTATTATAAAAACCACTTACTTTTTACCATGTCCGCCATCTCGCTCATACTGTTCGCACAAAGACTGAACGTTATAATGAAAAACGAGCATCAAGTGTAAAAGAAGCTGAAAATGTAAAATGCGCACAAAATTATCTATAAGCCAACCACGCAACAATGCAATATACAAAGGTTACCAAAAGTAAAGCCAAAATATGATAGAAAGAAAACGTTTGTTACCTAAAATTCGGGAAGCAAGAGACGTTCGGTAGAAATAATTTCGGTAGAAATAACAAGTAAAAACGGATAGATTATAAAGTTAATAATACAAAAATTATGCTTGTTACCTAAAATTTAAACGAAAAATACAAGTTGTCATAATATATCACAAAGACTATTGTCCAAACGGTAAAATAAGCAACAAATCTATCGATAACCACATTCAATATAAACCCATTTGGCAACACAAGCTCAAGGAGAGCCAGGACTAGCCTAACAAAGATACCAAATATTAAACTCAAATATAAAATTTGTTAAAAAATACAGAAATTTATGCAAAAATTCCAAGTTGTCCGCCGCGATCTGCCAACCAAACTCGTGCGAGTCGAAAAAATCAAAAAAAGGCCGCCAAAACTATTTTTTGGGTGTTTTTTCTGCCTCGTGCTAGATTTTTTGCAAGATTTTTTTTATTTTTTCTGAGGTTTGGGGTGGATTTTGTAATTATTTGGCTTGATCTTGAAGTGTTTGTTGGAGTTTTTTTTGAAGTTATAACATTATGTTTTATATTCTAATCTTCTTTGATAATTTTAGGTAACAAACGGTTTGTTTTGTTAGGCAAATTAAACTCAATAATAACTAGAAAATCAAAAACGAACAATCTGAGAATAGTTTATTCTAAACCATATTCTAATCACTTTGTCAAGGTGCTTTTGATACCTTTTTGAGCGTCTTGTTGGTACAGAATGTTCTCCTTTCTCTTTTCAACCATAGCGTCAGCCCATGCCTTTTTGGCCATTTCACGTGGAAGTCCATTCAAGAAGAAGTTGAAGTAGAGCTGATTCCTCCAGTTTCCACGAGTTTCATGGATCAAACCGACCGTGTTGATGGCGGAAGCCGCGTATTCATCCGTGGTGACGGCGTGCCATTTCTTTTCGCGCAACTTGGCCATTTCTGTCATTACCCAGCCGGGCAGGAGGTTCTGGAAGTAGATCTGGGGGTATTCTTGCATCATGGATTCGGTGAAGTGAGTTCCGGCTTTCTGAAATGGTTTTTTTGATGTTTTAGATTGGTAGGTATATTTATCATGCCTTAAACATTACAGTTTTCATAGTAATTACATATTTCGCAGTTGTATCTTAATTTATGATACCACATATGTTAGTTTATGGTCTTTGACATAAAATTACCTTCGTCATTGAGTAAGTAGAGTAATAAGTAAAAGGCAGTTCTCCGGCAGTGGAGTTTACATTGACGATGATACCTCCATTTCTTGGTAACATATTTTGTATACCCAGATAGGTCATGGCTACCATGCTTTTCAAATTGACATTTATGGTGTGCCAAGCGTCACCTAGACCTTTCTTTTGGTCCAACAGTTTGTCTGGGATGTCGGCCACATACCCGACGTTGTTTACTGAAAGTAAAGTCGGTAGTTGTTATGGATTCTTAAGATAATATACAGTTGTTAACACTTAAACCTGGTAGTAAATAATAACATACCCAAGAATCCGACCTTGTCCAGTTTGCCCTTCATTCTCTTCTCATATTCTTCTTGATATGGAGTTGAAAAGTCGATCTCGGCTACGTCAAACTTGAGGTGAGGGTACTTTTGGGAGAGTTCGGTTTGAGTTTTCTCCAACTTTGAGGGAGTACGGCCAATCAACAGCACGTTGAAGCCTTTCTTGGCCATTTCCTCGGCGTACGCTCTTCCGATTCCATGAGTACAGCCGGTGACAGCTAAAATAAAATTATAACTTTTTGGTACTAAATTTTAGGCAATAAAGTAAATAGGCTAGCATTGTAGCCTTTGTTTCTTTTAACCATAGACTCTCAATACAATATTTTTGTACTAAAGTTTAAAATTACTTGTCGTACTGTATTGTTCTTACCTCCCCAATCCGATTTAGCCAAAGCATGAACATCGACCGGCTTGGCGACATGGTAGACGTAGCTGTGGGTCAGCAGCTCTCGCATCAATCTGATAGGATGAGCCATCGTCGAGGACGTCCCACTCTACACCAGCAAATGGCAACAAAGTGAATTTGAGCTGAAAGCGACCCATACCTACGATTTTGCAATAACGAAATTTGCATAGAACAACAAAAACACATAGTGCATTACTTACCTTGTTTAATACATCAATAATGGTTTCTTTGGTTTCGGACTGGTCTTTTTAATTGAATTTGAACTCTTTTTATCATTCTGATTATCATAAACTGGTCGTTAAAAATCAAAAATAAACTGTATAAAAAGGCATCAAATTGATTATTGCAGCTATATTAGTCTTGTCATTTTATCTCGAAATGTTTTTCAAGTAAATAATGCATAGGACAATAGTAATTGTTTTAATTCTTTGTTTTACGAAAATTTCTAGGTATCGTCCTATTTAAATGACATATAATACTGAATAAAAAATACTTTAAAATGATTGATGCTATTGAGAAGAAAGCTATGTGGTTCATTCTGAAAGTTCTAATCACTTGACCAGTTTGTTTTTGATTCCGTTTAGTAGATCTTGTTGGTACAGTATGTTCTCTTGCTTCTTTTCTTTCATCCCTTTCTCCCAGAACTTTTGTGCCATTTCTTCTGGAAGACCGTTGAAGAACAGGTTGAAATATAGCTGATTCTTCCAGTTTCCTCGGGTTTCTTTAATCAGCCCAACAGTGTTGATAGCCGAAGCAGCGTATTCATCTGTAGTGACGGAGTGCCATCTTTTTTCTCTGATCTTTGCCATTTCTGTCATTACCCATCCTGGGACTAGGTTTTGGAAGTAGATTTGGGGGTATTCTCTCATCATGGCACTTGTGAAATGAACTCCAGCTTTCTGAAATTGACAATACGTTGATAATATGTATATGATAATATTAAAGTATATTGGCTCTATGGCCGATTTTTAAAAATTTAAATTTTAAGTATCAAAGTTCGTCATACCTTTGTCATGGAGTAGATAGCCATATAAGGAAAAGCCATGCCTCCAGCGGCTGATGTAACGTTGACAATGATACCTCCATTTCTTGGTAACATGCCTTGTAAACCCAAGTAGGTCATGGCCACCATTCCTTTGATGTTGACATTAATTGTGTCCCAAGCGTCTTTTAGGCCATATTCTTGGTTCAACAAGGTATCTGGGTAGTTGGTGACGTAGCCGACGTTGTTCACTTCAAAATATGGTTTTAAATTTTAAGGCATTAGGTTTTTTTAAAAAAATTATATTTTTAAAGGTGTATATGGCGGGGCGATTTTTGGTAATTTAAGCTTTGTGAAAAGTCATAGAATTGGTAATATTAACGTACCCAAAAACCCAACTTTTTCTAGCTTTCCCTTCATTGCCTTTTCGTAATCTTCTTGTTTTGAAGTTGTGAAGTCAATCTCGGCTACATCAAACTTGAGGTGAGGGTACTCTTGGGACAGTTCAGTTTGTGTCTTCTCCAACTTTGACGGAGTACGGCCAATCAACAGCACGTTGAAGCCTTTTTTGGCCATTTCCTCGGCGTACGCTCTTCCGATTCCATGAGTACAGCCGGTGACCGCTAAATTACAACAAAATTTTAGGTAGTAAAGCAAATAGGCTAGTTTTGTAAGCTTTTGCTTCTTTTAATCAAAGGCTTCTAATACAATATTTTCGTCTAAAAAATTCAAATTTATTTTTTGTACTTTAATATTCTTACCTCCCCAATCTGTTTTGGCTAAAGCATGAAGATCTATCGGTTTGGCGACATGATACACGTAGCTGTGGATCAGAAGATCCTTCATGAATTTGATAGGATGAGCCATTTTCGGGGACGTAGTACTGCTTTACACCAATGGCAATAACTGAATTTAGTTTGTATTTTTTTAAACATTATAATTTTAAATACAAATTCAAAATGCATAGCTCATACTTACTGTTCACTAGGTAGTTTGGTCATACTTACTTTTACTTTAGTTCTTTAGTTCATAGGTAATCGGCCTTTTTCTCAGAAGTCGTCGTTTGAGATGAACAACTCGTTGGATTAGCTAAATGTGGTCGTTATTACTTTGATTTACATAAGTTGATTGTTACAATATACAACGAAATTCACACAAAAATGTTTCGAATCACTTTTAAAAATGTTTCGATTTATCGAAACTGTTCCTTATTAGTTTTTTCGAACGCTTTTTATAGTCATCAATTAAGAAGTTGAGAAAGATAACATGATAAGTTGCGGTAATTGTCCTATAACATTGTTTGTCTAGATACAGAAATTTTTTATTGCTATACTTAAAAAGGGTAATAAGGAACATTAAGGAGTCAGACAGTTCCTGTCGTTAAATTCACTGTAGGCATACGATAACTTTGATCTTTGTCATTAGTTTGTTTGGACAATAAAAATTAGACGTTGATAAGGTCAAAGTTATTATTAAACATTCTGAAAAAGATCATTTTTACAATTACCGTAAATCGAAGTTGATAAAATTAATTTACAAGAAAAGTGCCTTTTTTGGCATATCGTTTCAAGTTTATAACTTTGTCATTTTTTTTTGACTTTTTTGCATTTTTCTTTGATAGTAGAAACCTTTAAATGAACCGACATTTTTAAATATGTAAGCGTAGCTTGTCTGAAAAGTAAAAAAAGTACATGAAACACAATGCCAAATTAATGGAAAACTCAAATATTTCGATCTTAAAACTCAATTGCGCGAGCTATAATTTTTTATAAGTACTACTGGTGGTACAAAAATCGTATAAACATTTTTGTTGATTCTGAGCGGGGCAGGTTATGTACTTTTCCTTTTTTAACATTGTTAAAACGCGAAAATTACTGTAACACAAAAGATCAGTATTTATATTGAGAAAAAGCATCAAAAAATGACAAATGGCTTTGCACTAGATTAGGCGGAACATGTAGCATATAAAACGCGTTGTGTGGCCATGTTATCAACTGTTTTATATATTATTTTGAAGTTTTTTATAAGTAGATGCTCTTCTCAAATTTAATAGGGTAAGTGATAAAAGTCAAAACATCTTTTGACTTTAATGCTGCTATCAGAGAACAAAGAGAAATGTTTTGTTTAAATTTATGTTTTGACATGGCCATTACAGAAAAAACACACATAAGTGAAAAACTGTATTGGTTTTTATACTTTTTTGAAAAATTTACTTTCTATATGCCTGTGTCATTCGTAGTATATCATATATATAGTCAAACAAAGCATTTATAAGAATGACCAGTATTTATTGTCATAACCGCTAAACTCATTTTGCTAATTTGTTCTTCTTCCCATCTCGAACGTCTTGTTTGTAGAGAATACTCTCTTGCTTCTTGGCCTTCATTCCTTCGGCAAAGAACTTCTGTGCCACCTCTTCTGGCAGGACATACAACAAAAAGTCAAAGTAGAGCTGATTTCTCCAGTTTCCTCGGGTTTCTCTGGCTAACCCGACCGTATTGATGGCTGAAGCGGCGAACTCATCCGTCGTGACGGAATGCCAGCTCTTCTCTCGGATCTTGGCCAAATCAGTCATTACCCAGCCTGGAGCGAGGTTTTGGATGTAGATCTGGGGGTATTCTCTCATCAACGCACTTGTGAAGTGATGTCCGGCTCTCTGGAAGTATAAAACAATGTTCTTTTGGAACTGAATTATAAAATATGCAAATTACACTAAACTATTAGCAAAGTATCACTTCTTAAAAAGTAATGACTACAAATAACCCAAAAACAAACTAATACCTTTGACATTGAGTACATAGTGATGTAAGGGAACGCAAATCCGCCCACACCTGATGTGACATTGACAATAATACCTCCATTTCTAGGTAGCATACTCTGCAGGCTCAAGTAGGTCATGGCTACCATGCCTTTGATGTTGACGTTGATTGTATCCCAGGCGTCTTTTAACCCGCATGCTTGGTCCAACAATTTGTCTGGGAAGTCGGTTGCATAGCCAGCATTATTTACTACAAGAAAATACGTATAAATGAGTACTAGAAGGTAATTGACTTAGAGCTATTAAATTAGAATGGTACTGAACTTTATAAAAATAGTAGTATGATTGAGTTGATAAACAAACCATACCCAAGAACCCAACCTCCTCCAGTTTTCCTTTCATCTTCTTCTCGTAATCTTCTTGTTTTGAAGTTGTGAGGTCGATCTCAGCTACATCAAACTTGAGGTGAGGGTACTTTTGGGACAGTTCGGTTTGTGTCTTCTCCAACTTTGATGGAGTACGGCCAATCAGCAACACGTTGAAGCCTTTCTTGGCCATCTCCTCGGCGTACGCTCTTCCAATTCCATGAGTACAGCCGGTGACGGCTAAAATACTATTACAACGTCGTTTTTTAGGTAGTAAATCAAGTGGGCTGGCTTTGTAGGCTTCTGGCCCTTTTAATCAGAGGCTTTTAACACTATATTTGTGTACAAGAAGTTCAAATCTACTTTTCGTACTAATAGTCTTACCTCCCCAATCAGTTTTGGCCAGAGCATGAAGATTGACTGGTTTCGCGACATGGTACACATAGCTGCCGACCAGCAACTCCTTCATGAATTTGATAGGATGAGCCATTTTAGAGACGTACGCGCAACCAAATGGTCTTTTTTGGAAAAGTATGACACTCGAAAAGAATTTCAAAATTGTGAAATAAGGAAATTATTCAAATATCTGAGAATTCTCTAAGAAAAGGCAAATGGATACTTTATACAATAAAACGAAATTTTTGTATGAATTTACAGTTATCTTAATGGTAACACTTAGTTTTTACATTTTATGTGGTTATATACGCCTAAATTTAACACAAGAAATAAGACTTTGAATTATTTAGTATTTGTATTATTATAATTTCCTAAGTCAGTATGCTATGCAGTTTATTCATCATAGAAATTGTACTGTAAAAACATTAGATATCAATTTACGATTCGAGAGTTACTGGGACTCTAGTGGCACGAGAGATGGCTACAGTAGAAGTTTCATCTCCCAAACCTTCAAAGAAGTCCTTGATCTTTTGAATCAGCTCTTCGAAGATGTTGGAAGAAGATTCAGAAGAGGTAGAGTCAGAAGAACCAGAGTCAACGTCACGCTTGGCACGTCCAACAGTAGTCACATCAGTAACGGCTTCTGGGTTGACGGTAGGAAGGTTGAGAGCTTCCAAAATGGCGTTCAAGAACTCGACCAGTTCAGTCACAGATGGCTCTCCAGTTGGCAGTCCAGTGATTCCAGCAAGGACGTCACGCTTCTTTCTTCCAGCAGTAGTAGCATCTGGCACGGTGACGGATTCTGGGCTGATTGTTGGCAGACTCAAGGCTTCCAAGAGTTGGTTGAGCAAGTCGACCAGTTCAGTCACAGCTGGTTCACCAGTTGGGAGGCCAGTAACATCAACAGCACGCTTCTTTCTTCCGGCAGCAGTAGTATCTGGCACGGTAACGGATTCTGGGTCGACAGTTGGGAGACTGAGAGCTTCCAAGATTTGGTTCAGAACATCAACCAGTTCAGTCAAAGAAGGAGCTCCAGTTGGCAGACCAGTAACTTCAGAGACAACATCACGCTTTTTGCGACCAGCAGTAGTAACATCAGAAACGGTGACAGATTCTGGGTTCACGGTAGGAAGGTTAAGAGCTTCCAAGAGTTGGTTCAGCAAATCAACCAGTTCAGTGACAGATGGCTCTCCAGTTGGCAGTCCGGTCAGTCCAGATAGGTCACGTTTCTTTCTTCCAGCAGTAGTCGCGTCAACGTTGGGAAGAGTGATGGATTCAGGGTTGACGGTAGGAAGTCCCAAACGCTCGAGAAGATCATTGAGTATCTCTGTCAGAGCCTCCAAAGATGATTCTTGTGGCTGAGACGTAGTTACAGTAGCAAGGGAAAGTGTTTCTTGAGCCAATGCTAAGGCCAAGAACGTCACGAATAGGACACACTTCATGGTTTTAGAGGTTTTCGGATGCTTTCGAATGGACTCGAAATGACAATGTTGATCATGATTAAGCCATCGCTTTTATAGTAACTTTTAAGCTTTTTGGTGATTGATTTTCTGTATCTTTAGCTTTATTTCTAAAGTTTTACAAATCAGAAATCAAAAAAGGCTAATCGATTATGCAAAGCTTTATGTTTTCGTAATATTACTTTATGTTTAGTAAGGTTAGGTTTGTAGCCAAAGTTATTGAAACTCAAAGATTTTCATAATTTATCTAAAACCTTTTTGGATAGTTTAATATGAAACTAAACTAAGCTTAAAACGTACCAAAACAAGCGCGATCAATCACCAAAAGGCTTAAAAGTTACTATAAAAGCAATAACTAAATCATGATCAACATTGTCATTTCGAGTCCATTCGAAAGCATCCGAAAACCTCTAAAACCATGAAGTGTGTCCTATTCGTGACGTTCTTGGCCTTAGCATTGGCTCAAGAAACACTTTCCCTTGCTACTGTAACCACGTCTCAGCCACAAGAATCATCTTTGGAGGCTCTGACAGAGATACTCAATGATCTTCTCGAGCGTTTGGGACTTCCTACCGTCAACCCTGAATCCATCACTCTTCCCAACGTTGACGCGACTACTGCTGGAAGAAAGAAACGTGACCTATCTGGACTGACCGGACTGCCAACTGGAGAGCCATCTGTCACTGAACTGGTTGATTTGCTGAACCAACTCTTGGAAGCTCTTAACCTTCCTACCGTGAACCCAGAATCTGTCACCGTTTCTGATGTTACTACTGCTGGTCGCAAAAAGCGTGATGTTGTCTCTGAAGTTACTGGTCTGCCAACTGGAGCTCCTTCTTTGACTGAACTGGTTGATGTTCTGAACCAAATCTTGAAGCTCTCAGTCTCCCAACTGTCGACCCAGAATCCGTTACCGTGCCAGATACTACTGCTGCCGGAAGAAAGAAGCGTGCTGTTGATGTTACTGGCCTCCCAACTGGTGAACCAGCTGTGACTGAACTGGTCGACTTGCTCAACCAACTCTTGGAAGCCTTGAGTCTGCCAACAATCAGCCCAGAATCCGTCACCGTGCCAGATGCTACTACTGCTGGAAGAAAGAAGCGTGACGTCCTTGCTGGAATCACTGGACTGCCAACTGGAGAGCCATCTGTGACTGAACTGGTCGAGTTCTTGAACGCCATTTTGGAAGCTCTCAACCTTCCTACCGTCAACCCAGAAGCCGTTACTGATGTGACTACTGTTGGACGTGCCAAGCGTGACGTTGACTCTGGTTCTTCTGACTCTAGCTCTTCTGAATCTTCTTCCAACATCTTCGAAGAGCTGATTCAAAAGATCAAGGACTTCTTTGAAGGTTTGGGAGATGAAACTTCTACTGTAGCCATCTCTCGTGCCACTAGAGTCCCAGTAACTATCGAGTCGTAAATTGATATCTAATGTTTTTACAGTACAATTTCTATGATGAATAAACTGCCTAGCATATTATTATTCGTAGTTTATGAGTTTTCTATTTAAAAAATTTAAATTAAAAAGCTTTATTTTATAAAAAAATTAGTTTACAAAACGTTTTGCACTAACAGTTTTCATGCATGTATACTCCGGTGATGTTGGATACTTCTCTAATTCCAAAATCATACGGCCGCTGGTCGTCTCCCGTTTCAATAAATTTGTCATCTATCCGAATGGAAAAGTGTTGACAGTCCTAAAATTTACATTAGTTACCTTGTGACAATGTGTAGATGCAAGGCTACTGTAAATAATCAAAAATATAATTTCTCAATTTCAAACTTTTTTTATCTTTTCAAAAACATTTTTTGTCTATTTTTCACTTACAGTAGATCCACAACGATAGTAAAAATGTAGGTATGGTTCAATTGATGTAATCTCTTCAGTTCTGCCAGTTATATGAAACATGCCTTCACTGTCAGTTTTTACATTAGCCACCAAATCATCTGGGTCGACTAAAAACCAAAAAAAATTAAATTTATGTAACCAGCCAAGTCATTTTAACATCATTTTTGTCACAAAACACAAACTCATGTAATCATAAATGTCATTTCAACATCATGTGTTTGACATTTTAAGCTTATTTTATGCCACCAAACTTACATACAAACCTATCCCTTTCGATGAACTTGACATTAGCGCCAGTCAATGGTTCTCCATTGCACGTCAACCCTCCAGATGCTGTAATACCTTGTGATTCCGAGTTGACAACGCCAACAAGACATACGATTGTAGCTGTCAGTAAAAGCATGTTCGACAAAATAAACAAAAAACGAGAAAAACGAGTGATTATATCGCGACCTTGTCTGACGACGTTTTAAAATTATTTATTAATATTATGAGTAATACTTGTTTTCGATGACTTTAAGGGTTTCACGCTGAAAGACGAGCTGGGTTACGGCGGCCGGACGTCTGAAAATAATTTTCATAACGTTTAATTAAACTAAACCTAAAATCAAACTATAGCCTACAGATAAAACTCACCGAAATCAAATTAAGTTTAGGAGGCAAATCGTCGTTATCACTATTCTCATCGTAATCTTCCGGATGATTGTAGTCATAATGACCTGCCACATCAAATGAATGTTGTCCATAAGCATACATACGTCTTCTGTCTTTAGCCGTACCTAAATTCCTTTGGATCTGAGCATATTCCGGACTCTCTACTCGTTTTCTGATACTTTGTAAAAACTTTTCCCTAGTCGACATGAACTTTCGTACAATAGTAGAAGCAGTTTGAGTATTCTGAAGTTCTTTTTGCTGTTCGGTTGTTAATTTAGTTTCCGCCAACGGCCGGTAGACAGTCGTGGCTACTGAAAGATCGTCCTCAGCTTCGTCAAACGAGCTACTGGTGTAGGTAGTGCCTGAACCTAAAGTATTTTTTTTGAAAAAAAAGTAAAAAATTTTCAAATTTTGAACTTTTAAAAGCTTGGATAACTTATAGTATACTCACTGCTAGTTTTCATGCTAACTTGTAGATGTTGTAAGTCGTTTTCTGTGGCAGCTTGAGGTGTGTAGCTTTCTTCGGACAATTCTGATTGAGGTGTTGAACATGTGAACCTTGCTGACTCGACGAATGACGTTTGAATGTTCACGTTTGCTTTTGGTAGCTTGTCTTGACTCTATAATTATGCAAGGTAAAACAAAAGCAATATAATGTAGACCTATGTCTAGAAGATAGATCAAGGATACAGTAAGAGTAGGTAGAGTTAGAACGAGACTAGGACTAGAGTAGGACTAGGGTAGGGCTAAGGCAGTGCTACGGCCTGGCTAACGCACGACTTGAGCACGGATAGTATACGGCTAGAGCAGGGTTAGATCAAAATTGGAGCAAAACGAGAATAAGGCTCGGTCAATGCTAGAGTAATACAATGGCAAAGCTAGAACAAAGCTAGGGCAAAGCTAGAGAAAGGCTAAAGCAAGGCTAGGCAAAGCTATGACAAAGCTAGGGCAAGGATGGAGCAGGATTAGAGCAAGGCAAGGTAAACCTAAGAAAGGCTAGAGCAGAGATTTACTAGGACTAGAGTAAGGCTAAAATAAGAGAACAACGTTGCAACGGATAACATACCTGATATCGACTACCATCTTTCGAAGTTTTCTCAGCCTCCAGCAATAATATCCTCTCCTCCAACGCTTTAATATAAGCCAACAAGCTCTCATCCCTCTTCGGACTCTCTGTACTTCTATTTTCTTGTGGACTCTCACTCCATTTCAAACTTCCATTATTGTGATCGTCTACCTGACAACAAGCTTCTTGGTAATTACATTGAGAACAACATGGCGGAGCATAACAACATTGTTGTTGTCGATGTAGAGTGTGAGCTTGGTCGTATATCTGATTACTTTGTTGAATATCTCGTAGCTGACGTTGTTTTTGGATTCGTTGTTTGTCTAGGTATAAACATAAGCGACGAAGTTCAACGTTCTCTTCAATCAGTTTGCGTTGGGCGGATTCGGCTTCTATGGCACGTTGTTGGCAGCAGCAATTCTGAAAACGGAATTTTTTCAACTTTTAAAATTTTTTACTTTGAGCGAGGTAAAAACTTATAAAAAAATTTTAGCCAATTTTAGTTACAAACATTCATTTAAAAAAATTAAAATCAATATGAACTTTAAATCATACCTTTTCTCTCCAATTGGCCACACTCTCCCGATCTCTAGATTGAGTTTTCCTTAACGGAAACAAATATCGACCGGTGACTAGGCTTGGCTGACTCTGGGCGACCGCTCTGCCTTCGGTCATTCTCTTTTTGAAGTTTTTAATCTCTTCGTAAAGACCCTTCATAATAACAGGCAATTCAGAGATCGATCCTCATTCAAGGTTCACTTGTTGTTCAATGCCCCTTGGGCTTATTAAATTAATATGCGGCCGAAAACAAGTGTCTAAAAGGACTGGCTTTATAGGTGTTGCACTGATATATAGTAGACGGTTTTATTAAAATTTGATTTTTAGAGTAATCAAGTTTAGTGCAAGTTATGATTAGTCAAGTACAAGGTCCAAATTTCTACCAGCTTACAACTGGTGGAAATTAAAGTTTAAGAAGCAAGAGAATAGAATTTGCATATCACAAAGCTCTCTTTAATTTAAATTTTGCTCCCTTTGCCTAAGGAGTTCGGCCAACCACGTTAAACATTAAACTTAAGGCCGCGGCATTCGATCACTTTGAGTATTTTATTAAGCGTTCGGATTTGAATAAGTTATACAGGCGATATAGCACAGATATCGGTGAGACGGAAGAGATAGAATAAGATTTTATAAAACAAAGAGACGAAAGAGCAAGAGTAACCTCCCAACGCAAGAGTAACCTTCTAGAAGAGAGAGACGGAACAGATATAGAACATCCTATAAAACAAAGACACAACAGAGAAAAAGGCTTTTTTCCAATAAGATGCAAAACCTTTTAACTATACCTCAATAAACGTTAGAAACAAAAGAAAATCAGAGTTCACCACCTAGTGTAGCATCCCCCATAGACCAAATCCAAAGCAGAGAGTAAAAGAAAGGTAAAGCTCGTCGTATCTTGAGAATGTCGTATCAAAGAATAAGCGGTCGTATTCAAATCGGCCGAATCGTTTGCTTTTCATTTGCGAAATTCTGTGCTAATGGCAGTTCTTAAGAGTTGTAAAAAGAGATCAACTTGTCCTCATAATTAACCACAAACATCTGTCTTCAGGCGTTTTAATAAAACTTTAAACTAAGTTTTGGTTACTAATGTTATTTGTCATTTTTTAAAGTTTTACAAATTTTTTTTATTTTTTTGTTCACCGAAACACAAAACCATATAAACGTGCTTTGCAAGTCTATAATCTTCAACCTAATTAATTACTGCCTTGCTTTTATGACGTATAACTATGTGTTACCTTATTGAGTAAATTATATAGAACACAGCTGTTAATTATTACTTTTAAATTTACTTATCTTAGTGTAAAAGAACAATTAGTAAATGGTAAAACGTACCATCTTTTGTCAAAAAATTGATTTAGATTTCAATTAAGCTTTCGTAATTTAGGTATGAAAATCGTATAAAAATTCCCAATATACCATAAATTGACTTAATTTTTTTACCTTTATTAAATAAAAAAACTCTTAAAAATGACTTATCACGAAAATACTAAAGTCATAAACTCAAAATTAAATTTCATTTCAAATGTTTCAAAGTTCGATGTTCCCACATCCTCATCAGATCCTCAAAGTGTTTATCACCTCCATTTTCAATTGTAATATCTTGTCCCAACGCATTTCTCATAGGAGTTACAGTACGATTATTTAACCATGATATCTGCTTCTTTAACATCGGTTCTTCTTTCATGATCCAGATATTAACCAAAATGTCGCAAAATTCAAAAATAATGTCATGAGTAAGCCCAGCGTATCTTGATTCTGTAATCTGACATGCTGGTATCATAAATTGAATCATATATATTATTAAAGGAAGGCATAAGGCCATACGAAGAAGAGATATCCATAAGGTTGACTTTAAGATTGATAAGGAACGAAGTTGGATTGATATCTAAACTTAATGAATAACAAAAAGCTTCTCATTGAACGTACCATAGTTTTACTGTGTAAATTGAATTTATTCCCGTTGTACATAACAGCCAAGTTCCTCTTAAATGGAATTGTAAGCTAAAACAATATTATACTATTAGTCGTAATCGTATTTTCAAAAAAAAAGTTCCGTAAAATGTGTATACCTATATCACAAATCATAATTTGAAACAAACTTACTAAAAAACTGATTACAGTAACTCCAATATAAACAAACATTGAATACTTGGCAGCAAATCCACCTGGAAAAGATTGATCATTACTATAAAGTAAAAAATTTGGGGCCAATGAAGAATCGTTACCCAGTGCATTATAGTTCCCAACGGTGCATAACCGTTCCCCCAATTATTTATATTTATATTTTAACATCTTCAATTTAGAAATAAAATTTGAGCGGTGGTGCGTTGGGGAGAGATACATAGTAAAGGGTTAAGGAACAATAGTAAAGCGTTGGGGAACGATAGTAAAGCGTTAGGAAACGGTATAAAGCGTTGGGGAACGATAGTAAACCGTTGGGGAACGGTAGTAAAGCGTTGGGGAACGGTAGTAAAGCGTTGGGGAATGATAGTAAAGCGTTGGGGAACAATAGTAAAGCGTTGGGGAATGATAGTAAAGCGTTGAGGAATGATAGTAAAGCGTTGGGGAACGGTAGTAAAGCGTTGGGGAATGATAGTAAAGCGTTGGGGAACGGTAGTAAAGCGTTGGGGAACGATAGTAAAGCGTTGGGGAACGGTAGTAAAGCGTTGGGGAATGATAGTAAAGCGTTGAGGAACGGTAGTAAAGCGTTGGGGAATGATAGTAAAGCGTTGAGGAATGATAGTAAAGCGTTGGGGAACGGTAGTAAAGCGTTGGGGAATGATAGTAAAGCGTTGGGGAACGGTAGTAAAGCGTTGGGGAACGATAGTAAAGCGTTGGGGAACGGTAGTAAAGCGTTGGGGAATGATAGTAAAGCGTTGGGGAACGGTAGTAAAGCGTTGGGGAACAATAGTAAAGCGTTGGGGAATGATAGTAAAGCGTTGAGGAATGATAGTAAAGCGTTGGGGAACGGTAGTAAAGCGTTGGGGAATGATAGTAAAGCGTTGGGGAACGGTAGTAAAGCGTTGGGGAATGATAGTAAAGCGTTGGGGAACGGTAGTAAAGCGTTTGCAAATAATAGTAAATTAGAATACGTAGTCAATTACCTCGAATACTGTGTTTTATGGCGTAAAGTTCGGTGGCCAAAACCAGGATCCTTGAGCCCATTGTACGCCATCTGTGTCGAGACCGAAAGGTTAGAGTTCGAAAAGTAGGTACCATGACGAGTAGAGCGGGTTCAGCAATCAGTACTTCCGTTTCGACATCTCCACTAAAACAACATATGATAAATATAAACAACTAACTTACCATGTATTTACCGGCCAGTTCAGACTTTTTCGACAACTTCATAATCGACGAACATTGCTGGCACGAATAAGCCGGTGGGAGAAGAGAGTTGTCTATCATGATCTGAATAGCAGTGTTATATGCTTGCTCCTCTTGCACCGTGTTCCATTTTTCGACCATCCAAGATCAAATAGAAAGAAAGAATGAAAAGCCATAATGAAAATGAAAAAATATGTGAAGCAAAAATTTGCATAGTTTTATTTATTCTCACCGTGGGGAACGATTATGCCTTTATGAGTGGGGAACGATTCTTCGATTTTGTGGGAACGATTTTGCATGAGCGCCAAAAATTTTACAAAGAAGGGGCCGACCTGTTCCTATAGTAAAAAGAAATGTATCAAAGACAATATTTTACTATAACATATATAATTCTTGCGACAATATGAAATAAATTGCATTAAAATGCTTTTAATGCAAAAATTACAATACTATACATCATCTTGCCTTAAGATCTGTAAAAAACAATAAACTTACTCCCCGGCAGTTTCAAAAAATGTAGATATATAGGTATCATCCAAGTCCAAAAAGCACAGATTAGCCCATTAATTAAACCACAATTACCAAAGTTGAAGCTGACTTTAAGAGAAAATATGTATAATATCATCCCTGACAGCCCTATACTAACATACTTTGCTCTGATAAAAGTGTCATGTACGAGTCTTATCAACGTATCTGACTCGTAGTCGTGAATACCCTTAAAAGCTACGTAGTATAACACTACTGATCTGAAAAGAAAACATTTTTCGCATAGAAAGTAACAGTTTGAGCAACCTAACATCAACCATACAACTCACCGTACACTCATATACCCCAACGAACAAGCAATCTCATTCAACAATATTACCCTACACAAGTTGGTCAACAACCGATACCGTATCAAAGCTACAGTAAACACGACCGTAGTAAATAAGGCAACAAACAAAATCAAAATCTCAAAAACAGCAAGAATCCGAAGACCAATTGGCACGTTGTAAATGCTATAATCACACTCCATCGCGAATAGCACGTTAGAAATGGCAGAAAAAGAAAGGAAAGTAAACGTAATTACACCATAATTTATTTATAACCGAGCCATACTGTTATTATCTATTACAAAACAACCCTAATGCTATTACTGTTCTGGTACTTTTAGTCGGTGTTCCATTCTAATTTGGTTAGGTTTTGAACACGTGAAATATAACTGTAGGTAAAAAAACAAAAGAATTATTTGTTTTTTCAAACAGTATACCATATTTAAAAATACATATTTTTAAAAATATTTTTGAAAGTGAATAGGCCAGGCCTACCTTGCACTATTAAAGTTTACACTGAAAAGAACTAGTCCCGCAACGAAAACATTGACTTGCCAAGACAATTTGGCATCCCGCTGCAAATAAATAAAAATAGATTTAAAAAAATTGTTTTTGAGTTTTCTTGTTTCAACGTTTGTTTTGAAGCTGTAACAGAAAATATTGTAGAAGAAAGTCGGAAAATGAATCCTCCAGATATATTCTCCAAGGAAGAACAGGAAAGTTTACAAAAAACAGTGAAAGACATCTTGGGCAACAAACTCATCTTCTCGGATTATTGTCAAAACATAAAGTAAGTTGTGTCTTATTGGTTTAGATTGGTGTTTAGAGACAAAGTGACGTCGAAAGAGAGAAATAACAGATCTGCTGGGCTAAATCAACTGTCTTATGTGGTGTTGAACTTGCCGAAAGGGTTTCTGAATCAAAATGAAGGTAAGTTTGGGTGCTGGAGGATAGAGTAATTTTAAAGCTTATGAAGGTTTTGAATAATGGATTGGAGGTTTTTTTTATAATTTTGTTTTAGCTATGTTTTTGTTGAAATTTTTGTCAGCCAGATTTGACGATTGTGGGCATTCAGCTGAGCTTCTGGTGAAGGTGGTACACAGTTTGGTAGGTTTTTTGGACAAGCCTTAGTTACAAAAAGCTGCGGATAAGAGTTTTTGATTGATTAACGTTAAAAATGTTATTTATAGTGAAATAATTAAGTTTAAAGTCTATTTTTAGTATTTTTCGATTCAAAGCTTTGAAAAAGCTGACATTTTTGAAGTTTTCCACAATATTTTCGCTGAAAATGGAGTTCAAGCGTACGCTCAAGTTGATCGAATGCTGTTTTTGGAGATCATGCAGCATGTTGTGGACAATCACTTTTATGGTATGTTTTTGAATTCAAATGTTTATAATTTTAGGTATAATTGGTCCCAAACTCTTCAGTTTTTAAAATTTTATTGGGATTTTCCTTTTACAAATAAAAAAGTAATTTACTAATAAAGGGCAAAATTTTAGTGATAGAAGAGTTGGGAGTTCAGTACTACAACATCTTTTCGAACACGGCTGGCGGAGAGCGAGATCCAAGATGTTTGATGAAGGTTTTTGGGATCTTTATTAAAGTTATGAGACAAATGGATGTTGGTCCATTCATGGAGGACATGTTTGATCTTATTGCCTGTTACTATCCGATTGAGTATCAACCGGTAATTCTAAATCATAAAAATTATAACTATACCTTAATCAAGATTATCCAGGTTTTGTATTGTAAAATAAGAAGCATACTAGTCGTGAATATTACTAACCTTAAAGTATATTTAGCTTTACTAGTCTTGTGAAAAACTAAATTAATTTTTCAAAATTTCAGCGAGAAACAGATAAGAATCCCCTGAGTCCAGAAGCTTTGTCAGCCGGCTGTGAGTCTTGTTTAGTCGCGAATAGAGGATTTTCTTTATATACATATCAACTACTATTAGATAAACTGTTAGAAGACGATGAAAGTGTTGTTCATGAAACCAAATTAAAAATATGCCGGTTTTTGGTAAGGTTTTAAATCTTATTTTCAAAAAAATTGGAAAAATGTACTACTTATTTAAATAACGTTTGTTAAAACAACGACATTTTAAATGTAAAATACGCTACTTGATTTAATAAAATCTTTACTTCAGATGACAGTTATGTCAAAGTTTGGCCCAGGATCCTTACTAGCCTTGACAGATGAATTCCTGGCTGCATTCAGAATGATTTCTTTTAATCCGAGAAGGAAGTCATTTGAAGAAGAAACTGTAACTACAGTAGGAAACACGTTACAAGCCTTAATCAACTGTCTAAATCAACTTGATTCTCCTAGGAATGAAGATGAAATTGAAAGAGCTACTCAGCAAATGATTGAAAGTAAGGTTTTATTACATTACTATTGAGATAGTTTAGGTAATAAGGTTTTTTTGTGTAAAATACGTGTTTTTTATTTTTTTCTGTTTGTAGAAAAAGAATCAAAGTTTTACTATTAGTGTGAGGGGACAAAGAATTATTTGAACCACCTAACATCTTTTGATTTTTTACTAAATATAGGCAGCAACTACAATATAAACTTAATTTTTTTCAGATTGTGAACCATTTGTCCTCCAAGCTGAAATGGGGTTGGCAGCTAAAGCTCTAAAAACTTTTGAATACGTGGTTCTGGCCCATAACATTGCAGCAGAATTGGCATTACCCAAAGTTTTGTACTGGCTAACTGCTTTGATTACGGGTATTACGATCAAAAATGTGGAAAACAAGAAGGAAATCCTAGAAGAAACGTTACCTTTGATACCGGAATGGCTGGAAATTGGACTGAAAACTGGAAAAAGTAAGGATTTGTAAGAAGCTTTCTTAAAATAGTTTGAAAGTTGAATTTTTGATAGAAAAGAGGCTGTTTTTGTGTTTTTGGAACAAAACAAGCGAGTTATAGCTTGAAAAGTTGCTTTTAACTTGTAAAGCTTCTCCGAAATTTTAAATAATACAATTTTGTACGTTAAATTCACAACTTTTCTTGCACTTTCTTCCAAAAAAAACACTAAAAAGTGTAAAAACTCTTGTCCGAACGCTGCTCGCTCCCTCTTTTCCGAAAAGAAAAACAAATGGACGTTCGTTTGGCGAGAGAGTGTCCGTGGGGGTATAGCTCAGTGGCAGAGCAATCGACTGCAGATCGATAGGTCCCTGGTTCAAATCCGGGTGCCCCCTAACATACTTTTTGCCACTTTTAATCAAACCTTTGTAGCAAAACATGTTCAAGAGGCTGTGCCATCGCTTCAGAGTGCTATAAAGAACTTGCAAGATGTTGAGCCTGCTTTATTACAACAAGTTTTGGCCGAAATTGGCTCAATTTTGCTTAAAAATGAAGAACTTGGAGATAATTTGAAGAAAGAAATTGAGATTGTGCTGCATAAAGTACTGGAATTGAAGTATGAGGACAATGAAAAATTGCGGTAAGTTTATGAATTTAATTTTTGTTATGTTTTTGGTAGTTTTTTCCAAAATTATGGCATTATTTTGGATAAAAGTGAGTATTATATAATATTTGAATGGTTATAGGGAAGCAGTGTCACAATTTTTGGACGAATATGTCAAGAAGGACTTTGAATCAGTTTGGAACAAAGTGGAATCGAATTTTAAGACCGTTGATAACTGTAAGTGTTAATTTGAGTAAATATTTTTTGAACTTTTAACTTGGCTTTAAGAGGGGCCCAGAATTAAGTGTGTCTGATAATTTTAAATTTCTTTTTGAGGGTCGGCCAAAGAATTTTTGTTTTGCGGAGCTCTTGTGAGTACTGAAGCCGGCTTCGAATCTTGTTATCCCTTGTTTTTGGAACGGATGATCAATAAAGGTAAGGTGAAATTAGTTATAATGTTTTGTGACTTTATGTAGTACTATATACTAGGGGAGTGGCTTTCTTAAGGTTGGAGTTGCGAAATGAGACATAGACCGTTGGAAAGATATTTAGTTTGATTTTTACAGTTTTATCGTTAAAGGGCTTCAAAGACATACTCTACATAGCTCAGAATTCTGAAGCTCTGAACAACGGTTTTAAAATTTTTTACCGAATAACTCTTCAGGTAGTGACGTCAACCTGGCCATAATTGAATTTGGCAAAGTACTGAAAAGTAACCAAGACAAGGATGTTAATGTTGTCCAAGACAAGCTGTTAGCACCATTTTGTAAAGTGTTAGAAGTACTATTAGAACAAAATAAAGAAGATGGTGAGAAATTGAGAAAACTTGGTGAAATGTTGCAGGAAATGACATTGAAATTGAATGAAAGGTAAGTATTTTGGCATATTTTGATTCTGAAAAGACAATATTTACTTTAGTAGCTACTAGATATACTATATAGTATAATTTTTCAAGTTTTAAACATTTTTGATATAATAATTGTTGTTTTTAAAGCTTTTAAAAGTAAATAATATTCAAATTGTTACCTAAAAACCTATTTTTAGTCAAAAATCTCTTCTCCTACAATGGTTTATATCAAAAACCCTTCAACTACTACAAGATACTTCAATATCAACCAGTCAAAAACAAGCCCAACTAAAAGTACTACTTGCAACCTGTTTACAATGTAAAGATGTCAATACTATCACACAATTAACGACACGACTTTACAACTTATACCAAAACGAAAAGAATGAAGATACCAAGCCAGCTTTCTTGGATGTGGTATTTGCTTTATACAATAGGGGAGGTTCGTTTGAAAATGTGGCGGATATTGAAGTAGATGAAGGATTACAGCAGGAATTGGATTCAGTTGTCTTGAGGAACGAAATATTAACCAACAGAGCGTTTCCGGGCGAGAAACTTAGAAAGGTAAGGAGTTTTGGCATGGTTAATATACGTTTTTTTGTGATTTTTTACTTATATATTTTGCCCGGTTGTTTCGGTTTGGGCAGGGTAGTTTTGAGGGTATATTTGAACAAGATAGAGCAATTATTAATTTGAATTTTAAAATTTTTAGGTATTACAAGAAGCGGACCAAAGGCAGCTAACTCAACTCTTAAACTTCGATTCGACCTTGACAGATCCGGACAAAAACAACTACAGTAAGACTTTTATTTGGGCTCAGAGGATATTAACCCAATTCGTACCTATCTTCACCGATGAATATAAGAAAACGACTGATAAGAAAAAGCTCAATGGACTTATCAAACTGATCCCAGCTATATTACAGTTGTCCAATAGAGTCAAAATACCCATGACTAATGAGCTCATGGCTGTAAGTTGAGCTTGTCAATCTTTACGGAGCTTTTGTATCTTTTTATGAGGCATTGACGATGATGATTTTTGTTACAGTAACCTAGTACTGTAGTAAAAATTCTATTATGCAAAAAATGATGACATATTGTAGTAAGATTGTTAATGTTATTCTGCTTTCAGCTGTTCCCAATCCTCATTACCTCCCTAAACGAAACACCAATGTCATCGCCAGACTTTACCCTACTGATAAAAGCCATCGTAAACCTGTTGAAGTTGACCAACAAACAGGACCTGGCAGTGGATCAGCTGAGTGAAGTTGCATACGAATTCGAAAAGGTATTGACAGACCAGGATGCCACGGCTACTGCAACATATCATTCATTGGAAGGACTAGAAGCTGTGGGCAGAAGGGTACAATCATTCAGCCGCTTCTTTAGATGGGATCAGACTGTATTGGCGATCAGGAAGGCTACAGAATCCAAGAAGAGAGTTATCAGACAGAAGGCTGCTTTTGTTTCCAACTTATGGTAGGTTACTGTGGTTCAGCCTCATTTGTTATCTTTATTTTGATAGCTATTTATTTTTTTTACTTTTATGATATGTTACCGTATTCTTATTGAGTTTTTGTATTGTAAGTTGCTATATTTTTACTGTATTATACTTTTTATATTTTTCAGGGAGGTAATGCCAGCCTAACTTTACAGTCAATGGTACTCTACGTATACATATGTCGATTAGTAGTGTTTGCAAATTTTTATGTTTTTGAAATAAAGTTGTTGAATTTTACCATTATACCGTTTTTTCATACTGCAAAATCAATAGAGTGCATGTGTACACTCTATTGATTAACTTTTAAACTTTTTTATAACGCGATTTTACCCTTATCGCGTTATAACAAGGTTTTAAGAGGGATGGGTGAGAGAAGCAAAGGAACGCAAAAATTAATAAAAGCGTCAGTAAGACAACGCAGCCAACGCGTATGCCGATTTGATTTAGCTATTCACAAACCGTTGCTTCACACAGCTATACCTACACTGCGAGTAGTTATTGGAAAGCAAGACTTTTCTGAGGAATTTTAAATCACGTTTAAAATTTTCTACAATGTGTTCTAACGATAACATCAGTGAAACTACACGTTCGCCGAGACACATCATGGGATTGAAATTGGCTACAGATGCGTCTTACTTTATCGCAAAGTCTAAGGAACTCTTTAATGAAATAAGTGTAAGTTTTTAATTTTATAGACAATTATAACCTACCCTACCGTACGTTACCTAACAATATACCACTTTAAACTACCCTTCTCTAACTTTAACTATCCTATCTCACTTGTATCTTTTCCTATTTATTGTTATCTTACCCTAACGTACTTTACCGTATCCTACTCTACCCTTCCCTACTCTACCCCGCTCTACTTTACACTACCCTATCCTGCCCTACTTTATCTTATTTTTCCCTACCTCACCCTATCCTACCCTACCATATATATTTTTTTAGGTTTGGAAAAAGAATTTGGAAGCACATTTATATCAAGATAGGGCTGACCAAGAGAACCAAGAATTACTCACTAGTACCTTACTCAATCTTCAGAAGGAAAAACAAAAATTGGTAGCAGAAATCAAAAAACACGGAATTCAGCTAATCCTTTCCAACGACGAGCCGGTAATCGACCAACTTGAAAAACTTGAAAGAATTTTCATTGAACTTGAAGATGCATCTGAGGAATTACTTGAATTGGCCAATCAGACATATTTCTTAGAAACCAAGTTCAAGGAGTTTTCCGTGGACAGCTACAGCAAGTATGATGCCGCCGACAATCTGAGGTATGTTAATACACATGAACTAAATTTTTATACAGTAATTTTGCAATTTAGAGCAGAATACAAAGACCTACTCGATTCTGAATTCGACTACATCGCGGATCTAGGAAAGTGCGTTGATTATTACTTGAAGTCTTACCGACTTGAGGTTTCACCACAGAAGACGTACGATGTATTTGGTAATATTGAAGCCATCTACGAGTTTCATCAAAAAGAAGTCTTGCCACAACTGACAGAGTACGAGAAACATCCAGAAGACGTTGGAGCTTGCTTTTCTCAATTCAAGAACAAGTTGATGGAACTTTACTCGGAATATTGCTTGAATAAGGTCTACTTTGATGTCTTCCACGAGGATGAGACGACTAAAACAATGCTTGAGGTATGTCAATTTATAAAATGAAATTTCTTGACTATTTCTTGGTTTTACGTAAAAATAGGGTCATATTGGGTACAAACTAAATTTATAAAGGGGCCGGGTCTAGTATACCCCTTTTCAAGTCTAGATAAAACTAGATCATCGTCACTATGAAAGTAAAGCTTTTCATAGCTACATTTTATTCTTATAGTATTACTGTGATCCAAATGACGTCGTCTAGCCTTTTTGTGATCAAAATGACGTTCATCATAAGATAATAGTTTTATCATACCATAAGAGTTAATTATTGCTTTAGGCGATCCGAGTACGTTACAACCTTCCTCCAACTTTCAATGTACAGTCATTGTTGGACAAGCCATATCAACATCTAACGAACTACCAACTGTTCTTGTGGAAGATAATGATACTTTCTGAACAAGATACGAAGGAGGTAAAAGAAGTTGTGGACGCTATGGATCTGATGCAGGATGAATGTGATTCAAAAGAAATAACTCTAATTAGAGCCTATATATGGGAAATGGAGTACTACGATAGCATTTTGCGAAAATAAATATAAAAAAGGACATATATGGACTGCTATATATAAGAGTATCCATATGAACTAAGATTTAATCAATTATAAAAGCTAGGTCCGGATATGGGCCATTACAACGTGAGAGATAGCAATTACTACTTGATAATATGTATTAATCTCAAAGCTTGCTATGTTTTGTAGTAATGTTTGTGTATATATAAACTTTTCAAAATACTTTTGATCAGTCTGCATTTCCTAAGCTTTGTTGATTGTTTTAACAGTGAATATCAATGCAAAGAAGGTCAAGGGAACGACGCTTTTTAAGTAAACAGGTTGTTTTAAATATCTATTTTTAGAAAGCTGGAAATTAATTTTTGACTCGAAAGATTTAGTTCTGAATGGGTGATTTTTAAGGGGTGGAGGGGGGTAAAAAAAAGGGTTAAAGTTTACGAAAAAGGTAAAAAATATGCGTCTTTATAGGTTAGGAATATCTATTTATTAATTTTTTAAAATAAAATATTATAGAAACTCTTATTAACCACTGTAAAATAAAGTTTAGGCTTAAAAATGAGTTTCTGAATTAAGACTTAAAAATCTCAAGACATGACATGAATATTCAGTGCTACTGTGTAACTCCCCCACCTTTTGCCCTGTAATGACTTGCAATTACCCTGTAAATAAGCCAAACCAGGCCTAATTTATCATCCCGGCCCTTTCAAATATGCTTCAGCCCGGCCCTTTATATAAACTAATTAAAATATTGTAATAATTGAGAAAACTTGTATTGTAATGCTTCTGTGCTTACACATTTTGCAAGTCAAACCATTTGTTGATGGACCTCAGCTGGGATCCTGGTATCCTCGGCCTAATTTCAGTTTGATTCGGACTGGTTTGTGTTGAGTCTAGCGAGCCCCCTTTCAAGTCGAATTACAATAGGATATGGCGTTCAGCATTATAACAAAGCCAGAAAACACGCCCTGAATTGCACCTTTTTTCACAGTATGCCCTTCTCTGTCTGTTACTCTGTCCCACTACTATTTCTTCATGAACACCCTGGCATTTCTGATGATAATGCACTGTTACTAATTTTCAAAATTTCTCAGTACTACAAAGAAGCGTTAAGTTATGTCATATTTTCCTGCGTCCAAACCTAGTGTCTATATATGTGTTTCCTTTACTCTTCCCCCTCTCCCCCCCCATCCTCGTTTTACTTTTTACCACGCCCTACCCTGTTTAAAGCTATAATCTGAAGAAAAATGTAAATCATACAACATTAAGTGTGTGTTAACACATAATCTATTTGTTTCTATGGAACAACGCTTTCGCTTAGCTTTAACAAATAAAAAATGTTTTCAGCGTTGGTCTGCGGACCAAAGAGAAAAAGATATTAATGTAAATAAAATGTCAGTCTATTTATGGTGGTAATCGCAAAGGCTTGCTTTTTTATATTTTTTTTTCATTTTAATTTGTAGGTATTGTAATTATATATTAATGTATAAAAAAAAGTTCTTTAGTTTTTTTTTATTTTTACGTTAAAAGATAGCGTTAAGCCAAAAAATATTTTTTTTTCTTTAAAGCACTCAGTATTTGCATCTTCAAAGAGCATGTATCATATTTTGCGTTATGTTGTTAAAGGTTATTTGTCGTTTTAAGAAATGTTATGACTTTTCATTTAAAAAATGTATTTGTAATCAATTTAAATTGAAATAAATATTTTTAAAAGTACATTATTCAGTCGCTTTCGTACTTTAAACGGCGTTAAACCGACTCTTTTTTAGCTTTTTTAAGACCTGACTCAATTTAAAAAAAGACCGTTTTAACCAAAATCTGACCATACTTTACGTCATAAAGCTAACTACTACTGTAAAATCAAATAACTATCCCAACACTATATCTGATATTAATAACTTTTAACCTGTCTCCCGAAGTTTCTCGAAATTTTGACAATTTGTTCGGTTCGCTGACGTGTCTTTGGATGCCCTTCAAACAATTCGCGCGTCGCTTCCCATAACAGAGATTACACCTGGTTTCAGATGCGGTGGCTTCTCCTGGCGTTGGCCGTGTGCTTGGCCTACGCAGCCGACAAGTCCAAGTTCAAGACTTGTGAACAGGTTGGGTTTTGCAAGTAAGTTTGTTTATGATTGTTGTTACTGCAGTAGGGGCTACTATCAGTTCGTACTGTCAAAGGTTCTCGTGATAGAATCAAACGTGAAAAATTCTCATGGTGGTGTTAATATTGTTTATACAAGTTTGTACACTTCGATAAGGGTTCTGAAGCCCGTCATACTAAGCTGACTTCTTTTAGATACCGTAACAATAGCTTTTAGGGGCACTAAATGCATAAAATGTCTTATAAAGGTACTGTTTAACCATGATATAACGAAAGAAGTACCCTTCTGTCTAACAAAAACCTGTACAAATCAAATACCTATGTCTTCCAGAAGCTCTCACATCCAATCTTGTCAAACTATAACCCGTACTTTCAACAAAACCTAAAAACTTAAAGTAAAACCTATTTACAATATCAATCTTTTAATAAACCCCAATAACAACACCGATTCCTTTTCAGAAGACACCGCCAAGGACAAGAACGTGTACCGTACTCAATCATTCCAAGCTCAGTAAAGGCCAATGAGACAGCTTTGTTAGCCCAGCTAAAATCTAAAGAAAACACTTTAGAGTTGGCTGTCATCGTACTCAAAGATAGCACGCTGCGAATCTTCGCCGACGAAAGCGGCGAACGACAACGGGCACGATACATTCCATATGATGCTTTCGTCGGGTTACCTACTCAGGAAAAGTAAGGGAGTACTGGTTTTTTATTGACTTTTAGGGAATGGCACGGTGATAATTAGAGAGTACGGTACTTAAAAGTATTGCTAAGGCGTACGATACTAAAAAGTACTGCTGTACAATGAAAAGCTCGGACAAAAAGAAGATATACAGCGCAATAACAGCCGTTGTAACTAACAAAAACCATCAATACAGTATTTACTTAATCTTATTGATATACTTATCAATATAAAACAACATTTAACACTTTACCTATCAATAATCACCACAATCTTCAAGTATATAAGCCCGGTCTTCAAATCTATAACCAAAACCTTCAAAAATACTTTTCAGAATCTCAGAAGTAAAGATCGAAGACACCAAAGCCACTTTCGTACCATTTAAAAACAAGAAAGTCGTGGTCAACTATAACCCCTTCTGGGTTGAAGTCTACGACAAGGAAGACTTGTTAATAGCCGTGAACTCAAACGGATTATTTAAATTTGAACATTTCCGTAACCAAGGTTCTGAGCCTGAAAAAGACGGTGAGGGCTTCTGGGAAGAGAAGTTCAGTAGCTGGACTGACAGTAAGCCTTTCGGTTCGTCAGCCGTCGGATTGGATGTAGAGTTCTTTGGCTTCAAGTACCTTTATGGTCTACCTGAACATGCCATGTCATTGGCGCTTAAGAGCACTTTGTAAGTTACATAAAGGCTTTTCATAACAAGAATAAAAGTTAAGTAGCTCAGAATGAGTTGAACAACCTAATATATTAGGTGCCGACATAAAGAGCCCACCATATTTTGACTGTAATTTCCTGTAAAAAATGGCGGGTTCTTTATGTCGGCACCTAATATTTAAAACCCAATCTACCCCCTTCCTTGCTCAATATGACAAGACAAGATTCTTAACAACAAAAGCAAAAACGTATTTTAAGACCAAACCAAATCGACCCCTACCGTATCTACAATGTAGACATTTTCGAATACGAAATGAACTCTCCCATGTCATTGTACGGTGGATCTCCATTGGTCATTGCTCATAACAAGTACAAGACGGTTGGAGCTTACTGGTTCAACGTCGCTGACACCTGGGTGGATGTGCATTCATCTGCTCTTGATAAGGTAACTTTTGGAGCTTTAACAAAACAGAATAGAAGCTACGTATTTTACAAGATATGTCTTTATGTACATCTATATATATCAAGTATAATATATCGATCTTACTTGTAAAACTGAATTATGTTACCTTATTTTGCCTTACATTACTATCAAAATCATATAAAGTTGTTCAAAAAATCAGTTGCCCACTAATCCCAAAAAATCGCTTTGAGGTAGAGCACAGGATTAATTGAACAGTCTAATATTCCAAATTTTAAAAAATTTTTAAAACTTTCTTGATCAATATGCAAAATCGTATGTTACATTACTTTTTACAAACACCTACATAGGCTAACACTGGATAATACCATTTTAGCAAAAACTTTGTTATAGGGTATCGTGAACAAACTAGTAGACAAGTTCACGTTCAATGAAGGTCAAGATCACGCTGGAGCTCACTTCATGTCAGAAGCTGGTGTAGCCGACCTTTTCCTGTTCTTGGGTCCAACTCCAAATGACATCTACAGACAAGAGGCCAACCTTGCTGGTACTCATCCTCTTCCTCCAGTAAGTTAGCTAGATACTACTTTTTAAACTTTTATGCTTATATTTAAAGTTTCTTACCTTTCCTAACAAAATTATAAGCCATCCTTCAAGCTGAACCCTACTACAATATACAAAACCCCTTTTTTTAGATCACCGGAATCGCCTACCATCAATGCCGTTGGAACTACAATGACGAGAAAGATGTCCTAGATGTAGACAAAAACTTTGACAAATACGACATTCCTTACGACACCATCTGGCTTGACATTGAGCACACCGATGGCAAACGCTACTTCACCTGGGACCCTGACCGTTTCCCCAACCCTCAGGAGATGATCAAGAAGATCGAGACCAAGAGTCGATCAGTGGTCACGATCGTTGATCCTCACGTCAAGAAGGACGAGAACTACCCAACGTACCAGTTGGCCAAGGAACGTGATTACTATGTAAAGAACGCCGGAGGTCAAAGCGACTACGAGGGTGACTGTTGGCCTGGTCGATCATCGTATCTTGACTTGCTAAATCCTCAAGTACGTGAGTATCTAGCCGACAGATATCTGTTGGAGAACTATCACGGCTCCACGGAACGTTTGTGGACGTGGAACGATATGAATGAGCCATCAGTGTTCAGTGGACCTGAGATGAGTATGCCGAGAGATAATATTCACCATGGTGGATGGGAGAACAGAGAGATTCACAACATCTACGGAATGTTATACGTAGGTTCTTTGGGTGATAGTTAGCATGAATAACATTTTATCGTAAACAGCTGTTAAAGTTGTAAACGGCTTCACAATAGTGCAATGGCTTCAAAACTTCAAAAATAGAATTGAGTAACCTATCATAATATAATCATCCCTTTTTCAGCACAACTCCACCTACTTTGGTCACCTCCGCCGTTCCAACAACAAGCTCCGCCCCTTCATCCTTACCCGTTCCTTCTTCACTGGTACTCAACGTACCTCAGCCATCTGGACAGGTGATAACGCTGCCGAATGGATTCATCTCAAGGCTACCATCCCAATGTTACTGTCGCTTTCAATTGCTGGCTTCCCAAATGTCGGTGCTGATGTGGGAGGCTTCTTCGGAAACCCAACTGAAGAACTGTTGGTCAGATGGTACCAAGCTGGTGCCTTCCAACCCTTCTTCCGAGCTCACGCCCACTTGGACAGTAAGCGACGTGAACCATGGTTGTTCAGTGATGAGACCAGAAACAACATCCGTGATGCTGTGATTCGTCGGTACCAGCTGTTGCCTTACTGGTACACCTTGTTCTACGAACATTCCAAGAACGGCAAGCCTATTATGAGACCAATTTGGTCCGAATTCCCCGGAGATGAGAATGGATTCGACGAGGAAAGAGAGTACATGCTGGGTAATGCTCTGTTAGTACGGCCAGTTACTGACCCTGAAGTCAAGTCTGTATCACTTTACATTCCTGGATACCAACAGGTCTGGTACGACTGGGACACTGGCAAGATGCACGTCTCTCCTGGCGCCATCTACACCGACACTCCAATGTCCAAGATCCCAGTGTACCAACGCGGTGGTACTATTGTACCAGTCCGTACCAGAATCCGCCGATCGGCCGCTTTGATGAGGAACGATCCAATCACGTTGTACATTGCCAGTGAATTAAACCGTGACTTTGCCAACGGAACCTTGTATCTGGATGACGGAGAATCTTATGGTTACAAGGATGGTGATTACATGTTCTGGAGCTATACCTACAAGAAGAACACTGACTTCTTGTACACCATTACTAGCAAGAACTTAGACAAGAACGGTCAGTTCGACCCAGATGTGTACATCGAGAAGATTATTATCAGAGGCGTCAGATATTACCCACGCAACGTTCACTTGTACTATGATGGTAAGTTTTTAATATTTTAATTAATCTTTACCTATATTTTACCTTTTTGATGTTGTTATAGGTAATTTTAAAGCTTTTTTTATTTTTTAAGTGTTAAGGTTGATCTGTTCTTAAATACCTTGTCAATTCTACATTAATATGGCCACAATAGTGCCTTTTAAAAAACTTAAAGGACCAGTTCGCCCATTCAAATATCATTGGCATTCTGTCGCAAAAAGCGTCGAAAATCAGGCAATTTCAATCAAAATCATTTTTCTCAAAAAACGTAAGTGGGTCGGTGTCGAAATGAATTTTCCAATTTGGGACCGACCTGCTCAGGTTTTTTGCGAAAAAAATGAACATCGAATTTTTGCGACAGAATGCCAATGATATTTGAATGGGCGAACTGGTCCTTTAATCCCACCTTTTCAGACTACAACCCAGAAGACCTCGAGTTTACGCACGACCGTGAGCTTCGCGAAGTCGTGATTCGCAAGCCTAACGCCTTCGTATCGCGCGAATGGAGGATCGACATCCACATTTGAAGCTGATTAGTTTAATTTATTTCAAATACGAGTCATTTGCCGATCTTTTTTGATCTTTCTCAATTTCGTATCGATTGTTATATTACAGTAGACTAAATAAACTTTGTTTTCTTTAGTTTTACTAAGCATTTTATGTTGTTATAGGCTCAAAAATGAACTTGAAACACCCAGAATAAGATTTGTAGTTAACAGAAGATATGCTTTTTAGGTAACACTTATAATTTTAGTAAAAAAATCAAAAAATGGACGAAAAGGTACCAAGTTATTCTATGAAGCATATTCATTTTATAAAATGTCCCCCTTAGCTAAAACATGTAAAACAACATCCAATAGGCAACATCATGCTCCCTTTTACATTTTAGACCTCAACTTTTACTTATCCTTCACACTTTCAATTAAAAAACAGAATAACTTACGATATTATGATAAGGTGGTTAATATTAATGGCATCGTAATTAACTGCGAACAAATTTGCTGGTGAATCCGTGAAAAAAAGAGAAAACGACCTTCAGAATGCCATCGAATTCCTTCGATTTCGATTTCAACGGAATTTCAACTTTTTTCACAGTGCCAAGTTATACGATCAAGCATGTTTGTTTGTATAACTTGTCGCTAGTTCAGCGAGATTTTGCAGCATTATAAACAACATTTTTTATTCATTTGACAGAAATTTTAAAAATCTTTTTTATTTGACTATGTTGACCATAAAACAGTGGATATTATCCTTGCTTCTGCGAACATCTCTAGCTCCAAATATTTCGAATTTTACGGGCTGATCGTTCCAGAACGGTGGAGTTACTGCCTCCAGCTGCTTGTATATGATTTATTTTGCGTGAGTTTGTTTTAGCCGGACCGGTTTTATCATCTTGGATCTAAATGAAACCCCGCCGAAGACGAGAAGACGGCTGCCACTTCGAGATCAACCCCGCTCTCTGCGGTTTTTAATTAAAATTTTGTTAATTTCACTGACCTTTAAGCTACAGTTGAGTAAGTCTACAAAATTTTGTACTTTTCAGGATGTTAGTGTTGATGTATTGTTAATTCTGGCAGTTTTTTTTTGGGTTTTATCAAGAATAATATTGGGTTTGAGGGAAAATAAGATAATATCTTGATGCAAAACGAGATTCTATTTACCCGCTTTAACTTAATAAACAAATTCCAATCTATTTATTGTGTTTTAGTGACCATATTTGTCTTTTACTTACCATATTTAAAATATTAATTTAGATACCTAAAATGGACCAAAAACCAGCTGCAACGCCAGAACTATCAGCAGAAGAGACCCAGAAGCCGACAAGACTTCCAGAACCACGATCTCCAAAGACTTCATCGTGGAAAAAGTTTGAGGAACGGCAAACACAAAAACTTCTGGAGGAGAAGCAAAAGCAATTGCTGAAAGAACAACAAGAGAAAGCGAAGAAGGAGCAGGAGACAAAACAGAAACAATTGTATGGATACGTGCCATTCAAAGCCCCACCAACTCCAATCTACGAAGTTAGGCCTCAAGCTAAAGCCAGCTTGGTTAATTCAGGTAGGTTTTAAGGTTTTGAGCTTGGGGGTTTACAGAAGGTATTTTAGATTTTTTAGCTAAAGAGAATTTCTAAATGGTAGGGGAAATTGTTATAAAAAATTTACAGACAGGAGTTGCCTTTAGCTAGTTTTTAAAAGTTTTTTGAAATTTTTAATTTTGTTAGGTATAAAATCGTATTTTAGTTTCAATAAGTCGTCCAGGAGCAGCTATGGGTAATGGTAATCAACCGAATGTTCATTTTCGGCCACCAAGTGAGATGGGAACTTGTAAGTATTTCAAAGACTATTAGGATTGCAGGTCGTATTTTACAAAATAATCAATTTTATTTTCATTCTAGACCGCCCAGCCTCCAGATTCCAGTCCTTCACAACCCTACCTCGACCAGACTATCTTGATGTGGAGAGTCTCTACGGTCCGCCACCACCTCAGCCTTATCTACATGAACATAATCATAGTATTGATGCTGCTCGGCCAGGAAGTAAACTCTCCTTTGCTTACGAATATAAGAGGCCAGCTTCAGCGATGAGTGGGATTCAGATACAGCCTCCGTTCATCGTGACCAACAGTAAATACCCGGTTGATGAGTGCCAAATACCTACGAAAGAGATTGTCAGTTGGGATGCGCTCAGGTTGAGCAGTTGTTTGCAGGTATGGGTTTTGGAAATTTGTAAGCGATGCATGTTTACAAAGTTGAAAAAAGGGCTTGAAACATAATTCCAAATTTGCCAATTTGGCGGGAAATTCAAATATTTAAATTTTGAAAAGTAAAATTTTTCTTATCAACTCCAGATCCTCTTCGGAATGGCCATCTTCGCTGTTGGAGCCTCGAGAATGTTGATGAGAGCCGAATATGCCAAAGGACAAGAACTCTTCTATGGTATCTCGGTGATGGTAGCGGGAATCTTTGGTTATTTCTCATCCAGAAGCCAGTCTTTTACCATGGTTATGTGGTATTTCGCTCACAGTTTAATGAACGCCATCTTTGCTTTTGTGCCATTATTTAGTGGTATGGTGCCATTACTTCAGATCTACAACAATGGTGGTAATAGGGCTGTTGGTACGGCTACTGAGCCAATTGAAGTTGACTTTTCTTTGATCATTTTGAGTGGCGTTGAGGTGGGTTAATATTTTTACATTATAGTAGATTGTGGTAGTAAGAAAGATATCAGATTTGATATGTTTTGGTAGTAAAATAAGGTACTATTGAGAAAGTTGGGAGGGGATATGTTACTATAGCTGATGTTATATTACAACCACTAGCTAAGGTCGTGCAGTCCAAAGGTATCAACTACAATTCCAAAACTAAAATGTCAGTTTAAAATGTACTTAAAAACATTTTTAAATTACTTTGCTCACGATACAATTACTTTGTGTTTCCACAGTAATTACCATGTAATCCACGATTCCGTACCAAACATCTCATTTACCGTTGTTTCAGTTCGCTGCCGCTTTGGTCGTATCTTTGTATGGTTGTCGTACTTTGGGTCGTACTATTCATGCTGTAGTACAGATTCGAAACAGACTGTTGAGAATGGAGGGTTTATAGATGTTATACTGTATTACTATGGCATGTATTATACTGAATTTTTATGGAATTTACTATAATGTACTACTTTGCATGTACTTTACTGAATTAATATGGCAGTTACTAGGTTTATATGTAGTAAGATAGCTTGTAACTACTATAGTATGGCTCATCTTATTGTTATAGTACTTTAAATATCTTTTAATATTGTTGTAGCTGTGTATGTGATAGATAATATGCTTTCTTGTTTTAAAATGTTAAAACAGGTAAAATACGCCTCGGCCCCCTGCCAGTTTAATATTTATGAGTAGAGTGTAATATTTAATAAAATTTTAACAATCATCACGTTTAAAATAGACAAACTCGCTCAACTTGGCCGTACTCTTGATCTGCCAACGCAGGTCGGTCTGTGCTAGGACACATTGGCCAAAATGTCTGAAAATATGACTAGTATTTGATAGGAATTCGTATTTTACAATTTTTAAAAATTTACTTTTATTTATTGTTCACTTTGCTCTGTTTCCAAGTTATTCTGTTCTACCCAGCTCTACCATATCCTACCATACTCTACCCTAGTATACGTTACCCTAACCTCTACCCTACTTTACCCAACTTTAACCTACTCTATCTTACCCTACTTAATTCCGTTATTAAACTTTTAAGACTTTTTTTTAAATAAAAAAGTTATGTCATCACGAAAGACATCAGAAATCTCTTGCGAATGTTTCTTAATTTGGCATCTACGTCGTGGTGTATATTAAGGTAATTCCGTTGAATTAACTCACTTTGAAAAGCCGACGACGCCGCACTTAAGGCCCTTAAGGCAACTGTAACATTTCAAACACAAATTGGCACACTCTTCGAGAGACGTGGCGTTACGCGAGCGAATCGAACGCACGTGCAGGGGTTGGAAGCGACTGAAATTTCAAGTTTTTTTTCGAAATGGGTGCGGAGGGGTGAGCTTGAGAGGGGCAGATAGGGTAGAAGGCTTTGGTAAGAAAAAAGGTTTTTAAAAACTGGTAGGGGTATTTTTTTAAATTTTAAAGCTTTTACGTGAAGCACTTTGGAGCGATAATAGGAGCTTCGTCTAAGAACCGCCTATGGCCATATTTGTCTGGAATTACAGGTGTTTGCTTATAATTGTCATCTTTTGTGTCGGTAGAAGTGTTCGTCATACCATAACTGTCAATAACTTCATCTGGTATTACCGCTTTTGGCTTTGGTGGCTGAATACCGTCTAAAAATGGAGTTTTACAATTAATTTTTTTTTGCGAAAGGGTTGGGTAGGGTAGGATAGAAAAGGATAGCGTAGAGTAGAATGTCGCAAGATAGGATATGATAGTGTAGGGCATAATAGGGTATAATAAAGTAGGGTAGGGTAAGATAGAGTAAGGTAGGGTAGAATGGAGTAGTGTTGGGTAGGGTAGGGCAAATTAGTTAAAAACTTACAAAAAAGGTTGTCAGGATCAGCTTCGAATGGTTGTTCCTCAGTTTCTTCTTTTGTCTTCTCTAAAAGTTATGATTACATTCATATGTTCAAGCTGTTACATTGTAAAAAATGTACTTTTAAAATGATTTTTCAACTAAAATTTCAACTTTTTGTGTAAAAAATGAAAATTCATTTGTACATTGCATGCCAATACGTTTTGAATTGTCTGTGAATGTCTGCCGAATTACTTACTATCGTAGCCGGAGGGCTGAATATTTACATGTTTGGGTTTCGTGAGGTTTACATTTTGTGTTGTAATTAGTGGCAGTGTGGTCGTAAAAGGAATTTGAGGTGTTTGTTGGGTTGTCTGGGGTGGGGGTTCTGTAATTCAAATTGATTTAGTTTTAAAATTTAAAATTTTTTGGTAATTGATAAAAGTTACAGTAATCCTAATTTGGATTGATAGTGATAGAACAGTTAGTAGTATTAGCACGTGAAGAAAATGAGGCGTATTTTACAATAAATAGCTTTAAAACTACAGTACTTATAACATGGACTACTGTAACTGTTCTTACCGTAATTTGTTCTTACTGTAACTTTTTCTTACTGTAACTTTTACTACCTGTAACTTTGCTTTGTATATATGAACTACAGTAACTGTCCTTACCTTTGTCGACACATTTGTTATGAATGTAGATAGAGTTTTCATCGTCTACGTACAGTTCTGGCATGGTATCTCTGTTCTCTGATGCTAATATACATTCCTAGAACAGAAACCGTTTAATATTACAGCACGGTAATTAGCGCTTACATTGTTGCACATGTTCTTCCGTAGTAATTAATAAAACACAAAGTTTATTTTGGCTTTTTTGGGTATGTCTGGTATATTTTGACATTTTTTTGATATATATTGGCATTGTTTGGTATATAATGGCATTTTTTACTTTAAAATGCGTTGTAAGATTGTAAAAAAGTCTTGGCGTTACTTTATATTTATTTCTTCGTTGAAAAGCGACAAAAGTTTTTATCTTTTTTTAAAACTATTAATATGTATATATGTCCGCTACAACGTATGTAGGCTACTCTGTGTATATAATATTCAACATTATGTTTTGCACATGTGCTACTTTAATATTAATAGTTAAATTTTTGAAAACTAATTTAGTTAATTTCGAATTCAAATGCCATTGTTTACTTAAAGTCTTGGGTTACGTTTACAGCGCTGTAATTATTTTGGGCTAATTTGAGGTTTTGAGGAAAATTTGGGAAAAATTTTGTTGTTTTTTTATATCTTATGTTATAGTTGGTAAAGTACTACACATGACAAAATGGCGTTGTATTTAGGACAAGTTATGGTACTGTAAACGAGACCTAAAGTAAGGTTACGTAGAGTAAGTTAAGGTAAAATAGACTTAGTGTAAGGCTATATAGGCCTAGGGTAAGGTACAGTAGAGCAGGGTAGGGTAGGCTATACTTATGCCTACATATTATCCCCCTCTAACCAAAACGACCAGTCTTATTGTGTTTTACTACATCTAATCATCTAAAGCAATTTATTTTTTTAATTTTACAAATTAGTTTACCATTTCTACTGCAAAATAAATGAAATTTACCTGTTCTTTCTTGTAGAACATGGCCGATTTGCATGTAAAGTCGAGGTCTTTCTTGGCTGTAGCACATAATCGCTCGCATACTTGAGGAGATGATACATCCTTGATATCTTGGTCTGATATTCCAATCAAAACCTTGCCTTCTGTTCTTTCAAAACAGTCATCTTTTAGGCGGGGTTCTGAAGTTTTAGAGTTAATTTAGGTAAAGGTTAATGTTTTTTGATGAGATATTTTTTCTTCTTATCTACCTTCTAAACTATGGTTGCCTGCTTGACTTTAGGAAGTATTTATCACTATCTTTTCTCTATTCGTCCTCATCCTACAATCGAAAATAACTTTAATAGATCTATTCCATAATTTTAATACATTATTATGCCTATTTTTAAATGGTACCACTTATAAAGTACAATACAACCACCTCTATTAGCACAATGATAATTAACCCCAACTACAACTGCATGTGATGCGAGAGTACTCTTTTAATAACATGGTACATAAGTATTAACGTTTGTAGCTGCCAGTCATTACCTTTCTTTGTATGACAGCTGTTTTTTCGAAAGTTAACTCTTGTTTTACTTTTACTTCCTTTACTGACATAGGCTCTGATTAGTATGCTATTAACATGGACTTATTTTAATTGCATGCAATTATTAATATATCATACGAAGTCAGCTAACATACGACGAAGTACAAAGTTTGGGTAATCACGTAGCTAATTACGGTGTTATGATAAGAGATGTTGTAGTTTTTTACTATGGGGTATGTTGTAGTAATTTACTATAGGGTATGTTGAAGTAATTTACGTTATTTAGTAGAGTGTTTTTTAATATTATTATAGTAGTGTAAAGGTCGACATAAGATATATTTAATACCTAAACTACCGCTTTATGGAGGAAGTTTACGCCTATACCTACATCTATATTATGGTAGGTTTTCTACTTATATTGTAGTATATTTATAGCTATATAACTATACACATATTCACATTATAGTGTCTTCCTTATATTAAACATACAACCACTCAAACATGCTTTACCTTGTCTGGCGTTTCGTTGAACCGTTCCACCGCCACCTGATATTATACATTGTCCAATTAGTTTTCGATAGAAGGCTTTTAGCTGCTCGTGGTTTGCTCTGAAAACTCATTAGAATTTAAATTACTCGAGGCGTGTAAGGCTCAGATTTAATGTCGGTTTTGAGCTTGGCCAGAAAAACCTTATATGGTTGTTTACATTTTGAATTCAGTAAATTTATAGCTAGGGGCACGCGGATGAGTTATGTTTGGTTAAATTACAGATAGAGCAAATGACATTATGTTGAAAGGGGAGGGCGTGTATAAGAAATGGCACTATGTAGGGAGGGGAGAGGTATACGAAACGTCATTTTGAACGATTTAATACTATAGGCTTAAGAAATTTAATTTTTTTTATAAAGCCTATTAATTATAAGATTTTTCTAATACAAAACATCTTTACATGTTGTAGTAGACATCATGAAATTGTGCTCACAATAATGAATGATATTTACTTCATTTCAACATAGCATGCAATCGTGTTATGTACATTTGAACATGTTTTCTTTACTTTTTCATAGTTTGGCAATGTTTTTACTCTATCATTTTAGAAAATCTTTGTTTTGCGTATCAAATGTCACATTTTAAGGCGATGTAAGACTAATTAGTGCTTAAATATTTAGGCATTTATGTACGATATATTATAGTACTTCTTTATAAAGATACATTAATGTAGAGCCGGCTGAGTTTGAGGTCTTACTTTTTTCATAAGACAGAGAAGGGGGGGGGGGATAAGGGTAATGAGGGTAGAAGAAGGCCTAACTTTAAAAAAAAAGCAAGGGAAAACATTTTTTTTTCAAAATTAGCATCGCCATAACCTTAAAACGTCATTTTATAGCTAAAAAACCTAGTACTTAAGAGTCATGAGGTTAGTCATGGCTAACTCAAGGAATTAAGAACAGTAAATGTCATAGTAAGCTCATGCTAATCACAAAGTAAAAAGATTATTTGGCTACTTAGAACATTTCAAATGTACTCAAAACACTGCTTTATGTCTTGTTTTTTATGCGCCATAGTAATTGACTTATGCATCCGCGGAAAACATAAGACAAGTTATGTTTATGGGCAAAGTTACTTTTCGTATGTTTTTATATGTGGCATGGGTAAAATATTTGGAGGAGTATTATATGATAGAATAGAAAATAATAGAATAAAGTAAGATAGGATGCCGTGGGCTGGGGGGGGGGAATTAAAATAGATCAAGGATAAGGTGCAGTACAATAGAGAAAGATAGGGTAGGATGGGGCAAAGAAAGAGTAGGGTAGGATAGAGTAGAGTAAGATGTGGTAGGGTAAAGCATAATAAGGTAGCGCGCTATAGCGCAATGTAGGGTAGCGTAGGGTACTTTGCTTTACTAATATATATATGTAACATAGCCTAATATATTGCACTTACCTCTCCATGCCACTTCTCTTTTGCATACACACACTTTTGACACAATCTCCCAATATACCACTATCTCGTTTCCGTCGTATTCTCAGTCGATTCTTCAGTCGATCGCTCTGATAGGCATTCATCAACCTTTTGACATACTTTTCTTGACTAATCACATCTCTGAAGCGTCGTTTGAATACCATCAAAGGTACCGTAGTATGTTTTGTTGGTATACCATGTTGGGTTGGTATGTTGTGTAGATTTTTGACTATATCTGATACTGTTTGGACACAAAGTGAAGTCATTTGAGCATTTATAGATGTAGTGATGGTTATGATAGTTGGTAGTAGGATGAGGTGCATGTTAATGGAGATAGTATAGGTATAGGGATATTGTGATAGGTAGGGCCATAGATTGTAGTATGTTGTTGAAATATGGTTGACTGTAGTAAAAAGTGGTTGTGTGGTTCTGTAAAAGCACGAATACTGTAATATTTGCCGTAGGCGTTTGGCTCAAAAATGCAAATTTTTCAAATTAAAATTTTTGAAATTTAAAAATATTTTTTAAAATAAAAAAAATCATAGTAAGGTTAAACCCGAACCGACCCAAAAAATTATTTTAGGTAACAAATATGAAGGTTATATTGAGAAATAACTCATAAGGTAACAATGTTGTCTATAGTATACTAATAGCACTTGAAGTATGTTAACTACCTTCTATTGTTGCGTAATGTTTGTTTTTATTCGAATACTTTCGTTTTGTGCCCTCAGGCGTTTAAGGAAACAAGAAACACGGAAGCATCTGTTTTACCGGAAAGTTTATAATGTTGTTATAGGCTTGGTATAATTATAATTGTAAACATTACCATATTAGCAAAATTCATGGTTTATGAGCAATATAGTGCACTTGACTTTACTGTATGTATATTATTCATAACTTTACAGTATATTTTACAGTATATATATGGAGGAAAACAAATTGTGATTAGACTATTACATTCAAAACACACCGATTATACTATGATTAAATTGTCGATAGTACAAAAGTGTGTGGGACGGTACTTGCTGTTGTTTTTTGGTAGTAATAATTGTAAAAAAAACAAACAAAAGTTAAGCTTTTACATAAAATTATCTATTTTTTAGTTACTAAATAAAGTTAGTAACTGTTTTTCTATCTTACCGTAGAATCGATGTATACAGAGAGTGTTTTTTACAGTTCCCTGCCTTGCCTGGTTTTAGGGCGCTCAAAAAAACTGGTTAAATGCGTGTAAATGTGCTGTGTTGATGATGCCCGTCATGGTACGATTTGGCGTAGGCTTTTTAGCGCTTAGCTTTGTTTTCGACTGGTACTGCTAACAACAAAAGTTCAATAAAATTTGAAATTTAGTTTAAACTTTCAAAAATATAGCAACGTTTGTTATGTTCAGACTTGTGTACGTGTCTGATCTGTTTGGCTTTTACATGACTTATTTTTTATTAATTGCTTTTCTTAGTTTCTTGTTACAAGTATTAATATTTAAGAACAGACAAGACAAATATACTTCCTTTACTTCTCAACCAGGTGTTGGGGAGAGAGGGAGACGAAGGGGGTAACCCTGCAAAATTTTTTTCTCCAAAAGATTGAACGTATGTTGACGTTGATTTTCAAAAATTAAATTTAAAAAAATTATTTGTTTCTATTAGCTGTGTAGTCACAAGATACATAACCACTAACTATTCACACTGTAAAAACGTTTGCTTTGATGCTGAGCAGTAGCATTAGCTTAGGTAAGATAACTGTTTTCTAGACTGATTATTGGCAATTAGACAGTCTGTCTTATTCATTGGTCAGATTAAACTTTGTTTTTTGTTAATTTATTCGCTGGGGAACTTTAACGCAACAATTTACCTTACTTTAGACAAGAGATGGTTCTGTAATTAATGTCATTTGTCTGATGAGCTCTGTAGTAATTACAGTAGTGTGTTTAGAGCATTACAATAGTGTTTCTAGTGGTTACTATGGTTTGTGTTATCATACTGAAATGGTAAAAAGAATTGTCGTTTTTCAGTTGTAAAGCATAAATTGGCAACATACTTTTTTTGACATTTTTAATGCTATAGATTACTGTAATGTGACATTTGTTTGACGTTGTACTAATAACACCTTATTCTCAAGCTTTTTATTTTATAGTATAGATAACAAACGGGAATATTAGTTAATGTTAATAGTTAACTAGAATAACCTGTAGTATATATGACAACATATATATAATTCTATTATATATAACATCATATATGTAATAATAACGGGTTTTAGTACTGAAGTGTGTCCGACTATTTATTGATACCTGGATGAGATATAACAAACCATGTTTTTAGGGTAGGGTAGAGCGTAAAAAATTAAATGTAGGGGAATTTCCTTTGTGTTTAACATAGATTTCTAAAGTACAGTAACATAAATTAGCAAAAAACACTGACATATGTCATAGCGGATGTCAGTTTTTTGAAGATTAAAAATATACCTTTCAAAATGTAAATTTTACACGTCGAAATGGTAATTAGGTAACATTTGGCTGGGGAAAAAGTGTAAATTACTTGGAATGGACGTAACGTTACTCTACGAACACTAAAACGGAACATTGTCTTTATTCATATTGAACTTGCTTTGTTATTTAGTGGCATACGTCATTTTAGGTTAACATACCTAAAATGACATTTTAAAATATAATTTTTTAAAAACTATTTTTATTTTGAGAATCTATTAGGTTTATCACTTAATTCTGCGCCTCTTCTCAAAGTTAATTTGTGGTATACGGGGGCGCAAAATTATATGAACAACCTAATATGTTGTTATAGTAAAAATGGCTGTGAATAGACTTGAACAGCAGTACATTATAATGTATATAGTCTTTACTACAAGTTGTGTAGAACGTTTTCCCTCGATGACATGTCTAGTACGTGCAATTTACATGACTTTGTCAGCATTACCACAGTAAAACCAGCTGGGGTTTACATAAAACGTAAACACTTATTTGACTTTCACTTCCTTTTTAAGGTTTTTTGAAGTTATTCATTGTTTTTGAGTGTAGGCTTACTATCTACTTTTATTTATATTGCGATCAGTACTGAGAACGGTTAATTTAGATTTGAGGAGGAGGGTAGAGTAAAAAACGCTTTTTTTAAATTGTAGATTTTTTTCAATTTTTTTGGAGATTTGACTAGTAACAAGATTGAACTGGGCTCAATTTTTTGGTTCGGCTTACAAGCCAGGTCTTGTTTTGGGTCTCGGCCCTCTGAATTACATCGTATTTTTCTGGCCTGATTTATTGCTTGCCCGAACTTATAAAAGACTCGAGATCTGCTCTTAATAGATGTTAACATTGAAATTTATCAAAAACCATGTTGATATTCACAATACCAAAACTTAAAACTATAATATTTTTGACCCATCATACTTTGTTTTACCATAATGTAACGAGATATTATTAATACTGTACTGTAGCGACATGTCATTAACAAATTAATATTATTGATTACCGCACTTAATTAACTGTAAGTTGATGAACAGTTATCGTCCGTTTACAGTTGTTGTCACACTTACTCAGCCTTTGACTTTGTTGCCGAGACAACCGCCGGCCGTTACTCGAACTGTAACTATGTAGTAGATTTGTCATTTCACTCTGTAATTATAGTTTTTGTCTTTGCTTGCCACTTTCGAACTTTTATTTCCGCTTGGGTATTTGTGTATTATGGTGCTGTGGGTCTATCATAACACACAACTATGTTCGTAGGGTTATATTTTGGATTTACTTAAGTTTACAAAAGAAGGGGGGGGGAGGGTTATGATAATTTTGTGTCTTTAATTTGAAAAACGTGTTATGTTATTGAAGTTGGTGTTTAAACGTAAAGAGTGCAGTACAATTACCTCTTTTATAAATTTTACTATGTACCTTTTTATATGTGGAATCTTCAATATTTTTTGTAAAATACGGCTTTTGGTTGAAAAGTTCCAAATATTTTTTGCCATATTTACTTGAAAATTATCAAAACTTTAAAAAAAATTATTTAGTTGTTCAAATAATTCTGTGCCTTCTAACTTCAAAAATAAGCTGTGAGAGGAGGCAAAGAATTATTTGTGTGATTCTAAGGGTCAGTAGTCAGAAACCGGTTTGGTCAAAAATTATGTAGTTGAGGTAAAGTGTACGGGGCATGGCAATACACAGGGCATTAGACTTTGAAGGGGTGCATATTTGAGTTTGTGATTTTACTGGTAAATCGATTTTTTTGTGAAAAAAACCAGAGGCCTACATATACGATCTACATTAAGTTTTTGGTTGCTTTTATCATTTTCAGGCTGGGGTAAAAATGTCAAAATTTTTTTTTGATTTTTTGGTTTTTCTGTTAATTTTCAAAATATTTGCTAGTGCGTCAGGCTTTAGTCAACTATTTTTACTGTAACAAATTATATAGTGGTTCACTATGACTTTTTATTTACAGTGTATAGCCATTTTTGTTGGACACCTATTAATTAGAGGCAATAAACCGAAATGACTTCTATTTTCTTACTCCAATTACACTGTGTAATGCATTAAAGTTCTACTTATTGTACACGTATTACACTTCTTATTTATTCATTTTGTTGTAGTATGTCGATGTCATAGCTTTTACTTTATGACATGTTGAGACTTTTGTGGTATATCACTGGCATGATTGTTTACTTTGTAACATTAACCATATAAACTATGTTTATACGATTATATTAATTTGCATATCTTAAATTGCTATATAATAGTTTTAGTGCAGGTTTATATCTTCTGTATTTGTCGTACCTTTTTTAATTTTTTTTGATATTATAATTATATGGGTCTTATTGCATAGTAAACAACTGTAGTACGTCAATCGGTTCTGCACTTCAAGCTCTAGTATGCCACTCGTTAAAAAAAGCTTTTAAAATGTAATTTTACTGTGATTTAGTTGCCTACAATGGAAGTGAACTGCATTTGAAAATGGGTTTAATTGTTAGTGATTATTACTAGCTTTAAGGACATTGTAGTATCTAGACAAATTGTTATGTTGCCGTTTATAATTTTGTCAATGAAGTGGAAAGGAGGATGAGGGAAGTAGGGGAGGTAGGGGGTGGGGGCTGTAGGGGAGATAGGGGGTGGGGAATACAATTTTTTAATACTTCTTATCGCTTCCGGCCTAAAATCATTTGTTATGATGAAGCAAACAACATGTTGCTCAATTTACAGTGGCTATGACAACCTTTCTATTACTCAAACATAACTTTTCTGATTTACAACTGAACTAAAGTAAGGTGTCATTGCTATGTATTAGGTTGTTCATATAACTCTGTGCTTTATATTTTCAAAAATTTGCATTAAGATGGGCACAAAACTAATTGAACAACTTAATATTTTAAAGCTACGTATATAGATAGTAGAGAGTTCTTGTATACATAGTTAGTAAAGGGGTTTTTAGTAACATCTACTACATTACAAATAACATTGTTTTTTGTTTTAAGTATACGCTATAAAATGGCATTACCATTAAGCTTGTTTATAGCTAATTTTCTTATTTTGCTTTTTGAGTACGTCATACTATGTTAAAAGCCATCTAAATCTAGACTAGACTAATAGTATTAACATAGTTTTTTGTTTTTTAGTAGTTTTTGAACTTTAAAACTATTTTTTTCAAATTTAAGTTTTTTTTAAATATTTTTTTTATTTTAAATTTTGATTTAAAAAATTGATTTTAGTGGCATTGTTGCATTAAGATTGGTAATAAACTCTATTTAATGTATTTCGATAGTGTTTTATGTTTACATTTGGACTGTTTACACAAAGATTTAATTAAACTGACGCCGTGCCATTAAAGCTAGCCGTTTCGGACGTTAAAGGTTAGTCTTCCTACTGTACGTACGTGATAGTTTTGTGGCAGTATTAGATTGTTTTTATACGTGATAAAGAAAGGCATTTAGTATATTGACATTTCTATGTTACGTGAGTTTTTGTATATTATTACTTTGGTAGTATCTATTGGTTTGTCATGCTATAAAATGGATTAGAGTAGGGTAGGGTAGGGGTCTTTTTCACAGTATTTTTTCTATTTAGTTCCTACTTTTTACGTCGTTAGCTTTGTTCACATCTTAAATATAATATTTGCATGTTCATGCTAAATAAGCTGGTCGAGTATCTACTTAAAGATATGTAAAGTCTTAATGAATAGTAGTATGAGTATGATGTATTATAGGTATGACATTTGCAAAGTCTTAATGTATTATAGGTATGGAACCTTCAAAGTGTTAATGTAGTAAAGGTATGATATGTAGTATGTGTATGACACCTTCAAATGTATCATACGCTCACATTTCGTTCTTGGAATAACAAAACAGAAAACAAACTTAATTGTAGTTGGAAGTTATTTACTTTACTTATTTGGAAGTTATTAAAATTTGTTTTTTGAATGAAATTCGTTGCGTTTTTTAAATATTTATAAAATTGGCACAAGTAGTAACTGTACCATTTTTTAGAAACTTTTTTTTTGAAAACCAATGAGGGGAGAGTGTTTAACATTTTTGAAAAAAAAATCTTGCGGAGAGGATAGACCTGAAAGGGAGCCCACGCTTTGGCTCAGTTATGTCTCGAGCCTTCTTGGTGTATATGAAGTATATAAACCTAACGTGAGCAGATCTGAAAGGAACCGGACCAAAAAATTGGGCTCAATTTCTTTGATAGCCTGGTTTAGGGAGGGGGGAGTAATAGAATTTAATTTTTATAAATTAAAACAAAGACCTTCCCTTTAACGAAAGTCTTTCATAACGAACAGCTTTTAAATTTCCAAGCGATTCTATTTGTTATACATGTGTTCTACTGTATCTTTTATTTATACGTAACTGCTTACATTTTAAAATGTCACATATACGTTTATTCTTAAAAATGTCACATCTATATCGTCTAACACATCACATAAAATTCCAAAAATCCACAAATTTTCTTAATTTTTTTACCTAAACCTCTATTCAATGCCAATTTCCAATAGTTACTTTAGACACAACTTATGAAACATTTCTTGAGACATCTTTTGTTTGTCATATTCTATGGTCTATTTCCTCGAATTCAGAATCCAAAAAACATTTTTGAAAAGTTTTTGCAACAACCGGCTGGCAGTAATTAGCTACCATTGGTACCAGGTTTTTAATTCTGAAAAGGGCATATTTACATAACAACATGCACTATTATACATGGTAATGTACATGGCTGTTAAGGTATGCTTATACAATGTTGTTAAAGTATTTAAAGTGTATGGAGAGTTGTTTAGGTATACGGACACACGATTATTATTGTTGTACGTACACAGAAAGGCTAGGTAGGCTTGAATTAAAGTCCACTCGGCTTGGCCTGGCCTTTAGAAAATTTGAAAGGGCCGAGGTAGGTTGAGGTAGGGTTATGTTAATGTACCTGTGTATGTGTCTTGGGCAGGGTATTTTTGGGGTTTTAAAAGATTTTTTGAATTTTCAAATAATTCTGTGCTCTCTAACTTCAAAAATTTGCTTTGAGGTGGCTCAGAATTATTTGAACAACCTAATACTACACTTATATTGTAATAGTATATTTACAGTTATATAACTATATGTATAACATCATTGTAACTTTTCTTAGAATTATTTTACCAATCTAATATAATATTACTCTTCTAACCCTAAAATATTTACATTACTTTTGCAAAACCTTTACTTTAATATACACAAGATACGACGTCAATATGTTGCCATTTTAATATTTTATTTACTTTTTATGTGTTTACCGTGTTATGCAAAGTTAAATTCATGTTCGCTGGCTTGTAATCGTATTCGGGTTTAACTGTAGTAAGTTACAGGTGAAAAACAAGGTAACGTACACAATATTGTGTAGTTTTGGCTTATATTTTGGTGTATTTTTACATTTTTAACCTTGTATTTGTGTCGTGTTTTGAATTTTTTACAATTTTAGGTATTAATTTTCAAATTGTTATTGTTCTAAATGGGCTAAATGACACATCTTATGCATATCTATAACATTTTTGATTTACTCTTAATTTTACTGTAACAAGTAGCTCAATTTTTTACTTTTGCTTCATCACCTATTCACCTTATACCTAAAATATCAAATCTTTACTTCAAATCCTCAATATCAACTTAAAATAACGTAATTTCTCTGAAATACCTTAATATCTACCTCATTTTGGACTAACATCAAGAATAATATCGTGCATGTATGTAAAACAAAATCGTGCTACCTTCCGCGTATTAATTTGCGCCATTCATCGTACATACCTTGACACATAACATGTTTACAGATTCGGCCGTGATGACAAGTTTGGAGTAGGGATCTGAAGAACGTTCACATTGCAGAACGATGGGTTTGTGTCACAGCGAAGAGGAGAAGCAGGGCCTGTCCGTGAGCAAACAAATCGACAAAAAACTCAAGGATTCGTACGCCAAGGAGGAGCGTGTCATCAAGTTGTTGTTGTTGGGTGAGTTGTTATCAGGTGTAGATTTAATACTATATAATACTATGTAGTGCTATATACAAAAAACCCATTTTTTGAGTTTTTGTTTATTTTAGTGTTCTGCACAAACATTGGTTTTTTCAATTTTAAAATTCAGTACTATTCAGTATTACACAAAATTATGAAATTTAGTACTATTCAGTATTACACAAAATTATGAAATTTAGTACTATTCAGTACCTCTCATCACTAATAAAATTATTTTAGGTGCTGGAGAATGCGGGAAATCAACGTTAATGAAGCAGATGCGGATTCTGCACAGTTCCGGCTTTTCGGCGGACGAAATGAATCAGCAACGAGCAGTTGTCTACAGTAATACCGTGCACGCCATGCACGATCTTATCAAAGCCATGCCCAGGTACAAACTCACGTTGGATGCGAGTCGACAGGTAGGGAATGGCTATGTTAGCTTTATTATTTTTAGTTTTACAAAAATTTTAATTTTTTTTTGTAAATAGGGTGATCAGAAAAGTCTTGGCGCGAATTTCTTCTCAATTTCACGTGCAAAAGCGACAAGACTTTTCTGACGCTTTGGCCCTTATTAAATTTACTTTGAACGAGACTAGTGGATACCTTTTTCGGATCTCTTCATGATAATTCGGTTACAAAAGCTTAGTTCGAAATCTTAAACTTCATTTTTTTGCACTTTTAGTTTTTCACCAGGCTTTACCACCTGTAGTTAATATATTTTTTGTTTTTTCAATTAAAATTTTAATTTTGTTGTTTGTCATTGAATATGTATTTACTGTTTAAAGTTGAAGGACGTGTCTTTTCGAAGATATTCGTAAATTGATTAGTAATTCTATGATAAAATGGCCTAATTCAAAAAATTCAAAACATTTAAAAAGAAAATAAGTTGTTGTGCTTACAGGACGACGCCCAACTAATAATGGAAGTGATAAAGGCTGGCGATGAGATGGAACCCTTCAGTCCTCAGCTTGCCCTAGCTCTAAAGCGCTTATGGAGTGACCCAGTAATACATGACAAAACATATTCACAACGATTGGACTTTCATCTACACGAGTCAGCCAAACAGTAGGTTTTAAAGGTTTATCTTTAGGTAACAACTTTTAAAATTATGTGAAAAATTTGAAAAAGTGTTTTTATAATACTATATATTATTGTTTTTCTAATAATTGTGCGCCTCCTTTGTAAAGAGAATGTTTGTGGTTAGGGGCGCAGAATTACTTGAACAGAATAATTTTGTATTTTTAGTAGTAATAACGTATCATGGTTGTTCTTTAAAAGTCTTGACGTCAACTTTGCTTTGTTTTATTTTGCTTCAATTTTTTACTTAACAAGGAAAGTACCCAACCTGCAACTTTCAGAATTAGCTAAAAATTTTAATACAGATTCTTTGTAGTACCAGTAGCACATATAAAAAATCTTAGCTTGCGGTTTTAAGTTTTAAAATTAATATATTTAAATTTCCCGCTAATTTGGCAAATTTGGCATTCTGTTGCAAGCACTTTTTTTGATGTTTCAGACAAGATAGGCTTACAAATTTAAAACTGCAGGTTCATATGAAGCTTTTCTATCATTATATTAAAGAAAACTAGTTAAAAGTCAAAAATGACAAAGTTAAAAGCTTGAAACACTATGCCAATTTGGCAGGAAATTCAAAACGCAATTTTTTGATCTTGATTTTCTCAAGACTGTCCGCAAACCGCAACTTAGAATTTTGCATATGATCTTACAGTTAAATGATCTTTCAATAAAATAAATTTGAACGAAATCTGAGCGTTGCAGGTCGGGTATCTTCCTTGTTAATATTAAACTAGAGAAACAAAGAAAAACCCTCTCTCACTTTCGAAAGAACCCAACCAAAAATAAAGCCTAGTTTTAATAAATACCATCGCTCTATAACCTTTCTTCGGACTTGATAGTTCCAAAAAAGGTTGGTAACTAACCCAGCTCACTTAGCAGTGTGGCTGAACTGAAAATTTTGGAATGTCTAGCTAGTGCTGGGCTTATAAATTGTATTGTTATTGAATACAAGTCTCTAAAAATTTTTTTAAATTAATTAAAGTTGGCAAGGTACTTTAAATCCAATGCTTTTCTAAACAGAGCAGGGGTAATCTCATTAAGCTTGTGATATGACTGCTAACTAGATCTGAAAGGAAGCCTGCTAGCCCTGGCTCAGCTTCAGATCTTGCAAAGCAGATTTGAAAGAAGTCGACTGGACAATTGGGTCCGGACCGTTTAAAGGTATACCGCTAACTTTACAAACGCCAACTGGGATAGTAATTAAGGATTTATAAGTCTAGAATTAGCAAGACATTCCAAAATTTTTAGTCCAGCCACACTGAAAAGCGAGCTGAATTAGTTACCAACCTTCTTTGGAACTAGTAAGTTCAAAGAAAGATAATCAAGCAAAGATATTTATAAAAACAAGGCTTTCTTTTTGATTGGGTTTCTTCAAAAGTTAGAGAGCGTTTCTTTGCTTCTCTGGTAAAGAGAAAAGAGTGAGTTTCGTATTATTTTTTATCAAATCAATACTTTTACTTTATTATTGTTTCTTCATAATTATAAGAATTGTAAAATACGGTAAGCGAACTTTTAAAAAAAAATAATAGTACATTTAGTACCAATAAATTAATATTTTTAGTTTCTTGGACAATCTCGATCGACTAGCCAATCCGAATTACGTTCCAAACGAACAGGACATTCTACTCACAAGAATCAAGACTACGGGTATCGTGGAAGTCCAGTTCAATATCAAAAATGTTGAGTTTAGGTAAGTTATTATTACCTATTATTATACTAGGGTCTGGCCAAGTCGAATATTTTGGTCAGGATGGGGGAGGGGCAGAGACGTTTGTGCTGTTGGGAAGGTGCTATACTAGTGCTGATAGGATGGTGCTATATAAGTACTGGTGGGAAGATGCGATACTATCTTGTTTCAAAATATTGCTTTGTATTCTAATTTTGTTTTTACAGAGTATTTGACGTCGGAGGTCAGCGATCGGAGCGGAAAAAGTGGATTCATTGTTTTGAAAATGTAAATGCGGTTATATTCGTATGTGCTGTTAGTGAGTACGACGAGGTGCTATTTGAGGATGAATCAACGGTAAGTTTTGTGTAATGTCATTGCACTTTATATACTTTATACTTTTTGGTATTTTTATTGAAATTTAGTTTGAAAACCTAAGACTTATTATAGTTTTAAGTTAATATAGCCTAAAGTTTATAGTATAGTAGATCTTTTTTTGTTAAGGCTCTTATGTTCATGTTAATGATTAATTTTTTATCTTTGAACTACATCCTATCATGTAACTGACGTTATGTTTCAGAATCGAATAATAGAATCCATGAGGTTGTTTGAATCAGTATGTAACTCACGATGGTTCATCAACACATCTATGATATTGTTCTTGAATAAAAAAGATTTGTTTGCCGAGAAAATACAAAATATCTCTATACGATCTGCCTTTCCTGACTATAAAGGTGAGTACAATACTTTTTGTAAATATTAAGTTATATAGCTTATCTTGATTATTGTTTTTAAACTTAATTTTCATTAATTATTAAAATATATTGTTACCTAAATTTACATTTTTTAAGAGCGGTTTCAACTTTATATCTACATTAACTTTTATACAAACTTTTACTCATTCCAGGACCCCAAACATATGACGATTGTATATCATTCATAAGGTCAAAGTTCGAAGCCTTAAACTCGAATCCACGCAAAACAGTCTACGTTCATCAAACATGTGCTACAGACACGAATCAAGTTCAGCTGATTCTGGATTCAGTGATCTCTATGATAATTCAATCCAACTTACACAAGTCTGGACTGTACTAACGCGGACGGAGGGTACTGTTGTATGTATGTGGATAGATGGTACTGATGTATGTATGACAGTCTGGATGGTACTATCGCGAACAGATGGTACTTTTGTATCTACAACATGTATTTATACGTACTGATGTGGACTACACACGCCAGTACTGTTAAAGTAATGTTGCAAAGCCAAGGCTATGTGTCAAAACTAACTTATTACACCTCTTTATTATTACGTTTGTTTACTGTGAAGTGCTATCATTGTATTTAAATTACTGTAAAGTTGTATAATTACTACTTAGCTATGTAATAACAATAATAAGTTTGAATAAAGTTTTAAAAATTGTTTTAGTTTTGGCGTATGGGTATGTTGATATGATATCAAGCTTTATTGTCTTATTTATGATAGTAGCTTTTATTTTTTAAGTATTTTTTTACTTTATATAGTAGTTTACAGTAACTCAATTTGATTTTTAAACATACAGTAACCCAACTTTAATTTTTGAATTTACAGTAACCCCAATTTGATATTAGAACTTACAGTAACGAAGATTTTATGTTGGAACTTACAGTAACCCCAATTCAATTTTTGAACTTACAGTAATCCTAAGCATATTGTTATTGATATTTTGCTATAAAAGGTCAATCCAAATGTGCGTAACACCTGGCTACGCGGCTACCTGCTGATATTGTAGGAAAGTAATAGAATCGTGATGGGAATTAAATTAAGTGTCACTTACGTCATCAATTAGGGCTCATCCTAGGCCATCCTTCAATGGGAAAGTTTAATCGTTTTGAATGTTAGAAACTTTTGGCTTATATATATATTGTTTACAAGTCAAAAACAAGTAAACTGTAATTGAAAAAAAAAGTTTTTTTCAGTGTTAGCCGGGTAACCCTGGTCAAAAAAAAATATTTTTTGTTTCTACATTTTTCGTGGCATTTTAAAATAAAAAAAATTTGGGTACAGAGCCAATATTATTATTAGTTCAACTTATCAGTCAAACATTCCAAAATTAGTAATTTCTAGCCACTTTTAAGAGCCAGAACCACAAGCTAACCTTGTTTGTGGATATTAATCCTATAGATATGATGATGCTCTAAAAGATATTGAAAGTGTTCGTTACCTTTTGACTAGGTTTGGTTTTCTCTGACTATCTTACGCTTCCTTTATGCGACACACTCTCTAGTTACAACAAGTTTTCCTGTCTTTCTTTCGCACTCTGTGCTGTATTGTATCTCTTATTTTACCTACGAAATATAATATAAACATAGACACTAGCTTACTTTTATTAAAGTAAAAAGTACTTGTACTGTGAACGCTATAAGGTTTTATTTTAACAAAATTCTAAATGATATACGATATACGCGATATACAATGACTAAAATTTTTTATTGTTTTAAACTATTTTTGTGAAACGGTCTTTTTTTTATCATATTACTGTTTTGCTTTGTCGTTCAACTTTTTTATCGTTTATGCCAAAAATGTAATACTATGTAGAACGCTATTACAATAAGCCAAAAAACTAGGTTCTAAGTAGATCCCCTTGTAGCTACAACTCCGTTTCTAAGTAGGTATGCTTGTAGCAACAACCGTTGTGTTTGTTTAATCCGGTTAAGTTGATTTTGTCTTTTGTGTTAGTATGTTATACCGCGCGCCGGAAGCTTCCTTCTATCCAACATGAAAGGTGTTATACATTGCGCATTAAAGAGTAAAGATGGCCGAGAGATACGAGGTATTAACCTGTTAAACGGAAGGAAGTTGCAGGAAAGTGGCAGAATTAGGGCCACGGAATAATTACAGCAAATTTGTTAATTAGGTAAGAGTATAGGTACTATTAAATTTAAAAAATTATTTTAAACTTTATTGTAGCCATATATAACATGTAAAAAATGTATATCAGTAAGAGTCGTATATCAGCTTACTATAAAATCATAAAAATTGACTTTAAGTCTCAATTTAACCTTAAATATGCAAATATTACCATGCCAAATATTTGTTGTCAATTTGAGCCCCAACCGTGCCGATCCAGCCATTTCTTTCGATTGTCTCGACTCTCGAGAGCCTTTGATTGGGCCGACAGTCAGGCCACGGCCCGATTTGTTACGCAATTCACAAGTGGCTACTCGAGTAAGCGTGGCCATTGATGGGAAGGTGAGTAGATGTCAGTTTAGTATGTCACAATATCTATTGGACTAAAAATTAGTGGATTGACGAGTCAAAAGGTAGGGTAACATCTTGTAGCTAAATTTACTACAGTATGAGGTTTTTCAATTAATAATCGGCCCATTTCAAAACTAATTTTTGATATCAAGGGGCACATAATTATTTTAACAGCCTAATACTTCCAAATTTTTTTTAACAAGTCAACTTTGTTAGAGCCAGGCAAGGGAAAAAAAAGGGAAATGAGTATCTACATTACCCTATTCAGGTAAGCAACCTATCTTCTTCCTCCAGAATTCGACCCCCCCCTCTCCCCAATACAAGCTAAAATTCAAAAACACAAACACAAGTAATGTATGTTGTCAATAAATCCTTACAACATATGATTCATACAACAAAAATATGCAAATTAGGCTGAATTACAAGTTGCCCGGGTCAAATATTAACATATATTGGCTAATTGCTTCCACCTTAAGAGAAAATTGCGTAACCAAATCCAATATATTTACACCAACAACACAATCCACTTCCCATCGAGGGGTTATAAAAAGACTGGCAGGAACCAGTCGATTCCTTCTTGCACTTTTATTTTACTTTAAATTTCAAATCAGCAGCTTCCTGTAATGTAAACGTATACATAATATCATCTTTTTTAATGTAAACCTAAACATAACATTATTTTTTACTAATGTAAACCTATATTCAACATGATTTTTGGCGTTCAAGGAAGATTTATACATCATATTACTGCTCCCTTCCAATGTAAATTTACACATAATGCTTGTGCTTAATTCCAGCATGATCGTGCTATTTCATCGACAGCTTCATTTGGCATCAAACTTGTAGAAGGAAGCTGTTAAGCTCATATAAGTAGAAGTTGACTTTTATGCTTTACTCGCTTACTTTTCCATTTATTTTTGACAATAAAACTATTTTTTAATTTTTGTTATTTTTAAATGCTCAGCTAGCTGGGTTGGACGTATTTTACATTGTAATAATTTTTAAACTGTAAATTTATTTTTACTTTACTGTTTTTAGACATTTGATATAAAACATTATTTGCTCTTTAGTTCTGTATTACTAATATAAAGACTTGTAGAACCTACTATATGTGTTCACTATAACAAGATATTTATGGTTGATATGACAAGTCTTTCTTTTCAATTGCTATTTTTACCATACTTCAAACTTTTGTAAAATAAAACAGTATAATAGTTTTTTAATTTAATTAACTTTTTCTAATAATTTTTTTATAACAGGTCTTTCTTTTCTTGTAACTAGTTTACCAGAAAATCTCAATTTTTTCTTTTTTTAAAGTTTTTTTAGCTATGCTTTCATACACTCAACCTATACTTTTGTTAACGGCAATGTTGACCAAATATATATCCTTAACATAACCGTAAGATATCCTTAACACGCTCTTCGGCTTCAAGTGCAGTTACGTTTCAAAGGAGCGTGGATCACTTGAGCCATGCCTAAAGACACCTTGTTTTCGATGCCAAAACATAAGATTCCTTTATGACAAATGTGCTGGTCTTCTAGGAATCAGTGTTATGTTACAGTATCTTACAAATTTTTCTATGACAGGCCTAAAATACGACAAAAATTGCAGTTTTAGTAAGATTTATGATTAAAATGACATTTTTTAGTTCTAAAGTCATACTGAGTAGTCCTGACTATGATATTGAAAATCTAAAGGTTGGATCAGAAGTAGTGGGACAACTTTTAGTTGAAAAATAAGAGAAAATTGTCCCGCTACTTTTGATTCAATCTAATACAACGTATTTTACCTTTTCGTTCTCTAAACCCCCAAAAAGTTTTGACACAATATAATTTATGCAAATGCAAATTCTCATATTGTGCACCTGATTATAAGGTTAAATCCACTTAAAATGTACAACGGATTTGAGCGAATCGGTCGATAAAATTGGTCGCTCAAGTGCGAGAATAAAGAGCGAGCATCATGAAACATCTGCATATTTAGAGAGTTACTGTAGTTTTTTTGTATTTTCGTTTTTAGATCTCTTAGTACTATTGATTTAATAGTTGTTATAGTACAGTAATCTACAGTAAGCTTTTATTATAAGTAACTTTAAAAAGTATTGTCTTGTCTATAAAAATTTTTGATTAAATTCAGACAACTAGTGTGAGTTACTAAGGTAAAATACGACTTTAACGATAGCGAACCGTATAACAAGACAACCATAACTAGACTACAATGTACCAAAAGTACCAAAGCAAACATCCTTACTGTAACTTCTTACCTCAAGCTCATAAATATTCCATTTCAATGCTATATCCCCCCCCCCCCTCCAAAATTTCCTAGAAATATTCCGGCAACTGATTGCGCAACCCACCCTCCGCCCCATCCCATCCCTGCACGCCGATTGGCTGAAGCGTTGGCTAGCCGGAATACCTCTATTCATTCGTGCTGCACACTTGAAGTGAAGAGCGTTTCGAAGATGATATCATGGGCTCACTAATGTACTGTTAATGCATGTTTAACTTGAACTTTTAAGTCTACTTACAACTGTTAAGTGTGGTATTGTTAAGGTTAAGAGTGAGGTTTTGTTTACTTTTGTGTTTTTTTGTTGTTTTTGTGGATTCGTTTCTTTTTATTACATTTTTGTTTTACTTTTTTTATATTTTTGGGTAATATTAACTTTTTAAATTCTATTTATAGTCTAGTCCCTCTGTGACACAAAGTGTCACAGTCGATAAGTGACTCCATCTTCCTGATTTTGCCAGTTTAAGATAAAAGTAATTTTTTTTTATTTTGTGTGAAAAGGTTTAACGTCCTCCTGTTTCACCTTTAAGTTTTTTTTAACGTTTCTTTCCCTCTCTCTGCAATAGAATTTGTTGTCTATAACAAAAGTTTTTTAATCAAGAAAAGACAAACGTAAAGTATTGAACCTAGTATTTAGAATATTCAATACTTTGGTGCCTTGTAAGTTAAGTTACATTAAAAGTACCAATATGAGTTTAAGTCAGCAAAAATTTTGTTTTTGCCATTGCTTTTTACACTTGTTGACATAGTATAAGTCTCAGTTGCAGTTCTGATACACTACTTTTGGCTTTCTCTTGTTATACAATAAAATCTCCTTAGTATGCCTCTCAATAGGGCGACATTTTTATTATAATGACAGCTTTTTGGCCGCTTTTTGTAATGGAATTACTATTAAAAAGTACCTGGACAGTATGGCGCTCTGGTTATAAGGACAGGTTTAGACCAGTTCAATGAGTGTCATGTTGAAGAGGTTTGACTGAACTTTGTTTGCGTGTAAATGGAACTTTTTATGAAATTATCCGCTTTAGGATTAAAAAAATTTAAATTATCTGGGGTTAAAGAATTTTCATCTTTTCCCACCCAGACTAAGATTGCTCTAACCATAGTAAATTTTTACTATTTTTTCAAATTTTCATAATCAAGCCTCATATTTGAATTTAAAATTTTATCACTGTATACCATTTACAATGTCATCACTACATACTATTAAAAATGTCATCACTATACCTCACCCACTGCCACCTTGCTTTCCCTCATGCTATTACACGAGTTCTCACGACCCGAGATGGCCCGATCTGTTCGCTTAATTAATTTTATTGTTTTCAGACCCCCTGCCGATGTATTTCAGCGACACCTTCCAGCCCTATTTCCAGCAGAGCGAGGCGTGTCCATCGACTGTGCCCACACCAACAACCATGACGAATACGGTGAATACAAGCTACATTAATGGGTTTGGAACGATGAATCCGCACTTTTTGAATGGGTACACGCCTGAGGGTTACTGTAAGTTATGGTTAGTAGTTTTTTTAGGGGGGGGGGGAGATAGGGTAATAAATAAATAGTAAAAGGAAGAAAATAGAGGTAGGGTGGGGTAAGATAGGTTAGAGTAAGGTAACACTACAAGCACCCCCTAAAACAACCTAATTTTAGTCGCCAACTTTCCCCAAGTACCACTACATCCAGTAAACCCCTTAAGTCCTGATTCTCCATACAATACATCTTCAAACTACACATCACCAGTCAGTATTGACCAAAAACGGCCAAAGAAGAAGAAGCCTCGGAATCTGTTCCAGAAATCTCAATTGGACGCCATGAATGAAGTCTTTAAGCGAGAAACAAATCCAAAAATGGAAACTTTGACACGCCTACAGGCGGTCACAAGATTGACCAAGAAACAGGTAAGAATGGTGTGATAAGTGATAAGTAGCCTACTGACAAGTTTTTACTAAAAACAGTTGAGGTAATTTACGGTAAGACAGGTTACGTAAGAATAAAGTTACAGTATAAATTTTCAGATAAAAATCTGGTTCCAAAACCGTCGTTACAAAGAAAAGAAAGGCCTGCAGGCAAAGACTTCAGCATCAGTATCACCAAGAGTTAAGGACGATGAAGAAGAGTTGCCAACCGTTTTCGACCAAAATATGAACTTCAACAACACGGCTGTCAATAACATGATGAATATGCAGCAGGACAACTTTTTTGTGAGTTTCATCTTTATAGGATTCTACGTATAGCACTCTTTTCTAGTATAACCAATGATACTATGATACTAAAAAGTATAGTACTATCTTAAAGTGGTACTGTAAGACAAATATGGTACTATAATATTTAGAAGTAGTACTAAAAATAGTACTCAACCGTAAATTTTTTTTTCTTTTTTCAGTAACAGTACTAGTACTATTACAGTACTATCAAGGTTTCAACATTGAATAAACTACTCAAAATATCATAACATACTATACCAGTACTGTCAACATTAATCGTTGCCATTTTCAGTACAACAACCATCAGTTTATGAACAACTGGACTCCACCTCCACAATCTACAGTATACCCACCTACCTTCCCTGCCTTTTACAATGGCTTCACGGAACCCACGCCAATGACAAATCAGTTCCAAAGTTCGCTTACGGATCAGTTGTAATGCCGCTTATCACATTCGTCTCAAAAGTCATACCTCGAAATTTAGTAGTACTAAGGTACAAGGTTAGTACTAACTTTACAGTAGAAAAAGTATCAAGTCGTATTTTAGCTCAAGTACTAATTCAGTACTAAAGTTACTCGTATTGCAACTCAAGTACTAGTTCAGTACTGTAATTACTCGTACTACTACTCAAACCCTAATTCAGTACTATAGTTACTCGTACTACAACATTTTTACAAATTCAACAGTTTCAAAAGAGATCCGGGTCATTCAAACTTAATTTATATTGTTTTACATATCTTTTACCTTTTTTATTTGTATTTTGTTAAATTTAAATTTTTTTAAATTTTAAAAAATAAATTTTTTCTCAAAAAAGTTGCCATTTTGCTACAAATCATGATTTTTTAAATTTAAAAGTTATTTATTAGATATTAATGTCAAAGTGATAGGTAACCCCAATAATGTGACAGTAAGGTGGTTACGCTTTGAGCAATTAACCTTATTATTGTTTGCTTAATCCGTGTAAGCCTATTTCCTCTTGTATCTGATTGATATACCGCGTGTCGAAAGCTTTGACACATCCGGCTAGCAAGGTGTTCTTCTTTGCGCATTAAAGAACAGGTATAGCCTTGAGCGATACTGGATTAGAAGGTGTAGCAAGAGCATGGTTAAGATTCGTCACTATATCCAAAAAAATTATGTTTAGGGGGTGATTTTAGGGCTTGGTAAAACGTATCCCATCTTATAAATCGTTGATATCATGTACTATTGATCCCAAAATCTATTACTACAAATATTTACTTTTTGTTACCAAAATCTTAAAAATCATCATTTACAACCTAAAATAACATTTTTCTCACTCCCCACGAAAACCGTTTAACCTTAAATATGCAAATATTACCATGTCAAATATTTGTTGTCAATTTGAGCCCCAACCGTGCCGATCCAGCCATTTCTTTCGATTGTCTCGACTCTCGAGAGCCTTTGATTGGGCCGACAGTCAGGCCACGGCCCGATTTGTTACGCAATTCACAAGTGGCTACTCGAGTCAGTGTGGCCATTGATGGGCAGGTGAGTTAGTGTCAGTCCGAAACGCTGCCAATATGTCACAATGTTTGGTGAAGGCTAATCGGGATTTCCGAGGATTTAAGGGCGATTTTATTGGCTTTATTTTTGTGAAAGTGGGGTACGGTAAACTCACTGTAACGTAAAAAATATCGTAAATTTCAAAAACTTGTTTTATCTCTTAGTTAGCTAAAAGAACAACCTACAAATACACAGAGTTTCACGTATATACCTAACCTTTAAAGTAAGTTATAACAAAAACTGTCACAAAACCCCTAAAAATAGGATTTGAAAAAATAGTCTGATTGTAAAATACGTCTAGTTAAATGATAATAATATTCAAATTTATTATTCCGAGATAGTTAAGTTAACAAATAATTTAAAACCGTCAACAACAATTCAAAAGATATAAAACAAGATCAATTTCTAACCATAAGTTGGAGGCTTCTCCAGTCGTTCAAAGTCAATTTCCTCAAACATAATGTTGCCTTCGGTGGATTCCTTGTCTTTTTTGGTCGATTGTAATGGAATTGGGACTTCTGGAGCTTTTTCTTCTTCTTTCTTTTCTTCTTCAACCTATAATAACATCAAAATTTGCTTTAATAAAGGCATTTTTCACAAAGAAAACTGTAAAATTCATCTAAAACTCTACATTATTCAATTTTTCATTTACTTTTTGACCGCAAATAGTATATCCTATAGCTTTTCTTATAAAAATCCAGCTTTTAGAACACAAAAACATTGTTTTATCCATCCAAAATATCAATGTAAATCTTAAAAACCTACCTCCATAACCTCAACCGTTTCGTCCTTTGCCATAGTAGCTTCGTACTTGCTTTGTAGCAGCTCCAGATTAGCCTTGTAGAATTCTGTGACAAAGTTAGCCATATGGACAGTATCCTTAATTTGAGTGATCCTTAGCCCCGGCTTCTCGTCAGCTTTTCTCGTGGTTTCATCAAATGATTCTGATGGGAATAGACATAGGTTGGTGGGGCGTTCTTCTAGCTAAAATATCATTGTTTGTTAAGTAAAAAGTAGCTTTATTGTTTGTATGAAAAACATAACTATGTTTTACATAATAAATTGAACATTTTCGTCAAAAAATGTGCCTAAAACATTAAGTCATCCTATATAAGCTTACTTTTCTAAAAACCGGCTGCAACTCCAAACATCGGTTGAACAACGTCTTTCTTCCCAAGATGTAAAGCCCCAATCTGGCACGAGACATGGCTACAACCAGACGTCTGATGTCTCTCAAATGACCAATGTTCCTCGTTCTAACCAATGACAATATCACGTAGTCGTTCTGTTGACCTTGATACTTGTCCACAGTCGAGATGATATGTGGCATTCCGAGTAGCGGGTTCTCTTTGCATCTTCTGTCAAATATATCGTACAACAGTGATCGTTGACCGTTGTAAGTCGTGAGAATAGTGATTTTATCAGCCGGATACCCCAATATCCTCATGTAAATGTAAAGTTGGGCAGCGTATTCGGCTTCTCCAAGATTCTGCAAAGAGTTTTGTTAGCTAGAACAACAAAACATATTTAAAAATAATCAAAAAAGCTTATTTTCAAATCAATACGAGCTAAACAGCCAATTTGTTACCTAAAAATTAAAAAACGCACTTAATGTGAAAATGCCATTTTAAACCCTATATCACAAAAAAACCCAAAAATACCTGATAAAAGTAAGCAGAAGGCGTAGTCTCTCCAGCTCCATTAAAGTCAGGTACATCAATGAACTGATACGTGAACTGGAAGCCAGGGTTACACTTGATGAACATGTCATGGTTAAGAACATGTGGTAGATTACCCAAGGTCTTATACCTCCAGTTATACAACTCTGCAATCTCTGGTCGAGCACGACCTTGAGCATCGAGCTGTACACTTGGTACTCCCAATCTGATGAACCTGGCGAACAAAGACTGCTCCATGTTACTATACTTCTGATAGGCTGGGTTCTGGACGACTGGAGGTAACTGGTGGTGGTCTCCAATCATGATCCATCGCTTCAGACGGTTGATTCCGTCGTTGGATTCTTGTAGCAGTAGAGGGATGAAGGTCTCGACTTCAAGGATTTGGGCCGACTCTTCCATCAAGATGTTATCATAGTGGAATCCTAGTTCGACCAGATCTTTGCGCTTTAATGCGGCGTGAGTACAGGTCATGGCGATAATCTTGGCTTCTCTGGTCAACAGGTAATCAGCTCTTTCTTTTCCTGAAGAAATTTCATGTAATGTGTGACTAAACCTTTAAATCTACCATAAATCTGCTATAACATCAAAAAGTCTCAAAAAATTGTATATCTTACCATTCCTCAGCAGCTCAAACGCCCTGAACTCGTCCAACTTCATAAATATTCTTCTGATAAACTCCCAACAAGCGTTCGCCTTTTCCAGATCCTCATCAAAGCTCTCGGCCTTAAACAACTCTTGTTCTCCTTCCACAAAATACTTTGTGAAGGGGAACTTGTTCTTGACAAAGTCTTTCTCCTTCTCCTTTACAGCCTCGATTTCCTCCAAAAAGTTCTCCCATGTTCTTGTTACAGTATACCTGAAGAAGTAGCCTGCATTTTCACATGAACTCTCGACCTCTCCTTGTTCGTTCAGTGACAATCTTAGTCTGGCTACCTGTTTTAGTAGTTTGACCCTTTCATTGAGAACGTAGTTGACTCTGCCATTTCTACTGAAATCCTTAGTAGTCTCTAGTTCTTCTTCACCATGACCTAAACGTAGTAGATGTCTTTCATCGATGTCTAATGCCATGATCTTCTCGAATAACTGGTTCAATGCCTGATTGGAGTGAGTGACAATCAGAGTTCGTTCTTCTGGCCAGTTGTGGTAGATGTTGGAGATGATTTGTACTGCCACATCGGTTTTACCTGTACCTGGAGGTCCGACTACCATCGTCAGGCCTGGCTCCATTCCAGATTTGATGGCTTCGATCTGAGCAGCCGTGAACGGAACAGCGTTTTTCCTGGTTTCGATCTTCAACTCCCTTTGCACGGCATCCAAGGCTTCTGCTTCGACCACGATGCTCTTGTCCTGAACTTCTTTATCGTGTTGTGGGTTCAGTTCATTGAATGTGAGCTTGAATGGAGGTACTGTAACATACTCGGCGATCTTCAGTTCTTCTCCTTCAAAACTTTTCTTCAGATGCTCTATATCCAAAAAGGTATCGTTAAAGTTGAGTGAAGTAACCGCATTTGGTAGCTTTTTGTAGTGAGCAGCATCTGGCTCACCGTAGCCCAGTAGCACATCGTGGATCCAGTCTGGTACGACACATTCCGTGTTCAACAACTGTCTGATTGTAGCTAGCACAGCTTTAAAATTGTTTGATTTAGCATCTCTTCTGATCATTAGGTTGAACTTGAAGTAGATGTCAGTTCGTTCGGTGTCTGCTTTGTACTGATTCGGGTCCAATCGTACTCTGAACGTTCTGGCATCACCGTGAAGAGCTCGGAGCATGTTCATGTTCTGTTCGTCGATGACTTCTTTTTCATTGTTTAGGATTCCTTCGACTTCACATCCTCTGACAGCTTCAATCTAAAAATATTATAATCAAATCTTTATCGGTTTTCATTTTTAATATGCCTAAAAATTTTAAAAATTTACACAATATCTTTATAAATATGCCTAAAAAACATTTAAAACTATATTATCCATCAGAAAAGCACAAAACTTACCCTAAACTGCTCCTTAAATGGCCTTCTGACATCAAACCTGCTACCAACCGGGAATATTGGTACCACCGTGACCAGGAACAGCACGTCGTTCTGTCTCAGCCCTTCCCATTCCCTTCTCAAATCAGTTCTTTTTGGCAAATTCACCGTGACATCAGCCTTGACTTCAGAAGGACAATCGTAGCCTACAAACGGTTTTCCAACATGAACAATTCTAGTAGTAGTAATTGGCAGTGCCATTCTGGCCCAACCTCCCCACACTACGTTATCCAGCATCTCGTGTTTGTACGGTCTCATTCTGAAGAGTACATCCTCAAGATCCGATCGTATTTCGTATGTTGACTCCATTTGGAACAAGTTAAAGTTTCTCAGTAGGTAATCATGTAGAGTTAGGAACTGTAGGTTAAGACGGTTGAGAGGAAGTACACCTTCACCATTATACTCATCGTACGGGACCAGATTCTCATCCCAAATAACTTGTTCATTCGGATATAAAGGTTGAGCGTTGATTTTGTCAAGCTGAGAGATTGGTCTGGTTGTGTGGAAGATCTATAATAGTATTTTTAATAACAACGTTGAATAATAAAAAGTTAAATATTTTTGACTTTTTTACATAATATAATAATAGCAAAAAGCTTTTAAAAAATTTTAAAGCTACAAATTGTTTAAAAACAAACTTACAAGAATTTCTTTGAGATATTCAGAATCCTTCAGTCTTTCATCGTCACCTTCTTCAAGCTTACCAATCAAATCCATCTCATATGCCATTTTAAATAGCTCTTCTTTGCTAAAACGACAATATTATCAATTAAAATTATTAAAAAAGACAATGAAAACTAATAGAACCCAAAACATATCATCCTCAATATAACACATCTACTTACCTATACTTCTTCAACTCCTTTTCCAAAAAATGCCCTCGTGTCAATACTTCCAACATTCAAAAGACAGAAATCAGAAGATTTCTCCTTAAAATACCTAAAAGCAATGACTTGAAGTCGATTCACAAAGTCGTAGTGATTCCTCTGAATCTCGGCCAATGATAATGGATATCCGTTCCAATTCTCAACTTCGAATTTGACATAAAACAACAGTAACCTCATCAGCTTGAAGAACAATGTTCCTGGTTCACTTAGGTAGAACTGAGAAGTGATGGCATGGATAATACAGTGAGAGTAGACGATCAGAGCATGAAGGAACCGACGAGTTGTAAGTTGACATTCTAAGTCGATTAATAGTAGGACAAACTTTTCACAGTACATCGCAGCGTCTGGGTCGAATGCTGAAAGTAAGAGTAGTAAAGCGTATACCATCAAATTCAATTCCTCATCTAATACCTAAAATCCAAAAAAAATGACCAAACGACTTACTGATATTTTCATCGTCCAATTCAGTGATAATAAGCTTAAAATGTCGAATTAACTTCCAAATTACATTTGCATAAAATTCATTTTCTGCTCTTTTCTCCGCAGGCATCGTATCGAAAGCTTTATTCATTTTGTTCCAATATTTTCGGAATTTAGTGCTGGCTCCAAGCAATTTCTCTCGGTATTTCTAAAATCCCGAATATTAAGTATAATATAAACCGTATAAAATGTAAAAAGCTTCTAACCCTTTATAAAAAGTTATAATTCATTCTTATAACTATTTTAGCATCACTTTGTAATGATGAACGTATTTTACTTTTACTTTACAAAAATAAACATATCTTACAAAAAACTATTAAAATTGTACATTTGATCAACTATAACATCCTTACCTCTCCTAAACATTGCCAACAAGCCAGAGAAGCCAACTTGACCGTTTCAGCTCGCACACAGTCAATTTCCAAAGAGTTTACACAATGAGAAATGAAAGTAATCAACACATTTTGTTCCAAGAATGGCAAACTGTTCTGTAACGAGTATTCCAATACCTTCCTGAAGAAAGCTGGAAAACTTTCTGGCGATTGGACGACACACTGAAATAAAGTTAATTAAAACATTAGAAAAGATACTTCTTTGTATTAAAAGTTTAGTTTTAACTATATGTTAACGTATATTCAAAGAAAAAACGTATTTTTAGCTACAACAACAAGTAAGTAAAGCAAAAACTTACATTCCATGGATTAACCCTCTCTCTAAACTTAGCATTTATCAAGACTACTATAGATAAAATATGGGCTTTGTTCGCTTTCTTCACATCTAAATTCGGCCACAAATATCGCTCCAAATACTGTGAAAACTCATATTTATTCACCTCCTTAACATTGAACGACTTCAAGACAAGCTCGTTGTAGATCTTATCCACTACAGACGAATCAAAGAAGTAATTCCAGTGTTGTCGAGACCACTAAAAACATAAAATATAATAAAAACAACTTACTCAACCCAAATCTTGTTATAACTCAACTTACTTCGTCCAAATTCAGTCCTTTTTTGATGTCGATCCTTTGTTTTGGAGGTAGTTTTACCGGGGATTCCTTAGAAGATGAAGCTGTAGTCTTGGCTGAAGATGGTTTAGATGCCAGAGATTTCTTGGCCTGACGTCCTACTCTTCCTCTAGCCATTTTTTAGCAAATTTCAATACATCAACAAGATTATACGACAAAAAAACAAAATCTACAAAATTTGCGGAAAAAAGGAAAAATATTGTGAAATTTTCGCGCCTGGTGCGAAATGCCAAGAGAAGAGAATTCGGCGAAAAAATAGTTGTTTTGAAAAGAAAATGTTACTTTTGTCAATAAATCAGGATGAGCTACATTAAAATATTTTAAAGTTTTGTTATATAATGTAAGATTAAGGTGTTTTATGTTTCAACTGCTTTTGAAGCTTATTTTTTTGTTATTCATGTCTAATTACTAATTTCTTTCTTTTCATTATGAAAAATGTCAGTTTTTAGATGTCCGCTTCAAAACAAAAGTCGTATATTCAATGTACGATGGAAAGCCAATTCGCTGCTTACTCACCATCGTCCTTTCTGATGTTCTACTGGCTGGATTTGCATAATGTTGGTAGCTGAAATCGATCTTTTGTTTTCGATTTTACATTATCATAACTTTTACTGTTTCATGGGTTAGTAGAGTAGCAGAGATGGCGGACGCTATATCCACGTCTACTGAGGATTCACAGGATTTGAAAAGCAGAAATGGTGATTTTTTTGAAAACTAGTTTTGAAAAATTAAAAAATTATATTTTAGGTAACATTATACGAATTTTAAAAAAATAGTGTTTTAATGGTTGAAAAGTCAGTAGAATTGTCTTTTTATTGTAATTTGTGATTTTTTTTTACTTTTGACACACTTTTTGACCTGTTTTAAAAATTTTGAAAGTTTTTATAATGGTGTATATAATATCAAACTGAGCCTTAATGCTTTCATAATGTTATGATTATGTTTATTTTTAGATTTTCAAATCCCTGAAAAACTAAAGACGCCTCTGAAGATATTTGGAGGCCTGTTTGTACTCGTTTTAATAGGATTACTAATATGGATAGGTATGTTAACATCAATATCACCTAAAATTAAAAAAAATGTGTTAACGCCATAATTTAGTGACATTTTGGGATAAATATGTTAATTAAAGTCTTTTCAAGTCAAATTTTATTAATTTCAGAGTTATCAGACAGATCTACGTACCTAGGTCATCATACGTTTGAAGATGGTTGTGTTAGAAGGTATTTTGGAGAAGATTCGTTTGCTTGTGTATGTAACGCGACTTACTGTGACACGGTGAGACCAGTCGGACATTTAGAGAGGAACGAAGCCATTATCTATGAGACGTCGGCTGAGGAATCTCGGCTTCGAAGGCTGTATCATCGGTTCAAAACTGATCAGTCCGGTGAGTAATATATTTGGTAATAATATGAACCTGAGCTTTGGGGTTATTTTTAAAGTACGCTTTGGTTAACATGGTTTTTTATTTACATATAAAAGTATCTATAATAATGGTACTGCTTTTATATTAACTGTAACATGTTTAGAGCACGACCATGTAATAAGAGTAGATCTTCTTCATCCCAAACATACGATTATGGGCTTTGGTGGAACTTTATCAGACTCAGCCTTTGTCAATATTGTCAAGTATCAGAATTTAACGAAAGAAATACTTCATCAATACTTTGGATCTCAAGGTAAGTCAATTTTAATCTCAAGGTGGGCAACATACCGCGACTTGTCTTCGAGTTTGGTAGCTAATACTCACTTTATTGTGTTTTGGTCTAAAAGTTTGTCGAATAATCTTGTTTTTTATTTTGCCGTGTTCTTACATGGTGATAAACTTATATTTTCATTTCAGGATTACGTTACAATATATTAAGAGTGCCAATCGGAGCTACAGAATTCTCTAGTGAATGCTACACATTGGATGACAAATCATATGACTATGGCCTTCAGATGTTCTCATTGGATAATGATCACAAGGTAAAGCTTTTTACATAATAAGTTGTCCACATAATTCTTTGCAATTTAAAAATTTGCTTTTAGTAGGGGGACAGAATTATTTGAACAATTTGATAATTAAAAAAAATATTTGAAATTTCAGAAATGACTTTAAGCCTAGAAGATTACTCAAAAACGATTTTTAAGCCTAAAAAATACTAATTTGACCACATTTTAGTTACCCTTCATCAAAGACATTTTGGAGTTGAATAAAGATATTAAGCTATTGGCCGTTGCTCATACGGCACCAGGTTGGATGAAGGATACTCATAAGATAATAGGGCCAGCTGAATTGAGAATGATCGGTCGAGCAGTGGAGATATATTACACTTTGTATGCTGAATATCTGATAAGGTAGGTCTGTATAATATTAATGGATAATATTAGGTCGTTTAAATAATTCTGTGTTCCTTTTCAAAGCATATTTTTGGCGTCAAGAGGCAAGGAATTATTTGAACAACCTAATATTAAGATTAAAGGTTTGATTAGGTAGGTTTATCAAAAATGAGTTAAACATTGAGTACAGTACTTAATATTGACATTATAACATGCGAATGTATGAACTAGTTCGAATTTATGTAAAATACGATTGCTAAATAATGTTATCTTTAGATATTTGGAAGATGCTCATAAATTAGGCCTAAAATTTTGGGGAATATCACCATTGAATGAGCCTTTGACAGGCTTAACTACGAACGACACAAGTTCACCTAGGTTATCGATGGCTCCAGAACATCAACGGTAAGCTTTGGAAAGTACTTTTTGTGTTTCAGATATTTAAAAGAGTATGTTACATTTACAAAAACAAGAAAAAAAGTTATTTTTGTTTCAATAAATAGTGTTTATTACTGTAACTTTGCAAATTTAGAGCTTTTATCAACGATGAATTTGGCCCAGCTTTGAAGGGAAATTCAGGAACAAAAGATGTTAATATTGTGTTTCATGAAGATACCAAAGAGTCTTTACTTGGCAATATTAATACGGTAAGTTGCCTCATAGTATCGCATTGTTTTAGACATAACACACTATATTAAACGACGTTTAGGGCTATAGTCGCTGGATACAAGGTTACTTTAATTTTGTTACGTAAAATAAGTTCTCTCTAAATGCAGCTTGTGATAAAGTAAAATATATTGTCTATAGTAATATTGTTTTAGCTTTTCCAAGATGGTGATGGTTTTGTGGATGGATTTGCTGTACATACCTACTTTACTAACAATAACAAGTCTATTAACAATCTTGTTCAGACTCACAACTTTTTGCCAAACAAGTTCATTCTTACTACTCAAGTAAGTTTATATTGTTTGTATCGATATAGTAGTTGATATATTACCTACTACAATATAATGTTAAAGTATGAAATGCTGTAAATTGGCAATAGAACAGAATTTTGTTTTATAGTGGAAAATAGCTCATTTACTGTCATTACTTCGTATTACTTTGATTTTTATAACTATTTTTTTCACTTTATGGTATTTTAGGTTGTTCAGGTAAGTCTGAGCCTTTTAACTCCTAAAATTTCCTTTGATATAGGCTCAGAATTATTTGAACGATCTAATAGACCTTTGTACGCCAGTGTACCTACTCTATACTACAAAAAATCTGATTCTAGGCGATTCACCGAGACCGTGTAGCACAAGGAAGTTGGAAATACGCGGCCGATTATGCGTCCGACATAATAACATCGTTGAACAACTACGTGAACGGCTATGTCGATTACAATTTGGCGTTGAACGAACAAGGAGGACCGTCGCTGAATTGGCAGACGGCTGCCGCTTCGATCATCGTGAACTCGAAAGGAGCTACCGAGTTCTACAAGCAACCTACTTTCTATGTTTTGGGGCATTTTAGGTATGATTTTGAGGTTGGGGGTTTGAAAAAAAATTTTGTATTTTACGAGGTTTTATGATTTTAGGTAACAGTTAACATTTTTAAGTTAAATTTTGGTATTTTAGGTAATATTTTACTTTTTTAGGTAACATTTTTTAAAAGACGGTTGTTTACTACAACGTTTAAGCCATATGTTATCACTTTACCCCTATAACAATATAATTTTAGCCACTTCATACCCGCAGGCTCCAAAGTCCTACCAATCCAGATTGGAACTCCAGAAGGTCAAACTAAATTCCCTGAGGGCCCAATTGAATGTTTGGCAGTACAAACCCCAGAATATAATGTGGTACTCATTCTGCACAACAAAGACACCGAGAAGACTCATCGACTGACGATTGATGCATCGACCGAAAAGACTAGTCGATTTTTGTCATTGGAATTGGTGCCCAGTTCGATTAGGACTGTCATCTGGAGACTCGAAGCTGAGTAATCGATTTTATTGTTTTTGTTATGTTACAGTAGACTGTGAGATTTTATAAAGTTTTTTTTTTTGGTTTTTAGGTTGGAGGATGTTGTAGTAGGTTGTTCAAATAATTATGTGCTTCTTAATCGTGAGTATTTACTTAGAGGGGGGACAGAATTATTTGAACAGCTTAATAATAGTAAGGTCGATGTGATTTTTGTCTAAATAATACTCTCCTCTTTTTTAAAACTGTCTTTCCTTACTCCCTCCCCCCTCCTTCCTAAAACTATCCTGCATTAAGCCCTTCCTTATATTACCCTAACCAACTGATGAGCATTATTAGTTTATTAAGGTTCATTTACAAAATGAGATAGTAGGTATTGCAAATGTAAAGCTGATGAACAAGATCAGAATTTGTAGTTTTTGACCGCGTCGTTTAACCGACCAACGAAATCGACCAGTTGGCCTGGTTTGAATCGGTTGACCAAGCTTGAGAAGAAGCCCACCTTCAGGTTCAGATCTACTCCAATAATGGCCTGAAAACATACGATTATATATAGTTTTTGAAGGTTTTTTGACATGTATTGATAGTTTATAGACAGTAATTAAAATTTTAAGCTACAGTATGACTTTTATGATACTGCTGAAGGTGTAAAATATTTACAAAATGGCAAAATTTTAGGCTAATTTAGCTCAGAAACGATCTTAAAACAACGATAAAGTAATATTTTTAGGTAAAAATAGTTATGAAACAGATAGTGTAATTAAAGTACAGTATTCTTCACTTTCCAACATATATTAGAGCCTATAAAAGTAGTATGACTTACATGAATCTTGGTCCAATGAGGGTTTTTCTCATCTGGAGTAAGGTAATATCCGACCAATCTCTGCACGGTGCGAACATAGTCTTCCTTCTCTGGTACGTTGACATGGGTAGTGTTGTGACATCCCAAGATCAAGGTTGTGCCGAAGTGTTCCTCTTTACATACTAAAACAGCATCACGAGCTGAGAGGACGAACACTGAGTGCACAGCTTCATGGATAATATAGGTCTGAAAAAATTGACATTTATATTTAAAATGAGATATTTTGGTGATTTGAATTTGAATATCTGGTTTTAAAAAGGTAGTACTGTAATATTTCACAAGGTCTCACTAGTTTTTTTCCGCCAATATCTTTTAAATTGAGCAGAAGGTCTATATGAACCATAAAACCTATATTAACCTACCTCATTGCCCAAGTTCTCGATGACATTGTTAAACTCGTACAGGTCGTCCCACTTCGCTCTGTAGCCTCTGAATGGAGCCATCAGTGTAGCCACCTTCGAGATATTAGCCTTGGCAGTAGTCTCCAACATCAACAGGTCCTCTTTCAGCTCTTTGAAAGGACTTTTCTTGGAGTAGATCTTGTAATCATCATCTTCTCTTTCCACTTCTGGCCATGTTGTCTCTACATCTGACTCCACCAAGCTCTTCATCTCTTGAACAGCTTTATTGCCTAGTCTAAGGTACTCTTGTTTTGATGGGAATGGGGATGGTGGGAGTTGTGGTAGGAGAGGAGAGGCTAAAAAGATACGAGTTCTATATTGTATGGCTTATGGCAATATTATTATTTGACTTACAACAATATAATATTTTTAAAAAGTTGTGATAATTTTAAAATATGTTTGAGTTTTGATTTTGATTATTATAAAATGACATTTAAAAATAATAATAAAAAAAATTGTAATTATCCTGCCTCGTTTTTTTTACTTTTGCTATAAAAAGACCAATTTTACTGACTAAATTGTTTGTGATTGATGACAACATAACATACGTCGCTAGTTTTACGTATTACTCAGACTTTAAACAATTACTTCTGTTGATTGAATTCGTTCGAAAATGAAAAAGTCTAAAGTCAGGACTTCTTTTTTGTAATGTACTAAAGTTTCGCAAAAGTCTTAGCGTCAAAGTACGGTATATTGACCGTCAAAAAACGCCAAGAATTTTCATATTGTAATAAAGTACAATTTCAAAACAACCATCAGCTAAAGAAGGTAAAGTAAAACCTTTGTCACAAAGTTTTTTTTTCGAAATACTTGTCATGAAGAGGCTATACTGTAACTAATAGGTAGATCAATAATTCTGCGCCTTCATTCAAAGAAAACTTTCTAAATTAGAGAGCACAGAATTAATTGAAAAACCTAATAAAACTCTAGATTTTGCATTAATCACTATAACTAACCATTCTGTAGCAGAGCTTTACAAGATGGTACAAACTGAGACAAGATCTCGTTTGGTTCAGCTTGTAGTAGATCTGTCAATTCTGGTCTAGCTGAAGAAACCTTAATGTACTTGACGTATTTTTAGGCGTCACAGCACGACAAATATCTAATTGTTCTAGGCTTCACAGCATAACAAATACCTGACTGATCAAAGATATCACAGCAGGAATGACCGTTATTAACCATAAGGTTCTTTGGGTTTAAGAAAGTGATAAAAGTTATTAATCATGATAGGAGAGGAAGTTAGAAAATCATCAAAATGGGTCAGATTTTAATTCTAGTTTACTATTTTTACTATGGTTTTACTATAAAAGATTACTATGTAAAGGTAAAGCTCAAATCAAAGTTATTAGAAGTCTTAGTAAGATGGTACTGTTATAAACCACTGCATAATCAACGTTTATGTAGGGTTAGAGTAAACAAAAACACTAAAAGATAGGATTAAAACAAATGAAAGTTACTAGTACGAACACTAACTCCACAGTAAAACAACTTACCATAAGCACAGGAGAAGATCACAAAAAGAATCGACCACTTCATGTTGAACGAAGTTGATGAACTAAATTGAATGCGTGATTCTTCCAAAGCTACGTGCTATTTAAGAAGTCGAATCTGCACAAATAACGTAGCACGCGGATTCAGCGTCGTATCTGGGATCGAAGATCACGTATATACTGAGTTTTGCAAGTGATCTTTGGATCTACCTTACAATCGTATATGGAGAAAATTCTAGAATCGTGTGGCGTTGAGTGATCTTTGTATAAAAGAAATACGAGATAGTACGCGTTAAGAGTATGAGGTAGAGATTAAATAAAGACTGTTTTAAGATGTAAAGCCTTATGTAACACAAGATATTGCTTAAGTAATATAAAGATAGCGCTGACCAAACTTTTATATACGAGCAAAAACAAAGTATACCTCAATATACGAGCAAACCTCAAATATACGCCGATATACGAACAATAATGACAGATACGTTTATAGACAAGCCAATACGATCAAGATACCACGGTTGCCAAAGAAAACAAAGCGCAGAGTTTTTATAGCCCGGCTGGAAGTGAAAGAAGCGTTACAACGTGAGAGGAGTAAGTTTCTGATCGATTGTGTCATCAGATGCCACAACAATTACATTACGCGAAAACTGCTTTACAATAAAGTCAAGAGCAAGCGAACGCCCTGATCGTTGATGAAATAAAAACAAAATCGTAAAACGTAGTAGGATACTGCAAGGTTTGACAGTAAAGTCTAAAGTCATTTTGATTCTTTGGGTTTGAAAAGAGTTGTAAAAGATAACTTAGGTTTTAAGGTTTTAAACGGAGTTCGCAAGCTTAAAATTTTCGGTTCCAACTTTGGTAAAATATCAGGTTTGGTCTAGGCTTCAGAGCAAGAGCCGCTTTGTGGGCTTTTAGTACTGTAATTTAACGTTTCCTAGCGCCGGCTCCTGCTCTGGCTTCGTATTTTTATAAATTCTCGCTTATAGTTTGAGGCCCTTAGTAACTCTGGTTGTAAACTTCAAGTTTTTACAGTACAAAAAATGATATTCTTGCTAATTGTTACAGTTTTTAATACACGGTCCAAAACCTTGCACATGATTTAGGCATAAGCGAGCCCTAATAAAGAAGACAATAGTAAAAAAAATTTCCCTTTGCAAATATTATAGTAAACTTGTACAATAATTCATTATGCCCTCTGTAGACTGAAAATGAAACTCGCTTGCCCGACCCGTTAACAGATTCAGTAAAGCCTAGTACTCCCCTTTTGCTAGTCTAAATAATAGTATTTAGGCTATTTTTGATTTCTGATAAAAAAAATTTTGTATTTTTATGCCTTTACAACTGTTATTTTACTGTTAAAGTAAGGAACTCTAAGAAATTCGCAATTGCGCTCGCTATGTATTGTAGTAGACCTTAAACTCTACTAGACTTTTACAGTAAAAATAATGTGAAAGTTAATTCCTAGACTTTTTTTAAAATTATTTAAAATGACAATGACAGTTAGTCACAGTTAATATTTTAAACAGTAAAGTTTACACATCACGCAAAGCCGTTAGGCTTAAACTGAAGATTTATTTTTAATTTTTTTAAATTATGTAAAACTAAACCTATATCTTTATTTTTTACAATTAGGCTTAATCTAAACCTATATTTCAAATTTTTTGCGTTTACTAACTTTATCTACGTCACAAGCATTAAAAAAACTTATTTTTATCAAAATTCTTTACATTTTTGCAAAAATAATCGTTGATTTGAAATGTCACAAGTTTTTTATATTGTTGTAGTAAAAAGGGTTTCGTCAAACAAATAAACGATTTTTGGTTTGCAAAACATGTGAACCTTCATACCAAAACTACAAAGGTAATGCATATAATTAATTACTGTTACCTTTATTATTTTACTACATACTTTTTTGTCATTAAAAATTCTTTACAACTGTTAAAAACAAAAAAGATCGAAAAATTATATTTTTATTGTCTTAGGCTGAAAAACTGATAAACTTTCTTCTTAATCTGCAAGCTTTGGTACATAAGGTTACATCAAAAACTCAAAAATTCAATTTATCAATAATCAAATATAATATATTATCAGTAAGATCATCAGATATATAAATTAATTACAAGAAATCGTTATCTAAACACGAAATCCATTCAAAAGTGCTCGTCGATAACCCCACTCAAATGTCGTACTCATCGATGGCCCCATTCAAATTCTCTACAAACTTCTCGATAGACGTGGGCTTGAACTTGGCAGCAATACTGTTGAAGAAACCCACGGACAAGTTCAGATCCACGCCGACAACAACCTGAAAACATGAGGTTATATACCGTGATATCCGATATCACGATAACAAGCCGAGTCAGACGTGAAAGTGTTGAAAGAACAACCTTATCCTGACATTGTCATAGGATAAGGTTGTGAAAGTTGGTGGGTTACGGTTAATATGAACCTTACAGTATTAATAGCTACTATAAGCTTATATTAGATTGTTCATATAATTATGTGCCCCATTTTAAAGAAAATGTTCAGCGTGAAAGGGCACACAATTATTTGAACAACTTAAAAGCTTTTTTGACTAAACGCCTTGAAACAATGTCATACCTTCAACTGAGTGACATCAGGATTCTTCTCATCAGCCTCGAGCTGGAATCCATTGATTCTCTTCGAAGTTCTCACGTAATCATCGCTTTCTGGAACGTCCGCACTGGTGGTGTTATGACAAGCAAAGATGACCTTGGTATCCGATATCACTTCCTTACAGACCACAACCGCATCACGCGCCGACAGAAATAGTTTACCGTGAATGGCCTCGTGGTAAATGTGAATCTGGAATTTATGGTTTTAATTTTAAAAAGTTCAAAAAAGATTAATTTAAGCCCACAGTAAGAAAACTCTGTGAATATTTTTTTCTAACCGGTTCCCAGAATGATTTCACACAGAACAAGCTACAGTATAACTTTTACCGCGTCCAATTATATATTATTTTTTATTTTGTTCTATGCCTCTTTGACAAGTCTGTTTTTAACTCACTAAGTGAACAGTCAAGACACAACCTAAACTCAAAAACAATAAACATTTCAAGGTTCAAAATGTTGATCAATTAAAAAACATTCTATTGGGATTGATAAATTTTTACAGTATAACACAGCAGTAAGAAGTAATTATAATAAAAGAGCTAGTATCAATCTTGTTTTTTCATTATGTGCACTGCTGAATTGAAAAGACGATATTAGGCAATTATTTTACATAGAAAGGTAAAAACGCAAAAAAAGAGTGCGTAAGACAAAGAAAGAAATGCAACCCAATCGAAAGGTAATGATAGCTTTTAATACCATTTAGAGAATGATCAGATCTATAGGATTAATATCCACAAACAAGGTTAGCTTGTGGCTCTGGCTCTCGAAAGTGGCTAGAAAAGAGAAATTTTGAAATGTTTGACTGATAAGTTGAACGCATAAGCATTACTTTGTAATTCAAATCTAAGCGACAGTAAAATAAGTTAAACTTTAGTGGCATTAGTAAACGATAATATTAAAGTAAACATAATATTTCTTGATTACAAGTTAGTGCGTACCTTTTAAAAGCAATACAACTTACCTTATCAGTCAAATTCTGAACAACTTTGTTAAAGTCGAACATGCCATCCCATTTGGCACGATATTCACCATAAGGCTTCATCAAAGCATGAGCCTTGGCTACTTTACATTTCAATTTGGTTTTAGCGTACAAAACGTTTTCTTTGAGATCAGGGAATGGACTTTCCTTTTCGTAGATCTTAAGATCACCTTCTTCTGTATCAAGGTTTGTCCATTCTGAAGAGATCAGTTCAGTCAGCTCTTTGAAGGCTTGTTCAGCTAAAGCAATGTTTTCTTCTTTGGTGGGGAAGTCGGCTGAAAGATGAGGGGTTTTATTATATATATATAGAATTTAGGTAACATTTACTTTAAAAAATTATTAGAAATTTGAAAATTAAGTTCAAGACATCAAAAAGTTGAACTAAAACACTAAAATTAGACTTTATAAGCATTGTTTGACCGCTTAATTATCAAAAACGTCCAAAATCATTCTTACCATGAGCACATAACGCTGTTGCCAACCCAAAAACAACAATATTCTTCCACATTCTACACTGTAATACCTTCTCCTCAAACCAGAAATTGTTTTTTAAGCAATATTTTGAGTTTAAATGTAGAGAAAACGTATGTTGATGGTTTTTTTAAGTTGATTACACTCTTGTCAACGCCCATTAATAACCGAGTTTACCTGCTTTTAAAAGTAAAAGCACATGTGTTCAGTCAATAAATGTTTTGTGTTTTGTTCCTGACATAATTGCCATGTCTTCAGACATACATATAAACAGAAACTTTAACATTAGGAGTAGGTATAGGAAGAATCTTCATCATTAGGGGCCGGAATGGACATAATCTTTAACATCAAGGTCCATAGTAGGCAGAATCATCAATTGCCAGCTAAACTTTACATTCATAACGTCAGAAACTTCAACTTTGAACAAACCCAAGAACATAACGTTCAACTTCAGACGCACATGCAAACAGAAAAACTTGGCTGTTTAGGTATACGTAGACGCCATAACGTATGAGAGATTAGGGTAAACAACTTTGAACCTGATTAGTGTACTTTAATGTGACTGAAATCTATCTGTTTTCAGACAAATCTCAAGGGAAACTACTGACAACCGGCTGTCAAGCACAAACAAAACAACTTGTATTTTGTAACTAGTGTTCTTTATGAACATAGTTTAGATTAATTTGATAAAAACGTTTTTTTTAAATTTATTTAAAAGTAAATCTACCTAACCATACAAAGTTATATGGCTTGAAAGGCTAAAACGTGCTAACGCAAGCGTTTTTAGGTGTTAAACTTATTTCAATGTTATTTTAATTAAAAGTTAAAATAAATTTGAAATCCGTTATTTTTAATTTGTATTATCATCTTTATTCACATTACTCATTTAGGTATTACCCAACTAGCAAAAAGCCAAACAAGATTTTCATAATGCGACAAATTCCCAAAGAATCATCACTTAGCCAACATTACACACCATCTATAATGGCCTATCTTTATCTCTATAAAGGCCTATCTTTATCTTTTGAATAGTTTTAATAATTTCTTTAGACAGGCTCGTAAGTCTATATTATTGTCTTTAAATCTAATTTGATTTATATCAAATATATCTATATAAATTTAACAATACAACAAATACTCTTTTAAACAGTAATTTTTTAATAATTTTGGCATGTTGCCAAGTCTATTACTGATATTATTGTTTGGAGGAGCTTTGGCAAATGTAACAGAATTCAAAAATCCGGAACTGGACTTTCCAGAATTGGCAGGAAAACGTAAGTTCACATTATGAGTGATCTAATACAGGCATAACCTGAAAGAAGTCTACAAGGCCGAGCCAAAGCAAATTTGATAGGAGGGCGAAGGAGGATACTGGGCCAAAAAATTCCAAATATTCTGGCCCGGCCTCTTTACAAGTCTAGGCTAAACGTATTTTTAAGCTTTTTTAATGTGTTTCTGCTGATGCCAAATCAAGGTCTAGCTCGGCCTTTTTACAGTTTTAAATACAGGGGGTGTAGTTAAAAACGTCGCATTACCTCCCTCCTCCTCCCGGCTCCTTTTTCTTAAATTTAAAAATCTATTTCACTAACTTCAAAACCTTTAGCTCTAGACATAATGAAGCTTCTCAACGAGAACATTGCTGACATTCTGATCTACGGTCTGATTCAAAATGCAAAGAATCAAACTTTCGAATTCGGTGAAGCTCAAAACTCTATTCCAAGACTAGCCAACTTGTCGATTGATAACGTCGATGTCTTTTGGCCATTCCTGTTTACTACGGTATTTAACAACTTGAAAAATCAAATTATTGTCGACTACTGGACATCATTCGAAAACTCGACTAACCTTACTCTAAAATACGACGACAATTTCAAAAGTTCGTTTATTTTGTTTGGCAAAAAACAAAATATTACACTTGATGGTGAGACCGATGACTATGCTTTGTATCTAGGTTGTCTACAAAATCTACCTGAATATATTAAAGACAAGGTGAAGGTAGAAGCATTTGATGTTGAGATTATGAAGAAGTACATTATCAACAGGTTTGGAGGTTTTCGACCAATGTTTTTGACGTCATTGAGACTGCCAATGCCAGTAGATCAAGAAAAGTTCGAAAAGTCATACAGAGCCATGACAAAACATTCTGTCCAGTATCAAGGCATCATATTGAACAAGATGGAAGATGTCATTCATGACTACTACAAGAAGGAGAATGTGACCATGGCTGAGTATAAGTTGAAGGACAATTGCTATCTTCGACGTTATCGAGCTGATATTGACTTCTAAAAAGCTAATACTATCTTTCAACATAATCATCCTACCATAATATTATTATAACATATAAATTCTACTTTACCTTGCTACAAAATATACTTTTATGACCCTATTAAATAAAATATTACACTAGTTTTTACTTTCGCAACTTTTTTACTGTAATTTATTACCATATATACTAAAAATTTTCAAAATAATCAAAGAAAACGTTTCAAATTTTGTTAAATGCAAAAGATATGTAAAGATAAAATTCATTTTGTGATGTAATCAAGGCTTTACGACCATCTTCTCATGAACATCCAAATTGCCAACAACCTAAAATACGAGGAAAATTAGCAGCAGAAAAGTTAGGCTTAGAAGTTAAAAGTCGATAGTAAGAGTAAGGTTAGGCAAACCTGTAGATTGTTAGTAAAAAAGCAATATTAATCCTATAGTAATATTAGCCTATAGCTAAACTATTAAACAAAGTTGTAAAATAAATCACAGAGCAAGAGATGTTAAATCATCTTTACTTAACTTGGCGACCAAAGCTATGGCTTTCTACACCCTAGAACACCTTTGTCAATGACACTTCTCTTAAAACATATTGCGCCCTTACTGTTACATACACTACCTATATCGTGTTTCTAACAAGACAAGTACCCAACCTGCTCCACTTAGAATCGGCCCCAAATTTTTATATTAATTATTGTTGGTACCATCAGTAGTACCCATAAAAATCTTTAGCTCGCGCTTTTGAGTTTTAAATTTGAAATCTTCGAGTTTGCCGCCAATTTGACAAGTTTGGCATTGTGTTTCAAGCACTTTTTCGACTTTCCCGACAAGCTACCTTTTCAAGTTTAAAAATGTAGATCCATTTGAAGGTTTTTTACTAGTATATCAAAGAAAAATGATAAAGTCTAACAATAGCAAAGTTATAAGCTTGCAACACAATGCCAATTTGGCGAGAAATTTAAAACGTAATTTTGTGATCTCAATTTTCTCGAGGTTTCCTGAAAGGCGCAATGTATGTAGTTTTATAATTTGCTGTATATCTTATATTTACATACTCTTAAAAAGTATGAAGTCAATCAGAGCGGGGCAGGTCAATCATCTTCCTTGTAAGCCTTATAAGCCTTCTCAAAGCCCCCAAACTTTAAAATTAAACCTCAAAAACTTTGACTTTACTTTCATATATAAAACAAAAAAAGCGTTGATCCTAAATAAATATAAACAGCCAAATGTTACAGTAACCTTTGTACATTTATTTGTTAAAAAATGAAAGGAATGAAAGCCAGAACCAAAAGTAATTAATTACAGCGAACAAAAGGATATTTAAATATTCTCGAGGACCATCTTCTTGTGCACTTCCGTATGTTCAACGATCTAAAATTAACATTTATTGTGTATGATATTACAGACTCCGTAAAATATGTTACTGTGTTGTTCTAATAAGGTAAATTTAAAATAAACTTTAGTTAGTTTTAACAAAAATTAAAAAATTTTATAGTGTAATAATAATGTGAGTTAAAGCAGGTTTGAGCTAAAACAAGGTAGTTTTGTAGTAATATAGTTACTTATTGCCTGTGACATAGCATGGTTAATATACAAACTTAAAAACATAAGAAATCTGTGCAATATCGTAAATATAAATTGTCAGTAAGTCAAAAATACAATATTATACTGCCATTTTAAACAAAAACCTTTTACAAAGTGTCAAAAAATGTTAGTATATAAACATAAAAAGCTCTATATTACAATATGAGGTTGCGCTTGAAGTCATAATATTAAAAAAAGCCTAGCATAACTTACATCACAGAATTCTTTGAATGAGATCTTTCCGTCGCCATCCTTGTCGTGAAACAAGATGGTCTTATCAACGATTTGTTGTAGTTGAGTATCCTTCAGGTTTGATCCGACCATCATTTTTAGAACCTGGAACAGTTCGCCGTTCGAAATGAAGCCGTCTCTGTCCATGTCGTAGATTTTGAAAGCAACTAAAACAATATTTTGTTAAATATATAGATGATTATCGAGACTGAGGTATCAGGATGAAGGCAAAGTCAACCACCTCCCATGCCTTCTAAAAGCCGCCCCAAATATTTTTGTAAAAGAAACTGAAGCTCGTGGCTTTCCTAGTTCAACGTCAAATACTTTGCCTTATCATACCATATTATACCCGATCCTTCACTATCCTATTTTGTCTTACCTTGCCGTACCAACTCTACCATACCGTACTTTCACTTACCTCACCCTTCCCTACCCTACTATACCCTTTTCTACTCTAGTATATTTTATCCTAAATCTATTTTAAATACCCTACCTTACTCTTCCGTACCCTTCTTATAACAACTATTCAGAGTTTTTAAAGTTTTCCTCTACCCCTCCCCGGAGCTCCCCCAAACAGCCAATTCTACCCATACCAAACCCAATTAAACTTACAATTTAATTTGGTATTCTTGTCTCCCTTCACCGAGAACTGTGAGATTCCTTGAATGAATTCTAAACTCAAAAGTTACTGTAACATACTGTAACAAGTTACCTTTAAAGTCCACTTCGCCATTACCATCCTCATCGAAAATGTCGATGACTCGTTGAACTAGAGGGTTCTGTTGAAGTTCGGGCAGGGACATGAACTCCTCCACGGACAACGAACCCGACCCATCCAGGTCGAGCTTCTTGAAGCGGCGAGCCAAACGTCGAAGTTCATAAGCATCAAAGTTGGAGCACATCTCCAGAGGCAAAGACGCTTCGTTACCCTGGAAATTCAAACATTTAAATTTAAAAAAGTTTTGTAAATAAAATGCCATTTTAGTTCTAAAGATCAATATTTTTAAAATTTTAACTAATAATTTCAGCTTATTTATCCATTTATTTATTGACCTAGCTAATACTATACAGAAAATATTGAGATATTACACACGAAATGACTGTTAAATCACCCTGAAATATAAAAAATATGTTTGTTGACTATGTGTCATCATGGTACTGCTACGCTTCGAAGTTTAAAAAAGCATAAACAAAACTAGCCAGAAATATGAAAAACCAGCAATTATGGCTCGAAAATATGCCCATTTTAAGAATACTACCTATTCTTTGTGTTATGCTAGGCTGTAAACATAATATCAAAGTAATTACAGGTAGACAAAACAAATATTTTCTATCACCTGTACAACTGATTACTGTCTTTGTGATATCAAAGCGTACTTTTTTGAGTATTTTTTACTATACCCTACCCTACCCTACCCTACCCTACCCTCCCCTACCCTCCCCTACCCTCCCCTACCCTCCCCTACCCTCCCCTACCCTCCCCTACCCTACCCTACCCTACCCTACCCTACCCTACCCTACCCTACCCTACCCTACCCTACCCTACCCTACCCTACCCTACCCTACCCTACCCTACCCTACCCTACCCTACCCTCCCCCTACCCTCCCCCTCCCCTACCCTACCCTACCCTACCCTACCCTACCCCCACCCTACTCTACCCTACCCTACCCTACCCTACTCTATACATAATACCATACTCAAACAAACACACTCAACATAGTGATGGTATGTAATGTCTTTTGCTAAAAGAATGTTTGCCTGACCCAATCTTGGCCGCTTCCTGGGCCAAGTTTATTTAGCCAACTTAGCAGACTTCTTAATGGGGCTTCAGGACCAAATTAGGAAAAAACAGAAACGAAGTGCTTTAAAATCAGTTCGTGTTTGTTTATCCATGCAAATGACAATAACCATAAACAAACGGCGGAAACCGGCCATTTCTTTTCGTGCCTATCCCTGTAAGCCTATTCTTATAAGGGCTATTATAATGTAACCTGCTACGCTAAGTTTCATGCTATTACGACGTAACCGGCTACACTAAGCACCTAGCTCTTCAAATGTAATTGGATACGCTAAGAATGCTGCTATTATAATGTAACGTAAGGTATTTTTATGTCAATTACAATCAACGTTATTTAACCTATCATTAGAAATTTATTTTGCGTTTAAAATATGCTTCAAGATGTGCCCAATCGATAAATTAGGATATTTAGTGTTAAAATCTTTGCTTTTCAAAATTAGGCTAATTTGGCAGTGATGTTTGGCTTAGTTTTTGATGTAAAACGTAGCGTATATCAGCCAAAATCACATTTAAAAAAAACTAATTTAAACCAAAGATATTGCCTCCCCAGTTAAAATACTTCCTATCGTCTAAAACCTTACGTTTAAACTAAAATTTTGTTATGTACACCTTGTTATGTATACCAGTTATCTTAGATATACGCTTCTTAAATATACGCTGCAATAAATATACGCTGCCTCCTACTATCGCGTACCATAAATGAAAACTTGCTCAATTCGTTCGCCAGACAAGTATATTCACTGTTTGGCGAAGGCTGTCTATCTCTAATTTTTAAAACCTTTAGTTCCCTTTAGAGATGAGAAACGGACCAGGCCTACTTTTCAAGCCCGTTCCGTTTCAACTTTAGCTCAAGGCCGGCCCGATCGTAGGGACGGACTGACCCAAGCCATGACTAAACGGCCCCTTTCTCACCACTAGTTAGCTTTCTATATACCATTACTATACACTGCCCTATATTCTCTAACTCTTACTTTATCTAATAAGCCAAATTTCGTGTTTTTCGCAAAGTCCAATTACCAAAAAATACGTAAAACCCATACAATGCTAAATTTTGAATACTTGGACCCAAAACGTAAAACCTTTTTAGTATTACCATATCATGTAACGTCTATTTCGTCTATTCTACCACCTCATTCCAAAAATACCTTTAAAGAACGCGTCTTTACAACCACGACTACTGTTTTTGCAAAACAAATCTACAAATTGAACCCGCTAATGAACCGCCAAGAAGCCTTTGATCGAGTTGAAAGTAGCCATTTATACCTCGTATGTTAATCAAATCATTGTTGAAATTATCCGGCTGATTTGAATGACGCAATAAGCACGTCATACGATCAACCGTTACTAACCTTTCAACTGACAAACCAAAGTTTGTGACCTTGCACCAGGCATGGAAAACTTAGTCAGTTTGGTACAAGATTAAAGAAAACTGTCTTATAGAAAGTATGTTAGTACCAATTTTGGTTTAGGTGGTGCTATTATAGACTGCTTTAGGTATTAAACTAGGTGTTTTATGGTCAATTTGTTACAAACATTGGCAAAAAAGTTTTGGGCTTACTATTCCGTACCATGGCCACTATTAGGTTGTTCAAATAATTGTGCCCCTCTTAAACAATTTTTTATACTTACAAGCACACAATTGTTTGAACAACCTAATATAACAACTATATACCACTTTTCATAGTAAAGTATCTTGCCTACAGATTGTAACATCGGCTTAAAATGTTTGTAATACCAATGTTAATACCCAAAAATCTTTTTAAGACTTATGCTAACATTAAAAACGTAATGAAAGCTTGTTATAACCACAATAATTGCCTATAATTCCACGTAAACTTCTTTTCCCAATCAAAACCCTAGTGTAATATCACCCAATTTGTCCACAAGACATCTTTCCACACCCTCATCGTATGTCCCCAACATATTCTGTCACTACATATAATCGTCGTATTACCCTACAACAACATAATATCCCTCAGTTCCTAATGTTATGATAGTAGCTCCCCATAACAGACACCATCGTATGTCCCCAACACATTTTTTCGTCCTAACAGTCATATCCTATCACTATAATCGTCATATGACCCTACAACAACATAAACAATTCCTCTACCCAATGTTATGATACTATCTCTCCCATAACAAACACCATCGTATGTCCCCACATTCCTCTTGCCAATGTAATCAAACTAATTGTCACTGTTACAATACGAACCAGTCCCCCAAACCGCAGCGAATGTAAATATTGTTATCTCGGAATAGCTTCGTTTTATTATCAAAAACTGGTCGAGGCGTTTAATTTCATTATTCTGTCACTAACGTGATTATTGTAGACGTCGACTCGCGACTGTAATTGCATTTCTGTTGTTGTCATGACATTTTCAGCCACAAGTGACAATGTAAAAGCGCAGTTTTTGTGTTTACTTTCATAGAATATTGTAGTTGAACGAGTATTCCTAGCTCTTGTTAGTTCAACAGTTTAAAGTTTTAGGTTTTTTGAGTAAAATATCGAGTGAAAATGGCTTAAAGTTAAAATTTTTCAACATTTTTTTTTCATCTTTTTGCTTTTTTCGACTTATTTTTTGCACCAAAAGTGACCTATACCTACATTTAACCTCAAAAAACAATCATTTTTCAAAAAATTTATATTACACTTACCATTTTTGTTGTCCGAAAAAGCTCGTCTGACTAAACAACAAGAAAAGAAACGAGGTTTCGACCTGAAAACAACTAAAAACTATACCAAAACCTCTAAAACAATATCGCGATTACAATATACAACTCCAAACAATAAATTAAAGTAGTAGCACAAACTCGATTGCAATGTATTCAAATTAAATGTGGATGAAAGTTACTCCAAAAGTAATGTAATAGGCCTTGAAAGTGTAAAAAATTATTGGAAACAGTGGGGACTCGAGCAGCGAAAAAAGGCCAAAACCCCTCAGGCTTTCTGCCTTCTCCGTCTCTGCACTCTCTGGCCTCCGCACACTCTTTTCGTTTGTCAGTTGATATCCCTTTTAGACGGCTCCTGGATGCAGTTGAAAGCCGCGAATCCATTAATTCAGCCCGTAGGTTAGAGAGTTGTGAGAAATTAGGTGGGAGGAGAGAGAGTTAGAGAAAGAGGAGAAGGAAGAGATAAGAAAAAGTATAAATATGCATATTTAAAATATGTAATAAATATGCCTCAAAAGTATAATGTCGATACTCTGAATTCCAATAGAAAAGAAGCATCAATTTGGGTAGGGAAAGCCAACAAGAAGAGTGCACAGTGCAGTTTTAAGTTCGGGTAGTTCAAAGTCTTACAACTAATGAATTAAAAGTGCAAATTGCACAAAATTAAGTTTGCTGATTCAGTAAAATATCTACCATCTACTACCAAAAAATGAATTAATTATTATTTATCTACTTGCACCGAAAAATGGAAAAGTTTGAAAAAAGACCATTAAAAATAACCAAATTTTAAAATTTGAATGTTACAAAAAGAAAAAAAAACAAAAAATAAAATTTTTACACAATTAAACTTCCACTACTAGGTAAATTTGAACTACAAAATTTAGTAAAATTTATACTTCTTTTTTAAAAGTTACTAAGCCTTAAAGTTTCATGTTATGATCATCTCTGTATCTGGCTTATAAAACTCTCCACAGCCAAGACATGCCTTTACATAACTACTCCAATTTTAAATGTCCTTACTTTCCACTTTACAATATTTTGCAAAAAAATCGATGAAAACTGCTGATCAATGCCTAATCAGCGGGCAAGAGCGGCAAAAAATTTTGTTTTTTTTTTAAATTCGTACAAAACGTCAAGCCATAAGTACAATATCTTTTGAATCTTCGTGCTCAACCTGCTATTTTTGATAATTAGAGTGTGTAAACAGAAAACATAGCGTGTTGTCATGTTATTTCGACCGCACGAACATAAACAACTTCAGATTTTCGGTATTTCAAGCTACAATTTATGAAAAATAACCTAAAATAAGTTTGAAATGGTAATAAACTTTATCAGAAACTATTTCACATCGACATTGAACCTATACGACACCCATAAATTAGAGATTTGTAGTTTATTGATAAAAAATATAATGAAGAACAAAATGAGTCAAGTTTTCTTTTTGCCTTAAAGTCAAGGGAAGACTTGACTCATTTTCTCCATTAGAATGAAAAAGCAACGAAAAAGGTTATCATGCGATGAAGGCTGTTTATATATGGCGTAAATTAACATAAATTAAAGCTCTTAACATTATTAATGGTTTTCTTTAAGCTGTTTTTGTAAATTATATCGTTTATCTTGATTTAAAACTATGTTTAGATAAGGAATGATGATTTTTGGTTTGCTAAACCTTTGAAATCCTAATGAAATTGCGCCAAATTGGATATTTTATCAAAACCATCTTCTTGACGTCTGATAACGTTATCTATCGGGTAATGGAAGGCAGGAAGTACAGTTACAAATTTAGTTCGACGATTTTAATGACCTACCTCAATATTTTTTAGATCTCAAATATTTTATTAGAAATTGAAAGTGAATTTTTTATAAAATAGCAAAAATGATATCTGCTTTGTATAAACACTTTATATATACAATGTTGTAAAACGTGCCGTATTTTACGATGGTGACCCACTTGGCTCGCGCCAATATGACCGGTCAAGTTTTTCTCTGCTTTATTATTCCTTCGATTTTGATGGATTCTCAACTTTCTGACGCTGTAACACAGAAGAATTAGTCATATGAAGTCTACCAAATGTTATTTTGGAACCGTTTAGTGATTCATTAATATTTAACAAACATTTTATTGATTTTTGAATTGATTATTAGCATAATAACAGACTTTCTTTCTCAATAACATCTGTTTTTTGTTGTTTTAGGCGCGTAAGCTTTCTTATTTTGATATTTTTGCCAAGTTCATGGCCGTGAAATGTTTATTTATATAACATAAATATTCCTTTGTTACTTTATGTTGTTTTTTGCAGGTATCTCACGCAAAAAACACTCGAATTAGAGGGAAACCCGTGAGAGACGGGAATTTTTGGAAGAATAACAAGAAATGTGGTTACTCTCGCGCTATACCCCTCTCTTCCCCCCACTCGCTCAACGTGTTCCCGTCACGTTGGACACGGCTTTGTTGGGAGCGGCTTCGACTCCGAATCTAGCGTGGGATCTGACGGATCAAATGAATTGTACTAATGGAGTTGGCTGGATCTTGAACGTATGTTGACATAGAGTTTATTGTGGTATGATTGATGTTAATGAACTAAATTAATTTTCTTTATGATCTATATTTGAAAATGTAACTTTTTGTTTAATTTGTTATTTGATTGTTTATTTTACAGGTATTTGGAGATTGTGTAGATACACCATTGAAATTGACAGGCTTTATCATTGGATTGATCTCATTAGTATTATGGTTGGTTCCTTTGTTTCCACAGTTATATGAAAACTACAGAACTAAAAGATGTGAAGGATTGTCAATTTTCTTTTTATTGTTTTGGTAGGATTTTAATTTGTTTTATGATTTTAGGCAACAAGTCGTTACCTGGATGAAGATTCAAGTAAACAAAAGCAAATTAAAGCATTGCTGTAAAAATAAATTACTCCGTAGCTTATTTTGCAAAGATAAATTACCACATAGTTTTTTTAACAACCGGAAACATCTTTTTAATGAAAATATTGTTTTAGGATAACAGGAGATACGTGCAATATGATTGGAGCTGTCTTAACTCATCAACAGCCTCTACAACAAATTATTGGTGTGTATTATATCTTTCAAGATGTAATTTTACTGTCGCAATATGTATACTACACAAAAATTTATCAATCTAGCAGGCGTAAGGATTTTGTTTTTGGATTTTAGGTTTTTAAAAATGGTAACAAGTTTGAATTTTTAGATTTTTTAGTAAGTTGTTTTAAAAGTTTTTATTAAATTTACGTTTTCAAGCCTATAGTATAGCTTTATAGTTGAAAAAAGGTTAGGTTTGCTTTTTTTCTTTATAATTTTGAGCTGTTGAGGGATAAGAAAGCTGTAACATCATTTAAAATTCCACAAACTTAAAAAAATGTAAAAAATAATTTTTATGATTTTTTAAGGCATTAAAAGTATACTTTTGCTGTTTCAGAGAGCATGACAGGAAGTGCAGTTGTAGTACCAGCGATGGTATTTGGTATGTTTGGAGGAATGACCTTGTTATCATCAACCCCTGGCCCAAATACAGTAGAATTGGTGAAAGAAGTTGGCAAAAGATATGCTGATCAATCAGCAGTTGAATTTCCACCAATTTTTGAAAGCTATTCTGATGCTGTAAGTTTTAATATAATACATATCATTGTAGATCAGGTTAATATATACATATGTTGTTGTAGATGATGTTGTGGTATAGAAAACCTTGCTTTTTTCCTTTTTAAATGCTGAGTATCAATCCACTACTGTAGTATTTTACGCCTTATTGATCAACTTAAAACAATATTTTCAGCTCGGTTACGCGATTGGCTCAGTAGCCGCGGTCTGCTACTTTTCTGGTCGAATTCCTCAACTCTTGAGAAATTACTACCGCAAATCCTGCGATGGCCTGTCTCTAGCTATGTTTTACATTATTGTGTTGGCCAACCTGACTTACGGTCTTTCCGTTCTTCTCGAATCGACCGGTTGGATCTACTTGTTGAGACATCTGCCATGGCTAGCTGGGTCTCTTGGATGTTGCTTCTTCGATGCCATTGTTATTGCGCAGTACTATCACTATCAACGGCTCAGAGCGAACAGAGAACAAGAAGATGTTGTTGGTCTGTTGGATGGGGAAGAGGACGAAGAGTAGGGTTGTTGAGTGGAATTATGTGAACTTATGAGTGTTATTTGAGTAGTTTATAGTCATTTTTACTGACTATGGGTATTAACTTTACATTTTTTAAATTTTTATTGTTTTTTAAATAACTTTTGATGTGAAGATTACCATTATGTTTGGTTTTTTACTTAATACTCTTCACATTAATTCTGAAATTTTAGAGTATTGTTAAGATTGATTTTTAATTTGTTTTAGCATTTTGCAAATTTTAACGTTATTTATTGTATTTTTCTTAATTTTGCAATATTTTAAGAGTATTCAACAAAATTTTGTACTACAGGTTGTTGTTTACTTTAACTTTGTGATTGTTTATGTGTCTTGTTGTTTCGGTTACTTTTTTGTCTTAACGTTGTAGTCTGGTGTTGAGATTTGTATTTGACAGTTTTCAGCACATTGTTTTAACCTGTTTTAGAACATAGTTCTACTTTTGTGATATCACTGATCCTTTTTGATTGAATAAACTGTTTTACTTGTGTTTCAGGGGGTTTGATAAGTATAATCTTTGAATTTTACAGAGTAGCTACTATTTTCATTTGTGTATTTTGTTTTTTGAAGTTTGGATATTACATTTACACACGATCCTCTCCCTGTAATATGAAGAATATCTACTATAACATGTAATAACTGTGCTGTACAGCACTTTCTATACAAAACTCGGCAAAGTTATGTTAGTTTAATACTCTGATGTACAATACAATACTTTATTACGGGTTAACATTACTCGGCAATGATTTCGTATGCTCGTGGTGGTGTTCGCTTCTCGGCTGGACCGTTCTTTGGCAATGGACCGGGTACAGTGTATTCGGGGCTTCCAGGAGTGATATTGGCTGAACGGCCGTGTTGGTTCCAGTCACTTGCTGGGGCTCTGAATGGGTTTTGTTAAAATACGTCATATATATTTATCTGTCATGAAAAGGGTTTTTAAAATTTTAAAAGTATACTTGGACGATTTTTTTAAATTGATTTTTTGAGTTTTTAAAAATGACATTTAAAAATATTATGATATGAAAGAAACCTACGGAGGTCCGTTCTGCCGTTGAGGAAACTGAATTGAGCCTTGTGGATATACGGCTTTACCAGCATGTTGATAAGGCTCTGGCTCGGCTCTGTGGACAATCTTTTGATGAAGTTTAGGAACGGTGGAACGACGGTAGCGGCCGTATTTTACTTTGTCTAAAAGAGTGATATTATGATGCTGTAGATCAATTTTTGAAGCAACGTAAAGTGACCAAATAAAGAATTAATTGATATTAGATTGTTCAAATAATCCTGTGCTCTTAAACCCAAAAATTTGCTTTTAGTGGGCCAGAATTATGTGAATAACTTAATAAATGACATAAACATGTTATATGCTACCTTCATCAGTGTCGAAAGCTGATCGTTTTGGTCGTTCTTCAGCTTCGTCTTGACCTGAACCTTCAACTTCTTCTTCATCGGCTGATTCTACTTTACCTTCAGTTTCTTCGGCTGGCTTTTTGGATTCTGTTTTAGCTTCATCGACTAAAAAGGCTGATATTAGTTTCAACTAAAGTAATGCCTTGGTTTTGGACTTAATAACGCCTTGTAATATGTTATAGTACATTATATTATGTAACTTACTTTTCTCTTTCTTGTTAGAAGACAAGAACAAATCGTTAGCACCAGAGTTACCGTATCCTCGTGGAGCTGTTGGAGCACTACCGTATTCAGCACCATATTGATCTTGTCCATAAGCTTGATCGTAGCCCCCATAGACATCACCATCGTAGCCTTGTGGGTATCCTTGTGGTGCTTGGAAGTAGTCATCTTGTCTGCCATCGTCGTACCCTGGATACTCACCATAAGCTGGAGGTGGTTGGCCGTAGACTGGACCTTGTGGTTGGCTGTAAGGTGCTACTGGAGCACCATAGGCAGGTCCTTGAGGTTGAGGGCCATAAGCTGGTCCTGGAGCACTATAAGGTGGCACTGGGGCTCCATAGGCTGGCTCTTGGGGTTGAGGTCCGTAGGTTGGAGGTGGAGCACCATAAGGTGGTGGCGGAGCTCCATAAGCTGGTTCTGGTTGGTACCCTTCGTATGGTCTTACTTGTCTGTATGGTTCTTGTGGATATCCATATTCTGGAGCAGGGTAAGGTTGTTGAGGTTGATCATATGAACCCTCGTATCTTCGACCGTATGATGGATAGTTACCATATTCTGGAGCGGGGTAGCGTTGGGCTTCATAGGCTGGCACATCGTACCTTGGAGCTTCTGGTTGACCGTAAGCTGGCGCAGGACCTTGTGGGTATTGTGGCTGGTCGTAAGCTGGTACTTGTGGGTATTCAGTATAAGATGGAGCTGGATATTTTGAAGCTGCTTGTCCGTAGCTACCTTGATGATGTTGTTGGTATTCATGTTGTTGTGGTTGGTAACCTTGCGGTGACTGGGGCTTGTACTCTTGATGTTTCTGTGCCCATCTATCTGAGTTTGGCAACCATTGCTGAGCTTCTGAGTTTGATGCCCAGCTCTGAGATTCAGGCTTTGAATTCCACTTGTGAATATCTTGCACTTGCTGGATAACAACTTCCGGTTGACTGTAGACCCCACGACCTGAGATTCCACCAACGACTGGAGCTTCTTTAGTACGGTCTTCTGGACTCCATTCTGATCGTGGCTTTGGGCTTCTGGAGTCTTCGTTTCCAACGATTCCAACTGGAGAGTTGGGACGAGAGCTTGGAGCTTGACCGTGAGACGGTGGAGGAGCTGGTGGAGAGCCTTGAGAAGAAGGTGGGGCTGCTGGAGCTTGTGGGGATGGTCTTGGTGGTACTGGTTGAGGCTGTTGTGCTGGACCTGGTGGAGGTGGAGAGTTTGGTCTAGGTGGAGATGGCGCTGGTTGGTGTTGGGGTGCTGCGCCTGGTGCTACTGGTGCTGGTTTATGTTGTGGTGGCGGAGCTGGAGGTGGTGATACTGGAGCTGGTTGGACAGGTCCGGAAGGAGATCTAAGATAATATTTTTGATTATTTTAAAATTTTTAAAACAAGTAATTTGAATTTTTGACGATTTTTAAAAAATTTAAGTTTTAAGAAATCTGAAAAAAGAATTCTGAGCCTTACCCACTACAAGCAGCCACATTGCTTCTGTATTCACAACTCTTGTGTTGTTCAGAGTAGAACAGACCGGCTGGACACTTTTGCTTGTGTGCCTTACCATTTACACAATGGAAGAAGTAACGTTGGCAAGTGTTACTTCTGGCTGGATATATGTCGTCATCTTTGCCTGTACAGTCGAGGTTCAACAAGGATACGGCTGAGATGGCAGCATCTTCTTGGGCTGCTATCTGGCGGTAAGTTAGGGACTCTAAAATAAAAAAAAATTATTTTAAAAGTAGTTTAAGGTTACTGTAATTTTGATTTTTTTGAGAAATCATGTAGAAAGTACTGTAAAGTTACCGTAATTTTGAGTTTCAAGACGAATTTATATTAAAGCTTTTAAAAAATGATAATTTTAATCAGTTACAATAGAAACCCTTTACTCACGTGTCGATTGGAGTAGGAGAACGGCCAGAAGAACGGCCGTTTCGCGTCGCATCGTGAAGCCGATCGGGCTAAAAAATGAAGAACGCCGGAAGACGGTCGTTTTATTGCCTTAGGGCGTTTCGAACTGTGTGGGCGATGGTTGCAAAAAAATTCTTTTGGTTTGTTTAAACAAATCTGCATAGTGATCAGATTGGGATGATGATAAAGCAACTTGGTAATACTATACCTCTTTGGGTGGCTTCTGTTGATTGATGAATGAGGATTGGGTTTGAAGATTTGAGGATCTGAAACCAAAAACAATATAATTTTAAAATAAATACAAAAATACATGTTAAGGTATCTGACAATTCTGAGTAGGTTTTGTGTCAATGTAAGGGGGTCTGTAGAATTTTCACCGGCGAATATTACAGGTTCAGGGATAACAAGCAGCATCTTTAGGAAAGCAAAAAAAAATTTTTATTTTAACCCGTTATAATAAATAAAATTGTTAAAGCCAAAAAGATTTGATTTTTAATATATTTATTTTTGAATGTTGTTATAAAGAGCTTACAACAACATCTAACTAAGATGAGATTACAAAATGACTCAAATTGAGTTAAGTTTATTTGAGAAGGTTGTCAATGATCTCTGGTGGCTTTCGCGTCTTCTGTGGCCATCGTGATGTAGCTTCACATTCAATTTGAGTTACTAGTTCATCTCTAAAAGTAAAAAATTTTATGGGGGAGTAGAGATACTGTAACTTGTTGGGGAGTGATACTGTAGCTTGTTTTACATATTGCAATATCTAAACTTGTACAGTGGAACTCCTGTATAACAGAGGATTTGAAATTTGTTTGTTATACGGGATTTCCGTCATAGAGGAATTTGTCATACAGGGGTTCTACTACTGTATTTCTTTATCGAAAAAACAGTTAAAAAGTAGTTTTTTTGATTTAAAATTATTATTAGAACTTACACAAAAACAATTGGAACACCTCGTATTTCAATATGAACAAAATCATTGTTAGATCGCCGTACCAAGTATTGCTCTCGGATTTCATCAAGTTCGGTGTCTGATATGTTGGCCTATAATAAAAAAATTACTTGTCTTACATTAAATGTATTACACTGTTCATTATCTACAATATGTAACTTACATTGATCAAATTGACGGAAAACACAATGCTATCAATCTTAACATCAAGCCTTCTGAGATACTTAATGACATAATTAAAGGTTTTCCTCAGTTTTTTGTATTCTGTCACTACGGAGTTGGCTGTCTGTAAATGAACTTTTATATAAGACATTAAGGTCTAAAGTAATAGTAAAGGGAATTACAAGGTATAACACACCAACTTACTCCATTCTTAAAGCAGACATTGTAACCTCCATTCAGTTTGATGACATTAACTAAAGGGTTGGCCATCCTCAAGTTCTTGGCCACTTTTTTGTAAAATGCTTTATTACTAACATTCTTATCTTGAACTCCTTGCATGTTCAGTTCAATATAGAGTTGATTAGAGAGGTCTGGTCGAGGTAAATGTAAATGATTGTTGTCGTAAAACTCTTCCAAACTTATTTGATTATTGTGTTTCGTAGCGTATACGGTATCTAAAGGTTGTTTCTGGTAAAATATGGTTAAAAAATAAGCTTATTCTTTTAAATTTCTGATAAAAAACAAAACTTTCAAGTTTAAAAAATCAATTTTAAGTGCTTTTAAACGTATAAAATATGAGAAAAATTGATATTGTTATTGACATTCGACTTACCATCAAAGATGCCATTGCCAAAGTCTAAATTGCCACCAACCACTCCACAAATCGAGGCTATTACTATAAACAGAAACATTGTCAAGGTGTAACTTTCAAGACATTTCTCGAATTTCGAACAATTCCATATTAAGTTTTTTGAGAAAAGCGAAAAAAGACGGATTGATGAATTAGGTTAAGTAACACACAAAAACGTCAATTTAGATCAGCTACTTTGCTCGCTCGGATCAAACATGTGAATTGACTAGCTGAATGGCGGTTAGAAGCACAATTATTGGTAAGCTAGGCCAAGTGGTAAGAAAATATACAGTGGATGGGGATCATGTACCTACTGTTTGCCTTGCCTTGCCTTGCCTTGCCTTGCCTTGCCTTGCCTTGCCTTGCCTTGCCTTGCCTTGCCTTGCCTTGCCTTGCCTTGCCTTGCCTTGCCTTGCCTTGCCTTGCCTTGCCTTGCCTTACCTTGCCTTGCCTTGCCTTGCCTTGCCTTGCCTTGCCTTGCCTTGCCTTGCCTTGCCTTGCCTTGCCTTGCCTTGCCTTGCCTTGCCTTGCCTTGCCTTGCCTTGCCTTTTTTTTTGCCTTTGCCTTACCCTGTCCTACCCAATAAATAATACTTCGCCAAATATCATTATAATTGACATCCCTTTCTTCGTATAAAACAGAAACAAAAATAAAAAATAAAATTTCCGGTTGGTGTTTTGTTGCTTTTTGTTATTAGTATTATAACGTATGCAGCTGTATGCTTCTTCCCTTCGCCTTCTAATTGTAAGTAACTCTTGTCGAATATGCTAAATAGCAATTTCAGTATTCCTACTACGCCATTACTTTATTTTTTCAACATTATTTTTACATTTCTCATATAACATAGCCAAGTTTTCAAAAAAACTGTTGAAATGTGTAAAAGTGCATTAAAAACTGCAAAAAAGTGGCGAAAAGTGCATTTTTATTGTTTGAAAAGTGTGAAACGAGTAATTATGAGAAAGATTAAAAACGTGTTATTCGAGCTTAACACCCTTTGCCTCAGGGATTTTTGGCTTTTTCGACTCTTTTTCTTGTAATATTACTGCTTTACCGCTCTTTTATTACTCTTTTACGGCGCTTCCGTTTGTTGTTTTCCGCTTAAACTGTTAAAGTGACGGATTAAAAACCTATTTTCATATCAAATTTCCTCGTTTTTATATTGTTATAGGTAAAAATGAATTTGGGGGTTTGAGGGATTTTACATTATACAGTACTTAATATAGTAATAGGGCTAGTTTGTATGTAATGTATAGGTAACTGACAATAAAAAGGTTTACTACTAGTTCTATTAGTAAATTATTAAAGCTATATGCTCTACTTTAAGCTTAGGCTGATTATTAACCCTTCATACGCCCAAAATTAAACTTACAGTAATACAATTACTCTTTGCTCTTACAATACTACGAAAGCTAGGCTAAAATAATTATAAAAATTGACTTACAACACATTTTTAATTAAGTTTAGTACTAGAAAAAACACTTTTAGAGGAGAATGATAAACATGGAGGCCTCTAGGAAGCTGGACGTCAAGTTAGACCTTTTGAATCCAGAAGTCGATGAATTGGCTCCAATATTAAGTGCAGAGCTCGAAGCCTACTTTGGAGACTACGAAATTGAAATTGTGGATTGTCCTGGTAAGTTACAGTACTTTTATGGGCATTTATGGATGGTTTGGTATATTGTAGTAAATTTTTTATATTGTAGTAGGGTTTTGTTATATTGTAGTAGGTTTTTTTCCAATCAAAAAAATGTAATAAAATTGTGTTTTCACAAACACTTTAAAAATTTAGTCATTAATAAGATAATAAAAATGAACTTTAGACCTAACAAGACCCCCATTCAAAATGACAAGTAAAGGCTTTGGACCAGACCTCAGAATCGCTGAAGTTGGTGGAGTTGGAAACCTATATCCCAGGATACGAAGGGACAAGTTGTATAACCTCAAGGTTTGTTTATATTCTTTATTTCATTTTTTTCAAAATTCAATCGTAACGCTTCGAAATGTCAAAAAAAGACTTTTTTTCATTTATTTTACAATTGTTAGTCAATCCACATTTTTAGTGGTATTAGTCTATCTTTGATTAGTTTTTGACATTTTATTTGATATGTTATCTTATTTGTTTTTCCATTAATATTTTACTAATTTTATGCCATTCTAGTCAATATGTGACCTATGCGACCTCCCAAACGGCTCAGTCTTTGGCCCAGGCGCGGGTCCTCGTACATCGGTCGGTGTGAACTGTGAAATGGTGGCTGATGCTAATTTCAGTCAAGGCACGGTGAACACAAGGATTGGCAAGATCAGTGGTGATTCCTTTGTTCAAGAGACGACCTGTGATCCTTGCTTTGGATTGCTGGCCAATTTAGCTGTTTCTTCTGGCCAAACCAATCAGGTTTTGAAAATTGTGGCCAGGAATCGACTGACTGACTATTCCTTTCCACATGCGATTCAACAAGCTTTGTTTAATCACTACAGAGCCAAATTGGTGTCGATGGCTGGGGTTTTTGTTCAGAAAAGTGGAGATGCCAAGATTCATGTGATGCCAGACTTTCCCGAGAGAGATTTCAGTTGTTGGGATGAGGTAGGACAAAGTTTTTAGGTTTAAATGAAGCTTTAAAATGTCTAAAATGTCTATCTAAACGATACAATACAAAATTTCTTCCATATACTTGCTATTTTATGCAATGTAAAGATTATAAAACTAAATTATCAACTTTTTTAGCCTAAATATCAGGTCTGAATCCACCTTTTTCTTAATTTCATATACAATATTTTAGGAAAGGGCCTGGCTCCGCCACTTCAAAGCCACCTCACCATTAATATGTTGCTCAGTAATTCACTCCGTAAACCCAGGAATTGATCTCAGGCTAGAACACACACATTGTTATAGTGATCACGGCGACGTTGGTCATTACTATATTGATTTAGATCCGGAAACTGCCGAATTCGAAGGGTATTTTAGTCCAGCCAAAGTTTTGTACAGAATCGACCAGATTGACAGTAAAGGAAGGGAGAAGTAATTTTTTGTTGTTATGGGTATTGTTGTATGTTATATTTGAGATTAATGGTATAAAACTTGATATATAAATTTAAGGATTATATACGACTGTATGACCAAAAAACAGTGATTGAATAACACATTAAAATAAAGTTTTATAACAGCTATTGAATACATGAAAGACGTCTCACTCATGATAACATTCGAACGTATCTAAAGGCTACTTCAGATAGTGTTATCAGTCCGACTGATCATCACTGAAATCATTTCCAAAACTTTTGTCTCTTTTTATTTTTGAATTATTTTAAGATGTATTAATAGTTATTGTGTAATTTTTAATCTTTAATTATGTAAGAAATAGAAAAATAAAAATTTTAAAAATAATTCTTTACTGTAGTGGTACCTCGTATTATATAGACTTTTAGCAATATATATGTTCTTACGTATACAACTCTGCACTAGCTTTGTTCTAGACCTCTAATTTTGCCCTGCAGCTGCAGGGAATGGTTCTAGCTTAAAATTTTCTTGTTTGCAGCCTGCAAACAATTCTTTGCTCTGGGCGCGAAACGCCGGAATAATTACAGATTTTGTAAAAAATAAAATTTTATTTGAAGTTTTAGTAACATTTTTGTAATTTCAGTAGTTTTTTCTTGATTGTGTTTTATTCTTCTTTGATTTTTGGAGAAATATATTTTTCATATTTGGTTTACTTCATACCTAAAAATATAAATTTCCGTCTTAACTTACCCTTTTTTGCTTATTCATCCGTTATAAGACCCTAAACAAAGACTTTTTCCTAGAACTTCCTTTCCCTCTTTTTTGCACCACAATTATATACTCGTACCTCCAAAGTGGCAAACACTTTCTCCTGTTTCACACGCCAATTTCCATTTTTTGCATTTCGAATTTGGCTACTGAAAAAAGAAAGAAAGAGCTGTTTATTTGGCCAAAGAAACGGATAATTTGCACTGTTAACATGTTATTGTTTTCTTTAAGGGATGTTATTGTTTGTTTCAGTATTTTTCATTAATGTTCGCTATATTCATCTTGGTTGGGTTTGCAAAAACTTTGTTTGCGCTCGCCTGTAAACCAAGTTTTAACATTTATTGATGGATTAAAGATGTTTCTTGGAAGTATGGAGCCACTACTAGGGTTATTTTAATGCTGCGAGGGTTGAAACACTATTTTTTGAGTTTTCTACTATTGTAAACTGATGTTTTAAGTAATAAAAGTTAGTATTTTTATGTATAGGTATTTGTTTTATGAAATATGTCTTCAAATCACGTCTGATTTAATTAAGAACGCGTCAGAACACTTTATTAAGGTGATAACATTTCGCTTTTTGCAATAAAATGGTGCCAAAGTGATAAGAACCCTTCATTAACACAATATTTTAAGTCTTTGACACAATATTTTATGCTTTTGACACAATGTTCCAAGCCCTTATCACTATTTTCCAAGCCATTATCACTAGTTTCATCTTATTAACGCTATATTTCGAGCCTTGTTAATCTTGAGCAATAAAGTGGAGAGGCGTGGTCTGTTTGCTCAAAGGTTTTGGGCTTCAGTTTGTGAACTTGTAATCTTGTATTATTAGTTTCTGCTCATTACAACAAACGTTTTATCATATTTTACATGAGGAATGAATTTTGTTTGTTTCTTTGTTTCAAAAAGTTTTGTCATTTTGTATTGATTTGGTGATTGTAAACAAAATAATTTCATATGAATATGATTTTTGATGATTTTAAGGGATGAATTGTTAAAGAAAAGCTTGTTTTTTATTAATTTTTGATGATTTTTCATTCATTTTAAGATCTATTAGATTGTTCAAATAATTCAGAACCCCAAAAGTTTGCTTTGGGAGAGGGCGCAGAATCATTTTAACAACTAATATTGAACAAGGGAAAAAGGACCGTATTTTAACATAATTATGAAGAATATATTTTTTTTTCAAATTTTCTTTTGTACATTTCATGAGATTTATCTTCTAACTTGTACTTGATCATGTGAATGTTATCCACACACATTTCCGTGTCATTTACAAGCTTCATGTGGTTGTAGATCACATTTCCAACGTATTAATCGCTCTTTTTTGGTAAACCATCACTTACGTTTTGTATCTTTTTTGTTTTAAACAGCGCTGTTTAAAAAAGTTTAATAAAATGTGGTTTTCAATAGTTGGCAACCTTGTTAGTAAAATGTAAAAAATAAAATTGAGATTTAGTCTAGATGATTCATTTTCGTATTTTACTTTGGAGCTTTTGAGAAATTTTAGATTTTTTTAATGTTTCTAATTACAAATGATTAAATATTAATGACTTTTTGTGATTCAGATGATTTAGTTTTGCGTTTAAATTACTAAAAAATCGTCTATTAATGATTATATCTTCATATTTAGTTTTAAATTTTAAAATAGGTCTGTGAATTAGTTTTTTTTGTCATAGGTCGTAGTAAATCTTGGACGCAAGGAAGGGTTTACCTATAAATTTGTCAAACTCAATTTTTTTAACTTGGGGCCTTGGTTTGAGCTGCAGTCTTCGCGCCCACATGTTCAGACCTGGCTCAGCCCGGCCTGGGATCTTACAGGTCTAAGATAGGGTAATTTTGTGTTCTTTACTTTTACTCTGTCATTTTTGAGATAAGGCAGGGCATTGCAGTTCAAATCCTTGCCATGCCTTGTAGTATTTCTTGTTATATATTTGCCTCTGACAGACTAACAATCTGTAAAGGTTATGTAGCACGATTGTTCGCGTTCAAGACTGGTTATATAACAGTACGATTTATTTACAATTTACTGTCATTTTCGTGTTTTCATTTCTATTTACTTATAAACTATTTTCTTGCAGTTAACAATGTCTGGTCCTCAACTAGAAGACAGCGATGTCATTCAACAATGTAAAAAAGTGATTGGAATGTTTAACGGAAAGCAAGTCAACTTTTGGTTTGTCAGAACTCCTGAGTTGTAAGTTCATTGTTTCTTATACAGAGAAAATGACAATAATTTCTTAATATATGGAATTTATTATATGCTCCATGAGGTTTAACTAAGAAAGTTGATTTTATTTTGACACAAATTGTGAAAACTATCTGTCGAGAAGCTAAAACAGTTTTGGCATTGTTTGCACAGTAATTAACGTTTACTATGACGCTAGCAGACGGTTCAACAAGTTTTTCGATATCCTGAAAATACACGTAAAAAATATGTTATTTTTGTCTTGAAAAAGGTTTTTGAAAGAATAAAATTCAATTTGTAGTCTGTAAAATTACAGATTTGTTGAAAGGGAAGTTGCTCAAAGTACAAGTAAAAATATAATTGTGAGATCTTTTTGAAACCTATTTATCATCACGTTACAACATAATTTATCAATTCTATCAATGATTAATTGACAATTTTGTATGCTAAAAGAAAAATTCTTACTTTATATACGTTTGATTGAAATAACACTGTAAAAATGAATTCTACAGTTTGTAAAACGTGGTTACAGAAGTATAATAACCTAAATGAAAACGTAAACATTTTAAGCTTAAAATTTTAGCTTGATCGATGCAAAAGACAATCACATTCCAATCCCAATCGGCCACTTGGGTGTAATCTGTGACCTGGCCTTGGCCATTGTTATTGGAGCTGAATTAGACCATAATTCAGGCCGAGGTGACATTAAGAACGCTATCAATGGCTATGGAGCTGTGTTGGCTGCTAGGACAAAGTAGGTTTTAAAACCGGTTTTAAACTATTAGGTTATTCAAATAATTCTGTGCTTCTTTCAAAGCAAATTTTTGGGGTTAAGGGCCATAGAACTATTTGAAAAACCTAATATTTTGTTTCTTCTTTACATAGTTTGAAGGTTTGAAAAGTAGATTTTAATGTAAAATACGGGACATGATGGTTTCACAACTTTTTTAAATAACCAATATAAATCGGTTTGAAATTTTAGGGATTCTGAATACGAAGACCCAGAAGGCACTGGACTTCACAAAATCCACGAGTTTTCGGATGGAACTGCTCTCTCCACCTTGGTTAACACTCAATATGCCACTGGAATCGAGCAAAGCTCTGTAAGTTTACAACTCTTCTTTTTGTGACATTAATTTTTTATGTCGACGCAAAAAGAATGGCATTTTGTAGCAAAAATTTGTATTAGACTTGTTAAGTAGGTTAAGCGGGTTGGTTAAGCGATATAATTTCAAGCTGAACTGTGGGTTTATTTTGCTTACTTTTTGGCCTAAAAAGGAAATCACAAATTAATAAAAATCATTTTTATTTTAAAATGTCAAAGAAAGTCAAAGTACAAATTGATATTACAAAAAGGTGTCCACGAGGTTTGAAACCGGCTGACAAGTCCCGTTTCCTTGTTCTAGACATTTTATTGTTAATATTAGAAGAATCGATCAAAGAGTGTTTAAAAAGCTTTCGAAATTTGATAATTAGTTCAAGTAATCCAATATACGGTTTAATATCGATTATAACATTGATCTGAATTAAAATTAATCTATCTTATACTTAACATTGATATATGCATTGTTATACTTTAGGTATGGTACTCAGTAAACGACAAGGTACAGAAGAAGATCAATATCGCTGATCTCCCTCATGACCCAGTCTCTTTGGTGTTCGAAGCTTTGAAATGGGGAAAGCTACAGCCAGGAGACCTTGTCCTGTTCATGGTTGATGGAGATAACTACTGTAAGGCTGGAGATACGATCGAATTAGGCTTGGAAGGCTTCCTACGATCTCAATTTACCGTGGAAAAGATGAGCGAAGTTCAGGCAGCCATCAACCAGGACCTACATCGACACGAAAAGATGGTTAGACATGTGGTCGACGAACTTTTGGACCATTAAGTAATCCACATCTAATGTTTACAGTATGTTGTCGTTTTACAGTAACTTACTTTTTATTAGTAATATACTTAATTTTTTAACAAAAAACATATCATTGTTTACTTTGCTTTTTACTATGTTAAATATCAGTAGAATCTAGTAAAATTATTTTGTTTTCCTTATGACATTTCACTCTGTGAAGGTTCACTTACTGCACCTAGAGGTTTTAATGTAGTGTTATGTACGTATCGTTCACTTATCTTTACTTTATGGTATTTTTATGTAATTTTGAAAGCAATTATGATATAATCAGGAGCATTTACTATAATAAACCTTATTTTTTAATATTCTTTTTTATATAAATTAATTTATTTTTAATAGATAAAAACGCAATAACATTTTTCCACCAAAAAACCAAAATCTCGTTATCAATTCATAACAACTTTACTACTTGTAAGTATTTCAACAAATGTAATGTACAATATGGAATGTTATAAAAAGTAGACCGACTAGAAAAAGGTGAGGTACAAAAATGTGAAGGATAATATTATTATTATTAACGTAAGTTATTAATTATGGTTTAAATAGAATATGAAAAATGATAGAAAATTAGGTAAATCTACATCAAATTTAACGTGAATTTAAATTGAAAGTAAATCAACATCAAAATCGAGGTCAAATAAAATAATTGAGGTATATCAACATCGAAATTTTCGGGATGAATAACAAAAATTGAGGTTAATAATACACAAAATTATATACAATGTAAGAAATACTGAATAAAGCTACCGTAGGTTAAAAATCACTTTTCGCTAGTCTGTCGTTTCTCGTAGACCATGTTGTAGTCGGGGAACAATGTGCGAATGTGCGCCTTGTCTTCCTAAAAAACACATAGTTAAGGTATTAAGGTACTATATCAATGGCTTATATACAAGGTAACAAATCAAAAGTACATCATGTTCAGTTTAAAAATCAAAAATTCTACTGACTTTAAACTTTTTATTCCTTAAAACCCATTTCACAATTGGTACAGTAAAAAGCCATCTTTTACTTACCGGAGTCACCAAATACGGTTCTTCAGTTGGATCTTTGAAGGGCAAAATCGCTTGAGCACGCCTTAATATGTGCATAACTTCTTCGTATGGAAAAGGCTGGGACCTTCTTAGATTTCTCATGAAGAAGAACAACTCGTCCAAGCTGAAGAATTCAATAAATCATTAAAAATATATTATCCATTTTTCAAAAAAAAGATTAAAAAGAATGTCACTTACATTCCAAGATTTGGCGTTGGATTCAGCCAGAAGTCATACTTCTCCTCAAGACTGTCAAATCCTCTTCTGAACTTAAGTAGGTGAAGAACCATGTAAAACCAAGATTCCATATCGTCAAATGGAACTTGATCAACGTTCTGGAAAAACACAGTTAATTAGACATTAAGATACAACTATAAAGGCATTAATAAACCAAAATTAAACCATCACGGTTCAGGACTCTAACCTTATACCCTTAATAAGCTGCATTTTTAATTCAACCTAACGCTGTTAAATTCGCAGTTAATATATCAAAATACCTACTATATAATGAGCGGCTATTGGAGCGTAAGCATAAGTGCCAAACACGTATCCTCTTCTATATTTTTCCATCGAATTGATAACATTAATGTCTAGTCCAACTTGTGCCGCTTGGGTTGCGTAGCCAAAGTCACAACAAACGACATTGTAGTCTCGTTCATGGAATCCTCTTTGGAAACAAAAGTTGGCCGACTTGACATCTCTGACCACGAATCCTGCGGCGTGAATGAGTCGAAGGTTGTTCAGCGACTAAAACTTTAATTTACACTATAAAAATACATTTCTTTTGCACAATAATTGAAAAATATTCAAATTGTCTCTTAATAAAGGTATAGCAACAAGCTAAGACCATATTGCAATGTAAAACCGACCTTCATGGCAATCCTCAGGACAGTACCGACCGTGTAAATTCGATTGTAATCGTTGATTTCCCGAATACATCTTCCCAGTCGTTCGGACACAATGAATGGATACCTTTGTCGAGTAAAACCTTCGTCATAGTATTGTGGACTGAACTTTAGCCCACACTTATTGAAGAATTGTGTCAAGTGTTTCACTGCGAACAGCTATAATAAATATTAAAAGTCATCCTCAATAAAAACTACAAAACCCACCTAATTGATTCGATTTACTATTACTCATACAATTCGACATAAAACACAACGTATTTTACTTTTCAAAAAGCATTACAAATAATATTTCCAAAAATATAACTTATTTTACTTTGTTCAACTCCTCATAATCAACAAAACCTGAGCTCTTAAACTTCAAAAAAGAATACTAACTCAAAACAGCCTACCTCTCGATCAACTGCGTTAGATCGACGTTGTTTGTAGACCTTTATTACAGCTGTCTCCTCATTGAAACGACAATGATACACTTGGCCTGCAACAACGTCAGTAAAAATATATAAAATAAACACATAACTTAGTTCAATAAATAAATGCTATAGTAAAATATGACAAAAACTATCTAAAACATGTCAACTTAATCCCATCAAGAATCTAAACTCACATTGTCCCCCATTTGCAAAATGATGATTAAGAGAATAGAAAGTTTTGCTAATATCACTCATGGCTACGTCTTCCAACTTCTTGTTTCCATTACTATCGTATTTACTACTACAAGGCCTTCTGCTCATTTTTCTAGTTTTATCGCTTCGTCCTCTATCGATTCTTAAAACTTCAGTTCTGTTTAAACTCTTTGAGAGTTACGATATTGTTATCAAATCGGTACAATTAAAGTGGCACTCCTCGTAAAAGATGAAAGTTAGTAAAGTTGAGTTCGCTGGTTAGTACCAATACCTAAAAATAAAGATACTTACCTAAATCAAAGATTATATACAAAACATGCTTAATATGTAATGATTAGTATCATATAAATATTAATAAATAAAAAACAGCAAAAATAAAAAAGAGCGGTACAAAGACGTAACAACGTCAACATAGCTAAGCAACACAACAAGCACATACAACACACAATTTATTCACAAGTAGTTGTACTACAACACTTGTTGGCATACCATAAAAACTATTTGAACAAAAAATATTACAAGAACAAAACGTACAATAGTAGTAGTTAAACTTAACATATAACCAAACATCAGCACTCGGCCACAAAATACAAGCTCCAAACCAATAAACATCAAGTAAAGCATAAGATAAAAGTAGTGAAAGTAATGCAAAATTAAAAATTAACAAAACTAAACGTAAAAAGTTAATAATATCTAAAATAAGTTAGTACCACACCATCAATTACGTTATCGCCTCAAGCACATCGTTAAGTTGCGGCCGAAAGACTTCATTGTATTTGGGAAATACCTCTGTAATCGCTATAACTTGGTTTTCATATTTAAACTGAAAAAGACTAAAAATTAAAAAAAGTAAATATGCAAACTGCAAAAACTGTTATGGTGCAAACATAAACGCAATATTTTGAATACATGATATATTTGACAAAAGACTTACATCGTGGTGTATAGCATACGGTAAATTCGTAGGATCCTTATAAGAAAGCGAATTTATTTTGTCATTTATAATCTTTATCATCTCATCGTAGGGAAAAAGTTGGTTCCTTCGTATCTTCTTCATGAACACAAACATCTCGTCTAATCTAAAATAAAATAATCAACTAAATAGGCTTTAAAGTAAATATAAAAATCACCGTATTAAACTTCGCAAATTGAAAAAAATTTTAAATTTTTTTCTTTTTAACTTACAAATTTATATGGAGATGATCAGGACTCCAAAAATGATACTTGTCATTAACAGTGTGAAAACCTTTATCCTCCAAATAACGAGGTTCACGTGCCAAGTGGTAGATCATGTAAAACCACGATTCCATGTCATCGTAAGGTAACTGTGAACCAATCTAAACATATTTTTTTAAAAATAGTTGTTAACATCCTCTAAATTGAATAAAACATACATTTATTTCTACAGAAATAAAACATATAGACCCTTACCTCAAAATGAGAAGCTCTCGGAGAGAATTGAAATGTTCCGCTGACCCTTTTAGTAACATACGTCTCTAGCTGTGGCACATCAGGAGCACCTATAAAGTCCTCAGCTTCGTATGCAGCAGAAAGACTATAATCACAACACATGACTTCAAATAGTCGATCCGCGTAAAGCTCGGTGAAGCAATAGTTGTCGGCCTTGACGTCTTTAATCACCATCATGACTTGGTGAATCCCTCTGAGGTTCTCTAGCGACTAAAACAACACAATGTACATTGCTGTTGTATGATGTACAAAACCAGAAAAACATACAAAAGTCTTACTCTTAAAGCAATCTTCAACACTGTGTGCTCAGTAAATTGAACAATCTTTTGGGTTACTGCGCTTAACGTAGGCCCCAGCCGTGCAACCAATAAGAAGTTCAAGGTATTCGCTCTATCTTTGGCAATCCCAACATCAAACAATTCCGGGCACAAGCTAAGACCATGTTGTCGTTGATAAGCCGTGATACGTGTTAAAGCAAATTTCTGAAAAAAAGCATTAAAATCAATGTTATATTCGTTGCAACGTCACAAGCATCATTAATTGTAAATTAAACGCTACTTTTAGTCATATCTAACAAACTTATGAAAATCTTACAAGAAACGATCAACCCACGAGTCGTACCTCTCTTTCAAACCCAGTGTCATGTATATAGATCTTTACAACAGCTGGAATCGTATTATATACCGCCAAATAAACCCGACCTAAAAATAAACAATAAAACGTAAAACAACTTACAGTAACTGCCCCCACCGACAGATTCACCAACGTTGTAAGTGTTAGTTTCTGAGACAGCTGTAAACCTGCCAATAGCAACGAGTGGCTTAACCATACTGTCAAATCAATTCAAATCACAGCCGTAACAGGATAAAAGTATTATGATAGCATAACGTAACGGATAAAATGTGATACCTGTAATCCTGCAAAAATTTAAAATATTATAATTATTCTAAAACTACTCGATGCAAAAAAAGCGAATAGCATGTAAAACAGCAATAAAATTAACTTTCATAAATAAAATACCCCCAAAAACACCAAAACACACTATTCATCATAATGCTTTAGTTTATACCTTATGTTATACATTTTTCTAATTTTCGGATAGAAATATTCGTCCTCGATGACATAAAAATTAAAAGTTCGATGACTTTCTTCGAATTTTCGAAAAATATATTTATTTTCGTAAAACATTGCTAAACGTGCTGCGTCCCGTCACGAAAACGAAACGTTTCGCCAAAACTTGCAGCTACGGTAGAAAAAGAGAAAACAGCCTTTTTCAGCGAAATAAAAAGATTTTTTAAAATTTTGGGTAAATTCCGTCGTTTTGGTTCGATTTCTGGGTGATTGTAAGTTTATTTTGTTTCTTTGTTTTGCTTTTAGGATCTAGAAGGGATGTTCAACGAATTCGTCGATTTTTTATACGGAATTTTGGGGAAATTTGTTTTTCATATTTTCAATACTTCTAATTCGAGTAAAGGATGTTGTTTTGGATATAAATAGTTACGAAATTGTTTTGAAATAGTATTAGGAATGGTTTTATATGCCTCTAGTATTTATATTGTTACTCATTTATTACGAAATGGTCGAACTGTACATTTTCAAATTATTTAAAGTTTTGATATTGGAAGCCTTCAATAGCTTTTAGCGTTTATTATTTGAGAAGGTCTTACAGTTTTCTATTACAATGTATATCTATTGATCTTTAGTAAAGTTTGTGGATAAAGATTTGAAAAATGTGTATCTATTCTTTACACACTAATTTGAGTTTAGATACGTTTAAAACTTATAAAAGTAAAGAAGAACACGTGCTTCTTTTCGTCTTTACCGATTTATGAAGTTCGAGTATTTTATAGTATCTTGTTTATATTGTACATGATTTCAGGGCTAATTACACAAAAATGCCTTTGGCTCGTGATTTACTGCACCCTGACCCGGAAAAGGAACGCCAGAAGCACAAGCTGAAGCGATTGGTTCAGCACCCCAACTCTTTCTTCATGGATGTCAAGTGCCCCGGATGCTACAAGATCACCACCGTCTTCTCACATGCTCAAACCGTTGTTGTCTGCGTGGGATGTTCGACAGTTCTCTGCCAACCGACCGGTGGAAAGGCCCGACTCATCGAAGGATGTGCTTTCCGTAAAAAGGTTCCATAAGTTTATGGTTTCAGCGTTTTTTGTTGGCTATATTGTTTTCTTTATGTTATAAATTTTAAAAAAATGTTTTTGGGTATGTTTATGTTTTAAAGTATTAGTGATATGACTAGGGAGGTATTAGTTCAAATCTAATATATTTACATACTAATTTTGCAAGTTGAGGTTTTTAGTTCTTGTTGCTGTTGTTCTATGTTATTGTAAGTAACTGTTTCAATATAGTTTGATCAAAATCTTAAAAGGAAAGAAGTATAGTTGACTAATTTTAATCAAATCCTTTGTAATATAAGCTTAAGCCAGCTCAGAACCTTGTGATAACAACTTTAATAAGCTACGAAAGTTTCATAATAATAGTGAGTCATTGTTTATATAGTTAGCTTGAGTATTTACTCAAATGCAGTCAGGTTTTGAGCAACAAACATTGTGTCTGTAACTTTGAGAGTAAACGCAGTAAGGGTAATCAACGAAAGTGCAGCTGTTGATGCCGAAGCATTGTAGTGGAAGGTTTGAGTATCCTGGGTACATTTTGATCTCTCCGGATTCTCCATCGATTGGTCCACAACAAATGTATTGTAGAATTGAGGGGCTGTACTCACAATGGAAGCCATTTGAACACGTCTGGGAGATGCAGTTCTTTGGTGTTGATCCACTCATTTCTACTCTGGCATTCGGGTTCCTACATTGGGCTATAAATGGGTATTTTAAGATACTTAAAATTTTGTGTGCTCATTTTAAAGTAATCACAATTCAAGACTGCTAAACATGTAAACTAGAGATCTACCTGGTCGTGGTTGAGGAGTCCATCCGTTTACTCTAGTACAGATGCCATTTTGACATTTGTATCCGCTGTCAGTAAACGTTCCCTCGCATTGTTCATCGTACATACAACGTTCTCCGAGACCAGCTCGTTGAAGACATTGGTTGTTGATTAGGATTTGGTTTGCGGGACACGTACCTATGTATAATTGTCATATGTCAATATGCGAGATTTTTGATAAAACTACTGTACTATACTGTTATTTCATAACAAAATATTAATTCTTTCAATGGATAAGGATTTTTATGTTTTGTAAACACTTCAATTGAAGTGAATCTCAAAGAAATATTTTTTTTTAATTAACTTTGAAAAAAAATATCTTACTGGGTACTGGAATAGCCCTGTCTTGAATGCATTGAAATCCATTGAAAATTTGGCCAAAATTGCATTTGCACTGTCTTTGATCACAAATCCCACCAGGGAAGGCACATTGTTCATTGTAGTCACAGTTGCCGTAATAGGACCGCAATGGGTAACATATTTGGTTGACTGATACTTCATTTGGCTGACAAAAGCCATTTATAGCTAAAGATAAATTTTGGCATATCTTTATATATCTTACTATTGTCATCTCTTTGTATTCCGTTATTGGGAAGACAAGTTTGTCCATTGAAATTGTAGCCAAACTGACAGTAACAGACATTTCCTGTACATTGTGAGTTGGCAAAGGCACATTGATTTGCTGTTGTACAAGATGAACCGTACCCGTTTGCTAAGGCTAAAAGAGTTATTGATCGTTGCAATAATTTTTACAATGTAAAAGGTATGGTAGGCTAGATTAGGGTAGAGTAAGGTAGATAAGGTAAGGTAAGGCAAGTTAAAGTAAACTAAAGTAGAAAACTTACAAACAGCATTAGAGCAACATTTTCCATTGTAACAGAAGAAACCGGTCGATAATCGTTGGCAAGATTGGTCTGTTTGGCAGTTTACTCCATTGTAAAGTTTTATCATACCAACTTCACATTCTTGGCTGTATACTGTGTTCATTAGGGCTAATAAAAGGATTGTGACAGTTGATGAAGATCTTGCATTTACAGGAGATTGAATTGACATTGTGCTAAAAACTTTTTAATCAATATTCATAGATGCAAAGGCAAATTTAAAGAAATTCCAAAAAAGTTAACAAAATAAATCCAAAGTTAAAAACAAAAAAAAGTTACAGTAACCCAAAGCCCGTTCCACGTTTTCACGTTCAGACTGTACGAATCGAAACGCGTTTTGTGATTTTAACCTCGTTTTTATGATTTTTGTTTGAGTTTCCCAGGAGTTAATACCCAGAAGATCTCGCTTAGGCTTAACCCCTCCCCTTGAGTTTGTTTGCCCGCAATTCTCACTTTTTAATTGTTCAAAAGTTTCCGGTTTCCAGTTGCCAACTGTTTACCCAATTTTGAACCATATTGTAAGTGAAATTCGTAAACACAATATTGTAGTTGTTTGGTACAACATAGTCGTTGATGTATGAATTGTAGCGTTAGTACCAGGCGACGTCTCTGATAGGACTGCATATCAGGTTTTATGTCAGGTTGTCCGAAGATAGTTGAGCCAAAAATTTTCAAAGTTAGGCGTTTTGAATGGCTCATCCATTTTCGGACAACATGATATTCAAATCTTGGAATATCACACAGCATAAGCTGCTCCAAATGCCGCGCATTGCATTGCTACTTTTGTATTTCTACCTCTGCCAAGTTCAAAGTAACATAGCAAGATAGCTAGTGCGATTTCGGGAATCAGAATCTCGAAACTTTGCGAAATAACGAGGTCAAAGCGAACAAAAAATGATAAAACAATAGAAAGAATGTCAGTAAGGGTTACTGCGACAAAAAGTGATGGAGACAATGGAAATTAACTCGCGTAATTGAGGGTTTGTCACTATAAAAGGTTGCTTTCCACCTCATGGCTAGTCTGTGGTGGCTTCGGATTCGGATCAGGCTACGGTAGGCTTCTGGTTTCCATTTTCTTTTAAGATGTTTTTGAATTGCAAGTGTTATTTTAAATATGTTTTAAATGTTCTTTTCCATTTTTAAAAACTCAAAAATTCAAAATTTCACTTTTAAAAGCTTTAAATTTTAAAAAAATCTTTCATCGTATAACATGTCCCCTTTTAGATGGGAGTCCAAACCCGGCGGATAGCCCAAGCGGCGTGCTTTGGAGCAGCGATCGTGATCTTCACAATGCTCTTCACAGCCTTCAACATCTACAGCGAGATCAACAAGATCCGTGACGATGTTATTGAAGACATGGGAGAGTTCAAGTACATGGCTAACGGAGCCTGGTCCAGTCTAATGAACCTGGACAAAGTAAGAGATGCCCAGAAGAAGACTTTCGCCGAACTGATCGGAAGAAACAAACGTCAGGCTTCGGAATGCAGATGCCGCGCCCAAGCCAGAAACTGCCCCAGAGGTCGGCCCGGTCCCAAAGGCTACGCTGGACCAAACGGAGAGCCAGGAATCGACGGTCCAAATGGATCGCCTGGCTTGGCTGGAATTGCTCAGATCAAAGCCTTGTACCACACCAACGTCAAGTGCATCCAATGCCCTCCAGGTAGACAAGGACCACCTGGACCATTGGGACCAGTCGGAGAGAAGGGCCATGATGGCTATCCTGGACTATCAGGACATCCAGGAAATGACGGATACCCAGGCCCACCAGGCCCATTGGGAGATCGTGGAGAAGATGGTGAGCCTGGATCAGAAGGTCAGCCCGGAAGAAAGGGAATGGACGGCCGGAAGATGGCCGAACGCATTCCTGGCCCACCTGGACATCCAGGCCAACAAGGACCCCGAGGTCATGCTGGATCCCCAGGAGAAGTTACTCCAGCCGAGCCTGGACCACCAGGACCAGAAGGAAAGATTGGTCATCCAGGACACCCAGGTCATGATGGTAGACCAGGTACCCCAGGCAAGCCAGGAAACCCAGGAGAAGACTCAGCCTACTGCCCATGCCCTCCACAGTCCAACTCCAACTCTCGAGGAGGCTCATCTGGAGGGGCGTCGGGAGGCAACGGTGGCTATGAAGCTCCAGTCTCTGTGGCCAGACCAGCCATCCCACCTCCAGCTCCGGTTTCAGCCCAAGACACTGGCTACGGTGCCGCTGCTCCAGCTCCGGCTCCAAGTTCTGGTTACGACAGTCCTGCTCCATCTCAGAATACTCCTTCTCCTGCTACAGCTGCTCCAGTCCAAAGTAATGCTGGCTATGGCCCAGCTCCAGACGCTCCAGCTCCAAGCTCCGGTTATGATGCTCCAGTAGCCAAAGCTCCCGCTCCTGCTCCCGTAGCCACAGCTACTGAAGAGCCTTACTTCCCAACCCCAACTAACACTAACAACAACTACAGACGCAGAAGATTGTTGGCCAATAGGCGGCCATAAGTTGGAGCAGCTAGTGTAAAATAATATTATAGTAGGTGTGTTACACATGGTATATTAAGAATAATCTGATATTGTTTGTAGAAACTTGTGTTGTTGTACAGAATGGAGAATTATTGTTGATTTACACTACTTTTATTTGGATTTCAAATAAATTTCGAACATGTTTCGTCGTATAACATGTCGCCATTAAAATGAATATCAAAATCTGCGCAACAAAATTTTGTTTTTTCAAAATTTGTCCTTGGGCATAAAATATTTTTTATTTTTTGTCTTGTTTTTGACTGTATAAAGTTTTACAAAGTGGTTTATTATTTTAGGTAACAAGGAAAATTTCTACTATTTGATATAAACCTCCCAGAACGTTGTTAGAAGTCTATTTTTTCATCAAATGTCCCGTGCGTTACAGTGTTTACCCTTTATTCATCCACTTCACACTGGTTTTCCATTTTTAAATTGTAAAAATTTTATTTTATTCACCAGCAATTTGGTCTACTACAATATCGTCTAAAAAAACTGTTTGCTGATAAACTTACGGCCCCAGCCTTGAAAAGTGAATAGCCGATAATGTGAATGTAAAACATTCCAAATTGCATGTCCATCTGCTCCGGGAGCGAGTGCGCGATGGCTCCGCTCCGAGGCCGCGACTCCGTTTCCCAAAAATAATTTCTTTCTCTTCGGATGGCGGGCGTTTCTTTACCTTTTGTCTCGCGTCCATAACGGCTTTGCTGGCAGCCAAGAAATTTTGATCCAACACGATCTTTGAATTTTATGTCATTTTGATAGCTATCGTGATAGGTTTTGTTGAAGTTGACATCGGAATATGTGATGTGTAACATATTCGTGGTCAAATCTTTGTGGGTTCGCGAGATGCGTCTTTTTTAATTTTTACGAGCCTGTTTGGTTTGTAGTATTCTTATGCGTTTGTAGAATATCTATGTTTTTTCGACGGAACTATCAGTTACTAGCAATATTATTTTAGACCAGTTGATTGCCACTTTGTGATAATTTTTGAAGCCGGCAATTTATTTGTGAAAAAATAGCTGCGTCTATGTTATAACTTACTATGTTAAACTAATTTTTCTGTTTTTTAAGCTGAAACTTAAAATTTTGAGCAATTTTTTATACTTCTATCTAAATCAAGAAGTTAAATGGAATTTAGAATGTTATTAACCTAAAACAGTGTTTCTAATTTTTAAAAAATTTAAATTCGAAATATTGTTGTACTTTTCATTTTGATTTCGTATTGTTAAAGTTGTTAATGTTATTTGCATTTTCCTCAACCTATACCTATTTCAGAAGCTACCTTGGGGATGCAAGCCGAATCGAGGAGCGGCTCACTGCAGTTGGCCTCCATGGCCCAAAACATGTACAGAGTTGGAGGTAAGTGTCATTTATTTTTGATTCATTCTGTTTTTAGATTATGTATACATTGATCTTCATGCCAACCAACCTTATGCCATCAGGAGGATAGAAGAGCTGAATAAGGTGGGTTTTATGTTAAGGAAGGGGTACCTAGTATTCAGTACAATAGGTACGGGCCAAATATTGTTTTTAATGATAAATTAAGGTTTTTTGTGTCTTCATAAAATTCATTATGGCTTTTAACTTGGTTTAGCATTGTTTTAGATAATAGAAAGAAATCGATTTTGAAATAATCTAATTAAACTATTTTAGAAGGATATTAGTAACAAAATTGTTAATTTTTGCTAGGTAACACTTTGTATGACAAATATATAAACCATTAGTTTAATTTCGAGTTGTTTTAGACATCCAGTGGCACAGTCGAAGCTAAAGTAGTAGCTTTTTATCGGCGCAGAGATCTTCCCGCCCAATTATTGAAAATTGCTGATAGAGCTGAACGACAAAACGAGATTCGTAAGTGTTTAAGACATGAATTGTCGTATCTTTAATACATAATGTTATTTACACATTTTTCTAATTTTTGGTCATAAATAAGCTAAGAAAGTTGATTATATAATGATAGGTTGTGTGTTTCACCCTGTTACTTTTAGAATTTCGACCACGCCGAAGTTTGTTATCTAAAAAAGTAAAGACAAATGGAGAAGAGACTTCTGAAGCTCAAACGAATGGTAATGGCGCACAACCGGAAGTAAAAGCAGAAGGTAAGGTTTTGTTTTGAATTCTTATAAATTTAGGTAACAGTTTTAGAGTATGGCATACGTTTTACGTTAATGTTAACAATATGAATTTATTCATTTTTTGAATCTTTCAGAATCAGATGCAAACAAAGACGAGAAAGAGCAAGGCTACGGTTTGGCTGGCCTTCCGTTGGGCGCCGAAGACTTAAACACAGAGCAGATTCATCAACTACGACAACATGAACTGTTCCTGTCTCGTCAACACGATACTCTTCAAGCGACAATGATAAGAGGAAAGTGTACGGTAGTTATGTTGAATGAAGTAGAAACCTGTGATTCCTACTTGGACCGAGAAGATGCCTTCTTCTACTCTTTGGTATATGATGCTTCGAATCAGACGTTACTAGCTGATAAGGGTAAGATTGATGTTGGAGAACGACATCAAGCTGACATACCGGATATACTGTCACAAGACGTAATAGACAAAGAAAGGGGACTAAAAGAAGGTGATGATGAAGAGGAAACGAGAGAGAACGGAGATCTCACCATCGATGAGAACGACGAGGAAAAGCCTGACAGACAACAAGGACGGAAGAGAAGGCACAGTCAGACATGTGATGGTGTATATGAGACAAGATACGAACAGATTGTCTATCATCCACATCACAATCTGGGAGGTCGGGATATCGACCAGTTCTTGATCATTGCTAGGTAAGAAGATTAATATCATTGCTTTTTGGGTTTTGATTTTAAATACACAAAAAATATGTGTTACAACATAAGGTTTATGAGACACAGTAACTGTAGGAATTGCTTTTCAGAGCTGTTGGTACATTTTCCCGAGCTCTGGACACCTCCAGCACCATGAAGCTACCTTCACTTCACATGACAGCAGCTGCGGCTTCACGAGATGTAACCCTCTTCCATGCCATGGCCGTGCTACACCAAGCCAAGTATGATATTGGCCAAGCTGTCAGGTATTTGGTACCTCCACCAAGCCGACAACACTATCCTTTGTTGGCTGACGAAGCTACGGGACATCATACTGTATCCCTTGGAGGCCCAATCCTCTGTAGAGATCAACTAGAAGAATGGTCGGCTTCTGAAGCCACGCTCTTTGAAGAAGCCATCGAGAAGTGTGGCAAAGACTTCCATGACATACGAAACGATTGTCTACCGTGGAAGTCACTGAAAGACATCATCGAGTACTATTACATGTGGAAGACGACCTCACGTTACGCGGACCACGAAAAGGTGAAGATGGCAGAAAAGGAGTCCAAACTTAAGCAGGTCTACATTCCCAACTACAGTAAGCCTCACGTCAACCTCCTGAACGAAAGCCAAGTACCCAAATACGAACATCCTTGCGAGAGTTGTAAGGCCGACAACTCGGCGTCGTGGTACTCGTGGGGGCCACAATCAGCTCAACTCAAGATTTGCCAAGACTGCTGGCAAATCTGGAAGAAGCACGGTGGACTCAAGAGACCTCACGAGTTCGAAACATACGATTTGGATGGGTCTGGGGACAGGAAAGGACTGGCCAAGAACAGGAATGGAGTCCCGGCCAAGGTCAGCCAGCACGTATTCCAGACGGCCAAAGGTCGAGGGGCTTTCTATTTGAATACCAACTTCCATGCTAGAGTGGCGAGAAGGTAAGTGTGGAATATTGTTTATAATATTTTGTGCTGTAAAAACTGCATGCATATATATTATATACGTATATATTGGGCTAGGTAAAAAGTTTTGAAAACAAATTCTTATTGGAGAGGGGTAACTTAAAGCTTTCATATCGCAAACAGGTCCAAGAATAGTTAGAGTTTGTGTGTTTTACACTTATAATAAACTTGTTTTCAGAATGGCACCGAAAGACATGTTTAACGTACGAAAATCAGCACGATCTCCACAAATTCCAATTGATTTCAACGCGGTTTACAATTATTGTATGTATTTTGCTTTTTTTAATTTACATTTTTGCCTATTTTTTGGGCATCAAGAAAACTATTCGTATTTTACATTGAGGTAAAGCTTTTTTACGTTAAATGGATAAAAGTCGATGTTAGAAACAAGTTAACTATATTTGTGTTTTATAATTACATTTATGTTTACGTTAAGATTCACGTATTGTAGATTATGGCCGCGAGTTACCGGAAGTCCTGAAAACGGCGCGCCAAATTAAGCACGACAAACCGCTGAATGCGAACGCCGTCGAAATACTAACCGGACTACACAACAAGTACGCCAACCGATAGTTGTTGCAATTATGTATTTATTTACTTTAATCACGTAACCTGATCTTATTATACCTAATTTTAAGAATTTCTGATTAATAAAGTTTTCGGTAACCTTTACATGGAGAAATTTGTATTGCTATAGAACTTTAACTTACTTTTAAGTATTTTTAAATGTAAAGATAAGCAAGTTCAAATGATAGTTGTATTAGTTTAATATTGTCATTTGTAGCTATGGTTTGTCACAAGTCGATAGTTTTTCAAAGTAATAATATTATTAAGCACCGAACCGAGCTTTGTGGTCTAGCAAATTCCTTAAAATAAAAATATTAGTCAGTACGTATTTTACTATTAACTTTGTTTCTAACCATTGATGACACTGTAGCATAAGGAAATTATAAACTACACTACTTTTAAATAAGAAAACAAGACTTGCCACGTGTTTTTGTCCACAAAATGGTACACCTTTGGCGGTTCAAAGCCATTGAATCGGCTTGAAGCTACATTAGTATAAGCTCCCATATTCGGATAAAGAATCCAGTCCCCTACAGTCATTTTAGACAGCTCTACATTTGTCTAAAACGATTTATTAAAAAATTTTTGATAGGATAGAACTAAAAACATAGATTTTTGAACCTAACTAACTCAAAACAGTGAATTCAACAATGAACTTATCGTATTTTTCATTAAAAAACCGTATTTTAAATAATTTTGCCTCTTTCAACCTCTAGTTTTAGCCATTTACCTACCTCAACCAAGTCCAGTCCGTCACAAGTAGGGCCCCACACATTACACTTTGTCTTTTCCGTCTCCATCTCGAACAAACTCCCTCCTTTCGGATGGTAATGGTCGAATAAGATACAATTAAACGACCCATATACACCATCGTTTATATAATAGGCCATACCAGACTTGTCAGCACCTTTTTGAGAAGTTATCTTCTCGATTGGGACTTCCACCGCTGATATTATGTTAGCCACGAGAGAGACGGGATGAGTGGCGAAGAACCGTCCTGGTTCGGCTATGATACGAACATGAGATGATGGAGGGAAGTAGATGTCTAGGGAGGGGTTGATCACGTCGGCTATCTTAAATTATGGTTGATATTACTATAATATAAGGTAGAGCACATTAAATTTTTACTAGTATTATTATAGATAAGATTATTTTAAAATTCTGTTCATAAAATAATTATTCATGCTACTATAGTGTAGTTTATGATACAGCTCATACGAATTAAATATTTAAATTCAAAACATTCAAAACGATTCCACTAATTTACTGAGTGAAATACCTGTTTAAATGTGATTTCTTCACTGTCATAGCCAGGAAATCCACCCCCAATGTCCAACAGATTCATCGTATGTCCATAGCTGTTTCCAACATCGAACAGGTCTTTGGCCGCCTTCAGAGCTCTTCTAAATGACACTGGATCCCTACAGCCACTCCCAACGTGGAACCTAGAACAATAGTTTAAAGATTGTTGTTAGCTCAAGGACAATCATCTATACCTACTCCTGAACTATATTTCCTCTTAAACTACATCGCCTCCCAACTCTTTTGTTATCCTTTTTTGGACCTTGGCTATGTTAACAACGTTAAAAACGTGATTCTTACGCGATTCCAAAAACTTCAATATCCATTTCCTTGGCCAACTTTAATAATTCTGGACCGACTTCAGGATCACAACCAAACTTTACACTCAATTGACATACCGCAGTAGAGTCGGATACTCCAATTCGTAACAATAGTCTATAACTCATGGATTAAGAGAGATTTTGAATTTTAATATGCTTTAAGCAAGGATATCAAAAACCTTATTATAATATAATAGTCTCAGTCAGCTAGACCTAAAAAACGATTGACATGGCCCGGTCCCTTTAACTGTCTACTTTCAGCAAGTAAAAAACGATATTTTTTTAAATTAGGTATAAATTGATAACAACTTACTGTGGACTAGCATGCAAACTCTTTATCTTGTACAACTCTTCTTTATTGTCAAAAGTCATCTTCTTAACACCAACATCGTTCGCATGCTGAACATAGGACCTAGTTTTGCATGGATTGGCGTAGATCACATGTTTCGGGTCTGCCAACTTGTTGTTTAAAATCTAAAACATTTAGTTTTAGTCAAAAGTGTAACCAAAATTTTTAAATTTAATTTTTTTGATTAGAGACAATATGTTTCGAGAGACATCTTGAATTGTGCGTATTTTACATGTAAGTTGTTTTTGGGGGTTATATGTAAATCTACATTACTATAACATCACGCTTACCATTTCCATTTCAGCTTTACTGGCACAATCAAATCCACAGCCTAGCTTGGACAAAAACCATAGTAATACTGGGTCGTTGTTGCATTTTACAGCGTAGTATGGCTAAAATACAGAAATTTATAGTTTACAAAGTCGCAAAAATATGTGTATAAATTAATATTTTTTTACAAATGTTATATCAAAAAGCCTTACTTCAACTCGGGCTAACCTCTTTGTCCATTCTGTGTAACGATTCAAAACTTCTGTCAGATTGAGCACCATAAATGGGCTGTCATCGTCCTAAAAATTCGACATTAATATTCTATGAAACGGCAGTAAAATTACCTAAAATTTGAAGGTAAAATGGCTGTTATATATAACTTTGGCATTCTGTTTCAAGCTCATAACTTTGTTAAATTTTAATAATTTTTTGATATATTATACTAGTAGAAAACCTTTAAATGAATCCAGATTTTAAAGTTGTAAGTAGCTTCTCTGAAAAGTAGAAAAAAATCCCTTGAAACACAATGCCAAGTGCGCCAAATTTACGGAAAACACATATTTAAATTTTAAAACTCAAAAGCGCGAACAAAATTTTTTTATATTCTACGTGGGGCAGGTTGAATATTGTTCTTGTCAGCTAAACAATAAGCCAGTACTACGGTGAAAGAAATGTTTTCTGATGTTTTGAAAAGAAAGAGGAATTCCAGAACTAAATAGGTATACCTTCAAAGTCTTTGCCAAAGCCAATTCTTGAGCCAGTTTTGTTGTACTGTAGATATTCTCAGTTACAGTGACTTTCCGGTCGATTTGCGATATCATTTTAACGTTGTCCATTCTCAATTACACTAAAAATATTAAACACAATTAAAAATCTTGTCATTACATCAATATTTACTAAGTATAATAGTAATATTAAGTTACAGATTATTATTATAATATTTATTAATATACTGTAATACAACCACTTACAGTAACTTCACTCCCACGGAGGTTTGGGTCGTCGATCGGAGTTGCCTGAGGGTAGAGAGGCTTCAAACGCGGCGGCTGAGGAAATCTCGTTACCACCGACCCACACGGAATGGGATTTCTCGACTGGTTGGGGTGGGTTAATTTTGGGCGTGGATCGAGCAAAGAGAGCGGTCAAAACCCAAACACAATGGGTTCGACCCTACAAATAGGTATTGTTATATTGTAAATGGTATAAAAACTACTTTACGCGTAATATACGGTAATTTACATGTACTATTAAACTAATATTTTTTTTGTACTGTACAGTACGAGCAGTATGATACTGGGTAGTATCAGTACCACAACATGATATAGTTTATATGGTAATTTCATGTATAATATATTATAAAAAAGTTTAAGAAATTATAAAAAACCACCCTTAGTGCCCCAAAAACGAGCTTAAGCTGCCCTGTCCACTACCTAGGGTTATATAGAAGTCTGAAATGTAGCCTGCCGAAGATGCGTCATGCTGAAATCTGGTAAATGTAACATTTCGTATCTAGAATCGCCTTGTTTTAGTGATCTTTTCTGGTTTTGGAGTGTCGAAAAGATCAAATAACGTTTAAGGAAAACCAAGAGATCAAATCATAAGACAATATATTCATTTTACTACGTCATAGGTCATTTACGCACTTTTACCACAACGTATAATTTGACTTACGCTACCCTAAGCTTGCAAAATTACTGTACACTATAAATCTAAAAATTTAAAATTAGAAATTGATAAACTATTTAAAATTTTATTTATATAACACTAACAAAAAATTATATTGTAGTAGATATTGACCCTCTAATCATGTTTATGACTGATTTAAAGTATCAAAAATGTGTGAAAAGTACTATAATACAAACTCTAGTGACAAGGTGATAAAAGTCAGTGCAATTTCCTTATTCAAATGCCAATCAAATGATTTAATCAGCAAAGACTGATAAGCCGCGTATTTTGAACATTGGCGGAAATATTAACATTACTTTCTGTTCTCACATCTTGTGATCTCTTATTACATTCAAATTAAACTGATTATTGAAAATAGGTAATTAACATAAGAATAAAAGCTTAACATCTAAATTTTAAACTTTTTTGAAAAAAAAATATTTTTAAAAACTTTTTGTAGTCCGTTGTCCGCGCCTAGCAATTTTGATTTTAAAAAACTTAAAAATTTTTTTTGGCAGTAGACGTGTAAAGGAGCCACGCCATTCAAGGAAGCCAAAAAACTCAACTTTTAGAAGCTTGGTTTCATTGCCCAAGTGTGTTGGTTTGGCCCTTTCAAAATTGATTCGAGCCTACAATTCATTAAAATAACATAGTACTTTCAATAGTGTTTCACTATTCTTATATTGTCAGCTTTCTAAATGTCCTATGTAATAGAACCTCTGTAAAAAAGCGGCTATATAGTGCGACACCTTAGATATAATGGCACTTTAATTCAATATCTTGAGTGCCATACTAAAGAGGTTTGACTGCATACCTTTTAATTTCAAAAAATAGACCTTTTTGATCACAAAAAGCTTAAAAAATCAAAAAAATTATTTAGTTGCCCTCAGGAAGACCAGCCAATTAGTGTTTGAAAATTAAAGTTTTGTAGACTAAATACACATTAATGTTCAAACGTTATCAGTGCTACGGCCACTTTATGTTTACTTGGTATCAATGGTTGAACTGAAGTGCATTTCAACTACTTTTTACAAAAAAATTAAAATTTTGGATAATGGAATTAAAATATTCATAAAGGTAGATATAAAACAAAAAAAATAGTTTTTTACATTCTCAAGTAAAAAATTAACTCTCCCGGCACTGTTCAAACAAACAAAAATTCAAAAAAGTTTTGAAAAATAATTTTTAAAAACTTTTTCAAAAAATTTTTCGAAAATTTTCATTTTCAAAACATTTTCATTGCCATCTTTCGAAAAGGCTCACTTGATTTCGTTTGTAACTTAACTACCGGTCGGTTCAGTACCTTGGTTGATATCATGAAAAAGAAGCGCACCGTCCGAAACCGTAGCCGAGGGCTTCGAACTCAAACGATCAGTCGTGAGGAACCGACCACGTTGGACCAGGAGAGTGAGGAAAGAAGCTCGTACCGGCCCGCCTCGAAGTATCAAGCACCTGGCGAGGTTAGCACACCAGCTCAAGCCACACCGAAGCCAAAACCTTGTGAGCCAGAGATTCAGAACCATTTGTTAGCCTTCCTGGAGCGCCTCATGAAGTCGAATATCGAAGGTTTGAAGAAGGAGTACGCTGAGTTGAAGGCCTACGTTCCTCCACAACATAGTCACGCTATATGTAGCGCGAATCGGTCGAGGAATCGGTATAGCGACCAGTATTGTTACGATCATTCTCGAGTCAAGTTGACTTACAATGTGCCACCAGAGACAGATTATATCCATGCCAATGTGATTCAGTTCAAGGAAGTCGGTCATCCTATTATTTTAACGCAGGTCAGGTGAAGTTGGGTATACTTTTCATTATCATTTTACAAAACCTTGTTATGTTATAGCTTATTTATTTTAAAATACGTTAAATTATTCTTTTACAATTCAAAAACTTTTAAAAAAAGGTTTTAGGGCCCGTTGCCAGACACCGTAGGCGACTTTTGGAGGATGATATACCAAGAGAAGTGTGCTGGCATCATAATGTTGTGTAAGACGGTCGAGTTGAAAAAGGTAAAGTGTGAACAATACTATCCAGAGGCAGTGGGTGGTGTATCGACCTATAATACGCTTACAGTCAAGAATGCTGCTGTAAGTTTTTATTTTTTACTTATTTTTTCATTGATAATATGTCGGTTACCTAATTTTTTAAAAATTTTGTTGCGATCAAAAAATATCTTAAAATTTTTCTAAACTTTTTAAAATTTGTACTATGTACAGTATTTTTTAGACAGTACTAGAAGACCCGCACTTTAAAATCATCAAACTGGAGATAGGCAAGAACGGCACGCCCTTCAAGGCCGAACATTCGACAAAACTTTATATTTGGAAGGACTGGCAGGACAAGTTTGTACCACGAACGTGCGTTTCAGTACTGCGGATGTTGAGAACCGTGAACTCTGATGCCAAAACTAATCCAGTCGTGGTACATTGTAGTGCGGGCGTCGGTCGTACGGGTACGGTAGTAGCACTCGCTGCCATCATGCAGAAGATATATGCCAAACAACCTTTTAATGTAAGTTTATGAGTTGCTGAGTGTACTCTATGTAATTCCTCAAACTAGGTTGAGGAAGCATAGAGAGTTTATGTTGTGGCCTGAGGGTGTACAGAGAAAAGGGGTGATTTACTACGAGTTTTATCAGGCGAGACATAATACGTTGTACTAACTAGTCTAGATCAGAATCAGATAAAGCTTCAAGTGAATAAGAATCAAGACATTACTTTAGGTATTCGAAACTGTCAAAGAGTTGCGTGGCCGCCGTTACAACGCCGTCCAAACCGATCTACAGTACATTTACATTCACCGCGTGCTATGCGACTATATCAAAATCAAAATTCCGGAAAAAACAGCACAAGTGGGGCTATTTATAAACGAATACAACGCCTACCTCATGACACAGAAACCTCCAACTTGATGCTCGTTTTACTGCAGTACTCTTCAAATTCTGGACTGGTCGTTATAAACAGTTTAAACTTGATTGGCTTGGCTTTTTGTATCATAATGTGTGTTGGGTGGGGAGTTTTAATCAAAGTTTAGTATTTTAGACATCATTTTACCATGTCTTTCTACTTTTATTCATAAAGTAAATTAATAAAATTAAAAAAAAAGTCAAAGTAAATTTAAAAAAATAAAATTTATCCAAAGTTGATTGAGATATTCAAGACCAAAGGGAGAGTAAACTTTCTCCAAATAAGCCTTGGCAAAGTTCGAAGTTAGTTCAAGCAACTCCCAATTCAATTCAGAAGTGACAGCGTTATAAGAATCCTCAAAGAGATGAAAGTTCAGTCCATTAGTATCGTACTCCTTCAATATTCCTATGATGCCATTCTTAAGATTAGGGTATCTGCTAACCAAAAATTCTTCCAGAATACTGATGTCTTTTCTCCACACAAAGAACTCGGCTTCTGAGTTGCTTCCGGTGAAGAACGTGACCCCTACCATAAGAACTCTTTGGTACGAGTCACGAAGATACGTTGTAAGCTGAGAGAGAAAGCTTTCGTGAGCAGGTTTGTGATTGTATGTTAAAGTAGAAAAGGGGTATCCGTAGAGCCGAAGATAGTAAGAGTCCCAGTAGTCGTAGATAACTTGGTTCTTGATGTTGTTGATAGCATAGTTTAGCAGCTTATCTATAGAGATAGTATTGTTTTCCAGAGTTATCGAGTTTGGCATAGCCATGACCAGATCCCATGGGCTTAGTTTGTCACTGAAGACACCTTCTATTGTTGAGGATTGGAATGGGGCTTCAAATTATAGTACACATGTAGTAAAAATATTTTTGCTATTTAAAGATTATAAAAACAAACATACCATGAAAAAACTTAACAACACCATAATAGTTAATTGGCCTACACTCAACAAATTCCAAATAAACAAGAACGCTGCTCAGTGCTAACACAAGGTTCAACTTCATGATCACTTACTGAGTGTTCATCAACGCATACCACCACCTTTTATACTTGTGCGCGTTCATTTGAACCACGGTCCTGATGCTCAAAAATGTCTCTTGATTTCTAAAAAAGGCAAAAAAATCGCAACGAAAAGAGAGTGCAAGAGACAGTCAAAAAAAACCAAACCTAGCCAAAAGTGTGATGGGATCTATAGGATTAATATCCACAAACAAAATTAGCTTGTGGTTCTGGCTCTCAAAAGTGGCTAGAAATTACTAATTTTGGAACGTTTGACTATAAGTCGGGGGATTCAGAAATTTTTTTAAATTTCTTTGCACCATAGATCAGCTATCGATCAATCATAACATAGCTTTCAAAAACATAAGTTTACGTTACTCTCGGCTATCCTCGACATAATATATGTAGATAAACCAGAGTTGTTTTACGTAGTCCCTATGTTTTGCCGCCTCTCATCTTGCTTTCACCAAATATCTGAACCATTCTAACAACTCACTTGTCTACCTTAAGACTACACATACAGCTATGTCGCATATGCGTCGATAATGCAGTATAAAAGGGTTGAGTGTCTCGTAGGTTTTCATTCGAAGCGTTCTGTCGATATGAAGTGGTATATTGCTTTACTGCTCTGCTGTTTAGTGCAGTCAATCAATTGTAGACCATCGTACAACTATGAGGAATACGTACTACTTGATAGTAGGTTGAAGTACTTTTAAAAAATTTTCTTTTTTTGAATCTAAACCAGTCTTAACTTAAGTTACCATTTTTTAATCCGATTTAAACATATATGTTTTGTTATCTTTTACTGTTGTAGACCCTTCAATAAAAGACTTTCCTGATGCCATTACCAAGGAACAAAAGCCAATGATTCCTGTAGAAGATTCAGCAGAAATGTCAGAAGAAGATGAAGAAGGCCAAGTAATACCTACCGAAACTCCAGTTGAAAAAGCTGAAGCTCCAGAAGAAGATGGAGAAGGTCAATTACTACCTACGGAAACAACACTTAAAGAATCTGAAGCCCCAGAAGAAGAAACAGAAGCCACCAACTGTACCATTCCGTTGGAAAGCTATTGGTCCGAACAGGCCTTATTATTTGCGTTTTATCGTCTCTGGCCCTTAATGACCAACTACAGCGTTCCGATTGACACCATGATCAACGAAGTTCACGAAGATTTGAAGAATCGTGTTTTCATGGAATACATGGACCCAGAATCCAAAATCATTCATGCTGTAGATAACGAAATGGGTATAAGAACTTTGAGATTCGATGAAGTCAATCCAGACGAGAGCTTGGTTCTAAAGCTGTTGAACGGATTAATGCGATTCGTAAAGCGTCTTGTTATGATGGCCATCAACCGAGGTAAACCACAAGTTGAAGTCACCAAAGAAGACTATGCACTTCTAAAGCTGTACATAAAATCAAAATATTCGGATACTTACCAGGAGATCGTAGAGAATTTGAAGTCACAACGCAATGCTACAGTCAGTGTGGAACAACTTCAGTCAGCGTACGAAGACGTTGGTGGTATTGCTGCACGTGAATCGTCTTACTACTTCCTCACATTCGTCAAGGCTTATTTTAAGTACAATGACAATGTTGATAATCCCAAACTTTTTATCACATTTCACAATTGTGTTGTCGTGTAAACCAACTGAATAAATATGAACATTCAGCTTGAGAATAATATTATGTTATAATACCTTGTGCTTTGTATATGCTAACTAAAGAAGTTTTGAAGGCGTAAGAGATTATACTAAAAAGTAAAAAACCTGAAACCCAAGTACATATTTAAAAATTGCTGAAAAAAAAAAATTTCAAAAAGGTTAAATTGCCTGCAATTACAATATTGTGCAGACCCGTTTTATTCTAATATGATAGCAACTTTAACATTGATAAACAGCGAGAAAATAATAAAATTTAGATCTAAATTAAAGCTCATATCCTAGATTAACTTTTGATAGTGATTTCATCAACTTTTACAGTGTAAAAGACTTCGCCGGATAAAAACAAGAAAAGGAATAGTTATATAAATCTAAAACAATATTCTGTTGTTTGAAAAACAATGTAGAAAAACTAAAAACAATAAAAACAAAAAATTTTAAAAAATAGTAGCTGGAACTAGCTGTAAAACAGCATAAAACAGATGTTTTACATTCCAAAAAGTCAATCGTGACATTCCGCAACATCAAAGTGTCACAAAGTCGAAAGAATTGGCGGATTTCGCAACAAAATTCATTGAAATGGCAACCCTCAAGGTATCTCTGAAGCCAAGACCAACCAGATTCCGAGTTCAAGTTCTTCACCGGCCTCTGATTCCATTGGACAAGATGTTCAGCATCAAATTCTTGACATACGCTGCTGGGAGATTGCTCTACGAATACAGTTGCATTGGAATGTTGTTCTTGTTGAAAGTCTTGTTGTTTATGATCGTATTCCCAGGAGCCACCAGCATCGTAGTTATTTCGATGCTTCTGAAGAGTGTTGGATTTGTATGAAGCTGTTTGGCGGTTTTCTAACATTTTACATCATGTAGGTAACGGATTTTGTTGGTTTTTTTTGTTGTTTTAGGTAAAAAATTAGTGGAAATAGGGTTTGTGATGATCAGAGTAAGGTAATACACTGCATTTTATTGTATTTTTAATTCAATTTTGTGTTTTCAGACGCCATTTTAAGTATTCACACTGAACCTACTACAATATCGAGTAATCTCAACTTTTCATTTGGATTCTCAATTTCATATCAACTCATTTTGATTTTATTTTAATGTAATGTGTAGTAATATAATATCTTTAAAATTTACTTGGTTTTGTGTCATTAACAGTATTTATCTGAATTTTATCTAAACTTTAGGTAATTATCTTTTTTTAAATATAATAAAATATTGCGCTTATTTATAGCACGAACTTTATACAACTCGAACTGTTTAGTAATGTAGAAGGATTTATTGTTGTGATTTCGATTTCTTTCATGAAAAACGATTTACGCAACAAACGAGGTGTTGTTAACAAGGTGAATATGTTTACTCAATGACAGTTTACGAGTTTTGTCTCGTTCACATTCCAAAAAAGGGCACGGCTATTCAGTTTGATAAAAGATGAGTACGACCTTCTCTGATAAGCCCTACTATACGGTAGGTTTTGGAAATTAGCGATATTTGATCTGATATTGTAGTAGAGGTTATGTCTTGAAAATACTGCCGTAGGGAAAATAATTTGGTGAAGGGAATGTCGTGTATTATAAAAGTTGAGTTAATATTTTTTTGTTTTGTATAATAGTATTCATGAAAAGGCCTGTAAAATAAGGTAATGCTAATGAGGTACGTATAATATCATTTTTTTGTAAAAAATTAAATTTAGATTTTTAAAATGGGTCAAATTATTATCTACAAGTCAATTTTAAAGAGTTTGAATTAAAAAAGCTGCCATATAAGTATGTAATGTGTATCTAATACTTTATAGCAAATTAATGCTAAAAATAAAAATAAGCATTACCTTGCTTGAGCAAGGTCGATCTGTATGATTTAAGAGCTTATTTTTTAGAGCATAAGTAAGTCCTTGCCTTCAACAACGTTTCCTTTGCAAAAAGATGCTCTGAAGCCGATGGAAAGGATAAGATCGGAACGGTTTGAACGTGTTACTGAATGGAGAACACCCCTCAGAGCACGCCCTCACAATTTAGACATTGGGAAGGGGTAAACTTTTAAAAGAGTTAAATTTTTTATAATTGTATTAGGTTGTTTAGATAATTCTGTGACCATTGTCAAAGCAAATTTTTGGGGATAGGGGCACATAATTACTTGAACAACCTAATAAAGTCATAAAATGATCTTTATCAATAGATAGGATAAATAGTAAAAAAGCTATTTTTCAGATCAAACGTCATAGTATCAGATCCAGTATCTAAAACTACGTTTACATCACCATCTTATACGGAACCATCGTACCATACGAGCCCGAATGAACGTCTGGTGCCCATAATAACCAACAACGGCTCGCCAAACACTTTGGATGACATTTCCACGGAACAAGAGATATCAAAGTCGAAGAGAATCAGAAGATTCTACGATTATCCTTCTGAGTTTGATGGAATTTTCAACAAAAGTGATTTGAAATTGGCACATAGGGGGAGGGAAGATTATAGTAAGAGAGGTTTGATTATTTTCAAAAGGTTTAAAGTTATGTTTTTGAGCTTAAAATTTGAGTTCATAGTAGTTTTATGCTACTTTAAGATAATTTTATATGATTTTAGGGCAATTTGTTGTATGTTTTAATTGTGACACGCTGTTTTAAAGCACATTTTTTAGATTTACCATCATATCCACCGAAGAATGAACGTCAGGCTTATTCACTAAGCGAATCTAAGCCTAAAAAGCAATTCACAACAATATCGGAGCCTATTCGACATTATCCATGGCGTAATGACGTCAAGTATCTGGGTAGGAAGCGAGGTAAATTTCTCTAACAAGTATGATGGTTTATATAACTTCTTTAACAATTGTGTTATGGATGTTTTATATAAATCATGAGCATTTATTAAATTTTATGATTTTTTAATAAAAAAAAATTTTTTTTGTCATTTTTAACTAAAACTCACATTTTTATTCCTATTTCTTTATCCAAAACAACATTCTTGACGCCGTCTATCAATATTTTTGCTAAAAATCTCAAAACACCTATCTTTAATGTGATTCGAAGCCAAAAACCAGCTCTGTTAACTGGAATTCCAGGTAATCCAGTGCTTATCTTTAGCTGAAGGCATCGAACCGCAAACTTTTGAACTGGATTTTCGGAAAGTGAAAGCGCTGGTTTTAACGGTAATTTGGAGGGGTAAAACGTTCGCCATCTCAATTAACAGCTTCTTCTTCTTCAGAAGCGAATATTGTTTCACGTCTTACTTGATTACCTTTAATTTAGTATCGCCATTCTTAAAATTTGAGGAATTTCAACGATTTTATGGAATTTCAAGCCGTTTCTCTTTAATTTTTTGAATTTCTTAATTGAAGATGAATGATAAGAAATTGGAAGTCTAAAATTCTTTTTTTTACGTTTACTTTATTTTACAAGCAGTTTATACCTAAAATACGCTTAATATTTTAGAAATGTCGACAGAAGCACCAACTCATCAAGACTTTTTGGCTATGACAATTCCCGAACCTCCGCCGATTCCTCCGCCGCTACCACCGAAAACGAGAAAATTGTCTAACACTTCTGACTTTTCAATGGTTTCAAACAAGGATTTCAAAGCGCAGAATTATGATCAGATTCACAAGTTATTGCAGGTAATTTCATTACTTTAAAGGTTTACTGGAGGATTGCACGGTGCAATTTGAAATTGACAAGAATTTGGGTAAAGATTAAGTAGAAAACAGGTGATTTTGAGTGTAATTGACAGTTGTAGAGGATTTTATTGTTAGAGTTAGGTGTGCCTTTAAACGCACCATTATTTTTGCATCAGTTAATTAGTTTTGTATTTTGCACTGTGCAGACTAAAAAACGGTCAAAAAAACAAATTGCTGAATAAAAAAAAGTTCATTTAGCATAAACTACTGAATTCTGTGAACTTTTAGAACAATATTACAAGTTTATTTTGAAATTGCGCTATACCTTTTGCGGCGGTGCGACTTTTGCGGACAAAACTTTGCGGACAGACAGTTGCGGACAATATTTCAGTGTCCGCAAAAGTTTGAAAAAATCACAGTTGCGGACACTATTTAATTATTGGGTAGCACGGTACAGTACAGTAAGATAGGGATAGGGTAGTATAGTATAGTATATGCAGTGCAGTGTCCGCAAATGTCTGTATCATCGACACTTGCGGACAGCGACAAGACTTCTGGTGTCCGCAAGTGTCATTCTTTATGTTTTTTGCGGACAGGGGTTTTTTCAAACTTTTGCGGACACTGAAATATTGTCCGCAACTGTCTGTCCGCAAAGGTTTGTCCGCAAGTGTGACCCCGCCCCTTTTGCATCAACAAACGAATTTTGTGTTTTGCACCGAGCAGCCTAAAAAGTAGGGCCTTGCACCGTGCAAGAACATTAAAATTATTAATTTGGCTGAATATAGTTGTAAATCATTTAAGTACAACTAAAATATTGTAGTTGTTTACAGTAGTGTGGCAGAATCAGAGGGCGACCGTTTCGCTTTTTGACTTTGAATTCGATTTTAAGCGTTTTTTGTGAATCGCCACAGGGATTTAAGGTCTGATCTTGTAAAAAACGCCTGTCAAAACTGGATTTTAATATTTTTAATCTGTTTTTGGTGTTGTAGTAGATTTTTTTTCAAAAATACGGTTCGGTCAGTTAATTCTTGTTCTATTTTAGTGATAATGCTTTGGTGTGGGTCCCGGTTTTGGGCTCACACGTGTAGCCCGTCCTCTTTTAAATTTGTTTTGGGTTGGTTCTAGTGGGCCTTCTTTCAGGTCTAGTTGAGTGCTATTGTAATGATATTGATAATATCAATTATGTTATACTGCAAAATGATGAAGTATTAAATTTTTCAAAGCTTATTAACACTTGGTATAACAATATCACATGTTTTTTCAAATCAATTTACGAAATGACAGTTTAAAGTTGACCGGGTATCGAATGACAGTATCGTTTGCTTTCAGACCGAAGATGTTGTGATTCCGATGGTGGAGCGCTTCCTTCGTTCGCAGTTCGCAGAGGCTAGTCCCCACAAAACCTTGGACATCTCCAGCTTTTCCCACTCCGATATTCCTCTGAAACATTCTTGGGAGAGGGTTTTCCGCGTTTCCGACGGAAAAAAGGTAATAATTTTTGAAATTTTCAACTTTTTCTGGTTTTAGGGGGGGGGGGTCATTTTAATTTTATGGTGGGGGAGCGGGTTGAATAAAATGTTTTTTTTTCAAACTTTTAATTAAAAATGAATAGAGAGGAAGTATTCTGATTTTTTATGTTCGGGCGGGGTAATCCTTTTTAATTTTAGTTGAAAAGTAAATGGAAAGGGCTTTCCCGATTTTTTTTATATTCTGGGCGGGATAAAAATATTTTATTTAGCATTCTTGGCTGAAAAAGATTTTTTTCTAAAACACCTCTTCAAAATTGTAATTTTTAATCACAAAATACCTAAAACTATTTTATGATTGCATTAACACGTTTGTTTACCTTCTTAATCCGCAACTGATAGCAACGACAATATCGGTTGACAATGGTCACAACCCTCGCTATGTTTACTTTTGTATTGTTTTTGGAAGCAAAGGTCACAAAGGGCGGATGGGTAATTATAACCCAGGGCGAGGTCGATTGCCGCCTTCTGAAGGATTGCATAAATCATATTCGAATTGGAATGGGGGGGGGGATTTTAGTGGAATGTGGTTAAAATTTTGGAATTTAATTTTTTATTTTACCTTACTCTACTCTACTTGACCTTACATTACTTTGTCTTGGCATTTTTTATATCATATATTTTACTACAGGCAGCCACAATAAAGCTGGAGAATCGGCTGACAATAGAGAAGGATCCGATGGAAGATTCTCAATCAAGCTCCAGAAGTCATCGTAAGGTTTCGTCGTCAGGGTCGTCTTCAGGATTCAGATCTTCTGAATCTCAAGACGGATTCAGTGATGGGAATACGATCTCAGAGAGTGATATGTTGTTACTGGTTCACAAAAAGATAGCCAAAGGAGTCATGTTGGGTAAGATGATGTTTTTATTGCTGGACGGAGAAAAATTCTGAAGGAAAAAATGTTTTATGGGTAAAAAATTTTTTTGAAAAATGTTGTGTTGGACATATTGTTATAGAATGGCCAGAGCTGTTTCTTCTTAAAAACTCTCATTGTCGTCATGTAATGCCATTGGAGCGGTTGTATCGTCAACTCTCCGTGAAGCCGGATTCAGAACAGAAGTGGCGACAAATCGGGGCAGAACTACGACATTCATACACATTATATCAAGATATACTGGAGAGGTGCTTGGTAATAGACGAGTTATACACTCAACTGGCATATATGATCATGCAAGCCGAAAGCTATTGGTATGGGGCTAGGGTTTGTGCTGGTAGGTTGGTTGCTTTACTTTGACAGGGGTATGGGTAGCTGATTATATGTTGATGTTACTTTTTTGTATGTATCGTATGTTGGTATTAGTATGATTTAATTTTTATTTTACCATTATATTTATTAGTTTTATCAATATACATCCTCTTTTCTACTATATACACCAACCTTCTTTAGACCGATCTCTCCAAACCTCCTGGTACCATCTAGCAGTTCAAATCTACGCTCGTCTACTCCAGAAGGCCCAACTTCATCTGGCAGCCTCAGATCGATCTCTTCTTACTGTTATGGACAAACTTTCACAGATCATGCTAGAAGCCGGGGATTCAGATGATAGAACGTTAAAACTGTGTAAAGCTGGTGTTGTAGCAGCAGAGAAAGAGCTGGAGGTGAATGAAGACATCAAAAGGGAACGAAAACTTATCAAAATCAAGAATCGACTGGTCAGAATTGAGGCTCAGGGATTGAGGAGTTGATGATGTTGGTGTTTAGATGGTTGAAACAATGTTTAAGCTTGATTTGGATCACATTTGTTCTGGTTTTAGTTTGATTTCAATGACATTTGTTTTATTTTGGTTTGATATCAGCCACATTTGAGCTTGATTATGGTGAATTCTTGTTATATTTAAGCCTTTGAAAGATATAACGACACTGTTTATATAATAAATTTGTGATTTTAATATTGGGAATGACGTTTTTAACTGTTTTTCTACTATATTGTACATATATATTTTTATCTAATATTCAGGTGACCTCAGCTTCGAAACTAACAAGGAACGTGACCCGGATTGAATTCAAACTTTTTTGTAGAAAGATCGAGCTGGCTTGTGCTTTTTTTTAGTAAATTTTTACGTTCTTCATTTTCATGCTAGCTATTGATGATAGTCAAGTTGATAACAAGAGAAAAAAAGGCCAAAGCTTTATAATAGAATGTTAAACACTTTTTGGCGTCAGTTTATACTTAATGATATGGTTAGATACGACAATTTTGTTTGACAATTCACTAAGCTGCCATTTCTAATAGTACTTTAGGTTTGAAGATGATTCAAGTTTCTAAGTTAACCAACCATAAATAAAATATAATCCGAAGCAAGTTTTGTTTCGTATTTTTATTAAAAATATTCAAAATGTCACCATTTATCCAAAGAAATTACAGTATACGAGGCATACGAGAGGTTAATTAATATTAATAATAATATAGGACAAAACTGGTAGATTCATGTCGGTGGAGGCTGGAGAGGCTACGATAAGCTATAGATGTATGGGGTACTGTAGAGTGAAGAAAATAGGAGTACGGTATACAAAGATGGAAGGGTATATGAGGATTACGGTAAATAGATGAGAAAGACAGTTACAGTATGCAAAGATGGAAAAGATACTGTAGAAATGTAAGGTAAGGTACGATGACGTATGTAGGCTACAGTATTTGTAAAACTTTTCAGTGTACGGTATCTTTTAGTACAATACTTGATCTACAGTAATCCGTAGTACTATAATTGTCTCTACAGTAGTATATTTTACTTTATCATACCTACAGTAACATCTTATACCCATCTAAGCCTATACCTCATAAATCCTAACATACAGTAAGCCAAACTCCCACCTACAGTAACCCCCTTCCATCCTACGATAGTCCGCCGACATGGCAGTGGTAAAAGCTGGGGGTGGATGTTCGAAATTCGTCGACTGCCACATTTAAAATGACATTCGGGCAGTTTTATGCTGATTTCTATGCTTACAACTAAATAACTTACTATACGAAACAGGATCTACAGTAACTTGAGCTATGACTAAAAACAGTAATTTGGGCGGGGTAAAATCGAATTTCGGGGAGGGGGTGTTACCATTCAATATTGACAAGTTTGTTTTGAGATTATGCATGAGATTACGGTAAGGTTACGGTAGGATTTTTGGTTATGAGGGGAGTACTGTACAGTACAGTAGGTTTTTGAGCCTACTGTAAGATAAATGTTACAGCAAGTCTCAAAGCACTGTAAGAGGCTACAGGCCTTTAAAGCCTACAGTAATCACTAGAAAAGCCAAAATTCTTACTGTAAAATTTTAGTTACAGTATGATTCACAAAACCCGAACCCAAAATCCTACAGTAACCTCATTGACAACAGATTGCCTGTAAGAGACAACAAATACAGTATGATGTTCATTAGAAACACAGGGTCGGCCGCTTCCCCGTTGGTCGATTTCGCCTTACAATAGAGTGGACTCGACCAGTTGATTGCATAAACCCGTGTGCAGCGGTAAGCGAACGGCCATAACTGCCAAGACTTTTCGAACGGCTATCTTCTACATGGTACTACAGACCTTGGAAATGACATTGTCGTATTAGGTTGTAGGGCTTTATGTGTTAGATTGTTCAACTAAGGCTGAGCCACTGAACACAAGAATTTTCTTTGAGTGGTGGCTCATGATTTTTTGAACAACTAACTTTATAAGGCCTAAAGACATTATACGATAGTATGAGGTCTGAAGAGATGTTATACTTATACTAAAAGATAGGAACACAAGATGATACACCTATATAGACCTAAATAGGTGCTATACATAAGTATATAGTCGTATGTTATAGTACATGAAGACATAGTCGTTGGAGAGACGTCAGAGACAGTTGCTGTGTTTAAAGTTCGACGAAATGCCACGGATAATATCGATTTTTGAGGGAAAATTGAATATAGACCCTAAGGCATTTCGAAAAACGAAATGAACGAAATGGAGCCATGTTACGGAAAATGGGGCCATTAGAACCCTCGGACTCCCAGCTGATGTGGAGAATGATAAGCATTGAAAGACGGTTCCACAAAACCGGACAATTAATTTGCATAAAACAAGATTTGCTTAAATGAAAGAAACGCCCTGAGGGCACGATTTAACTGGGATTCGATTACGGGCATCAAACGGGTTCTACAGTACGCTTGGGACTGTATGAAGGCAAGGTTTTTGAAGTTTAAGAGGTTTCAAATACTGTAACTTTGGGTAGGAGAAAAAGTTTTGGCATACGGTAAGTCTACTGTAATTACAGTAGATTAAGTAAGACTACAGCAAAGTAGCTTACAGTAAGAATACAGTTAGTTCTGTTACTCTACAGTAAGTTATGTTCTTTACAGTAAGCTTACAGTAACACACAGCGCCTTACGATAAATTTACTGTAATTTACGGTACATTACAATACGACTACAGTCCCCTGTAAAAAATAAAATTTTTTGTTATTTTATCATTACAGTAACCTATATAAACCCTTGTACACTTCAATGACCTCGTCTTCAAGACAGCCCGGTTACTGTAACATAATTTGAAAGATGGTATAACCTGGATAAGATACGGACTCAAATGTCCAGGACCATGCGGTGATTAGTTAAAAATAAATAATTGAAGCAAATTGCACAAGATACGGTCAGTTAAAGGTACGGTATTTTCAAGATACTGTAGGTATCAATAATGGTACTTTGGGTACGAATTTTATAAAAGATATACAGTAAGATGTGTTGATTACAATAATACTTTAAAACGTTTGATTACTGTAACTATAAGATTACAGTAATTCCAAAAACATGCAGTAATCAAAATAAAAAAGTACAGTAACCCCAAAAATACCTACAGTAACCTCGAAAACACGAAAAGCCAAAAATAAAGTAAAATACGGTAAAAGGCGGTGAAATACGATGGTTGTGTGTTGGTTGAAGTACGACGTACTGGGTAACCCGAACATGATTGATTGAGAAGTTACAGTACTATCCATTCTAATTGTCCCATTTTGCCGAAAAACTAAAATTTGACCCGTCCTGAGGGCTTAAATCTGGTCACAAATTGTTTGTCTTTGAGGGTACAGTAGGCCGAGATACGGTAGGGTTTCGTTACAGTATGGTGGAATACGGTAGAACTTTTGTTATAGTAGGATGGTAAACGGTAGATTTTGTGGTACGGTGTATGGTACATGAAGTAGTACTGTAATTTACGATACTGTAGTGATGATAATAGATCATCAAGTATACTGTAGCTTCAGGAACGATGATTGCAATATACGGTAGTTTGGTATACGGTAGGTAAAATACGTTAGTTGGTATACTGTTGGTAATACTATTTCACCAGAGTACTATATTGTAGATAACACCGTATTCATAAAGTACTGTAGCCAAAATAGTACGGTACTGTAGATATAACTATGTTCGTCGGGTACTGTATTTATCATTGTACGGTACTGTGAACACCACCACTCTTATACATATGTATAAGTCACTAGCATACTTTAGCCACTAGTTATAAGCCCTTAGCATACTGCAACCACTCCTACTGAAACCCAAAGACAAATGTTCCTGAGATGTCGACGACCAGCTAGTCCAGCCTCAGCAACTACAAGAAGAGATCTTCGCCGATTCGAAAGACGCAAAATGAGGTTTTTCTGTTGATTTTGAGGTCCCAAATGCACCAATTTGACGTCGCACCACCTCGAACACATTCACGTTGTACTCACGCTCCTTCAGCACGTCCTGAGGGCATAAAATTCGAAAAAAATATAAGCAGAGTCGAGGTTTGAAGAAGTTACAGTAAGCGCCTACTGTATTGATGGGTATGTGGCCTGGAATGGCAGGTTTAAAATTTTTTTAAAATTTAAATTAAAATTTTAAGATGTTGAAATTTGAAATTTTTTTCAAATTTTAAACATCAAAATAAAAATGTAAAACTCACTAAGCTTTCATGTTGCGTGATCCATCTGTAGTGTCATTATGTTAATCATCGAACATACCATTCTGGTTTCGTGACATTTTCAGTCGATGAAAATGTGGGAACATCGATGACGTTGATGTTCTTTAAACCCAAGCCAAACCTGAAAATGGTAAAATTAAGAAATTAAATTGATGTCTAAATATAGAGCCTCAGGCATTTGAAAAATCATGTTTATATACACGTTGTGAAAGAGTCTTCGCGCAGTAGAAGGCCTACTATAATATCATACAAACCTTATCATATCATACAACATCATTACAAAACACGGATAATATACGCGGTATTAGGTTGTTCAAATAATTATGTGCCCTCTAACTCTGAAAATTTTGTTTGAAAGGGAGCACAGAAGTACTTGAACAGCCTATTAACATAAACATTTTTACTATGTAAAACTATAAACCGTATTATAATATAATACCAAACACTGTAATGTGCATACTATGATTACTTTACACAAACAGTAGTATTTATTAGTTTACAGTACTATAAAGTAAAGATTTTGGCATATTTTCAGCCACTATAGTACTACGTTTACCACGTCATGAAACAGCAGTAACATTAGTCATTGTCGTATCTTCACGTCACAGTTAATATCGTATGTTTGCAGCATATACATAATATATTCTATAGTTTTATGACACGAAAAGACAAGGAAATAATAAATTTCAACCGGTCAGGAAGTTTATAGCCAAATACTGTACCGTTCAATACTATAGGTAAAATATGAACAAAAATAGG